GCAGGCGCTTCCGGAAATTTGCTTTTATTACAGCGATAAGGAGCACTCACGTGTGAGAAGCGTCATCGTTGGATCTGGTGGGTCCGAGAGACCAGTTCAGAGCTTTTGAGCCCACATTTTGTAGACCACAACATATGAAAACTCGACAGTTAAGAACCTACAAGAAGTAGTCGTTTTTCGGCACTGTACAGAAGAAAGATGAGAAACCAAATATGCACTGTGCGAAGAGAAGAACTTTTATTTTTTTGCGCTGTGCAAGTTAATGTCACAAAAAAATTTTACTGAACTGTTCAGTAAGATCGACAAAGAAAATGAAAGTTCACAGTTGCAAACAGAATAACATAATGCACCGTGCAGAATACAACAATTTTATTGTCACCGCACTGTGCAAATAAAAATTTTTGCTTTTGCACCGTGCAAAATCCAAAAGAAAATTTTTTCTCCTAACAACTGCTTTCAGAATTCAATCCTATGTTAGTAAATAACTGTAATTATAAACTTACAAATTGTAACCCTCAAATGTTGAAAATAATTGTAGATTACAGGCCAGAGAGGATAATTGTACCAAGCTGTGTCGAGTGGCCATTTTTGAGTGTTCGAATAATTTTTCGGGGACTTTAGTGAACTGTATGTAATGTTGTTACTAACTTTTTCAACTTTCTGAAACGAAGATTTTTGGGGTTCCACAAAAAAATTTTTTGATAATTTTGCACTGTGCAAAAAATTGAGTCTTGAAGTTCACAGTGAAAAAAAAATAAATCAAAAATTTCTGATTTTGCACTTTGCCATCAAAAATAAAATTTTTCCAATGTGCAAACCGATTTTTTCGACGCTTTGCCTCCGCACTGTTCGGTCCAAAAATTAAAATTTTGCACAGTGCATCAATTTTTTTTTTCGATTTTCCAATGTTTTGGCGTTAAAAAAATTGTTTTGACTTTCGACTACCCAGATTTATCATCGCTAGCGATGAGTTTTAACGATTACTCATAAAGGTTTACTGCTTTTCCTCCGCTAATCGTCGAAAGTCGGTCTAAAAGTGCATTTTTTTGTCCGAAAGCATTGTTAAAGTAGGTTAGGTGGAAGGAAGAGGTCTTAATTGGATGTATAATAAAATTTAATAGGAAGTGGTCTTTGCTCCGGCTTTTCTCGCACAGTGCAATAAATTAAAGATTTTGAAAGTTTTCGTTCGACTGCACTGTGCGGATTTTGTGAAACGTTGATTCGCACAGTGCAATAGAAAAGAAATGGAATTTGATTGCACTGTGCGAAATTTCCGAAGTTTTCATCGCGTTTCATGCACAGTGCAACTGATCAACTCGTTCCTTTGCACTGTGCAACCCCATTTTCCCTCTTCAATTTTTGGCACGGTGCAATGACGAACATGCGAGTCCAAATTTCGTATCATGCCATAAGCGGGTTAGAGATGCGATTAATCAGGAATAGTTGGCAATTAATCTAACATCTCGGAGAGGCATTTAATCTTGTAATAGTGCATCTTGTTCTCTGCAAAAATTACTTTTACTTTTTTGCGCCGCACAGTGCAAAATTTTTTTTCTTATGCTAAAATTCCCGTATTTTACCACTCTTTACAGCCTCGATAGTCATTACAAACTGTCATGAGTTACTGCAATTCATCGAATCTCAGAAATTTGTTCGAAGTCAGGGCGCAGGCTGCATAAATTTTTAGCGATTTTTTTTTGTTTTTCTGATTTTTTAACGATTTTAGACAAGGCGTATTTTACAATTTACCGTGTAAAAACTACTTTCCAAGTTTGCCAAAGCAAACTGTATCAGCCAGGGCGCAGCTTGCGCAAGATTTTTGTGAGATTCTTTCATTTTGCCGTTCTTTCTTCGATTTTTAGGGTAAAATAGAAGAAAAATGTATATGATTGCAGTAATTTCTGCAACAATATTGAAGTCACTACATTTTTAAACAGCTAGAGTAGCAGTTTACCTAAGAGTTTTGACAAAATTCGCAGTTTAAGTCTACTTTCTAGCCAATTTATGATCTAAAACAACATAAAATCGGTTTTCTACCGTATTTTCCGCTATATTTTGGCCAAAATGTAACTAATTTTGGAAGATACTGTACTTTTTCCTAATCTGGGGCGCAGCTCGTCTCTAAACGCCTTCAAATTTTTTTGGTTTTCCCCATTTTATACCTAAAAATTATAAAAATTTGCGACTACTGTACGCTCTCCAGCTGTATCTTATTCAATCCGAGAAAGCGCGTCGCTGGCCAGCCCGCTTCCTTCTACATTCCGTTTATTCCACCTGCGACAAGAGGGTGTTGAAGCCGACGGAAAAAAACGAGGGGGGAAAAGGCAGCGAAAAAAGAATAAAACCGAACGCTGTCCAATGTTTTTTCGGTCGCTTTCCTGCTCTCTCTCTCCCTGTGTGTCCCCCCATCCAAAATAACCCCAAACGTTTGCCCCCGCCACGCCGCACACACATCTTCCTCCTCGATATTGCACTTGTTCGGTGGCGGCGCTGGGTTTCCCCCGAACTTTTTTCACGTTTTTTGTTACAATTCCCGGTGGTTTGACGGGTCCTCGAACCGGAACGGACCGATTTTCGCCTCGGGTTTACCGTTTTTCCGCCATCCCCGATATTGTACTTGGTGGGGGAGGAGAAAATCGGCTGGAACCCGGCGAAAAGGGTGAACCAGGTCCCCAGAGGGAAACGTAATGTCATTTAGGACTTTGTTGTTCTTTTAAACACTAATTGGCTCAGTTTGCAGCAAATTAGACTTGTTTTTTAGCTGATATTATCCTTGTGTATCGAGAGGGATTTTTTTATCCGGTTTGATTTGATTTCTCTCGGTTTGAAGGGTTATTCTCGGCTCTTAGACTTTATCCAGCGGAATCCACAGCCAGAAAATTCAGAATTACGTTTTTCCAACGATTTCCGATATTGTACTAGGTATCAGATGGAAAAATCGGCCAAAAATGGACGAAAACAGACACACCGGTCCCCAGAGGGAAACGAAAAACATTTAGGACTTCGTTGTTCTTCTAAACACTAATTGGCTCAGTTTGCAGCAAATTAGACTTGTTTTTTAGCTGATATTATCCTTGTGTATCGAGAGGGATTTTTTATCCGGTTTGATTTGATTTCTCTCGGTTTGAAGGGTTATTCTCAACTCTTAGACTATATCCACCGGAATCCACAGCCATAACATGCAGAATTACTTTTTCCCAACGATTTCCGATATTGCACTAGGTATCAGATGGAAAAATCGGCCAAAAATGGATGAAAACAGACACACCAAGTCCCCAGAGAGCGGCGTAATGTTATTTCGGTATTTGTTGTCCCATTTCGCGCTCATTAGCCCAGTTAGCTATAGCAATTTGTCCAATTCTGAGCTGATATTCACCTTGTTCTTGTAGATGGAAAAGTTTGATAAAACCAGGGCTTTCATATTTTTTTGACCTTTGTTTGTCAACCTGACTTCCTTTCCTCTGTTTTCGAGGGGAGTTTGTGTTCCGCTTCCCACGGAATTATTTTTTTGCGGATTTTGGGTAATAAATGTTATCCATCTTCGAAATTCGTATCAATTCTATTTATAATTGGACCGAAATTGTTTGAAGTGGTCTCTAATGAAGTTAGCTAGGTGTGCTTTTAGTGTTTGCATGGATTTTTACGGCTTCTATTTTCGGGGATATTATACTTGCTAAAATTGTTTCAATTTGGGCTCAGTCAGTCGGGGGAAAGTACTGTACTGGATGTAAAAAGTCACGTTAAATTGTTATTGGTAATTTTTTTGCTCAGCTGTTTGGTCGACATCAAAATTTTTTGATTTTGACGCAAAAATTATATTATCCATGGCAAAAGTAGGTGCCATTTTCGGTTTTTGTTGGTAAAATCATTGAATATATTGCTTTTCTGCCGAAATAGAGGCATTGAAAATGTTTTGGCAGGGTTTTGAGAGAATTTTTATATTATCCATGGCAAAAGTAGGTGCTATTTTCGATTTTTTACCGGTAAAATTTTTGAATATAGTGTTTTTCTGCCGAGATAGAGGTATTGAAAATGTTTTGGTTGGGTTTTGAGAGAATTTTTATATTATCCATGACCAATTCGATATCAAAATACAATATTTTCTGGAGCGCAAGCCGTAATCGATATTGCATTGTGGCCGCATTGGTCGGAAAAGGTCGTTAGACACTCGCTGTTCCCAGTATTCCACACGCTTGGGTTATAATCTGTAATTAACTTTACGTCCACTAAACCATGTTTTCCACTTGTCCAATCTCCCCCCTACTTTTAGCGCACACTCCTCGCGGCCCTCGTAGCCTAAGGGCGTTTGCATTTTTAGTCGCATGCACAATTATTTTCAGCCATTTTTTGGCAGTGGAACAGGTGAATTCGGCCTAAAACAATATAATTTTTGACTCTTTGATCGGGGGGAATTGTTGATTCACGGAATTCTCAGCTCGTGTGAAGCCTAAAAATGAAAATTGCACCTGGAAATTGGCCAATTTTAATTGGGCTTTGCCCAATTTTTGGTGTTTTATTACCTAAAACAATGTTTTGAGCGGGCAAATTGGGGATTTGTTGACAGCTGGCCTCTGAATATCGCTTTTTTCAATGTTTTCACGTCAAATCGTCCGGCGAAAAAGTGACGGACGGGGGTGTTTCCAGCCTAAATGTCTGGGAAAAGCGATAAAATTTTTTGGTTTCTATTAATAAATTAGAAGAAATATAGAGTTTTTTGAGCTAAAAAAGGGTCCAATTTTCTATTCTTGATCTAAATTTTGCGTTTCTGAATTAGTTTTGGACCTAAAATGAAAATTTTTATATTGTTTTAGGCACCTACCGGGATTTTTCGATATTATACTTGATCAGATTTGAGATAATTTCTATGATTTGCCGTGAAATAGCTTATGAGTCAAGAAGAGACTAAAAATTTTATTTTCAGCGATGTGGGTTCTCTAGAGCGCAAGTCTTCAGACCCTCTACTACAACATCCCAAATTAAATCAATCCGCGAAAAAAGCGATGGAGGATCGAGAAGAAGCCAACCCTCATCACAATCTTCAACCAGTGTATCCGGTCTACCAGCTGGGCACTGATCATATGGGACAACAAGTTTTCTATGGAGTTCAACTCGGCAATGAACAAATGTTTGCTTCCGGAGAAATTTATCAGGTAATTTTTTTGTTTTGTGGTTGAATTTTAGGTTGTCAGAGGTCTGATGGGACTGAGTTATTGTCAGGTTGTTGTAATCAGGTTTTTTTGCACAGAGTGAAGCGCTTTTGAAAGTGTAAGGCGCTTTTTTTGGGGTTCGCACGGTGCGGAATTCAGGAAATTGTCGTTCTGCACCGTGCAGATGTGAATTTTGGAGATGTTATGGTACAGGAATTTGCAGCAAAGTCTCTCTTTTATGGTGTAAAAACATTTTTTGAATTTTGCACAGTGTAACAATCAAATCCATTTTGTTCGCACTGTGCAGACAGAAATTTTTGAAATTCGGACTGTAATAGTCTGAAGGTGGATTTTCAAGAATGAAATTGTAATTTTCAGAACGCCGGCAACTTCCAGCAGATCCAGCCCCAATTTTATAGCCCGGCTTCGGCTCCGGACGGCACTCAATTCGTCCAACAGCCTCATTTTGTGAATCAAATTTCACCCCAAGTCCAGCAGGGACAGGAACAACAGCTGATGAACATGTATGGAATGCAAAATCAGTTCCGTCAGAGACAATTTTATCAGCCACAACAGATGCAGGGGCAGGTTAATTACGCCCAACCGGTGTATAGCCAAGTTGTGGAAAATAGCGGAAGTGGTAAGGGGAATTTTTATTTATTTATTTTTTTGTTTTTAGAGACTTGTAAGGAATGTAGATGAAAGATAGAACTGTAATTCACGTTGAGCTGGCTGAAATTTTACTTGAATTAAACTTTTTTTGGAATTTCGCACTGTGCGAAATATGATTTTAGCCAAAATTGATGGCTTTTGAACTGGAAAAGTTCTAAAATCAGTTTTGAAATATTTTCTAGGATCGTATCATGATATCATAATGCTTTACTGAACTTATATTTACCATTGTATACCAAAAATTTACATTGCTTTTCATTGCACTGTGCAATATCCTGTTTAAGAAGTTTTTGGTCATTGCACTGTGCAAGACTCAATGAATCTTTGAGTAAATTCGAGGATTTCAGAGCCAAGATCAGTCTCAGCACTGTTCGACAACTCTTCGGAGAATTACACTGCCAATTGGGTCTCCTCGACCTCTTCAATTCCACCAGAGCAAAAGGTTCCGCCCGAAGGAAACGAGGACATTGAATCCAACGATTTCGGTGGTACTTGGGTAAGAAAATGAAATTTTTTGTTATTCACATGACTCTATGAGGTGCTTGGTAGATTTTGAGCGGGATTTCTCTTAATGCCTGAGGCAATTTTTGGGATTTTTGCTCATTTTTTGACGGAATTTTTTGCTAAAATTTTGTTAAATTTTTTTGATCAATTTTAAAATTTTTTGCTTCAGATAGTATTCTCAGATAGTATGTATTGTCTAAGTGAACTTTTTTACCACCAGAAATTCCAGAAAAGTTTGCTTTTTTCGAATTGTTTTTCCCATTTTTAGCCCCCAACAAGATCTCATCGCCAACCAATCCCAAGACCATACGAGCAGACGGATGGCATGATGGCGGGTACTTCGGCAACGTCTGGAGGCTTTATCGCCTCCTCGCCGCCAATTCAGAATCATGGAGCACAGAAATTGGAGGTTCAAGTTGGTCAGATCAGCCTGAATGAACAGCCAAGAACGGTAGGATTTTTGAGGTTTTTGGTGGTTAAAGATGGTTGTGATAGTCATATAATGATGTAGTAGTGTATATGAGCTCTGTTGAGGCCAGTTTGATCAAGGTATTGGGTTATTTTTGGTAGTTTTTGGCAAATTTTTGCAGTTTTTATATTGCACTTGATGACAAATTGAATTTTTGTTTGATTTTCAATATTAAATTTGCTTGAAATGGCATTAGTTGAAGAATAAGACATTCTGTGATTTTTAAAATGAAAAGCTGACATCTAAAAAATTTTTATTCGTGATTTATATTACACTTGACAATAATATAAAAAATTTTATTTTTAGCTAAAATTTTCAATATGAAACTAACTTAATTAGATGTAAAAGCGAAGAAAAATTGATCATTTACTATTTAAAGTCAGTTCATGGTATCTTATGTTGTTTTAAACATCAATTTCTATCAATTTTTCTTAATGTTGTATCAAGTTCAATATAGAAAAAGAGACCGCTCTGGACTGTAAAAAGTCTCTCCGGAAAACCGGAAAAACTTTTGTTCATCAATTCCCCTTTCCAGAATTCCCCAATGTCCCTATTGTTTTGACTCGCCGCAAAAATTGTTTTCAGATCAAGATTAGATTCGAATTTTTGAGATTATAACACAACTTTGGGGACAAAAAGAGCAGGAACGTCCAGTAGAATGTTTGAAAAGTAATTTGGGAGGTTGTAAAATACGTCAGAATAACTCGGAGTACTTTAAAAAAGATTTTTTGGGTCCCGCCACGAAAACTTGAACTTCTCGGAAAAGGCCTAGAAATGGTTTGAAATGGCAAAATCCGGCTTGGAAAAGGGTCTAAATAACTCTGATTACCTTCGATCCCTTTTCTTGTCTATAGAAAAACGAGATTTCAAAAATGTTTTTGAGTTTTGTTATTGTTTTCACCAAAATAGCTGTTGCATAAACCACTTTTTTTCTGCGGGTTCACAGAGGGTTGAATAGCGAAAAATAAGGTGGGTTGTAGACTTTGAAGTTGTTTTTCTCCCGTTCTCTTTTTGTGTTATCCATGGAGAAGGTGGTGAATTGGAGATTTCAGGGGAAGAGATGGCGTTGATGTAATAATAAGAGGGTGGAAGATGTTGGGTATAATTTCTAATGCTTTGGGAGATTTGAAGTTGATTTTTTTTGGTAAAATACGCGAGATAGAAACTGGTCAGCGCGTGGCGATATAATAGAGTCGATGAAATGGTTTGATTTTGAAGGAGATGAAAAGAATTTTCGAAAAATATGCTGTTTTTCCAAAAAAATTTTATATTTTTGGCCATAAAATTGGATTATAAAGTGGACATGGGAGTTTGGCTGATAACTTTATGTCTTTACAGAATTTTTAGACTTTTTTTGATGCGTCAAAATGGAATACTTGGTTTTAAATTCTTGATATTCGAAAGTTTTGTAATTTTTTGGGCGTAACATGGAATACTAAGGTGAAGAAAGCTGTTTGGCTCATACCCTGAGGCCTTGACGGCACAATAGAGCCGTTAATTTTGTTTGGAGAGCTCGGGAAGGCAAAGATTTCTTCCAAAATTTTAAGAATTTCCTCGGCTTTATGGAAATTGGACACAGTGAAGTTGGAGAGGTTTCTTTTTCTGCAATGATATTTTACGAAATGTCACTATTTAATTTTTTGCAGTAAAAAAAATCTGTCTAATTTCACTCCTTCCAATTTCCCTCTGTCTAATTTCCATGAAGCCGAGGAAATTTTCAAAGTTTTGGAGGAAATCTTTGCTTTCCGAGCTCTCCAAACAAAATTAACGGCTCTATTGTGTCGTCAAGGCCTCAAGGCAAGAGCCAAACAGCTTTCTTCACCTTAGTATTCCATTTTACGGCTAAAAAATTACAAAACTTTCCAATATCAAAAATTTAAAACCAAGTATTCTGTTTTCACGCGTCAAAAACAGTCTAACAATTCTGTAAAGACACAAAGTTATCAGCCAAACTCCCATGTCCACTTTATAATGCCATTTTACGACCAAAAATTTAAAAATTTTTTGAAAAAATCGCAAATTTTAATTCTATTTTCGCGTATCAAAAATAGTCTCGCAAGATTTTCCCCGAAATTTTAAAAGTTTTCCTCACCTTTTGCCTATTTTTCGACGTTATTGACGCCTCTTTGGAAGCTATCCAAAACGCCCCACCAATGTTTCCCCCATGCCTCCTCCCCCCACTCACCAAAAGGCCCATCCGCTCGCGCCTGCGGCCCGCTCTCTCGACGACGGAATAATTGGAATCATTGAGGGAAAATCCGCGGCCAAAAGTCCCGCAAAAAAGCGACACGGGAAGGGGGGAGGAAAGAGAGCAGAAGGCGAAAAGAGCGCGTCTTTTCATCGCTGGCCAGGTCCCCCCTCCTCACTCACTTAGCCCTCACAAAGCCCCTCCCGAATTTTCTCCGCAAAAAAATTCGCTCATTTTTTTGCATGGCCAAGTCCCAATCGCTCCTCGCTTTTTTCGACGAAATTGGCCCAGAAATGAAAGAAAATTTTGGCTTCAGGCCCTCTTGAACGAAATTTTGTTGTTGTTGAGGACGTAAGAAGGGCGTTTATGGGAAATATTTGCGGGAGAATGGAGTTGGGATCGAGTTTTGGACAAATTTTGGGCGTTTTTGAGGAAAATTGACGGATTTTTGGGGAGAATTGACAAAAATATGGGGTTTTTGAGGATTTTGAAGATTTTAGGAAGCAATGTGAAAATTGCCGTGAGGATAATTGAAGGGAACTCGTATTTTAGGGAGATTTTGGGATTTTTGCCCGGGTTTAGTGGGAATTTTGATAAAAGATGTCTGCAAATGGAGTGAAGCATGGGAAAGAAAGCAGGAAATATAAGTTTTATGATACTGGTGACCTAAGGGAAGTAACACAGAATTTTTGAGAAAAAAATGTTTTTTTGACAAGGAAAGTACTTTTATGGGGGCTCCTACTTTTTGACGGGACATATCTCAAAAAATCAGAAAAAATGTGCTGATCAAGGATATATAAATCTTAGCTGCCCATTTTAGGTTTTTAGGGGTGAAAATGCCCAAAAACTGGCTTAATTTCCCTACAAAAGGCGCAGGCATTCGAAACGATAAAAAGCGCAGTCGGTCTCTTCCTTCGGAAGAGAGCGGTGTGGCCGAGTGGTTAGTGCCGTAGTCTGGGAGTCAAGAGAGGGAACGCCACACGGGTTCGATTTCCCTTTTGGGCTGAATCAACTTTTTTTGAAGATGAAGGTCGGAAAAATAAATTTTTGTGCCAAGACTGATTTATTACGTCTTAGAAACTCAATAAACATCATTTTAAGCCAAAATAAAAATTGTAAACCTGTGAAAAATTAAGCGAAAAGGGATTCATATAGGACTTTAAGTCAACTTCCGATTGAGTTTTCACCCCTAAAAACCTAAAATGGGCAGCTAGGATTTATATATCCTTGATCAGCACATTTTTTCTGATTTTTTGAGATATGTCCCGTCAAAAAGTAGGAGCCCCCATAAAAGTACTTTCCTTGTGAAATTCGAAAATTTTTGTTTTTTCAAAAAGTTTTTTTTATTTTTCGGTGTTTTATGATCTTTCGGGAATAAATTTGCTAACTGAAATCTTTTCTTGACTATTTGACCATTATTAGCATTATTATTTAGTTTCACTGAGCTTTTGAATCCACTTGAAACAAGATTTTATCATATTTTAGGTAATAATCCGGAATTGTCCCCCCAAATAGGGTAATTACTCTCTGAAATGTATTACTTATTTTGTCTAATCTGATGCTATATAATCTGCAAGTTATTTGGAGCCCTAATCTTGGAGTTTTTTTAGTTTTTCTAGGAAAATTTGAGTTTTTTTCCAATTTCTTTGAAGGAAATTGAAAATTATCTTTTTTTCTTGTTTTTGGACGTTTATAGGTAGAAAAACAACGTGATTCGTTGAGTCACGGATCAATAAACATGTATAAATTTGATTTTCCTTTCGTTTCTCTCGAATTTCAGCTGATTTTTGGCAAAATTTGAGGGAAACTGAGGTTTCTTGGGGTTTTTCTTGCTTTTGAGAGGATTTTTGGATAAAATACGAGGGTTCTCAATGCTGCTTTGTGGTGAAATTTTGTGAAATTCGTAGGGAAAGTCTTTTTTGGCATTTTGTTTCAAGGATTTGGACGATTTTATTATTTTTTTGGCGTTTTGTGCCTTTTTGACCTAAATTAATGTTTTTTCGATGTTTTTATAAATATCCTCGAACATTTACTGATAATTGAATGGTTCTTGATGCCCATTCTCCGAAACACATCGCATGTCAAAAGTCACTGCCGTAATTGTACTTTATTTTGCCATAGTAACCGGTTTCCATATTGTTTTAGGTATGAATTGATGAAATTTGGCGAAAAACTTGTGTTTAGCGTAAAATACGATGATTGAAATGACGTCATATAGCTAGAAACTTCACCGGTAGACAATATAAACATGTTTTCGCTGCGTTTTCGAAGAATTTTGCGCCCGAAATCCCCGTTTTTAACATGATTTACAACGTCAGACGTTGGCCTCCGCGGGAAATGCATTAATTTTGAGGTCCACAGCTTGTTTACAGCTCTGTGATTGTATTGGATATTAAAATGGGTGTTGGTGAACAAGAAAACTTGCCAAAAACATGAATTTTGTCTAGTGTAATATAATTAATTTGAGGGTATTGAGAATTTTTTTGTCGAAATGGCACTGTAGTACTGTAAGATGAATTAAAGTTGATTATATACCAGCTTTTACGGCCTTATAGCGGTTGTAAACATCAGTTTTGGCCAGAAAACAGTCAGTTATGGCTGCGGAGAAATAATAATGGTCTTGCGGTTCATAAATCCTACTAGAAAAACCATTGTTGGACATGCCGGACGTCTTGACGTTCCTTTCTTTCCACTTGTTTTCTTCTGAGGTTCACACTTGAACGATAATTATGAATAATGTCATGGATAATATATTTTTTTGGTGAAAACTTGGGAAAGGATCATTGAAAAGTATTGGTGAAGGGAGAATAAGCTTGAATATGATGTTTGGAAGTGGGTTCGGGGTTTGATTTGATGTGTGTTGGCGGAAAGTAGCAGAAATTCCTCATGGACAATATAATTTTTGGTGAAACGGATTAATTCTTGATGTGGAAACAATGGGTTTGATCGGGAAATGGACGAGAATAAGCTTGTAATGCTGTTTAATCTTTGAATTTGGTGATTTTTTATAGAAAATAGCTGAAATTTGGCAAGTGTAATATAACTTTTGATAAAAAGATTGTTTTTTCGACATGAAAGTTATTCTTTTTTGTCGCGAGAGGCTTTAAAACAGTTTTAGAATTACTTTTATGGGTGTAATTTTTTGATTTTCTATCGAAAATAGCCAAAAATTGTCAAGTGTAATATACAGTGACTGATCCAGTGGCAAAAAACGTATCATTTTGCATCCGGGAAGTATCAAAAAATGTAGTAAAATGCCTCCCACTCCAACTAAAAAACTCCGTTTTGAAGGAAGCGCTTTTTAAATCGGAGTTTTTTAGTTTGATAGGGAGGAATTTTGCCACATTTTTGACACTTCCCGGATGCAACATGATACGTTTTTTGCCACTGAGTCAGGTCCACCACTGTATATTAATTTCAGTTGACAATTTTTGGCTATTTTCTATAGAAAATTAAAAGAATATATCCACAAAAGTAGTTTTAATACTGTTTTAAAGCCTCTCCCGACAAAAAGAATAATTTTCGTGTCGAAAAAGAATCTTTTTTTATCAAAAGTTATACTACACTTGAAAAATTTCAGCTATTTTCTTTAAAAAATCGCCCTACTCAAAGATTAAATAGCTTTGCAAGCTTATTCTCGTCCATTTCCTGATCAAACCCATTGTTTCTACATCAAGAATTAATCCTTTTCACCAAAAATTATATTATCCATGAGGAATTTCTGGTATTTTCCGCCAACACACATCAAATCAAACCCCGAACACATTTTCGATCGAAAACTGTATTATTATGCCGTAAAACACGTGGAAGTGACTTGCTCTTCTTTTTCGCGGCCATATTTGTTGTTTTCAGAACGTCTACACGCAGCAGACCTACTTGGCCTACCAACAACAGCCTCCGCAGGCCTTCCCCGCCCCTCAACCCGACCCCGAACTGGTCCCCACGAACATGGCCGCCGCCTCGATGGTCGCCAACCCCGTGCCGCACGCCCGACCCACCTACTCGGACATGGTGAAGCGGGGCGCCCCACCCTCCCAACACGTCCAAGTCCATATCACCCGAAAAGAGCCCAAAGATCAGGTAGAGTCGCCTCACCGCGTTGAATGTGATTCGAGTTTTAGGCCAAGACAGCGACCACACTGCAGAATGATCGCAGCAAAGGCAAAATTCCGCAAAGAAGGTAGGAGAATTGAAGGGTTTTTGATGTTATACTTGATGGGTCTAGTGTAATATAAAAAACGGTGAATATGTCGGTGAAAATTTGAGAGTTTTGATTGATTTTTGGAGGGGAACAAGTTTAGAAGGTACTTTTTGAATTTACATTCGCAAAATTTGCATACTCTCTAAAGTGACATTTTATACGATGAAACATGTTTTGGTGAAAATAGAAGGAAATTAGAATTTAGAATGGATGAATAAGGTAGAAGAGAGTGTAGTACAGTGGAATGAGTATTAATAAGTCAGAAATTGGTCAGATTGCGATGACTTTTTTGTAATTTTGTATTGTTTTAGCCAAAATGGCGATCGTTCAATCCCCGGAAGAGGCTCGGCCAATGGAGATAGTGAGGTAAGTACATGTCCTTATAGTTATGAAGCTCTAAGAAGTGTTTTGAGATTCTGAAATTTGATTTTTACCGATTTTTTTGAGATTTTTCAAAAAATTTTCCGATTTTTTTAATTTTTTCAATTTTTTTCAGCGCCGCAGAGTCCCCGGCTCGTCGGAATCTCAACAGAACTCAACCAGACCATCGGCATCCGCTCAGCACTCCGTACGGAGTCAAAGAAACGGACCTCAGCCCTCAACGGCCCCCACAAATCCCCAAACTTTTGATGGAAATTATCACTCCCCCAACGGCCAAAAATCCTTCAACCCAAACCGAAGTTATGCCGCTCCCTCGGCACAGCCAGCACAGTATAATTGGCCAAGGACCGCGTCCCGAACCTCCACACAGCCAACAAGTGTAAGATTTTTTCGATTTTTGCCTAGTGTAATATAATTTTTAAAAAAAAATTTTGGATTTGAGTTTTAATTTGACGATTTGGGGTTTCAGTCTCGAAGCGTACCTCCGAACAGCACCGAAACGCTCCACTTTGACCTCACCCAAACCCAAAACTGCCCCCAACAACAGCAACATTTCAATCGGCCCGCTCCCTCCCACCAGATCCCATTCCCACAGGCCTTCAACGTCCCTCCGCCCAATCAGCAACGCCTCATTCTGAACCAACCTCCACCCGGATGCGCCATGTCGGCAGGTGAGCCCGCAATTTTAGGGAGAGAATGGGTTTTTGGACTTGGCGAGCTGCGCCCTGGGATAGGTGGAAATTTGGGGGATTTAGATGTGAAAATAAGATGAGTTGGGTGTAAAAGCTAATGACACGTCTGTCAAATCATTTTTAGATTTTTTTGGGCTATACAGGGTGTTCAGAGAATTATGGAAAAAACTAATCATTAATAACTTTGCGCTCGGTGGTCCAATCCGAAAATTTTTTTTTGCATTTTACAGAAAAACCTTGGAGTTTTTAGAATCTAAAAATTTTTTTTTTCTTTTATCGGCGGAGACTTCCGTAATCCGCGTTGAATTCGGCGGAGTGTTTTTTCACAAAACACGGCTGTAAATCGTTGTATGTGTAAAGAAAATGGGCGGAAAAGGATTTAGAAGATACAATGTGACATTTCTTTCAAATTTCTGTGCTTCGGCGGAGACATTTTTAACCTCGGCGGACGATTTTTCTGCGACCCCGGATAGTCAAAATTGGCGAAAACCAAAGAGTATGGTATCCCTGGTGGCATGGAGCTTAAAAACGATTTAATACGTCTTCAGCCGGCTGGCAGATGAAAAAAAGGTAATTCGGCGGAGAAATCGGCGGAGAAAAAAATTAACCCATTTAAGAAATTATGATGAGAAAACTAAAGTTGTAGGTTTATACGGCCTTGATCAACCAAAAATATGATTCTTCTTATTGGCGGATGCTCGGCGGATGAATTTGCATAAGTTTTTAAATACGTTCATCTTTTTTTCGCCTATCTCTCCGCCGAATTGCCGTTTTTTCATCTGCCAGCCGGCTGAAGACGTAATAAGTCGTTTTTAGGCGCCATGCCACTTGGGATACCATACGCTTTGGTTTTAGCCAATTTTGACTATCCGAAGTTGAAGAAAAATCGTCCGCCGAGGTTAAAAAATGTCTCCGCCGAAGCGCAGAAATTTTAAAGAAATGTCACATTGTATCTTCTGAATCCTTTTCCGCCCATTTTCTTTACACATACAACGATTTACAGTCCTATTTTGTGAAAAAAACACTCCGCCGAATGCAACGCGGATTACGGAAGTCTCCGCCGATAAAAGAAAAAATTTTTTTTAGATTCTAAAAACTCCATAGTTTTTCTGTAAAATGCAAAAAAAAATTTCGGATTGGACCACCGAGCGCAAAGTTATTAATGATTAGTTTTTTCCATAATTCTCTGAACACCCTGTATAAGAGGTTTGACTCTGGCGACCTGCGCCCTAGGATAGGTGTAAATTTGAGAATTTTACCTTATTTTTGTCACAATTGATGACTAAAAATGCTGGCTATGCAATTATAGACGTGATTTTATTTATTTATTTTTTTTATTTTTTGGAGTTGCAATTTTGGCAGGCTGCGCCCAGGGGAATTTCGAATTTTCCGGATTTTTTTAAACTTTAGCGGTTGAAATTGCAGATTATAGTAGAACGGAGTAAAATTAATTATTTTTGACTTTATTTTTTTACTTGCAGGTCCCCCAGGCGCCATCCCCCACCAAATGCCCTTCATCAACACCCAAATGGGCCTTTTCCGGCCCCCCTTCCCACCCGCCATGCCCTATCAGGTCCCACTGCCCGGCAATCAGTTCTTCCCGCCCAACACGAGACCCCTCAGCCCGCAGAACGACTACTTCCGCGGCACTTGGCTGGATCAGGACCATCTTCCGCATGATCAACTGATCGCCGAATTGACTTTGTTACATGCCGCGCATGCTCATAACAACACTGTCATGATGAATAAGAGCTGGGTAAGGAAGTTGGAAGCAGTTGGGGATGAGTTGGAGGCTTTTGGAGGGAGTTGAGCGATTTTTTTGCAAATTTTGTCTAGTGTAATATAAATTTTTTGTTGATTTGGTTTGGTAAGTGAGTAAAATGCAGCGGATTTGGTGTGAAGTTTGAGATAGAGGTGTTTAAAAATAGTTTGAGTTGTTTTTAGATATTTTTGATTTTTTTTTTTTTTTTTGAAAAAATAATAAATTTTGCGAATTTTTTTTTTCGATTTTGAGGAATTTATGTAATAAAAAGATGGTATGAAGCATATTAAGGATTTATAAATTGGTTAAAATACGTTGGGGTGTTGTTTTTTCCGAAAAAATCGAAGAATTTTGACAAATTTTACCTTGTTTTCGGTAAAATTTGACCATTTTTCCTAAAAATACCCAAATTTTTTCAGAAGAACCCCCCGAACACACATGGCCATGTAAATTCGTTGTTGTCGACAACAATGCGCCTAGTAAACGCCAACCAACCCACCGGATTCTCACTGCACATGGTCGGCGCGGTGCCCGGAGCTCAAACCCAATGGCGTGGAGGCCCGTCTAAGCCTCGAGGCAATGGAAATAGGGTAAGGGTTTGCAAATTTGATGGTGAAAAAGCTTGGGAGGATTATTCGGAAGGTTAGATGGAAGTTTGGAACGATTTGGGAGAGTTCCCCTGATCTTCAGGGTTTTCGTGGTGGGACCAAAATCGGGTTAGATTTGTTTGATTTTTTGGCGGTTTTGGGGCCTAATGGTACTGTTTGATACATCGGGAAGGTGGTTTGAAAATTTCGGGCGATTTGGGAGAGTTCCCCTGATCTTCAGGGTTTTCGTGGTGGGACCAAAATTGGTGATAAATTTTTTTGAATTTTGGCAATTTTTTATATCTAATGGTACTGTTTGGTACACTGAAAAGGTGATTTAAAAATTTCTGGCGATTTGGGAGACTTTCCCTGATTTTCAGGGTTTTCGTGGTGGGACCAAAATTGGTGATAAATTTTTTTGTTTTTTTTTGCGATTTTAGGATCTATGGTACTTGTCTGGTACATTGGGAAGGTGATTTGAAAATTTCGGGCGATTTGGGAGGCTTCCCCTGATTTTCAGGGCTTTCGTGGTGGGACTCAAAGTTATGCCGAAAGTTGACGGTTTTAACAGTATTTGAAAAAATCGACCTCTAGAAGCTCCAAGAATGATATTTTTTCGTTTTTAGATGCTTGAAAATTTTCGTGGAAGGACAAAACATTTTGGCGGGAAAATTGAAATTTGAATTTTTTTGCAAAATTTGAATACGAAGTTGTGAATTTAGCTCTAATTCGCCGTTTCAGGACGTCCGTCGCACCCCCTCGAGCCGCACCCGACAATCCGACCAGGAATCGGCCAAACCGACCACTTCCACACCGGCCGAAACAGCCGAAGCCCCCGAAACCGAGAAAAGACCCGCCGAAAACCCGGAGCCGGAAGAGGATTCCAAATCGGAAGAGCCCAACGACCCCGAACACAAGGATCAGCAGCCCGAAGAAGCGGCCGAACCCACAAAAACGGCCGAAACTCCGAAGTCGCCGGAAAAGGAAAAGGCCGCCGAAATCGAAAAGGAACCCACAATTGAGACCACCGCGGAGTAGAATTCTGATCAGTGATCTTGATACGTTCTTTTTTGTTGTACAACAAATTTAATTTTATTATTACCCACACTTATTATTATGTTATTTTTTTGTTTTCAAACCAATTTTTTTTTGATAAATTCGAAAGAAATCAAGTTGATTTGCAAGTTTAAGGGGGTGGTTTGTCATTTGAAAGAAGAATAATATCAATTTGAAAAGTAGAAAAGAAAAAAATTGAGATTTTTTGAGGAAAAAGTGGGAAAATGCACCTAAAATAAGGTAAATTGATGTTTTCCGGCCGAGAAATAGATTTTAAAGTGAGGTTTTGATTGTAAAATACGTTTATATGACTAGTGGATTGTTTTTTCCCCAATTTGGAAAAGATTGGACGGGCTCCCCTGATATTCAGGGTTTTCGTGGTGGGACCCAAAAAAGTCAACGTTGCTTGGCGGAAACGACAGAAAAGGAAGAAGAATGGTGTTATTGTTATAAAAACACAATTTTCTGCAATTTTTTTGGATTAGGTTATCTTTTTTTTTGATGATTATACCTAAATTTAGTCTAGTCTAAAACTCCAATTTTCTTTTGTCGCAAATAAATTTTTTTTGAAAAAAATAAAGATTATTATGCCAAAATACACCAGTTATTTGTCGATGCTGCTATTTTCTCGCAATTTTTATATTGATATTCAGTTAAAAATCTTATTTTTATCAAAATTTTACCTAAAGTAATATAAATTTTTTGTTGAAACTCAAGGATTTGGAAGTTTTATTCTTGAAATGTTGATGGGTAAATAAATTTGACCTTTGGCCAGATGAAAAGAGGTGCATAACTAACTTTTTTGAGGAATTATTCAGTTCTGTGGGAGAGTAAGAGATATTTTTGGGGGAAAGAGTAGAGTAATCTCTAAACTTTCTTGCGGAAGGATGGGAAATTGGTCTTATTTTTGTCGGAGATTAATTTATTGAGGATTCCACATAATTTTTGAGGGTATTTTTTGGGATTTTCGAATAAAATTTTTAAAAAAATAAAAAGAAAAATTTTGATAATAACAATAAAAATACTAAAATTAGATATTTTTTATTGTTTTTTTTTATCAATGACTACTCAAGAACGTATTTTACAAAACTTTTTTTCGAAATTTACCTTTGAAAACATCAAAAACCCGCTCCGCAGTCGACAGGATTCGAACCTGTGCGGGCAGAGCCCAATTGATTTCTAGTCAATCTCCTTAACCACTCGGACACGACTGCACGCCCAGACGTCTCTTCATTTTTCGGATTGTCTTTGGAAACTTTGCACAGTGCAATGAAAACTGATTTCTCTCACACAGTGCAGTCAAAATATAATTTTTGAAAATGCACTGTGCGGAGGGTAAAAAAATCGGTATTAAAATGCAATATACAATAAAAAATAAAGCGCTCTTTGCACTGAAATTCAATAATTGAAAAAATTTTGTTGCACTATGCAGTCTTTGATGGATTAAAATTTTTTATTGCACAGTGCAAAGTCAAAAAAAATGTGAAGCAGTGCAAAAAAAAAAAAAAAATTTTAGGTTGATGCAAAATTATCCGGCGTTTTTATCGGCGCGTTTTTTGTTAGTTAAAATTCGCGTTTTGTAAACTTTTGTTTTCATAAAAATAATCTTCTTAGTTAATAAAATGCGTGTCGAAAACCATACGTATATTCGCTATATTATGCTCCACTATTTACCAATTTTTCCTAATTTTTGCCATTTTTCGTCAAAAAAATGATGATTTTTCGTATTTTTCTTTTTCAAATTCGTATTTTATGCTCTTAAAAGTAAAATTCCATAATCCTTTTGTAATTTCATTACACTTTTCCTACTGTAATTTACATTTTTATACATTTTTTAGCCAAAAATTCAAAAAATTTTCAAAATTTCCCAGTTTTTCGTACGTTGGAAGCCAGCACAGTCATTTCGATCTCACAAACTTTTCAACAAACTTTTCGGCGAAGGAACAAAGAAAAATTCGCCTGGTATTTCGCCCAAAAGAATACCAAAAGACGTCCACTGTAAAAGAAGGCTATCTGGTGTGTGGGGTGGGACAGCAGCGGAATCATCCGCTGGGAAGTCGTGTCTTTTTTTGTTCCTTTGCCGAAAAGTTTATTGAAAAGTTTGTGAGATCGAAATGACTGTGCTGACTTCCGACTTTTCTCGAAGTAGTAGAGCATAATATGGGGAATATGAGTACGGTTTTCGACACGCATTTTGTTAACTAAACTGAGAAGATTATTTTTATGAAAAAAAGTTAACAAAACGCAAACTTTAACTAACAAAAAAACGCGTCAATACAAGCGCCGGATAATTATGCATCAACTAACAAGGGATTCGAGTCTTTCCAAGCTCACATCATTTATCGTTTTTACTTTTGCTTTCTTCGTGCTAATCCGGTTGTACATTTCAAAAAGAGGCATAGATAAAAACGTTAACATAATGGAAAGTTGTTTTTGAATACATCAGGTTGATGGTGTGCCCTGCGCTCTAAAACTGTAAAAGGGAAGGTGCGAAGCTGTTGAAAAAAGTTCCGTTTAAAATATACTTCTTGCATCGATAATCGAGTTCAGGGGAAAAAATTAATAGAACCTTTTGTCTAAAAAAAGTTATGAATGGAAGCAGATTCGAACTTGCGACCTTTTGCGCAAAAAGCGAGCGCACTGACCACTCGGCCACTGCTTCACAATTTTTATCGCTCCTTTTCCGGGATCCCTATCCTTTGATTTTCGTCCAAACTTTGAAGCCGATTTTCTCGGCTTCGAAGCCCCGCGCAGAGATTTCCCCCCAAGTGAATAATCGACTACCACACACCTTTCGATCTGACCAGGTCCCAAGCCAAAATCGATTTACACATAAAGTCCATTCCCTTGTAATATTATTTTTACAGCGGGCAGATATCAGTAATCTCTTCCGGCGGCGGGAGAGCAAGAGAATCGCGCCCTAGATCTCCTCAATAAACATAAAATGGAATATAATATCGGCATAAATTGAATTAATTAATATTGCAATATTGCGCTCCCGTTGAACCAACGCGTTGCAACGGGTCAACGTCACCCGCCACATTTCGCTATATTTTCGAGATTGCACAGTGCAAACTTCCAGATTTTTTTTTTTTCAATTTGCACAGTGCAAAAAAAATGTTTTTTTTTCAGATTCTCAAAAAAAAAACTTTTTTTTTGATTTGTTGTAATGCAACATTGGCCATATTTTTCACTCATCTTGCCAATAGTAACCTGCTTCGAGTTGATTTGGCCCCAACCAAAGGAGAGTTATTACGGAGAAGCAGGGGTTACTGTAACTAAAGGGCATTTGAACGTGAATATCGACGATTTTGAGGGATGTGAGGCTCTGAGAGTGGCGAAACAGACCTATGGTAAGATTTTTCATACTTTTTTTTGGGTTTGGGTTACTGTAACAAAACATTTTGATTTCAATTTTTAGGTTACTGTAACAAAAGAAATTTAAAAAAAATCGCGAATTACTCTAGTAAACATTCTGGATTTCAATTGTGGATTACTGTAACAAAAAATTAATAAAAAAATTTCTGCTTGGATTACTGTAACATAAAATTTTGAGTTCAATTTTGGGTTACTGTAATAAAAATTTAAAATTTCCCAACTTTTAACACTTTTTTATTTTATTTTTAATTTTGGATTACTGTAACAAACATTTTGATTTCAATTTTTAGTTACTGTAACAAAAACTAGAATTTTTGTAAGTTTTTATTTTTACGACTGCGACAAAATTCCAAAAAAAAATATATTTTTTTTTCAATTTTGGGTTACTGTAACAAAAAAAATTTCAGAAAATTCCTGGTTTTTCCCCCAGATTCTCCCAAATTCGACTGCTCCTGGATCACTCACCGAGATAAAGTTGATAAAACCGAGCGATTTTCAATGTCCCGGAGGCTATTCGTATCCAAAAACAATCAAGGATGAGAGCTGTAAGATAAATCCCATTTTCCTCTAATTTCAGCCAAATTTTAAAAATTAAACCCTTTCAGACCACCTCACAGTCACCTCCGCCTTCTCTACACTCCAAAGCAACACCATTTGGGGGTTTCTCCGTGGTCTGGAGACCTTTTCTCAACTCATTTCCCACCAACCCCCTAAATCAATATCCGAGCCGCCGAAATTCACTCTCAAAACGGCGGAAATCATCGATGAACCGGCCTACAATGTTCGGGGATTGATGCTGGATACTGGCCGACATTTTCTACCGGTTGATGTGATTCTGCGACAAATTGTCAGCATTTTTTCGGATTTTTGGTGATTTTTGCGGAAAAAATGATGTTTTAAGTAAAAAAAGGTTGGAAAGACAATCGTATTTTAGTGTAGTAAAAAAGCTGAAGGTTTATTTTATAATTTAGGATACTTTTTTGTGTTTTCAAATAACTTTTTTATCGCTTTTTTGGCAATTTTTGCTTATTTATACCGTTTTTCGTCAAAAAATGATGATTTAAGTACAAAAAAGTTGGAAAATCAGTCGTATTTTAGTTTAGTAAAAAAGCTGGAGGTTTATTTTATAATTCGGGATACTTTTTACACCTTTACAACTACTTTTTTATAGATTTTTGGGATTTTTTCCTTATTTTATGCCATTTTTGGTCAAAAAATGATGATTTTTCGTATTTTTCTTTAACAAATTCGTATTTCATGCTCTTAAAAGTAAAATTCCATAAGCCTTTTGTAATTTCATTACACTTTTCCTACTGTAATTTACATTTTTGCACACTTTTTTAGCCAAAAATTCAAAAAATTTCCAAATTTTTCAAAATTTCCCAGTTTTTCGTTGAAAAAATTATAAATTGAGATTTAAAATACGATTATATTTCTTTGTTGTTCTCTATACTATAACACAAATATTAAGGCATGCCGTATTTTACCTCAAACCCTCTATTTTCCCCCAATTTCCCCCTCGAAAAGCCCATTTCCAGCCGAAAGATCCGTATTTTAGGACCTGATGGCTCAGAGCAAGTTCAATGTGTTCCACTGGCATATCGTGGACGTGGAGTCGTTTCCATATCACTCCGAGCAGTTTGCCAATCTCTCTGCCTTGGGGGCGTTTGGCCCAAACGCGGTTTATAGCAGAAGTGATGTCAAAAAGGTGATAAAATACGCAAATTTGAAGGGAATTCGAGTGGTACCCGAATTTGACACTCCAGGTAGGTGATTTTTGAAGCGATTTTGGTGGGAAAAATGAAATTTTTTGGAAAAAAAATTTTTTGAAAAAAATTCTGCATAACGCGAGTTGAGATTTTTTTGTTGTAAAAAGTTGTAGTAAGCTTATTTTACTATCAAAAGACAATTTTTTTAAATTTTTTTTACTATTGAAATAGCCGAAAAATGAGATTTTTCCCCCTAAAAAAGCTTATATCTCGATTATTTCTGCATAACGCGGTCTGAAATTTTCTGAAATGCCTGTAAAATACGCAGAGAAAGGCCACGTACCGCTTGGCCAAAGATAGCCACTTTTTTCATCCTGAAAAAAGAAATAAAACTGGATTTTTCCCCCGAAAAAGCTTATATCTCGATTATTTAAAAACCGCGGTCTGAATTTGTCCGAAAAGTTTGTAAAATACGCACAGTGAGGTTACGCACCCCTTGGCCAAAGAAAAACATCTATTTCATCTTGAAAACAGACAAAAAATAGGATTTTCCCCCTAAAAAAGGCTTATATCTCTGATATTTCTCCATAACGCGGTCTGAAATTTTGGAAATTTCCCTGAAATTGTCTGAATTGAATTTTGACTTATCTTTGTTAAAAAGTAGAATTAACATTTTTACTCAAAAAATCTCAATTTTTCGGGCCACATGGGATCCTGGCTGGGCCAGCCCGGATTGCTCGCCGAATGTGGCGCAACCAAGTCCAACATCATTGATCCGAGTCGACAAGAGAACTACGAGTTTCTGAAAGAATTTTTCACCGAAGTTGTTCAGCTCTTCCCCGACGAATACATCCATCTTGGCGGAGACGAAGTTTCGGCTTATGTGGAGTGTTGGTAAGTAAAAAATTGGTAAAATACACTGTTTTACATCCATTTAGCTTAAAATTATGTGAAAAAATAATTTCAAAATTTTTTGGCTGAAATTTCGGCTAAAATACGGATTTGAAATGTTGAGGTTTTTTGGGATTTTTTGGGGAAAATGAAAGATTTGTGGTGTAAAATACGATTAAAGATATCTGATTCTGCCTATATTTGCGTAATTTAACATTTTTCCTATTTTTAACATCTAAATTTTGGCTAAAAAACGGTTTTGAAATTTTGATTTTTTTTAAAGTTTATGTTTGTATAGGGTAAAATACGCATGTGAAAATCATTGCAAAATTTTAATATTTTCTTAAAATTGAGAAAAAAAAATTTTAACTAATAAAATACGCTAAATTTCGGCTAAAATACGGATTTGAAATTTTGAGATTTTTTGGGATTTTTTGGATGAAAATGAAAGATTTTTGGTGTAAAATACGATTAAAGATCTCTGATTCTGCCTAAATTTGCATAATTTAACATTTTTGCTATTTTTTACATCTAAATTTTGGCTAAAATACGGTTGCGAAATTCTGAAATTTTTTGATTTTTTTTTAAGTTTATGTTGGCATAGGGTAAAATACGCAAGCTGATCTCCTAGATTTTTATAATTTTTCGAATTTAAGAAATTAGAAAAAAATTTTAAGTAATAAAATACGATTTTCAAATTAATTTTTTTTTTCAAATTGTCCAAATTTTCATACGATTTCATTCTATAAACCACTTTACTGACCGTAAAAACAATTTTTTTCAGGACTAACAACCCTAAAATCATGAATTGGGCCGAAAACCTTGGCCTAAACTCGACCCGAGGGATTGAAGAGTATTATATTGAACGCTTGATCAATATTATCACCGAAATCACGGGCGAACTCAACATTAGCAGGACTATTCTGCTCTGGGAAGAAGCTGTCTACAATATGCAAAAGGTTGGTTGGCAAATTTTTTAGAAATCTGTATAACACTCAGTCAGGTTTTGGGTCCCACCACGAAAACTTGAAAAGTGGAAAAATAGAGTTAAAATTGTAGGAAAAGGGTTGAAATTTGCTATAAAAGAGTTTTCTGGGTAAAGTTTGCAAATGGTATTCAACGGCGTATTTTAAAATTCAAACATTCGAATTTCCCGCCAAAAATGTTTTCCTACCACGAAAGCCTGAGAAGCACTGAAACGCGATAAAAATTTTGCAAGTAGGTTCATGATGTCATGTAAAATTCACAGAATTTTATATTTCGTATCTTACATTCGGAATTTTTAGTTTTCATCCAAAAATTGGGTCCCGCCACGAAAACTTGTATCTTTCCGAAATGGATCGAAAAGTGAGAAAATAAGCTTACAGAGTTATGCATACCACAAATAATAATAAATCTTTGCATTTTACCTTCAAAACTAGCTATTTTCCAAATTTTTGGGTCCCACCACGAAAACCTGAAAATCGAGGAAACTGTATAAAACTCCATAATACCATATTCTAACATAATTTAGAGCTAAAATAAGCTGATTTTACCTCCAGAAATACCCCAATGTGATCGCAATTCCATGGTATCGCTACGATTCGATGACTAAAACAACCAAACTCGGATATCCCTCGATAAATGCGGCCTGTTACTACATCAACTACCTAATGAGGCCTAAAGCGGATTGGAGAGAACAGGGGATTGCTCCACAATACGGAGACTTCTACCACTGTCATCCCAAAGACTATGTTTATCAGGGGAAAGAGGAGCTGAATTTGGGTGGAATTGCCACAATGTGGGGAGAATATGAGGACAAGAACAATTTAGAGAGTGATTTATGGTAGGTTCTGCAATTTGAAAGCCCGTGGGTTACTGTAATTTGAGACAGACACGTTTTTTAATAGTTTTTGAGGTAAAAGTGTCTAAAATAAGGTAAAACATGGCCGGAAATTGATGATAATTAACGGATATGAAGTTTAAAATGTTATGAATATAATTTAGATTTGTTAGAAAGAAATTACAGTACTATATATTGTGAAATTTTTCTTTTACAACAGGTTTATGACCTTTTTAGGCCAAAAAACATATAAAACAAGGTCAAAAATTAATCAGAATGGATAAATAAGAGGCTCAGAAGCTTACCTATATATTTAAAATAGCATAAAAAGTAATTACAGTACCCTTTGAAACATAAGAAATGTCTAGTGACAATTTTAGTGGCGTTTTAAGTCAAAAATCATCAAAATTAAGGTGATTTACTGTAAAAAACAGATGAAATTGAAAGCCTAGGGCATTCAAAAGGCTATACAGACCTTCTGCCTTCCATAAAAAGTAATAGCCACAGAATTTTTTTCAGGCCCCGAGCAGCAACAGTCGCTGAAAAACTGTGGAGTCCGTACGAGAAGACCCAGGACCCGATTCCCGCGATCCCCCGGCTTCATCGGCTTCGCTGTCGAATGAACTGGCGGGGTTATCGTGCCTCTCCAACTGATGGACCAGACTATTGCGCATTTTAGCCGAATCTCTCGCATTTTACCCATTTTTGACCATTTTATACGATGAAAGGTGTTTGAAAATAAAAAATTATGAAAATTATGCTGATTTCGATTGTTTTGTGTGACAAAAAAAGGTAATACGGTGCTGGAGGATCATTATTAGACTGTAGCAACTCAGACTCGGTCGGTTTTTCATATCGAATATGATCGTATCTTACCATGGAAATTTTGTCGCAAAAAAGCGCGCATCCATCGAGAAAATCGAAAAACTTTGGCTTTTAATTCATCAACGTGATTGTGATATCCTGAACAAGACGGGTGCTCAGTAAGTTTTCTCGATTTGGTCAATAAACCTCTCAATCTGTGGGCGCAGGTCGCCAATTGTAAATTGATGTTTTTACAAGGAAAGTACTTTTATGGGGGCTCCTACTTTTTGACGGGACATACCTCAAAAAATCAGAAAAAATGTGCTGATCAAGGATATATAAATCTTAGCTGCCCATTTTAGGTTTTTATGGGTGAAAATGCCCAAAAAGTGGCCTAATTTCCCTACAAAAGGCGCAGGCATTCGAAACGATAAAAAGCGCAGTCGGTCTCTTCCTTCGGAAGAGAGCGGTGTGGCCGAGTGGTTAGTGCCGTAGTCTGGGAATCAAGAGGGGGAACGCCGCACGGGTTCGATTTCCCTTTTGGGCCGAATCAACCTTTTTTGAAGTTGAAGGTCGGAAAAATAAATTTTTGGGCCAAGACTGTCTTATTACGTCTTAGAAACTCAATAAACGCCTTTTTAAGCCAAAATAAAAATTGTAAACCTGTGAAAAATTAAGCGAAAAGGGGGTTCATATAGGACTTTAAGTCAACTTCCGATTGAGTTTTCACCCCTAAAAACCTAAAATGGGCAGCTAAGATTTATATATCCTTCATCAGCACATTTTTTCTGATTTTTTGAGATATGTCCCGTCAAAAAGTAGGAGCCCCCATAAAAGTACTTTCCTTGTTATATGTGATAACGTATTAAAAACTGAGGATTTCATGGATGAAATGGTAGCCGTGACGTATTTTACAATCTCAAATTCAACTTTCCCCGGATTTTGTTATTTTTCGCTGAGAAATCGGAATTTTCCAAAAAACCAATAAAATTTGTGACATTTCGTCCATTTATTGGATTTCTTCAAAGAATCTCGGTAAATATTTCTCGAAATGTAAAACGGTTCACATTGGCCACATTGTACATGTTTGTGAAGAAATATACGTAGAATCGCGTCGAAATGCCTCGAAAATTGACTTTACCCATGCACAGGGACGTTGAGACACCCGAAACCCCCGAAAAATGGGAACCAAATCTGGACCTACTGACTGTCTCTGGATTCTTCAACTTCGGAAGGTATGTTACCACCTTTTTATTACTGTTTTTCTCAGTTTTAGACCCAATTTCGCCAAGAATAATATTGTTGCAGAGAGGCGGATGTGATTTTTTGTCAGAACCGGCGAAAGAAAAGCCTGGGCTTTTGCGCATTGAAGCTGCGTTCGATTTCTGACTCGGACAGTAATTTCGAAGAGATTGTAAGTGGTTTTCACACTGATTTTTCCGATTTTAAACCAACTCCTCATGTGTAATATAAATTGATCTCCAAAATGTTGAATTTCCAGATGAACGAAGTGAAAGTGCTCCAAGTGCACCATCATGAGAATATTGCTGGTGTTCATTGTGCTGCGGTGGTTAGTCGAGACGTTCTTGGGCTTGTTATGCCGCCTTATTTGGGACTCAAGCTGTTGTTGGACTTGACCAAGGAAATGAGGTTAGTATATAGGTAAATCGTCCGAATTTCTGTTCGATTTTTAGGTCAAAATGTAGGTGAAGAGCTGCTCTAACTATTTTTAGACATGAGAATTCTCCGGAGATGGTGATCAACGAGGTATTGGCCCGGCAACTTATCCATCAAGCTCTGAAAGGGCTCAGTTTTCTTCACTCGATTGGATACATTCATAGGTCTCTAAATTTGAACTGCTTGATGCTGAGTGATGAGGGATGTCTGAAGATTAGCGGGTTCTCGCGGCTCCTTCAATTCCAGCCGGCTGTCGATCCCATGGGCAAGAGTTGCAAACCATTTCGTCCGACTTGTTCGCAGTACTTTGAAAGTGCCCCGGAGATGTTTGTCCCTGGAATTTTGAATCATCCGGAGATATTTCCCGAGGCGGATAGGTCTGACGAGTACGATATTAGAGTGGACTCTTGGTGAGTTGTTATTTGAGTTTGTTTTTTGTTCGACTTTTAGGAGAAATCGTCAATTTTATGTTGTACTTGATATCTAAAGTAAGATATTGGTCATGGAGCGGGGGTTTGATGATTGAATGCGGGATTTAGAGTTTTATATTACGTAATATGATGTGGTTGAGCTGACTGAGGCGTTGAGGCGCTGATTTAACCTCGATTTTTATCAAAATTTTTTGATCTATTGTCAAGTGTAACATCGATGATTTATATTGTTATTTTGGAAAGTTTGCTGAAGTTGTTTATTCAGTAGAAGCTACAGAGAGTGTTTTAGCGATTTTTACATTTTTTTAACATGTTGCGCCATGTTACATAACCAAAATTTACAATTTTCCAACATGCATTTGAGTGGTCATGGATAATATAGAATTGATATTTTCTTGTAGAAATAGTATCTTTTTGGATTTAAATGTTTATTTTAGGAGTCTTGGCTACACTCTGCTCTATTTACTGTTCAGTCAGCGCCCATTCACTCGCTGCAATGACATGAAAACGCCCGAGGATTTGATGCACACCGAGAATGTGGAAGTTCAGCTGAGAGATTGGGTTACGCGCTACTGCGATAAGGTAAATTGTTTTTATTATTCAGTAAACATCCTGTTTGATCGTTTGGCAGCTATTTTCGGCTTTTCTTTGAAAATTTTTATATTACTTTAGGAGTCGGAATGGGCTTGCTGGAGTGATGTGTTCGGGAAAAGAGGTCCAAAACTTCAAAAGATGGTCAGTCCGGAGTTCAAACGGTTTATTAAGGATGCCATGCGGATCAACAAGCTGAAACGTTGGACTTGCGAGCAATTATTGAAGCATCCTTGGATGAAATTGGAGAAATTCGATGGTTTCGAGATGGAAAAGGAACGCATGTGTCCGGAAGACCGTCGATTGATCAAACAGAAGTTCCTTGGAGAAGGTAAAAGCGGATTTTTGATCGATTTTCAAAAATTTTTATATTACACTAGGCAAAAATTTCAGAATACCTCGGAAAAATGGATGAAATTGTTGCGGGAATGTCCGAATCGGTGATTAAAACCCCGGATCAAGTCAAGATCGGTCCGCATGAGTGTTTGATAACCGTCATGACGATTGTGAAGAAGGAAGTAAGGGGTTTGGCCTAGTGTAATATAAATTTTTAGAGATATATGGTGAGATTTGTGGTCAGCACACAGTGGGTCAAGTCCCCGAAGAGGAAATTGGAGCAGATTGTGCGCACGAAGCTGCTGCCATTTGCTGAGAGCAATTTGTTGAGGTAAGGAAAAGGTTTTTTGGGTCCCACCACGAAAACTTCAGAAGCTGGGAAATGCGTTTAATTTGAAGGAAATGGATTTTGATGGGTGCATAATGACGTAGAATTTATTTTGGAGCATTTTAGAGGCTTTTTTTGGTGCTTTTTAAGAAATTTTTGGGTCCCACCACGAAAACTTGAGAATCTAGGAAATGGCGTTTAATTGAAGAAAATGGGTTTCTATGGGTGCAGAAAGGCTTAGAATGTTATTTGGAGTATTTTCGAGGCATTTTTGGTGTATTTTAAAACATTTTTGGGTCCCACCACGAAAACTTGAGAAGCTGGGAAATGGCGTTTAATTTGAGGAAAATTGATTTTTATCGGCGCAGAAAGACTTAGAATGTAATTTGGAGTATTTTAGAGGCATTTTGGTGTATTTTTTGAAATTTTTTGGGTCCCACCACGACAACTTGAAAGTCGCCAAAATCACCCGGGAATGGCGCAAAATTGCGTCGAATTGATTTTATACACTGTTACAGGATTATTTGAACTAATTATTGAATTATTTTTATTAAGATTACTGTAATTTTCCCTAAATTTTTTGCAGAATCTCCGAGTACGTGAAATTAACCGCCGTCGCGGTGCATTTGGTCGACAAGTTCCGCGAAGACGAAGAGAACAACATGTTCATCTATCGGTGTTTCGTGCTGCACAACAGCTCCGCCAACCCGAACTTTGACACGCTGGATGAGATGGGCATGGTGATGATCAGCTCCCATTTGAAGTACTCGGACAAGGTTTGTCTCTCGAAATGGCCGGGAAAAGAGCTGGAAATGGACAAGAGATTCCTCATCCAGATGTCCGAGCTGGAGAAAAAGAACAAAGGACTCTTCGAACGGTTCAAGGACCGGGTTTTGCACTGTAGAAAAAAGAATGAAGGAGAAGGTAAGGGTGGGAAATTTGGGATGAAATGGAAGAGGGAGGAGTGTAGTTGTTGTATGTGAGAGATGAAAAAAATTGAGGATGATTTTTGAGGGTTACGGTAACAAAAAGTAAAATTTTTTGGGGATTTTGGGTAAAAGGGCCGAAAATATTGTAAAATGTAAGGAGAAAGGGGGAAATTTTGGGTTGAAAAGATAGAGGGAAGACTGTAGTTGTTGTATGTGGGCGATGAAAAAAATTGAAGATGATTTTTGAGGGTTACGGTAACAAAAAGTGAAATTTTTGGGGGATTTTGGGTAAAAGGGCCGAAATTATTGTAAAATGTAAGGTGAATGGGAGAAATTTGGGGATCAAAAGATAGAGAAAAGTCTGTAGTTGTTTATAGTTGGGATTGGCGAACAAATCAAGGGGTGTATTAAAGACTACTGTAACAAACAAGAAATTTTCAGCTTTTTTTGGGGAAATTTTGAAAACACTAGGTGTAATCGGAAAATAGCCGTCTTTTTTTGAGTGTTATTGAGAGGATAGACTATGAAGATTGTTTATTAGAAAGTTTGGAGTAAGTCCTAAGGGTATTTACGCCGTTTTTGGCCAAAAGGTTGGAATTTCCTCGATTTTTACTATTTTTTAGCAAAAAGCGTATAAAATTAGGTAAGAAATCTGGTATAATACCCTGGTAGTGGAATAATTGACTCTAAGCCTCGATATTTTACTAGTTTAGAGTTGTTCCCTAAGGGTATTGAGCGAATATTTGCTAAAAATCCGCAAAAATCCGATTTTTTGACGATTTTTGGGCTTTTTTCACTGATTTTTATAAAAATAATAGGTCTAAAATTGCTGTAATCCATGTTTATTTATTTATTTTTTCAGCCTCCACATCCACCAAACAACCAGACGAGGAGGAGCTGTACCAGACCGCCCCCGACGACCATCTCCACCTCAGCCAAGTGGAGGCCGACAAATTCTGCGAACAAAAGAAGAAATTCCGCCTCCGCCAACGACTCCGCCACTTTTTCAGCAACAACAACACCCACAGAGAGTACCGCCTCTAGCCAAACACCTGTAGATAGTTTTGAATAAATTTTAATTTTGCTAATTTTCCAAAATTTTTGGAGATTTTTCATGAAATTTTTGGTGAAAAAAAAACATTTGAAGGCAAAATTTGCAACAAAAAATGACAAGTATACGTTCAAAGAAGTTTATTCGAAGCAATTCAAATCAGTCCAGTCGAAAAAGCGGTCGATTTTTCGTACCCTTCAGAGATTCAGTGGAACCATGGCCAACACGAGGGCCACAGCGTAGAAGACCCTGAAAATAAACGATTTTAGATTGTACAGTAGATCAGAATACCAAAAAAATATATTTTTAAGGACCTCAAAGTTTTGGCAGACGATTACAAAAGATATTTTTAAGAGGCAGGGCGCAGCTCGCGGTAATAGTTCGGTCGTAAAAGATGCGAATTTTTTATGGAATAAGAATCTTTGGATCATAAATTATCCAAAAAAAAAGACTGGAAAAAGCTTGGGGTGTCTTTCGAAATTAACATAGGGCGCAGCTCGTGGACTTCGAAAAATCCGGGAATGTGGTCTAGCTCAGCGCAAATTACTTTGTAAAAATTAATCAGTCTCTTTCTACTCTAGAAATGACCTAAAATGTAATTTTCAAGTTATAAAACCAAAAAGAAATAAGTCCAGGGCGCAGGTCGGAAACTTAGAAATGCAATTTTAAAGCCTAAGGGCTCAAAAACAAATAATCGAGGCTACTAGCTTATTCTCAATTATTTTTTGAGCCAGCACACTACATAATTCCTACTTTATATCACTAAAAAACACAAGCTCGGGCGCAGCTCGCAAAATCAAAAATCTGAAAAATCAACCGATTTCTGTGTTTCAAAACAAAAACTAATGCCTATGGACTACATTGAGACTACTTTTGACCAATTTTCCCCAATTTTTTTTACTTATATTCATAAAAAAATCAAAAAACACAAAGCCCGGGCGCAGCTCGCAAAATCAAAGACTTGAAAAATCGACCGATTTCTGTATTTCAAAACAAAAACTAATGCCTGTACACTACACTAAGACTAATTTTGACCACTTTTCCCCACCAATTACTCTACAATAACCCATTCTCGCTCCACTTACATTAGGTTGGGCACCTCCAGAAAAGCGGCCGAAACCACGTGGGCCGTGGTGCTTGGGGTCTTGTGGGTGGTGTTCGGGTGCGCAGTGATCGGATCGGAGTCGGCCTCCTGCGGAGGGTCGGCGCGGGGCGGGGGCGGGGTCTTCTGGGCCAGCCCCAACTTCAGATGGTCCGCCTCTTTGGGGGCGGGCGCCTCTTTGGGGGCGGGCGCTTTCGGCTCGGCGGCCGGCTTCTTGGCAACGGTCAGGTTCAGATCCAATGGCTGGGGAGCGGGCGCCTTCGATGAGTTGACGGGAACGTCGGCTGCAGCGGCCGAAACCAGCGCCAAAGCGAAGAGCCAACCGGAAACAGCAACCATCCTGGAGGGTCAGTTGAGGGAGAAATGAGCGGAGAATGAAGATTTACGCTGAAGTTGACTTGAATTCATGGGAAATTATGCAAATTTTTGGGAGAAAATAAAAAAAAAATTTTTTTTGAAAAAACTCATGGATTTTAAAAAATTGAAGGAAAAATGGAAAAAAACTTTTTAGACATGATACTGCAAGACGTATTTTACAATATCTGAAAATTTCAAGTCATTCCGGTTACTGTAACATAAAGAAACTTTGAAAATTACAAAAAAATCCGTGATTTTTAACGTTTTTTTCGTGAAAAATTTAGGATTTTGATTGAAATTTGTTTAGATATTGCTTCTAGAAGGGCCTCTGGACATTCTACTTCATTTTCAGACAATGTAAAATCTTTTGGACTACTGTAACATCCATTTTTCGCCAAAAAATTAAGAAAAATGATGATTTTGTAGCCAAAAACTTTATTTTTTGTAAACCAAGAAATGTTAAGACGTATTTTACAATCATTATTTTTTACTCATGCTCTCAGCTACTCCGGCTAGCAATTTCAGCCCATCTCGAGAGTTTTCGAATCAAAAATTTTCGAATTTTTCAAAATTTCTCATCATTTTTCACAATTTTCCCAAAAATTGGTCGATTTCTGCTAAAAAATCGTCTTGAAATGTCGAAAAAAGTGTGTTGGTATATTCTTCTACTCCTCCTCTTCTCTATTACCATCAACGGCCGCCGATATTCGCGGGTTTTTCGGCGCAAACACGAGAAATTCGACGAGGATGAGCTGGATACGGATGAGGAAATCATCGCCAAAAAGCCAAAAAGTAAGCCTTAAATTTTTGAAAAATATTATCAAAATTCTCTCATAATGCTATGACATCGATTATAGAGCAAATTTTGAAGAAAGTGTCCAAACTTTTGAATCTTCCCAAAGTCCCGCCCGCTCCCAAATTGTCGGCAAAAAAGATTGTTCCGACCAGCGAGGACGAGCAAATCAACATTTGCTTGGCGAAACAGCCCTGCTTGAACAATGCCAGATGCATTCCGCAAGGAAATGTGTGGGTTTCTTACTGTAATTTTAGGTTTAGACCAAATTTTTTGCTAAAAACGCGATTTTTTGATAAAAAAATAGTAAAATACGATTGTAAAAAGCGAAAAACTGCTTTCAAATAGCAAATTATGACTGACTGCGGTCGGATTTTTCGTTATTTTTTAAGTTCCCGCAATTTCCAGCAGTTTCCCTGATTTTCAGGGTTTTCGTGGTGGGACCCAAGTTGGTCAATTTTTACGCCGTTTTAGACTGAAATGGCTATTGCTTGATAGAAAATGTCCTTATTCACTCATTACGCCTTCCTTACCCGTTCATTTATAAAATTTGGGTCCCACAACGAAAACCCTGACAATCAGGGAAACTCAAATTCTTTGACCTTTTCCCCAAAAAATAGACAGCCTAGCTTGCCACATTATTTACCGCCACATTTACCATCAAAAAAATGTCATGTATAAAATTTATACAACAGAATTTATCACATTTATCAAGTGTAATATCAAAATGTCATCATTTATCGGCGGAAACGTTGGGAGTTGGTGCGCTTGAGCAGTGTGGGCCATCATAACTCTTTGCAAAGTAAAAGACACCAATAATTGGGAGGGCTGCGAATGCCAGAACCAGTAAAAGACTCAAAATTACAGTTGAGCTGAAAGCAATTGTAAATTACATTTTTGGGTTGTAAATTGTAAAAAAACAAAAATTTACGTAAAAAATCGTATTTTACTGACATGAGGTAAACTTTGATCGAACTGGTGCTTCGCCGGGTCAACGGAGTTGGGAAATCCCACTGCACTGTGCGTTTTTCAAACAACAGGTTTCTCTGTTCGACGCTGACAACCTACAGTAACCAAAATGAGATTAGTGAACAGAATACTCACCCACAAGACAAAAAACAATTGATTTTCGAATTGCGAGGTGCGGATTTCAATGTTATGGACCTTTTTCTGAACGCACAGTGCAATATAAAAATTTTTGGACTTACATCGATATCAGGTGGTACGTTAATTTCCCAATGGCTATAATCTGAAAAAATGAAGAGTGATCAGACTATTTCAACTCTTTCCCAACAACTTAGAGTCAGACTTGGCGACTTGTATATCATTATATTACACTACCCACCTGATGTCAGTTGGACGTCAAAAAGAAAGTATTCGTTCATGTAAAGACTTGCTTTCGAAGTGTTGCCGGCTGGCAGACGTTGCCACATCATAATGTAATAATTTCCCGGCACGTCTGCATCAATTAGAATATTCACCAAGCCTACTTTGACATCCGGGTTGTCTCCGGAAATCTCGTTGGCTTCCGGAAGTGTGTGACCGTAGCTGGAAATGTAATATATTATGGGGAAGGAAATCCAATCAGCTTCATTTTGATACAACCTACAAGACTGTAGAGCCAGTAGTTCAAAAGTTATGACAACTTTTTTAGACAACCCCGGAATTTTGATGGGCTTTAAAGAAATGCAAAATTCTTGGTCCCAACACGAAAACTACAGTATTCTTACACAATGTCACGACAGATAGGCCAAACCACTTGATATTGCTTGTAGGGGTATGGGTTATTAGGCACGGACGAGTAGAGTTTTCCATGGATTAAGCGGTCTTGGAAGGGTAAGATACAATGCTTATCCTGGGGTCTGAAAATAAGTTTTTTTACCATGAAAAAGATATCTACAAAAAATCTGAAAACTCAAGAAACAGCTAAGAGTAGAACTGGTATTGTAATTCACTTAGTTTTTGACTTACTCCCGCTGAAAAAGTGCCTTCACTTTTTCTCGAACCACTTGTGGTATTTCGTCCTCCAAATCAGAAAATGCCGGATAAAATCCACCGAAAATGATGAGAAATAGAAGAACCACCAGCATTCTAGCCATGTACAAATAATAAATGAAATTTTTAAAAACGAAATTTTCAATTTCAGCTTCTTTTGCGACTGTGAAGATGGGTTTTTTGGAAAACATTGCGAATTCGTCGCCGACAGTGGCGAATGTGCTGGAAATTTGTGTAAAAAGGATCAAGGGATTTGTTACAGGTAAGTCTGGACAGGGATTTTGGGATTTGAGGGCAATTCAGGTTTTCGTGTCGGGACCATATTGGTCCCACCACGAATGATTTACAGGGGAAGTACCCCAAGTGCGACGCTCAGATTTTGATGAAACTTGGCACAAATTTAGAATAATTTTTTCGAAGATATATGCGAGAAATCTAGCTCGCGCTTTGCAGAAACAACCGAGATTTTTAGATCGAAAGTCGGCGAAAATTTAGGACTTTTTGCCGAATTTCGGCACGAAAAGTTTCATGCCTATTTCTACCGTAAAGGATAATGTTTCTACAAAAAATCAAATTTTTTCGCACGAAACTGCCAAAGTTATGGCCAAAACGCGCTCTTCTCTCTGACCGCTCTCCACGTTTAGCGTGCTCTCTCGGCGGCGTAAATCGTCCGATATCTCGGCGGCGTCTGCAAAGCGCGAGCTAAAACTTTCAGGAATTGATATTTAGTCCATACCCGACGCGTGTGCAAAATTTAAAGAAAATCTGAGCGTCGCACTTTGGGTACTTCCCTTGTTAATTGGGTGGCTTGAGACTTATTGTGGCCTTAGAATTTGTTAGAGATCTTTGGAATTCTATATTAGACCTGTTTGTTGTATTTTGGAGATGATTTCAGGGTTTCGTGTCGGGACCACTTTGGTCCCACCGCGAAAACCTGGATTGGGTTTATTGAGACTCATTTTGGGTTTAGAATTTTCTGGTGATCTTCGGGATTCTACTTTAGACCTGGTTTTAGTATTTTGGAGATCATTTCAGGGTTTCGGGACCATTTTGGTCCCACCACGAAAACCTGAATTGGGTTGATTGAGACGATTTTTTGATTCATAGATTATAATTAGCTCATAAGGTTGTATGTAAGACCAATTTGTAATGCATAAGATGACAATAAAGGTTTTCGTGTCGAGACCCAAATGGTCCCACCACGAAACCCTGAAAATAAGCGCTCTCGCTCCCCGATGGTTCTAAAATGATGTCGATGGTATTTCTAATCAATAAATATTTTTTTAGCGTCGCAGAACAACAAATGATTTCCGTGGTCCAGACCCATTTGGGCGAAAAGAAACTAAAGCCAATACCAGTCAGCTATAAGTAAGTTTTTATCGAAAAATATTCAGTAAATATAATATTCATTCTTTATTTGATGATTTGAGACAATGATTTTTCAGATGCTGGTGCAAAGAAGGCTTCCACGGCGACCTTTGCGAATACACGGAGGAAATGCGAGAATGCGTCGAAAACCATTGCAATGGCCATGGGATCTTGACGTTTGAGGATTTTGAAACAACGAAATGTGGAGATTGTGTCTGCGAACAGAATTACATGGGAGAGCATGTGGGTTTTAGATGGGAAATCGAGATTTTTTGAAAATTTAAAAAAAAAATAATAATTAAAAATTGAGATTCGAAAAAAGAAAATTGGGTTTGTTTGCTTTTGTTACCACTAATAGACTATATAAGAAGCCCTCGACTCAGAATTTTATTGTAATATTGGGTTTCTTAATTCAATTTTGGGTCCCGCCACGAAAATATGAAAACACCGATTTCGACGGCGAAAGAAGATTTTTGCTTAATTTAGCTTCAGGAAGTCCTTACAAAACAATTTTTGAACTTCCTTTCGGCTAAAATACGGGTTTAGAATTTTAATTTTCGGTCCCACCACGAAAACCTGAAAGCCCTGAAATGCCCTCTAATTTCAATAAATGGCATTTGTACATTATAAAAAGACCAAATAAGGCCAATCCGTATTTTAGTGCGAGCTTGTTAGCCCTTGCAAAGACATAGACTGCACCAATGAAGCCACTTGTGAACTGGATGCAAAAGGTGAAGCCGAATGCAAATGTCCGGCAGAATTGTTTCGTTACGAGGAGTTTAAGATCTCAGGTAACTCCAGAGGCAATTCCATATGAAAAAATTTGATTTTGGCGACATTTTATACGAAAAGATCTGGATCAAAAACATGTTTCACCGTATAAAATGTCGCCTTTTCTATTTTCCTCGAAATTTCTCGATTTTTGGTCGATTCCGTATTTTAGGAGAGCACTGTGAGATTTTCGATACCATTTCTCCCCCTCCGTGCAAACCATGTGAACAAGGACTGACCAGTTTTATTGAATGTCTCGCGGAGCTCGGAAATTTTCTTCCAAGTGATTTAGGTCCGTGGACAAGCGAGTATTTGAAGAATGGTGGTGATCCTGCTGACCTAAAGGACAAGAATTGCTTCAACGGCGGCGTTTGCAACGTTATTGTCGAAAGATGTGAGTTTTGGGCGGATTTTTATCATGGATAATATAAAATTTTCGAAGTTTAGGCCGGATTTTGAGTGGAATAGCAAGAGTAGGCTGCATGGAATTGTTTCCGCTGATTGTATCCGAAATGTAGCCGGTAATCTTTGAGATATAGCCGAAATTTGTATGAAGGATCATGGAGAACATAAATCCTCAAATTGAATGGTTTTGTGGCATATTTGTTATAAAACAGTACAGAAATGACATACTGAAGGAGTTTTACTGCTTCCGGGCTCAAGTTACGTTGAAACATCCAACTTTTTGCTCAGTTTAGACATGACTATCAAGTGCAATGTAAACTGTTGGAAATTATTCTATAATCTTTGTGTTTATTGTTGTCTTTTTGATAAAATGACTTTTTCAGTGCCATTAATGCCTGGTAGTGCTACTGAGCAGTTGGCCAACACACTTTTCGCGGTTCCAAAATGTGATTGCCCTCCAGAATTTGAAGGCCAATTTTGTGAGCGAAGAAGGAAAGGGGAATGCGAGAAATTGTCAGAAGAAGAACGATGTGCCCATGGAGTTTGTGTCTTCACTAAAGCTTATGGAATTCAATGCATGTAGGCCTTTGAAATTTGATTTTTCCGATTTTAGGTGTGAAGTGTAATATAAAATTCGATTTTTCCAGTTGTGATGAAGGGTATGAAGGGCAGAGGTGTGAGAGACGAAACAAATGCAACCCCAGCCCGTGCGGTGACGCATTATGCACCGAGGTTACGCTGAGAGACGTGAGCGAAGAGAAAATCCCGATTTGTGTTTGTAACGACAACCAAGAAGTTGATGGGAAGGGTGGGTAACTCGATTTTGTTGATTGTTTCTGTTGTTGTTTAGGTCTGAAATGCTCTCAACCACATTTCCAACAATGCCGGTTCAAGAATGGGACTCATAAATGCGCTAATAATGCCGCCTGTTATCCATGCTCATTCGATGACGAAATTGATGCGCTCTTTGATGTAAGTGGTTTTTATGGCTGTGTTTTTTGTTTTTAGGAGATGATATGGCTTACGACTGCGAATGAAGTTAGTTTTGATATTGGTAGAGCTAGTTTTCGACTTGTTTTGGGTTATATTATCCATGATCGTTTAATAGACGAATTCTTAAAATTATTGCTTCCAATTGATGCAATCGATTGATGGGAAGATAAAACAGAGTATTATGTTGTATCTTCACGTGTAGTTGTGAAGGTATGTAGTCAGCCAGATGTAGGGTAACAAATATAGAGAGGTTTATTACAGAATAATAATAAAAAAACGTAGCGTAACACCAAACATTCACTGAATAATATGTATCAACCGAGCTCTCTTTTCTTCTAGGCTTCGAGAAGGTTCGAATGAAACGGAATGCCAATAACGTAGTCGTAGGTTTCGTCTCGGGACTCAACATATTAGAAGTATACCGAGATCAATTTTGACCAACAAGACTCGTTGTTTCTCTAATTATTATTGATGTTATCCATGTGGTTCCAGATCTGCACTCCCGACGAAGATGCTCGCGGGTTTCGATGTGTCTGCCCTCCAGGTTTGGCCAAGCCTTTTTGCGATCGACCAGTGACCCCGTGCGATGTTGACGTATGCCAAAATGGAGGAATTTGCGAACTGAGTCGCAATTCTCCGTCCGGTTATACCTGCTCATGCCCAACATCTTTTACTGGTCTGAACTGCGAGACTTTTGTCTCAATTTGTAGTAGAGTGGATAACAAGTGTGTGGAAGGGAGTTGTGTGGAAGACGCGGCGCATCATCGTGGTTATCGGTGTGACTGTCATCATGGGTTTTTGGGAAGGAATTGCGATCGAACTTATGGAGCAAATATCATCGATTTGTTTCATGTAAGGGCCGGTCGAGTGATTTCTGAGGTCTTGGATTCATTTTGAAGACTTTTACCGCGGTTACCGGGGATATGCCTAAAACAACAAAAAATAATAAAAAATCCTACGTTTCTTCAAATTTTCCGGCTGTAAAAATGGAACTAGGACGGTTGGGGAAAAGTACGATTGGGGAAACCGAAAAGTATTATTTTTCTTCGATGCAAGTGCCGAAATTTGGATAATCGAGGATGCTGATTTCGAAAATTACATTCATTTTTTTTTGATCTTTACTTTTTTTCTTTAAGTAGTACTGTAAAGTAGTAATTTTTTGATTTTTTCATAAATACTCGATTTAGGGGTTTTCGATGGTGCTGATTTCGAAAATCTTATTCATTTTTTCTGATTTCAAAACAGCACCATCGAAAACCCCTGAATAGAGTATTTCTGAAAAAAATTTAAAAAATCACTACTTTTGCAGTACTGCTTAAGGAAAAAGTAAAGATCAAAAAAAATGAATGTCATTTTCGAAATCAGCACCCTCGATTATCCTGATTTTGACACTTGCATCGAAGAAAGATAATACTTTTCGGTTTCCCCAGCCGTCTTTCTCCCCAACCGTCCCAGTTCCATTTTGCAGCCGGAAAATTTGAAGAAACATAGGATTTTTTTATTATTTTTTGTTGTTAGGCATATTCCCGATGGACTTATCCTGCAGCGATGACTGCCATCCTCTTGCCGATCATGGCGATTTATTATGGCAAGATCTTCTTTATCAGAAAGTTGGACGTGAAGATTGAGGAGCTTGAGGGCGATGACAGCGAAGAGGAAGAAGAGTCGTCGGAAAATCAAGTGGATGATGAGAAAAACGCTAAAAAAGCCGAAATCTTGGTCCAGAAATAGCCGAATGCTGTTAGTAAATTTAATATAATACTTTTTAAGGTCTATTAATTTCAGTGGTATTTCTATTTTTCGAAAATTTTGGGTGAATTTGGGATTTTTTGAGATTTTACGTTTTCCATCCATAATTTACGTTTTTTGTCCATAAAAATGTTGAATATAACAGAAATGGCTCAAATTTTGATGAGAACGTACTGTCATCTCTCTAATGTTACACGACAGGAGCCATTTGGCTTACATTTCCTTTTTTATGCACAAAAAACGTGATTTATGGACGAAAAACGTGAAATCTTATGAAATCGCATTTTCACCCCTAAAAAGTTTGGAAATTGATGACGAGCGCGACCATGGATGATCTGGCTATCAGATTACACGGTTTTCTATAATTGCCTTACAGCGTTTTCATAGTTTTGTTAGTTTAAATTTCGGTTTTTGGCAGCCATCTATCCAGTATAATATAATCGAGGATATGGCCTTCAGAAATACGTTTTTCCAACCACATGTCTCTGTTTTACCTTGGAACGGACCTCATGCAGCTTGTTCTTAATTGACCGTCATTTGTTAGACCCCCTTTCCCCTTCTATTTCGGTCTTTTTGATCTCGAAATCAACTGGAAATGCGATCGGGCGGAGGGCCGGGTTAACCTTGGAAACGCCTAAAATATATTGTTCGAAGCTGTCGGGATCTGTTTTAGAGACTTGTTGGAAGTTTGAAATGGATATATTTGTTTGTGTCATGGGGTTTTTTCAAAGTTTGTTCAAAATTTTGTGTTTTTGGAGGAAAAGTAATGTTTGTAGCTGGAAATTTGTCTTGAATTTTGGTGGAAATGAGTTTTAATTAAATTGGAATTGCTATCTGCAATTTTAAATAAAAAAATTGCCAAAAATTTTAAGAAAATTCATCAAAATGACCTTATTTTAGGCAAAAATTTACCAAAATTATAAATTATGTCTATATTTCGTAAATTTCCCACAAAATTTTATGATTCCCCATCTTAATGAGTAGCATCTATCACATTGCTCGCAACGCGCACTCCTGTGACTTTCAAAATAGTTGTTTACAACATTCGGAGAGTCGAAAAATTCCCATTTTATTGTTTTTCGCGCGTGGTTTCGAAAACAGACAGCTGGACTGAAGGTTATATAAACACAAACAGCAGCTTACATCAGATTCTGAAGGAATTTGAGGGATGATTTTTGGGGTTTGGGAGAAATTTCGATTTTTTTGTAATTTTAGAGGGTAAAATAAGGTAAAAGAGAATTTTTGATAAAAAATGAGAGTTGTATTTGGGGATAATATTTTATATAGGGGTTTTAGTACCTGTTGTTCGTATTTTAGCCTTAATTTTTGTTAAAATCGGCAAAAAATTTTTTGATTTTTGAAAACTCGCATTTTTCACACCTAAATTTTAGTTTTGTTTTCTTCAAAAATTGAACAGCTAACCTCTAAAGCCTCTTGGTTTTGAGTTCTAAGTAGCGTATGACTCATCTATAGTCATTCAAGTCACAAATTTGTCCTTTTTTCAATTCCCAATTAACGCAATTTTGCGATCGAAAAGTGTAAAGCAAAAGCCAATTGGAGGCAAAGTCAGGCGAAAGGGGGGACATTCCTCGGTGTTACATCGTCACTGTTTCTCTCCGTTTTGATTGAGACGAATTATAATCACACTTGTTTGACAACCCGAGAGATCATTTTTTGAGAGATGTTTTTGTCAACAAAAACTATCGGAAATTGATGGAATTCTCGAAAAAATTACGTAAAATTGGTGCTTATAGGTGGGGTAATTATAGGGGAGTCTGTTTTTGAGGGAAATTTGCGGATTATGAAGGAAAAATTATAAAGGAAAAGTTTTTGGTCACTGATCAACGTAACGCATCATGTTTTTTGGTTTCTAGCCTGCCTCCATAACTTCCAAAATAAATAAAATTAAGTTTTTTTTCCATAAATCTGACAAGGAAAGTACTTTTATGGGGGCTCCTACTTTTTGACGGGACATATCTCAAAAAATCAGAAAAAATGCGCTGATCAAGGATATATAAATCTTAGCTGCCCATTTTAGGTTTTTAAGGGTGAAAATGCCCAAAAACTGGTTTCATTTCCCTACAAAAGGCAGACATTCGAAACGATAAAAAGAGCACTCGATCTCTTCCTTCGGAAGAGAGCGGTGTGGCCGAGTGGTTAGTGCCGCAGTCTGGGAATCAAGAGGGGGGACGCCGCACGGGTTCGATTTCCCTTTTGGGCTGAGTCAACTTTTTTTGAAGTTGAAGGTCGGAAAAATAAATTTTTGGGCCAAGACTGTCTTATTACGTCTTAGAAACTCAATAAACACCATTTTAAGCCAAAATAAAAATTGTAAACCTTTGAAAAAATTAAGCGAAAAGGGGTTCATATAAGGACTTTAAGTCAACTTCCGACTGAGTTTTCACCCCTAAAAACCTAAAATGGGCAGCTAAGATCTATATATTCTTGATCAGCACATTTTTTCTGATTTTTTGAGATATGTCCCGTCAAAAAGTAGGAGCCCCCATAAAAGTACTTTCCTTGTGAAAATTTCCGCTAAAATCTCGGAAATTGTTTGTCAGCACAAACCGTAGTGCCAGTAGCTTCGCATTTTTGGTACTTTTTACATCATCTTTACCTGTTTTCCTCCGGAACGATTATTGGGGGAAATAAAATAATTTTTTTGCCTTTTTGGCTAGCCAAAACCATAGTTCGCTAACCCATCCTTATAAAAACTCTATTTGTACTCGCTTTCAACTATTCATGACCTTAATCCCCCTAAAATGATATTAACCTCTGCCAAACACCCAAACTATGGATGTTTGACGACACGGCCTCAAACATCCATAGTTTGGGCTTTAACAGGTGTTCGGAGGTGGGTGGATAAAGGTCATAAATAGTTGAAAGCGAGTACAAATGGAGTTTCTGTAAGGATGGACTGGCGAACTATGGTTTTGGCTAGCTAAAAATGCGAAGAAATGATTTTATTTTCCCTAATAATCGGTTCGGTGGAAAACAGGTAAAGATGATGTAAAAAGTACTAAAGATGCGAGACTAATGGCACTGTGGTTTGTGCTGACAAACAATTTCCGAGATTTCAGCGGCAATTTTCAGATTTATGAACAAAAAAACGTTAATTTATTTTGGAAGTTATGGAGAGAAGCTAGAAACCAAAAAACATGATGCGTTACGTTGATCAGTGACCGAAAACAAGTTTCCTGATGAAATCCGGAAATGTTGTAAACAAACTTTGCACCTTTCATCATTGTTTTTGTAATTTTGGGAAAGTCTCCATTCCAATCGAGCATCCCATTACTAATAATGACCCCCAATGGTTGAAAAATTTTAGAATGAGTTTTCTTTGCAATGGCAAGGCTTTCAGGAAGTTGTTGATAGGTAGAAGTAGGGAGATCTGTAAAATTTTACGTTTTTCCTCCATAATTTACGTTTTTGCTGCATAATTCGAGGAAATAAAGTGAAAAAGTTTAGGTTTATTGAACTGTATAGCTACTTTGGTTGTTATGGAAGACGTTGTAAAAATTCTTTGAAATAAAATACGCATCTCGGCAATCCGTAAAATTTGATGTTTTTTCTCCATAATCGATTTGATAGTCATTGAGATTGGTAAAATACGAAGTGTCCTGGCCAGGCTGGCTTCTAAATAACATTTTTTTAAAACTTTTCCCAAAACCGCATAAATTTGGATTTTTTTCCATGTACGTTTTCTCTCCATAATTCACGTTTTTTGCCCATAATTGATGCGATTGCATGTGGAATTGGTAAAATACGAAATGAATGGTAAGAAAGGAGTATAATACTTTAATTTTTAACAATATGAAACTTATTTTTTACGATTCTCGTCCATTCTCATCAAATTTCTCGATTTTTTTCGAAAATTTCTTGTGTTTTGCTGAGAACTCTTGTAAAATACGACATAACATGGGTGGGTAGGCAAGATTAGATCAAGTTCTATGTCAAAATACAGTTTTATTGTTTACGTTTTTTCCATAACCGTTCAAATTTCACTTTTTCCCCCAAATTTGACGTCTTTTCTCCATAATTTACGTTTCTCTCCATAAGCTTGGTAAAATACGGCATTCTTCGGCATGGCTTTACCAATCTTCTCATCACTTTTTCTGTTTACGTTTTTCCCCATAACCCCTCAAATTTGACGTCTTTTCTCCGAAAAATTACGTTTTTCTCCCGAAACCCTTGGAATTCTTTGAAAAATCGGTCCTCTCCATGTTCAAGAGTCGTTAGTTCGTCGGGAATTAGCTTTATGGGCTGGAAAGTTGTCTTCGATTACCATAATTCCCCCATTTTATTCGTTTTCTCAGCGAATTCTCTCGAATTTTGCCAAAGTTCTCTCCATCTCTCATATTTTTTGATCTGAAATTGGCAGAATTGGGTGTTTTAATTTCGCCGGCGGCCAAATTACAACGTCAATGTGCGTAATCGAATTGATTTTTCGTTGATTTGTGTTGGAGCCCTTTTCGGTCACGGGAAACGCCAAGTTTTAAACCCGGGAGGCGGGTCGCGGGCGGGGAAATAAAAATTGTTCATCATTTCGGGGATTCGTTTATTTGCGGGTTGTTTACGCGCAGAAGGGGTCTCGTTTTTGGCGGCCTGCCGGGGGTACCTTAATTTCGTCAAAACCGCGTTCAAGGGCGGTTGTTTTGGCTTCGACCTTTCTTCCATTTACTTTGTTTTACAACCCACGGCCCGTTTGAGACTCGATAGGTTTGATTTTTAAGCGGAATTTGAAGATTTGAAAATTTGAAGGAGATTGCACTGTGCGGTAAAAAATTAGAGGTTATTGCACAGTGCAGAGAAGTGAGCAGAGTGTAAATGGGGTTGAAATTGATCTAATTTGGCATTAGCTTTGTCAATGCCTTATTTGAGATCTAATGTTACCGCATAATACAAAAAGAGAGCTTTGTATTTCTAGTGCACTGTGCAGTAAAAGTCGAGATGTTATTGCACAGTGCAGAGAAGTGAGCAGAGTCTAAATTGGGATGAAATTGATCTAATTTGGCATTGGCTTTGTCAATGTCTTTTTTGACATCTTTTCGAACCGCATAGCACAATAAAAGATCATGTTATTTCTACTGCACTGTGCGGTAAAAATCGAGATGTTATTGCACAGTGCAAAGATGTGAGCATAGCCTAAATGGGGTTAAATTTGATTAAGTATGCCATAGGGTCCACCGCCTGTGCCATATGGTCTATCTTGATGAAGCTATGTCCGCACAGTGCAATGAAATGTCAAGATTTTTTTGTCGCACTGTGCGGAATATAGTTATTGGATATTGCACGGTGCGAATAGGTGGGCCGGGCTTAAATCTTGTCGCAGTTGGCTAAATATATTATGTGACTAACCGATACGTTTTTTCTATCTAATTATACTCGCAGGTTGCAATTAAATACCACGATTTTGTTGATTGCACTGTGCGGAAAAAATTAAAAAGTTATTGCACAGTGATTTGAAATGAAAGAGGGTCAAATTAGCGATAAGTGTGCTCAAGTGAAGATGCGTTTATCTTTACCTTATTCAGTTAGGTTTACGCTGCAAAGTGCGATTAAAAATAAATATTTTGTTTGTTGCACTGTGCGGAGCATTTTGAAAGTTTCTCCTTGCCGTGCGGTTTGATCTGAGGGCTTTACAGATTGCAGAGTAAAATTTTTGACGTTTCTGGAACATATTAGTCATAGAACCATACAATTTTTTTCGATTTCAATGCACAGTGCCGATCTTTATTTTTCGCACTGTGCGATTATTTTTTCACATTTTTTCGTGGCCAAGGCTTACCTAAAGATTTAAAAAGTGGCTTGAAGTAATACAAAATAATTTTCAGACCAATCCACCCTCCAATTTAACCGTTAGCCATGGGTTTCGACTCCAACTACCTTAGCTCGCACCGCGGGATCATCAAGATCGCCCAAATCATCATCGGCATCGTGATTGTGTCGTTGACCTGTGGCAACGTCTTCGGACACGGCTCTTGCTTCAAGGAGGGACGTATCTCATATACCTCGGGACTGAACAGCGTCACTTTGATCATCAACATCGTCTTCTTGATCTTGAACTTGCTCGAGTTGAGCCAGTTGAGCTTGGTAAGAGAATTGAAACGTTGGAGGGGGATAAAAATACTTGAAATGAGAGTAGTAATATATTTTCCCTAGTTTTTGAGCAAGAAAATGAGTTTTCAGGTTTTCGTGGTGGGACCCAAATTTTTTAAAAAATCGTTAAAATTTTGATTTTTTTTGGGGATTTTGGATTTCTATTATCATTTTAGTGGTCTAGCAGGAAGAATAAAAAGTTTTTTAGACTTTTTTCGCGATTTTTTCTTGGAAAATTCCGAAGCTTTACGAGTTTTTCTGTTTTTTTTTATTTTTTGGTCCCACCACGAAAAAGTTGGCTATCAAAATAAGTTGAAATAGGCTGCAGGAGAAATTTTAGTAAATCTGAAATCTTTTTTACTTGTTTTTAGCTTTGATATTTATCCAAAAATCAGAAGTTTCTCGATTTTTTTGGAATTTTTGGTCCCACAGCGAAAAATTTAAATTCCAAAATTTAGCCCCAAATAAAATTTCAGGGAATTTGCAAAATTTTTGACGCTTTTTTTTCCAATTTCGAACTAATAATTTGGCAAAAAAATCCAGATTTTTCCCGAATTTTCCCCAAAAATTCAATTTGATTTTTCTAACCCAAAAAATTGTTTTTCCAGGAGCGCATCTACACCTTTGTGGGCACTGTCCTCTTCCTGATCGCCGCCATCCTGATTGTGTGGCTGATTGTGGTCAACGACCACCGTGGAGGCTACATTACCATCGCCGCTCTGGTCATAATCCAGTTCCTTTTGTTCCTCTGGGACTCCAAGATCCTACAAGGAGAGGCCTCCAACTGGTAGACAACTACTCTGAAGCTACCATTACTACTTTTGGATCACAAAAAATACCTTCAAGTTTTTGTAACGACGCTTTTTTCGCATAATTTCCCAATTTTCATAATTTTTTAGCATTTTTTTGATGTAAAATACAATTTTTTTGGCTAATAAAGAGAATTTACGGTAAAATACGAAAATTTTATTTGTTACATAAGCAAATTATTATATTTTGAACGTATAAAAATTGAATTTTTTAGTGAAATGTGAAAAATTAGGGTAAAAATGGTCTAAAAATAATAATAAAGTGTTGAAATGGGCTTGAAATACGATTCAAATGTATAATAATATATTTTCACATTAGTTCTCATAAATCTCAATCGGTTTCTGCGGGTATCTCGAGCGTTGAACCCAGTAAAAAATCTCTTCTTTTCCTGCCAAATTAAGCCCTGGAACTCATCCCAATCACTCGTGGTCGATTGGTGGAGACTGCCTTGAAAGGCCGGACGCCAAGCCTAAAATTCGAATTTTTTATACAGGGTGCGCCAATAAAATCTGGACTAATATTTTTGCTTGCCCTGCGGGCTGTTACAGTACGAGAACAAAGTGGGCGATTGTGGACACGTGTAATACGTCCAAGAAGCTATCTTTAAAGTTTCAGACAAAATAATCGTCTGCGACACTTGTTTTGTCATTATAAGTGCTTACAACTAAGGCGCCTGAAACACGGACCCCAAATTGGTTAAAAAATGGTTGCACTATCTTTACCGTTTTATGCTATGGGCTGAAATTTACTTTTTTTGATAGAACTCCGGTCGGTTTTTATATACTGAAATTGATTTTGCCTCATTATGACAATTAGGCTTTTTACAGCTCACCAAAGTTGGCTCAAAAACGGGCCCTCTTCCCCGAAAACTTCCGTTAAATCAAAGATTTTTATGTAGAAGTTTCCCTGTGTGATTCCAAACATGTTAAGCACCAGAACTACTTTTGCAAGGATAACCAGAGTCTGCCCAGTCGCCTTTCAAAGAGGATTTTTCTATCGACTGCCTCTGGGGATGAAATAGTGACTGCAGTGGCATAATTTACTATATGCTCGCTGTTTGAGTGATCTTGGACTAGATATTTCTAAAAGTGATTTGGCTACATTAGCATGTATCCAGTATACAACGCTATGTTGATTTTTACGCTTAACGCCTGTCCAACTTGTTACAAACTGCCAAAACGTTTCAAGTCCCGAATGACCGTGCCTTGAATTCCCCCCATGAACTTTTATTTATGCAGAAACGGTCCCCTTGTATGTGCGGATTTGCTTTTACACTATAACAATTGTCTATGTATACGCTCTGTAATCACGGAATTTTGGAGCAACATGGGCTATAATCTGGCGTTGAGATCCTTAAAAACATAAAAATCCAAATTTTTGGGCCTTTTTTTGTTTCCGCCACCAGCGCCGCCAGATCGGCCGCCAACCATGATTCCGTTGGCTGTTACAAAGTCAACAGCACGTACTTTATATACAATAAATTTGAAGAACGTCAGTCCCCCTTAGCAGAAATAATGGAAGAATTAATAGCCCAGTCATCACCTGGAAAAAAAAATTCTGCACCTCCAAAAGCTTTTGATTATTTTTTCGCTCTTGCAATCGGCACCGACTTGGGCATTACCGTTGCTGTACAGCACGGTTGTTACCCTTTCTAAAAGTGCTAAAAGTTTCCATTCTTAGGCCGTCCGAAAAAGGCTACATGGAATTTAGTTTAGTCCAGATTTTATTGGCGCACCCTGTATATTTGGACAAATTTTAACCAAAAAATTTTATTTGCACTGTGCGACAGAAAACTTGATAAAAATCTGCACAGTGCAGTTGAGTTTCGAGTTTGGAATTGTGAAATATCTAATGAAATGAAGCTTCAAACTGAATTTTAACATCAAAATTCATCTTCGTATATGCACGGTGCGAAAATTTAGCCTTCAAGTTAATGCACGGTGCAGTCAAAAGATTATCAAAATTCTGCACAGTGCCGGAAAAAATCAAAATTTTTTTTGTTTAAAATTGAAAGTAAATAAAAGATAAGATGTTTTTCCCCACATTACTTCAAGTTTTACCAACCGCGTTGTGCAGAAAATGACAATCAAATTTCTGCACAGTGCAGTTCAATTTTTTGGCCAAAATTGAATTTCAAATTACAACTTACTGTTCGAAATTTACCTGATTGAACCGCATCTCGACCGCCGAACTGTAAACGTTTTGCCGCAATCCGGGATGAATAGGACTTTGTGGATTAAATTTATATGTTTTCAGACACCATAAATCCATAAACTTTATTTTTATTTTGACTGTGATTTTTTCGTGGAAATACTAATAAAATCGTGTATTTTGGATACGCAATAATAGTTGTTGAATTTTACAGCTACATTTGAACAAGACCCATATCATCGGAGGACTCTGCAGAATAAAGACCGGACAAAAGAGCAGTACGAAGGACACAGAAGTTCCATCAATTTTGAAAACAATCAAACGGAAACATGAATGTAAGTGTTGAAGCTTTTATTTTTGTTTCTATGTTTAGGAGAAGTAGGAGCTTGTAGAGAAGTAATGTAAAGTGGCTAAGGGTGTTCGTCGCTGACGAGTCCCCGCGCCTTTAGCTTATCTTTATAGCTTATAAACAGTCAGTACGTCGAGAAGGGGACGAAACTGATTGTTTTTATTATAAGCTTCAACTTCACAAGCAGCAATCTGTAGCTACGTGTAGAAAGTATAAAGAATTACACAAAAAACATCAATTGATTATAGTATTACGTTGTTTTAGGTAACATTTTGTAGATTTTTAATTTAAATTTAGAGTTATAGAGATTACTCTTAAAAAGCATCATTTGCTTTTATTTGTTTTTAGTATTAGGTTGTTATAGGCAACAATTATGCAAAGTATTATCTATTTTTAAACAAAATTTTCTTGAATATGAAACCAGAGCTTTTGTGTCTTTTCGAACGACCGAAACTGATGGTAGACCAGTGAGTTTTCGTCTGAAATTTTTTTTAAATCACTTCAATTCTAAGTCCGCCGATTTTATCATTGAATTTTTGGATTTTTCGAAAAAACGTTAAATTTTATGAATTTTTGAAAATTATGGACAAAAACGTAAATACGAAAAATTCACCTGAGGCAATATTGAAACCATTTTCGAATGTTTTTCAGTTAAAATTTTGATTTTTTCCAAACTTACTCAATAAATTTCTCATCGCTTTTGGTCGTATATAACGTGTCATTTACGACTTCAACGGCATCCTCTGGGCGTAATTTGGAAAATTCATAGCCTTCAGGCAATTCTAAAGAGGTTTTCATCAACTTTTCAACTTGATTGTCATCAAAATAGAAGACCCAATTTGGCAAATCCGTGGCGAAAAATGGATGAGAATTGATCGAATTGAAGTATTCATCGGCCTGAAAATGTAAAATACGAAATCTAAACCTATTGTGTGAAAGTATAGCCCTTTCATGTCGTTTTTTCAAAATTATTAAAAATTTAAGAAAAAAATTTTTTATTTTTTTACAAAAAATCTCGAAAATTTTTGCTGTAAAAGCTTGCAGAATAGAAGAAAAATTAAACTTACAGCCTCCCGAATGTCATCCCTCGTGCAAACCGACGTAAATCCATCGAATTTTTCGAAGGTTGCCTGAAGATGGGATAACAAGGCAAAAGTCGAAGTTTTCACAAAATTTTGGTCCTTGGTATTGCATTCATGTCGAATACTCAATCTGAAAATTCATTATATACGGCTTTTCCATTGCACGGTGCAAAATTATGCCAATTATTTGAGGTTGATTTGGGTCCCGCAAAGAAAACATGAAAATCTTTGGCATTGTGTGGCAAGTGGTGGAAAAGATAAAGAAGGTGTTGTATAAGTGATTAGAGGTCATTTTAGAGTCACATGAATTTTTTAATCCTATCTTTGGGCCAATATATATTGTCTTATTTTTGCCGGCCGCACAGTGCAAAAATGTTTAAAAAAATGCACTGTGCAGAGGCCGTTGAAGATTTTATGCATAGATTTTTGCACAGTGCAAAGGAAAATTAACGAAAAATACATTGCTCTTCAAAAAAATTTTTTTTTGAATATTCCGCACTGTGCAATAAACTTTTTCCATTTTTTTGATTTTCACCCCAACTTACTTGGTCCCCAAGGCCAATTCATACACCAGGTAATGTCGAAACTCTTCATTTTTGACCAAAAATAATTTAAATTCCACTCCAAGTAGTCCGCCGGCCAAGTACAATTTCAGGATGTTGCTCGTCGCAATAAATCGTAAATCATTGTCGATTTCATCAACAATTTGCTGACAATTAGTTGGTGGAATTTCGGTCACTTCCATTTTGAATGCTGTCTCTTCTGCGACCTTATAGATGTAGTAGAAACAAAAGTTTAAAGAGTCGTCATTCAAAAGGAAAAAAGAACAGTGTAAAAAATATTGTGAAGAGATTTTATGGGGATAGAAGGTTTGTTTTGTGCTTTTAAATTTTTGATTTGAACCTTTTCTTATACATACTGCGATCTTTAGTCCCAAAACGACTTTGGCATTTTGTTGCAAGTGCCGGAAATACTGTAAATTTGCGTATAAATCGTTATGCAGACTCCAAGAGTCGTATAAAACTGACGTACAAGATTTTACAACGGTCAAATTTGAAATTCTTTAGGTCTTACCGCGATTTTTGGCATTCTGCAACAAGCCCCAAAAAGGATCGGAGAGACTTCAAAATGGGCTGAGATGTTCAGAGAAGCCCCAAATTTGGACTTTGAGCCTTTTTTATTCGAATTTCATTCAATTTCATTAATTTTTTGGACAAAAACGTCGAAATTTATGAATTTTCAAGTTTATAGGCAAAAAACGTAAATTTCACATTTTATATAACTGACATGAACTAATTAATTTTCGAAGATGACAACCATTTTCTTTGGGGTTTTTGAGCGATACGTCCAGTAGGTGACTTCGGGGTTTCCCTTCGAATCTCTCACAACGTTGTAAGCGTTGACACTCATCTCCATTACTCTCGGTCGATTTACGGAAACTGCTTTGTATGGGACCAGTCCGAGCCTAAAAGCTGATTTTTTAGTTTTGAAAAAAGGTTTGGTCATTAATCTCAATTTGTTGGTTTTTGCACTGTGCGTTGCAAATTTTGCGAAATTATGTACTGTGCAAATAGGAATGGAGATCAAAAAAATTACTGCCGTGTAAATGAGTGTTTAAATAGCAGATTTTTAGTTATTCCTTCAAGAATCTCTGGCACAGTGCGAGAAAACGATGACTTAAAATTCAGCACGGTGCAGTGCAAATTCATTCAAAAATCCGCACTGTGCAGATAAAGGAGATTCTGGAAAATAAAAAAAAATATCTAGAGAACCTGTGTAGCAAATAAAATAAAAATTTTCCCCCCGAAAGTATCGCACAGTGCAAGAAAAAGGCAAACAAAATCTGCACTGTGCAGTGAAAATTCATTCAAAAATCCGCACTGTGCAGAAAATTGGGATGCTGGAAAATAAACAGAAAAAATCTAGAGGACCTGTGTAGCAAATAAAATGCAAATTTTCCACCTGAACCTGTCGCAAAGTGCAAGAAAAAGGCACAACAAAAATCCGCACTGTGCGCTCAACAAACTTTTTCATTGATTCAGGAGCAGCTCACTTTTCAACGTTGATTTGATTGAGTCTTCGCTCAATCAAAGAGCCAATTCCTCTGTTCCGATGGGGTTTGCGAGTGAACAGCGAGGAGATCATACCAAAGTTGTCATGGATAACATAGGCGACAATCTCTTTTGTGTCCGTTTTCCGCATTGCAACCGACGGTAGGCCGGCGAGTTTTGGTCTAAAATACATTTTATAGCTTTTCCGAGATTTTTTCGGAATTATGGAGAAAAAACGTTAAATTTTATGAATTTTCAAAAATTATGGACAAAAAACGTAAATTCGAATTTTGTCGCCTGGGGTAATACTAAAACAAATTTAATATTTTTCTCAATAAAATAGTACTATTTCTGGCCCGGAAAATCGTTCTTTCTGTAACTTACGCAATATATTTCTCATCGCCTTTGGTCATGTACAACGTGTCGTTTGACACTTCAACGGCTTCTTCTGGCCTCAAACTTGAAAATTCATAGCCTTCAGGAGCTTTTAGAGTGGTATTCATCAACTTTTCGACTTGCTTATCATCAAGGTAAAAGACCCAATTGGGCTCATCCATGCTGATAAATGGATGAGAATTGGCATTTTCGAAGTATTTATTGGCCTGAAATTGTAAAATACGAAACTCGAAATCTGCTTCGGAAGCAATATTTTTACTTACAAAGGCATTATTCATCTTGTTTTTTATCTTTTTTTATCGTTTGATGTCTAGTGTAATATAAATTTTATAAAATTCCCTGATTTCTCCAACAAAAAATCAGTGAAAAAAATGTCTGATGGCAGAATAAAAAAGTCTATCCAGATGTTTTTGACGATTCAATACGCGTATTTTATTATACTTACAACTTCTCGGATATCGGCCCTCATCGAAACCGACATGAATCCATCAAATCGATCAAAAGTTGGCTGAAGATGGCTTAGTAAAGCCAAAGTTGAGTCTCGAACAAAACTAGGGTCTTCGGTATTACACTCATGTCGAATGTTCAGCCTAAAATACAAAAAAAAATAATTTTTTTCTCATTTTTATTTCATGCACTGTGCGAAAAAATAAAATTTTGTTTTGCACTGTGCAGAAAAATAAAATGATTTCTTCGCACTGTGCAAGAAAAAAAGATTGAAGTGTGCTGCACTGCGCGAAATTTTTCTTTCTTTTTGCACCGTGCAGCACTTTGAAATTGGCGCCAAAACCACACTGCACTGTGCAAAAGACTAAAATTTTTTCTTGCGCCGTGCAGAAAAATAAATTTTTGCTTTGCACTGTGCAAAAAAACAAAAATCGAAGTGTGCTGCACTGTGCGAAATTTTTTTTTCTTTTTGCACAGTGCGGCAATTCCAAATTAGCGCCAAAACCCCATGCACTGTGCAGACAAAATTTTTCATCTTCTTGCATAGTGCGGTGAAAAGAAATCATATCGTCAAAAAAGATATTGCACAGTAAAAAATGACATTCTAAATTTTTTATTGATAAAAACGTAAAAATTTATGAATTTGTAGAAAAAATTATGGAAAAAAACGTAATTTTAAAAATTGGACACTTGGAAAAAAATTGCACTTACTTAGAGCCAAACATGATTTGTTGGGCCAAAAAATGTCTAAATTCTTCATTTTGAACCAAAAATAATTTAAATTCCACCTCCAATAATCCATTTGCCAAGTACAATTTCAAAGTGTTAAAAGTCGCCAAAAATTTTAAATCCCCTTGAATCTCATCGAGGAGTCGTTGAATATCAGTTGAGGGAATTTCAACAACCTTCAGCATCACATAAACTTTCTGTTTGAAGAGAAAATTTGAACTGAAAAAATTTCTCCTCCCTTGTATGACTCTTTTTGTACGGACGGTTCGCGTCCGTCCGTACAACTAAAAACTGCGCTGGAATGATGAATCTTTGGTCGTGGGAATTGATTACGTTGCTGATAGGAGTGATGCAAAAAGTCTTTTTCTAATGTAATGTTTGTTTTTTTGCACAGTGCAATTGATTTTCCGCACGGTGCAATTTGTTTTTTGCACGGTGTAATTTAATTTTTGCACAGTGCAATTCATTTTTTTGCACGGTGCAATTTAATTTTTGCACGGTGCAATTTATTTTTTGCACAGTGCAATTCATTTTTCTTGCACAGTGCAATTTATTTTTTTGCACAGTGCAATTCATTTTTTTGCACGGTGCAATGAGCAAGGAATTGAAGTGCAAACTTTTTAAAAAAATGTTGAAATTTTGAAGGGTGGAAATTTTGGTGGTAAAAAATTACCACCATGACTAGTGATTTGAGATCCAAATTGACAATTTTTTGTGGAAAAAATTACGTTTTTTCTCCATAAATTGTAAAATTCATAAATTTTAACGTTTTTGTCCATAATTGATGTGTAATGGTCATAAAAGTTATGAAAACGACTGAAATTTATCTGAGTGGACACTGGACTTTTCAGCAGTTAAAATTTTTGAAAAATTTCATGTTTTTCGCCCACATATACATTTAGTTACAAACATATGTCTGTTGCCTGCAAAGATCATTCAATATCTTGCCTCCCATCGCAATGAATGAGCTGAAATTTTCAGACACTGATTTGAATCTTTGTAGATTATTTTCCTCAAATTTTATCAAATCTGAGCATCTTGCCTCGAGCTAATTACAATTTATTATCATCTCTCCTAATCATCATCAATATCGCCTTGAAGAATTTTAACGTCAAAAAATGCCAAAAATGTGTTCAGGATGAAGAGCACCACCGACGCCGCCAACCAGCCGCGTTGGTTGTTGAATTGGATCATGTACCAGATCAGAATCCCCATTCCCGTAAAATAAAGGACGATGCACAACATCGAGTAGTATTTTTCCTGAAAAAATGTGTGAAAAGTTTTAAAAAATCAAAAATTATAATAATTTTTTCTCAAAAATATATCGCACTGCGCATATTTTACAAAAATTTTTACTTATTTTTTTATTCTGCACTGTGCAATGACAAATTTAGGCTTATTTTTGGTCCGCACAGTGCAATCATCAAAATAATGTTTCGACCGCACAGTGCAACAGAAAAAACGAAAAAAATTTGCACAGCGCAATCGAACGCGACAAAAAATTTGAGTGCACAGTGCAGCAAAAAGAAAAATCTTTTGTTTTGCACAGTGCATCGTTAATAAACTTTTGATCGTTTGACTGCACAGTGCGAAAAAATTTTTTTCTTGTCGCCGGATGATCGCTAATTCCAATTCATTGAAGATTGCACAGTGCAACAGAAAAAATGAAAAAAATTGCACAGTGCAATCAAACGCGACATAAAAATTTGAGTGCACAGTGCAGCAAAAAGAAAATTCTTTTATTTTGCACTGTGCAATAACAAAATTAGGCTTATTTTTGGTCCGCACAGTGCGAAAAATTTCTTTTCTTTCTTGTCGCCAAATGATGTTTTCATTGCACTGTGCAAGGAGAAAAAAAGTGAAGATTTGAATCTGCCTGCACAGTGCAATAAAATCAAAGAAAAAATTTTGATTGCACAGTGCAGATTTGAAAAAAAAAATCCAAAAATCTCCACAGTACGGTAATTTTTCATTCGTTAAAGATTGCACAGTGCAAAAAAAAACACTAAAAGCACCAAAAAAATGCTGAACTTACCAGTGGTCGATTTCCCAAGTCGATGAAATTCAAAATGAAAACGAGAATGTTGACAAATACCAACGTCATGTTAATGCCCGCGGGGATTGCGACATATTTCTCGCTGAAACAGCTCCTTCCGCCATACCAATTGGCACAGAGAAGCGACGAGATGATGAACCCGGTGATTATGTGCAAAATTTTGCACATTCCATGATTACTGCTCAAATAATGCTTGTTAATCAACATGACAGGCCCTGAAATTATCGATTTTAAAAATTGAAATGAAATTTTTTTGGTTTTGAAACGAATAATGAATAAAAAAATTTACTGCACTGTGCAAAAAAAGTTGTTTTTGTATATTGCACAGTGCAGAAAAAATATAAGCGAGAAATTTATGATAATATATAACCTTAATTGGCTACAAAATTCTATGACGTCTTCACAATACAAAAATTATTTCATCGCAGAATGCATTAACCAAAAATATTTTGACTGCACAGTGCGCTGAACAGAATTTTTGTGAATGCACGGTGCAAGGAAAAATTTGATTGAAAAAGATCACAAAAAAATTTCAAGTCTAAATGGACCTTGTCCCATGACGAATTTCTTCTTCCAATAAAATCTGCGACAAAAAAAATTTCGCACAGTGCGCTTGGCCTTTTCAAAAAAAATCCCGATTGCACAGTGCAAGAAAATAAAAAATAGTCATTTGCGCTGTGCAATTGAGCTTTCCTTCGGATGCGACAAAAAAAATTGATTTCAATTTCCACTGCACCGTGCAGACCTTATTTTCAATGCAAAAATCCAACTGCACAGTGCGAGAAATAAAAAAAAATGTCTGGCCGCACATTGCACATTCCCATTCTTGCCAATGCGACAAAAATTATTTTTCTTTTCCCTCTCCGCACAGTGCAATGACCTTCGACTTCTCACTGCACTGTGCAGCCCGTTTTTTCAACTAAAAAGCCGACTGCACAGTGCGGAAAAATAAAAAAAATCTCAGGCCGCACTGTGCAAATATCACTTCTTTTCCAATGCGACAAAAATTGTTTTCTTTCCCCTCCCCGCACTGTGCAATAACCTTGGACTCCTCATGCACTGTGCAGCCACTTTTTCAATGCAAAAAATCATCTGCACAGTGCAAAAAATGAAAAACATATTTGGCCGCACAGTGCAGATTCTCATTCTTGCCAAAGCGACAAAAATTATTTTTCTTTCCCCTCCCCGCACAGTGCAATGACCTTGGACTCCTCATGCACTGTGCAGCCCGTTTTTTCAACTAAAAACCCAATTGCACAGTGCAAAAGATCAACGGAACCGATTAGCTCGAACAAACTGAAACTTGTAAAAAACTGCTGGCACTACTGTTTGCGGAGTAGTAAGAAGGGAAAAGACGGGAATTATCAACTCCCACGCCGCGAGAGCATCACCTTATATTGCTCTTGGCGGGTTGCGCAATCGATTTTAAACAAATGGATCGAGTTTATAAAAAAAAAGGAAAAAAGGAGGCGTCGCGCTTGAAAACACAAGCCCACAAGAGACAAGTCTGTATTATTATCCTTCGTCTTGGGTTGTTGTTTTGTTTTTACAAGGTTCGGCTTGAAAAGCGGCGAAAAATGGGGAAAAATGAAAGAAAAAGTGATTAAAGCTCCGGATTTTAGGTTGTAAAAGGCACGTAGGATGGTTTTGAAGTAAAACAAAACATTTTCGAATGATATTTTACATTATTTTTCATATTTTCGCTAAAAAATTTTTTTTATTCCAAAAATTTTTCATTTTTCCACAAAAAAATCAGTAAAAAATCAAAAAATATTTATTATTGAGCAATATATATTACAATTTACAAGTTTTTACAGTAGTAAGTGTGATTATTTCCCGTACAAAACAAAAAAAAAATCTGCACAGTGCAATCGAAAAACAAAAATTTCCCCGCACTGTGCGGACAAATAAAAACTGCACCGTGCAAAAAAACAAAATCAATTTTTCGCACCGTGCAAAATCCCAAAAACGAATTTCGCACAGTGCTTTACAATCAACCCACCGCACAGTGCAAAAAATCAAAAAAGTGTTTGCACAGTGCAGTTTTTCAAAAAAATTCAAAAATGAGTCCTAAAAGTTGGAAAAATCAAAACAATTTAGAGTTTGTTTTTGAGCTGGATTCGGCCAGAGTCGATGAAGATTTGGCGGAAGTCGCGCAGGCTGCTGACCAGCGATTGCTGGAAGAGTTTCGCCGAAGTTTTGGGGTGGCTGTGGTAGGCAGTGATCGTAAAGTAGATCCGGTCTTCTCTCGGATTGTAGCAAATTCCGTAGCAGTCCGGCTCCGAGGGTCCGAAGCCGAGATGGAGTTCGTTTTTGGTCGGGACTTGGCTGGTGGAGATCTGAAATTGGCAAGTGTAATATAATCAGATGGATAATATCGGCTAAAAATTGGAGAAAAAAGATTTCATATGACCTATAAAGCTGAGTAACTTACTCTAGCATCCTATATATTTCAATAAAAACTGTATTTCAATGATTTTAAAATAATTTTTATTTTCAGGTCTCACCACGAAATCTTGACTTTTTACTGTAAAAATTAGCTCCAACTTCTTTATTAAGCTTCCTATCGCATGAATTCCTCATAATCAGTCATATTCAGTCTTAATTTTGATGTTTTTCAACTTTTTTGGTCCCACCACGAAAATTTGAATCTTTACCAAACCGCCTCAAATCTCCCAAAAATGCTTCCAAATCAGTTATATACTCTTTTACAGTCTTTCTAAACATTGTTCTTTCTACTAAACCAACAAATTCTATCTCTTCCAGGTCCCACCACGAAAACTTGAATCTTTACCAAACCGCCTCAAATCTCCCAAAAATGCGTCCAAAACAGTTATATACTCTTATAAGGTGTTTTCAACATTGTTCTTTCTACTAAACCAACAAATTCTATCTCTTCCAGGTCCCACAACGAAAACTTGAAATCTCCCCAAACGCGCTGAAACCCTCCAAAATCGATCCCAAACATCCTACCTGGAATCTGACAAGTCTCTGCAATGCTTTTCCTTGCAACAAAGGGGGCAATTCGATTCCCTCTTCGGCGGCGATCATTTTCCATCCCAAAATGTGCCGATCCATGGCTTTGCCGCTCATCGCCGTGTTCACATACTGCTTGTGGGCGTCACAGGCCTTCACCAGCAACGAGCATTGTTCGGCGACAGAGTCGCGTTGGATGGGGCCCGCCAGCGCCTCGACCATTTGTTTCGAGGACTCGTTTGGGAGGCGGACCGTGTCGGTTCGGCCGTCCTTGAACTTTCTGAGCGTTCCAGTCTCATACGTGGGGACAACAGTGCCATGCAAGCGATAGTAGGCACATTGGAGGGCCATTTGGATCAGGGAATCGGGGGAAACATGGGCATCTTTGGCCAGTTTTTTGCCAAAATCGTCAAATTCCAGGGATCGTACCTCCAGGTCGGCGTTACGTCTAAAATACCGATTTTTGAGCTAAAATCAAAATCGGAAAATACTAAATTTTCTCAAAATCCCTCTCTGACGCCAATCCAGAAAGGCTATACGTATTTTAAAGATTGTAAAAATTAAATTTTGGGTCCCACCACGAAAGCCCTGAAAATCAGGGAAACCTCTCCAAATCTCTTCCCATAGCGTAAAATTGTGTTCAAATTACTGCTTGATCAGTTTTACTCATATTACTACTGTTAAATACGTCGTATTTTACCCAAAAGTTCAATTTTCGATTTAGGTACCACCACGAGAGCCCTGAAAATCAGGGGAACTTCTCCGAATCTCTTGACATAGCGTAAAATTGTATTCAAACTATTACTTGATAAATTTTAATGAAATTCCAAATCGGTATATCGTATTTTACCCAAGAATTCAATTATCAATTTTAGTCCCACCACGAAAACCCTGGAAATCAGGGAAAGTTCTCCAAATCTCTTGCCATAGCGTAAAATTGTACATAAATTACTACCTGATAAATTTTAATGAAAACTCCACATACGTTGGCGTATTTTACCCAAAAATTGAAACCAAATTTTTAAATTTTGGTCCCACCACGAAAACCCTGAAGATCAGGGGAACTTCTCAAACTTCTTCAATTCCTACCCAAACTACTTTCAAATTTCCCCCTGCCCTTATAACACCTCAAATCCGCCCAATTCCCTCCACTTACTCATCATTCTTCTCCACATTTGCATGTAGAGTGGATCTGTCCAGCTCGGTCAATCTCCAGTTCAATCGGATGGGTTTGTGCTCACAATTGTCGGTGATGTAATTGAACTGGCCTGCTTTGAGGCGATCCTGACAATAATCGAGGAGTCTGGCGACCGGTGGGCCTTCGGCCGGGGTGTGTTCGTAGCAAAGGCCGAGGGCGCCGCTGGGGCTCACGTAGAACTGGAGGCATTTGTCGAACCAGCGGTTCACCGTGTTCTGTTTGGCGCCGCCGCCGTGCAGGGCGTTCATCATGTTGGCTTCGCGGCGATTGTAGCCGGTGGGGATGGGGTAGGCGTTGTCCAGGCACATCACGAACAGCGCGTCCTCGAAGGCCTCGATTTCGGCGGCGTTGTTCTCTAAAAAAACAGTAAAAATTACAAAAATTATATCGGAAATTGAACAAAAAGGGATATTTTAGGAACTAATAGTCTTTTTTGCCCATATTTTACCATTTCCGATCAAAAAATCGAAAATTTCGAAAAATAAAACTTTCGTGTTGGGACCCAAAATTACTTCAAAAAAAGTTTTTTCAGGCCGTAAAACATCTTCAAACTTAAAATAAATTCAATTCCTTCAGAAAATATAACAATTCCAACGAAAAAAGGCCAATTTTTCGAATTTCAGGTTTTCGTGGTGGGACCTAAAAATTTGAAAAAATCGTCTTTTTACTGAAATACTAAAAAACAGGGTCCTCAACACATCATAAATCAACTTACTAGCTAATTTCATGTACACCGGTGCCCAGGTTTCTCGATCCGACGCCGAGAGTAAGTTGATCGGTTCTGGGTTTCTCTCCTGGCTGGCCGGTAAGATATATTTTTTGAAGTTGTGGACGAGCTGTTGAAGGCCCAAAGGCTGTCCCGACTTTGAGTATACGGGGAATCGGAAGGTCTGAAGATCAAAATAACCAAATTATTATATTATACTAGACCCAAATATAAAAAAGCCTAAAATTTTACTTACATGTCCATTCCTGGTGAGCAAAATGTGGTTCACTCTGTTGGGGGAGTCCCTGCCGTACCTCAGGATGTCCTTTCCCGGTCTGGGGATTCGAGTTGTTCCAAAGATATTATCAAATTGACTCATGTCAAAAGGTGTATTTCCGCCGTCTTGAGTCAGAGATTTTCTGAAAAATTGACAAAAATAAGTTTAAAATTAGACAGAGTATATTTATAAGACATTTCGACCATTTCTAGGGCAAAATTTTGCTTTTTTTGGTCCCACCACGACTTCCCTGAAGATCAAGGAACTGCCCAAAATTTTCCAGAATTCAAAAATATACAGGGTGCGCCAAAAATATTGGGACAAAAATACATTCCGTGTAGCTTTTTTCGGCTGGCCTTGGAATCAAAACTTTTGGCCGTTTTGGCAAGGGTAACAGTCTTGCTATACGGCAACGGTAATGCCAGGGTTAGGGCTTATTGTAAACTTGAAAAAATATTCAAAAGTTTTTGGGGGACCAAAATGTTCTTTTCAAGTGGATGACCGGGAAATCAATTTGGCCATTATTTCCGCTAAGTGAAAGTAAGATCCTTCAAATTTATTGTGTATAAAGCACATGATATTCACTTCGTAACAACGTATGTAATCATGGTTGACGACCGATATGGCGGCGCTGGTCGAAAAAACAAAAAAAAATCCCGAAAGTTCGGATTTTTATGTTTTTAACGATCTCAATATCACAGTATCGCCCGTGTTGCTCTAAAATTTTGTGGTTATAGAGTGTGTACATAGGGAATTGTCATACTGTAAAAGAAAATCTACACCTACAAGGGGACAGTTTCTGTATGGAAAAAACTTTATGGTGCGGATTGGAGGCACGGTCCTTCGAAGCTTGATATATTTTGGTAGTTTACTACAAGTTGAAAAGTACTTGAGCGTAAAAATCGACGTAACGCTGTACTCGGGATACATGCTGACACAACTGAATTACTTTTAGCGATCTTCAGTCCAAGCTCACTTGACGAGCAACCTTAGAGTAAATTCTACCGCTGTAGTCACTATTTCATCCCCCAGAAGCAGAAGATAAAAAAATAAATTTTCAAAGACGACTAGTCAGACAAGATGTAATCGCCATTATAAGTAAAAATCATTTTTAGTGTATAAAAAGCGACCGCTACTCTGTCATATAAAGTGAATTTCTGCCATAGCATGCAACGGTAAAACTAGTGTTTCCAATTTTTATCCATTTTGGGGTCCGTGTCTCAGGGGCCTAAGTTGTGAGCACTTATAATGGCAGAACAGGTGTCGTATACGACTACTCTGTCTGAAACTTTGAAGGTAGATTCTTGGGAGCATTGCACGTTTGCACAAGCGACCACTTTGCTCTTGTACCATTACAGCCCGCAGGGCAAGTAAAAATATGAGTCCCAATATTTTTGGCGCACCCTGTATAGCAACAGACCAAAAAAGGCAATTTTTAGAGTATTTTAGACCCTATAACCCCCAAGAATCCCAAAAGAAAACTCAATTTTTGGTACCACCACGACTTCCCTGAAAATCACGGAAACTGCGCAAAATTTTCCAGAATCCAAAAACAGGTAGTACAAGACCAAGAAAGGCAATTTTTAGAGTATTTTAGACCCTATAAACCCCAAGAATCCAATCAAAAGCTCAATTTTGGTCCCACCACGACTTCCCTGAAGATCAGGACAATTCTTCAAAACTTCTCCAAACCCAAACCCTCTCAAAATATGCCCTCCAACTTACTCATCGACCATTTTTTTAAAGTCCAAAGCGGCTTGAATCAGCTTGGCCGCGTACTCCAACTGGCCTTCCTCTCCTTCAAAGTCCCCAAAAGCCATGGTCATGCCGGGGCTGGTCACAATTGGCAGTGGATCACGGCCCGCCAGGTATGCGGCATCCAGCCACCACGGGGTCAGCCAGTTATCGAGGCGCATCGCGCGTTGTTGCAACAAATCTTGGAGTTTTCTTGCATTCTCGTCCTTCAGAAAGTCGGCCGCTTCTTTTTGAGTGACTTTAAAATCTTCGGGAGATTGGATGACTTTGGCGAAATCGACGAGCTTTTGGACCGTCTCTTCGAGGCCGGGAACCGGGAGTTTTGGGAGGTTGGTTTGGTAGCCTGGAATTGAAAAATGAGAAGAAAAATCGCAAAATTTTGCATTTTTTATGATAAAATTTGATTCAAAATCCCAAAATTGACCACAAAGGTTCGCATGATTTTACTTCACAAACATTTTTTTATTCTTTTGTTAACGTATTTTACCTATCTATTTCAAAATTTTTGATTTTTTTCTTTCATTTCAGGTCTCGCAACGAAAACTTGAAATTTTAAAAATCCCGTTAATAAATTTACAAAATTTACTCTTTCTGTGCAAATATAATTGCGGTTCTACAAGTCGTATTTTACCACTTATTTAAATAAATTTTGAGTCCCACCACGAAATCCCTGAAAATCAGGGAAAGTCAAAAATACCGGCAAAAACAGGTAAAACACATCCCATGGTTCCTTAAAAACCACAAATTCCCTCAGGCAACTGTCCAAAACCCCACTCAAATTCAAAAAAAGCTCTTTTCACTTCATTTCTACCTAAAACAATATCCAAAATTTCAATATTCATCTCTCAAACCTACCGTAGCTCCTCTTCTGTGCCATTCTAATGTTCTTGGCCTTGTCGTTCTGGCCCAACATCGTATTGTCGGTGAGTGTTTGGAGCGTAGCCGAGTTCGAGAGCGGTCGGGAGGGTTGATAAGCGGCGACTGCCTGAAAACAGCAACAACCCTTGAGACGGTTCGCCCAATTTACGGCAATATAAAAGTTGTATTCTGGGTGAAAGAGCAGTGGGCGCTCGAGGCGCAAGAAATGTGACTTTTGGGATACGGAACGCGCTTTTTTTTGGGTAATATTTCATTGAAGAGCAATCAACACTTTTTTCGGAGTGATAACGCAACAAAAAGCAATGAATAAAACGTACGGATGCAATTCCTATGTCTACAATTCGATTTCAGACGGTTTCAATAGGGTTTGGAAGTTTTCAGGTTTTCGTGGTGGGACCCACTGGGTCTGAAAACGAAAACTGGAAAAGCGGATGTAGATGGCTTAAAATTCGTCAGTGATGTTTCAAACTCTATTTCCAAATATTTATTCGCGTTTTTATCATTATAAAACATTTTATTTTTATGATGTGTTTTGAGTCCGGATACGAAAACTTTAAAATTTTTTGTTTCGCTCAAAACTTATGTCCAAAGTCGTCCAAAACGACCAAAAACAATCAACAACGCTTCATTCAGTTTATTAATTCCTTCCGTCATAAATTGAATGAAGCGTTGTTCAAAGGTACATTCATTTGAACGAAACAAAAATTTTTCAAGTTCTCGTGCCGGGCCTCAAACACGTCATAAAAATAAAATGTTGTATGACGATAAAAACGCGAATAAATATTTAGAAGTGGAGTTATGAACATTACTGACAAATTTTAAGCCATTTACAGCTGATTTTCCAGTTTTCGTTTTCAGACCCAGTGGGTCCCACCACGAAGACCTGAAACCTCTCAAAATCCCTTGTAACCGGGGAATAGAGCTGATCAACAAAGTATCAGATTATTTTTCAATCTAAACTGTTCAGTTTTACCCCCCAATCTCCAAAGAATAAATTCTCCTTTATTCAAAGACCACAAAACCCCCAAAATTTAAACATTTCATCTAAAAAATCAATCAGTCCAAGCAGACAAGACCAAATTAGCGACCACCACAGTGGAGTCACTCCACATTCCCCTTGAAACTCCCAAATTTACAGTTTTTTCACCTCGATTTACCCGTTTTCCCTTCGTTTCATTAGCTCGAAAACGCAAAAATTCCAAAAAATAAGGGTAAAAAGCCCCCCAAAAAATATCATCACCAAAAGTCCATTATATAGACTCTAAAGAACATCAAACACTTAACCAAACTTCAAACACACTTACACTACGAAAGTTGTGGCGGATCAGAGCGCCGCGCGCCCAGCTCCGTTGACCCATGGAAATGAGGGCTATTGCTCGCCTGCACGCCATTTTTCGGTGATATCAGACGTCTACGTGCCGTGTGCAGTCCCGTGAACAATGATCGATTCGATTGGAAACTGAAAATCAAAAATTTTATATTGTCCTTGATATCTGATGTTCGAAGTGGGTAATGTAGCTCGAAGACACATAAAATATAGCGGAATCGTGGGTTGGAAGCAAGTGTAGGGTGCAATGAAGCTTCAGTGAACTTTTGGAGTCAGAATTTACCCATATATGAAGCTAAATTTTACTTGACTATCTTGATGTTACCCATGGCAAAATTTGATGGAAAAGTTTAAAAATTAGGTCATAAAAGGACAACATTGCAAAGTTTAAGCTTCAAGGCAGCTAGACTGACAAAATTTTCCCCATAAACAAGCAAAAAAATATTATTTTTAAATACACTTGACATCTGATATTATTCATGAGAAATTTGACGGAAATTTAATCAAAATGTCATATGAATATTATATAAATAGAACGCTTAACAACTGAACTACCTAAAACAATCAATTACGACTTTCAAATCCCCAAAAAATTAGAGTTATATTACACTTGACATAAATTTAAATCCAATCTCCAAAAATTCAACATTCCTTTGAATTTATGGAGAAAAATAAGTCTCTTTAGCCCTAAAAGCTAAAAGAAGGGCATAAACAACACGTCCTTCCCATGGATATTCAGTATGACCGGCCTAAACCTCTTTTAAAAATAATAAGTTTTCCACGGATAACATCGAGAGCAAAAATTCTCGTTAAAAGTGAGAAAAAACATATTAGAAACCATCTGGGAGCTATTGCGCGGTTACAGAGCTGCATGGTAAACAAATAACGTTTCAAAAAAAGAAAGAGTAAATTGAAGAGAAAGAGTTGACCCATCCTAATGGTTTGGGTCAACTGTTCTTCTCGGGAAAGAAAATGTAATTACGCAGCGGGAATGGCACAAAATGACTTAAAGATGTCAAATGTAGTTGAAAAAGTCTCTGGTTACAGTTATATCACAAAAAAATTAGGATTTTTTGGCAAAAAATGGGAAAGTTTAGAGATTTTTCTTCAAGAAATTAAATTTTAGCGTTCCGAAGTGGAATACGTAAGTAATTTTGATGAAAAATTAAATGGCATGGTTGTTGAAGCACTCTAACCCTATTTTTGACTCAAATGACAACAAAATATTACCAAAAGTGCTTAAATTTTTTTTGAATTTTTTGATATTTTCCCCCTAAAATAAGGTAAAATACGCGGCAGAAACTTTGTTTCTTTTTTTTTTAATCTCAACGTGACAACAATGCTCTGACAGCCCTTGAAACGAGGGAAATGCGAGTTCGAACAGTGTTTGTCTCGATTGAAGCCAGCCCAAAAAAAGACAAACCTCCGTTCTTATCGCCGGTCCGTCGCTTGATATTTTCCCCCCAACAAATTTTTCAGTTTACTCTCTACACGTCCGACCACTCTCTCGAAAGAGCGGAGGAACTTTTGTTTACCAGTGAGCGACTTTTTGGGATGTTTTTTTTGAGAAAGAATGGGGGAGAGAAGGGAAAGATAACAATGGAGATGCCAGAAAGACAGGGTCATTGACTTGAGAAGATGTTTTGGAAGAAAGATTTGCGTTTGCACGGTGCAATCAGCTGTTTTCTAAATTTTGTTGTTTTTCGCACGGTGCAGTCGGATTTTTGTCATCGCACAGTGCGTTTTGCTAATAATTATTGGCCAAAATGTAGTGTAAATAGTAAAATACGACATTGGAAAATTATAGTGACATTTCTGGACGAAAACTTTGTCTGCACAGTGCAAAATCGTGACATCTTTGATTTTGCACTGTGCAATGAAAATTTTTTTACCGCACAGTGAGTAAAAGAAGTTGAAAAGTAATGTAGATGGTAGAATAATACCACAGTGAATATTCAAAATGAAATTTTGACAAAAAATTTGCTTCCGCACAGTGCAATAAACTTTTTTCAAATTCTGCACAGTGCAATAAAAAAAATTTTACCGCACAGTGCGCAAATACAAATTAATTGAATCAAAAAGCCAGCTAGCAAGCAGAACACGATGTAAACTTTAATTTGAGACTATTTTTACTTCCACTTCCCCATTTTACGGAGAAAAATTAATCAATTTTTCCATTCGTACGGTGCAACTTTTATCTGAAATTTTATGCACCGTGCAAGTAAAAATGTCATAGTTTGTGTTACAAAAAAAAGAATCCGAAGGTAGCATTGTACTTTACATCAGTAAAAACGTATCCCAAAAACGTCACGCACACTAAAAACGAAGAAGGAAAGTAACAAAATTTGTAGCGGACAAATTTCAAGCAAAAGCCTTGTGTTCAGCAATCACTCTTCATGGGAGTGCACTTTGACCTCTGGATTACGAAAAAAGTTTGTCTGATCAAAAAAAGAAACAAGGAGTTCTTTTCAAATCGCACGGTGCAACATAATACAATTGCACACCGCACAGTGCAATTAAAAAAATTTTTTTTGCACGGTGCAAAATTTCAGAGAAAAGTTAAAGTCGCACAGTGCGAAACAGAAAAAAAATTTTGCACAGCACAGCGCAACCTAAATTTTTTGTACGATGCACTGTGCAAAATTTCAAAAAAAACATGTTTTGCACCGTGCAGTAGAAAAAGTTCAAAATCTGCACGGTGCCAACCAAAAATTCAAAAACTTTCCAAATTGCACAGTGCAATCAAAAATTTTTTTGGAAATGCGGTTTTGCACCGTGCAACAGAAAAAGTTTGAAATCTGCACAATGCAATAAAAACAATTTTTCGCACCGTGCAAAAATTCACAACTTTCTCAGATTGCACTGTGCAAATTTTTTGAAAATGCGACTTTGCACAGTGCAACAGAAAAAGTTTGAAATCTGCACAGTGCAAAAAAAATCTTTCCGCACCGTGCAAAAATTAACTTTTCGACTGCACAGTGCGCCTCAGAAACGATTTTCCGCACCGTGCAAAAATTCGCAGCCTTCTCAAATTGCAATGTGCAATCCAAATTTTCGAAAAAACCCGCACTGTGCGTTCCAAATCCCTTCTGCACCGTGGAATAGAAAAAGTGCAAAATCTGCACAGTGCACCAAAAAAGTATTTGTCGCGCCGAACAAAATTAACTTTCCGACTGCACAGTGCGCCTCAAAAACAATTTTCCGCACCGTGCAAAAAATCGCAACCTTCTCAAATTGCACTGTGCGGTCGAAACTTTCGAAAAAAACCGCACTGTGCATTCCAAATCGCTCTTTTGCACCGTGCAAAACCCCCGGACCTCGTGTTTTGAGCTAAAAATATTCGTCAAAAAAGCGAAAAGAGACAATGCTCGTGGAACGTTTGGGAAAACACGGCGTTCCTCCCTCCATTTCGCCTGCCATGTGAGCGAAGGCATAAACAAAAACAGGGGAAAAGTGCGAAAAATTTGAAAAAAAGACGGACCGCGAAGCGATCCAATCGTATTTTCAGGCGGATCTGCACGGTTCGAGAGCGGTTGTTTGCCATTTTCTAGGTTCGTACTTGATGAAAGTCACGTACGACGTAAACATTGGCCGGATTCGGGGGTTTAGCACAGTGAATTGGCCTCGAAAACATGTGGAAGATTGGGAAGAGTGCAAAATTTCGAAAATTTTTGAGAAAAAAGTTTGTTTTTTTGGAAGAAAACGGAGTTAAAATTGATTGGGAAAGGACAGTGACGTTAGGGGAGCTTCTAATTTTAATTTTAAACGACATCTTTTAAAAAAAATTTTTTTCTGAAAAATTGAGAAAAATCGAGATTTTTTGGAAAAATCATCTCAAAAAAGATCAGATATAGCGAAAAAAGAACATAAAAATCAAAAAAAAAATCATGACAAAATTTTTGCCCCAGGCAATTACTAATTTTTTGTTTTCTTTCATTTTTTTACTTTCTGCACAGTGCAAAATAATTTTTTTCATAAAAACTCTCGATTTCTCCCATGGAAAGCTCTCGCAAAAGGGCGAAACGTTTTTACGAAGAGGGCTCGTCGCATTCAAATACGAAAACAAGAAAAATCTAGAACTTTCTGACCCCAAAGATCAAATTTCGGCGCCAAAAAAGTCTTTTTCTCTTGCACAGTGCAGCCGAAAATCAGTTGGGAAAAGTTGATGCACTGTGCGAAGCGTGTTTGACCTTTCGGCTTATCTTATCGCACAGTGCGGTCAACGGAAAAGTTGGTTGGACTGGAAACGCGATGAAAATTTGCCGCACTGTGCAAAAAAAAGAAAGAAAGATGATTTTATTGCACAGTGCAAAATGAAAAAAGACTTTTCTCACTGTGCGAGACAAGCTGAGAAGTTGCACAGTGCGAAGAAACATCGCGCGGTGTTTTGCACTGTGCGACAAAAACTCCTTCCGCACGGTGCAAAAGTAAGAAAGAAAGATGATTGATTGCACTGTGCAAAATGAAAAAAAGACTCTTTGCACTGTGCGAAACTTGTCGCAAAATTGCACAGTGCGAAGAAACATCGCGCGGTTTTTTGCACTGTGCGAACGGCAAAACTCCTTCCGCACGGTGCAAAATCGGAAAAAGTTTTTTTGCACTGTGCGAAACATGCCGCAAAACATTTTCGCACTGTGCGAACGACAAAACATCATGCGCACTGTGCAAAAATAAGAAAGAAAGATTGATTGCACAGTGAATTTTTGCAGTGTGCAAAACATGCCACAAAATTGCACTGTGCAAGGGAAAATCGCGCGGTGTTTTGCACTGTGCGAACGACGAAAACTCCTTCCGCACGGTGCGAAAATAAAAAATGTTTTTTTGCACTGTGCGAAGAAACATCGCGCGGACTTTTGCACCGTGCGAACAACAAAAAACCTTCCGCACTGTGCAAAATCGGAAAAAAATTTTCGCACTGTGCGAAACTTGCGACAAGATTATTTCTGCGCACAGTGCACATAAAAAACCTTGTTTTTGAGGAAAAAACAAAGTGAAATGTTTTTTCACACTCTGAAAAATAGCAAGGTGCAAAAAAAATTTGTGAAATACGATGACATAACCTCTAAACTCTAAAAAATACAAACTGGAATACAAAGAAAATCGTAAATACTTATCAGCGACCTTTTTTCCGGCTTCTCTAACCCCGATAATAACAAGAAATTTGTAATTGGCTCTGAAATTATCTATTATTAGTAGGTGGACTAACAAAGTGAATCGTGGATGTGTTGTTATTTCGCTTGTTGCAGTTGTTTTGGGTCAGTTGTAAGTCAATTCGGATAAAAAATATCCGCACAGTGCGGTCAGAATTTTCTTTTGCACTGTGCAGTTTAGCAGCAAAATTGCACATTGAACCTTGAAATATAGTCTTTTCCTCGACTAATTAGACCTTTAGTTATTGCACTGTGCAAATTTCTCTCTTCACTGCACTGTGCGATAGGGTTGAACAATCTCCGCACTGTGCAGTCAAAAAATTTTTTTGCACTGTGCAGTATAGAAGCAAGGTGTAATGCGAAAGATAAATATGAGTTTTTTATTGACTAATTAGCCTCTAGATCATTGAACTGTCCAATTTTACCCCTTCTCTGTACCGTGAAATAAAATTTAAAAAATCCCCGCACCGTGCAGTCAAAAAATTTTTTTGCACTGTGCAGTCTAGCAGCAAGATGGTGTTTTACAAAAAATAAATATGAGTTTCTTACTGATTATTCAGGCCCTATATAACTGTGCTGTGCAATTTTCCTCTTCCTCTGCGCCGTGAAATAAAATGGAAAAATTTCCGCACAGTGCAGTCAAAATATTTTTTTGCACTGTGCAGTCAAAATATTTTTTTGCACTGTGCAGTCTAGGAGCAGAACTGCGTAAAGCAAAAGATAAATATGAGTTTTTTATCGACTAATTAGTCTCTATCTGATTGCACTGTCCAATTTCTCCCTTCCTCTGCATCGTAAAATGAAATAAAAAAAAATTCGCACAGTGCAGAAATTTTTTTTAAACTTTAATTAAAAATTCCACATTTTAGCGATGGCAAGTGTGTGTGTCGAACACTGGACTACTAATTGGACTGGTTGGCTTCTTTTTGATCGCTTGGTTTTACAAATTGGAATGGATTATACTACCTTTCGCCTTATTAGTAACTTACAGTACTATTAGAAAATTAGAGCAGAAAAAGCCCGTCTATTGGTATGCAACGTATGTTGTAGGGGTGAGAATGAATTTTTTAGAAAATTTTTTTATTTTCCACCGCCATATGGATTACTGTAACACTTTTTTCAGATCCTAACCCTAATTTTGCTCGGAATTTTGTCCGGATTTGCCGTTCAAGAGGCAGTTTTGAAACCTGACTGCTTCGAATTGACCATGATATTCCTTGTGCTTCTCACTTTTGTCCCATTCCACCTTTACACATTGGTTTTGGTCTACATGGATCAACAAAATTGGCTTTCGGAGGAAAAAACGGGCAAAAAGATAAAACCGGAGACTTTGTCAGCGGTTAAAATCATTTTCAAAGATGAACTACAACGACAGGAATCTAAATTCGACGCGAGAATCACTTGAAATTGAATTTTTTTACAATTTTTTGAATAAACTTTTTTTTGCACTGTGCAGAGATTTTTGAATTTGATTGCACGGTGCAGAGAGAAGAGGAAATTGCACAGTGCAGCGAATTATGAATTTATTTGGCGATAAAAAAGATTCTTGGGTTCATCGCACAGTGCAGATTTGCCTTTGGACTGCACAGTGCGAAAATATTTTTTGACCGCACCGTGCAAAAATATTCTTTGTTTGCACTGTGCGAAAATAGTTTTTGACCGCACTGTGCAAAATTATTTTTTGTTCGCACCGTGCAAAAATATTTTTGGACAGTACCATACAAAACTATTTTTTGACCGCACAGTGCAAAATTATCTTTTGATCGCACGGTGCAGAAATATTTTTGTCCGCACCGTGCAAAGATCTTTTTGGACCGCACCGTGCAAAAATATTTTCTGACCGCACAGTGCAAAGGTATTTTCTACCGCACTGTGCAAAATTTTTTTTTGACCGCACTGTGCAAAAATTTTTTTTGACCGCACTGTGCAATGGAATTTCAGAGGCCAAAAAGCAATGCAAAAAAAAATAAAATAAAGTGAATAATGTAAAATACGAAGCTTCTAGAGATGAATTTTTCAAATCCAACCGATTTTTTATTCGAAAACTTAAAAAAATAATGAAAAATTCCAAAAAAAGTCAAAAAATTAAAATTTTATTCAAATTTTTTGCTCTGCAAGGTAAAATTGTGGTGCATTCTTCCTTCTTGACCCCTCGGCTTGCGGTCACCTACCCTCTGAGTACCCGGAATGATGAATGTGACGCGTCCTCAACCTGCCACCAAGAATGCGAGAGCTCGTTTCGTAAGTTTGGGGGTGAAATACGTCGTTGTTGGGGTTTCTATAGTTTGCCTTTTTCTTAGATTTTTTGAATTGGATTACTGTAATTTTGAGACCAAATTTTGAGAAATTTTGATGACTTTTTTTTGAAAAAATTCTAAAAATAATGGGTCTGTTTAGTTGTAAAATACGTAAATCCGACTTCTATTAAAGTGATTTTAGTCGTTGGGGTTACTGTAATTTAATTTTTTTTTTCAAATTTTCATCGTTTTCACTCTAAATTAGAACTGAAAACGTTGATTAGGATGTAAAATACGACCCCTGGACTTTTGTTGCGATTTTTGATGAAATCTAGGGCTCATTGGACGACTGTGGGTTACTGTAACACTAATTTTGAAATTTTTTTAAATGTTTTTTTAAGAAATTTACGGGTTTTTATGTTGTAAAATACGTACAATCAGCGTAAAAAAACTATTTAAAAAATTTTTAGACCTATGAGATTACTGTAACATCCATTTCTCAAACTTCTTTCCCCCTCAGATTCAATTTGATTGCAAATTTTTTCAGCGTCATCCCATTGAAGGCTACGATGAAGCTGAAGGCGTCTTTTTCGTGGATCGACGGGGAAATGTGAGTCTAATTTAGCAACGAATCACCTGAAAAATTCAATTTTCAATATAAATTTTTAATATTTTTAACAATTTTTTCAGAACATCCGAGGAATCAAGTGCCGGGAGTGCGGCCAGATCATCCGTCGCAACATGTGCGGCCTGCATCGCCTCAAGCATGGACAGCCAAGCCCCTCCAAGAGTCAGAACAAACGCAAGGGAAAGGGTAAGGGAAATTGTGATTGCACAGTGCAGACCAAAAGGTTTGCCGACTGCACGGTGCAAGTGTGGATAAAAAAGTTGATTGCACAGTGCAAAAGGTTGGCGCGCGTTTTGCAGCTGAGCGATGCGATGGAAGAAGCGATAAATTTGCACGGTGCAGTTTTTTTCTTGCAAGTCCGAATAAAGAAGTTGATTGCACTGTGCAAGAGGATGTCGCAGGTTTTGCACTGTGCAATTTTTTGGCGGGAAGACGTCGGAAACGCACAGTGCAAATGGTTGTCGCCATTCTTGCACAGTGCGAATCACAAAACCAGTCGAAATTTCAGCCGCACAGTGCATAATTTTCTTTGATTAAATTGCACTGTGCAAAAGGTTGTCGCGGGTTTTGCTCTGTGCGATGCGGCGGAAGAAGAGATAAATTTGCACGGTGCAGTTTTTTGTTCAATTGCACTGTGCTCTTCGAAGACGAATTTTTGGCGGGGAAACGTCGCAAGCGCACAGTGCAAATGGTTGTCGCGCTCTTTGCACAGTGCAGATGACAAAACCAGTCAAAATTCCAACTGCACAGTGCACAATTTTCTTTCATAAAATTGCACTGTGCAAGCCAAAAATAAGCCTATTTTTTCCACTGCACAGTGCAAAAAAATTTTTTTTTGAAAATTGCACCGTATCAACGCAATAAAAAATAAGAAAATAAAAAATCGTATTTAGCCACCAGAAAGCGTCGAGAGGCGATTCCCGATCCTCCTCGCCAATTCCATTTTCAATACGAACCCCCTCAAATGGTGAATTTGGATGTCTCATCCATGAACCATCAGCTCGAAGTGGTCTTCCCGTTTGGAAATAACGCTTTGGTTGGTCCACTGGGAAATCCGAACGTGTTTGGTCAGCAGATTCCACCTCAAAATGCCCCTCAAATGGAGATGAATAATATTATTCATGATGAAGATGAATTCCCAGCCCTTCTTGACGGTCAGAACGAGCTTGTAGAGGTATAATTGGCTATGGATTACATTTTTTAAAATTTGTTTTAGTGCTCTTTTAGTAATTTTTTATGAAAAAAAGGATTGCACAGTGCAGTCAAAATATGTTGCTGCACTGTGCGGCCCTGCGGGCATTTTAAAAAATGAATCGATGAAAAATAAAAATTTCAGAGTTGGACAAAATTTTCTAGCGCCCCAAATTTTATTTTTGATAAGTCACCGCACTGTGCAAAAAGTTTTTTTATTTCATGCACAGTGCAGTCAAAATAAATCATTGCACTGTGCGGCTCTAATGGAAAATTTTTTGTTGGATGAAAACCAAAGTTGTTTTTGATGACTAGCCAAGTAAATTCACCCCGAAAATTTTTTGTTTTGATTGGTGATTACACAGTAAAACAAATTTTTCAAAAATTTGCACAGTGCGAAATTTTTTTTTGCAATTTTGGGAAAATTTATTTTTTTTTTGTAATTTTTATTTGACTTGTCTGGCGACATACTAAAAATAATTTTTATAGATTTTTTTAACTAATTCTATGCCCTAACTTTACCATATAAGAGTGAAGACAGAAGATTTCGGAGGAAAATTTTGAAAATTTTTCGAATTCACTTTTTTTTCGATTTTGGAGTAAAAATTTTTTTTACTCCCAAAAATGCCAAAAAAAAAGTAAACACGAAGTTTACTCCAAAATTTGGAAAAAACTTTGATTTTCGGGAGTAAACTGGGAGTTTACTCGCCGGGGCCGAGAAATCGAATGGCGGCGAGTAAATCTGGATTTTGCTCGCTTCCAATTATTTCCTCAGCTCCTGCAGTCAGGAATGTTTTTGACTGGGCGGCCTCAAAATCGACATCCCAGTCACCTGAGACGAAGAAACGGGGAGAAAAAACGAAGAGAGCGAGAGAAACGCGCGCTATTTCGTGCTCTCTCTGCTTCTCTGCGCCCTCTCTTCGTTTCCCGCTCTTTCGCTCTCTCTCTCCTTTTTTTGCGCTCTCTCGCTTTCTCTCGAAAGAGAGAGAGAGAGAGAGAGCGCGAAACGGAAAGAAGGCGCTGAGAGGCAGAGACAGCCCGAAATAGCGCGCGTTTCTCTCGTTCTCTTCGTTTTTTCTCCCTATTTCTTCGTCCTAGTCAACAGTTATTGACCCCTCACCCAGTCGGGAATCGCGGGATTCCTGAATGGACCACAGTCAGGAAGTGTTGACTGTACGAAGAGTCAGGAACCCCGCGAAATTCGGCAAAATTTTTCGAAAGTTCGGCGCGACTTTTGCGCCCAGGGGTCAACTGTTCCCCGGGAGTAAACTCTGGATTTACTCGCCGGCACCTTCGGCGAGTAAATTCTGAATTTACTCCAAAAAAAGGCGAAAAAAAAGTAAACTCGGAATTCACTCCAAAAATGGGAATTTTGAAAGCTATTTCGATTCCTACTCGCCGACCCATAAAATTTCTCGATTTTTACTCTCTTTTTCAAAAAAAAGTGAATTCGAAAAATTTTCAAAATTTTCCTCCGAAATCTTCTGTCTTCACTCTTATATTTTAGGCCGTGGACTTGGAGCAGCCCCGGCCGATCCCAGTGGTCGAATTGTCGGTCCCCGTTCCCAACAACCCTCCGCAGCAGCTCCACGATCCCTCGGTGGACGGCTCTGGCTATCCGATTGGCCATTTCAACCCCGAAGATGCCCTGCGACAGGATCCGGCTCCCGTCGGCCCGGCCACCGAACATGTCGCCGTCGGCGAAGAGGGCGATAACGGCGATATCCCGGCGTGGTTGAGACATCAGGCCACTGTGATGTTTTGGGGACCAGAGAACGATGAGAATTTGGAGCCACGATTTGGTTAGCAGCCCCTGAGGGCATGAGTGGTTGTTATGGAGGAGATGTCGTTATTTTGTATTATCAATTGTATTTTGTACTTATAAATCAAGTTTTTATCGATAATTGGGATTTTTATTGGGCTTTATTTTGGTCGCATTTCATGCTTTCGCTTCGGGTCCCATTTGGCTACTTTTTTTAAAAAATAAAAAAGAATTTTCCGGCTTTTTGAGATAGAAAGCAATGTAACTACAATTTTCATAAATTAATTTATCCATCTCCATTCATTTTGTAACCTTATTTGGCCAGTAACATCAAGTTTTGACCAATTTTATATTATACTAGACATCTAGATGAAGATTGGTCAATTTCAGGTAAAATTCGATGTATAACGTCGATGAAGCATGGTGTAATAGTCTCTCTATGAGTTCTATTTATCAAACGAAACAAGTTTTTCACATGAATTAGGGTGAAACATCAAAATTTTAGCCATTCTCTATATTACACCTAGTCTAATATAATTTCATCTTTTTCGCTTGATTTTTCCTCAATTTTCTGGTCAAATCTCCTCCTAATACCTCAATAATCATGTATTTATCTGAAAAATTGCAATCGGAGAACAATAACAGGCAAAAAATAAGTGTAAATGTTGAAAAATTAGTCGGAGATTGAGATGGTCCGGCGTTTCTTGCGAAGGACCGGGATTTTCTTGTTGTTGTGCTTCTTCTTGACCTGCTCCTCGGGTGTGTACTCTTCCTCGCTGTCGTCGTCCAACACGGTGGTGGGTTTTCGCTTCTTCACCTCGAGATCGTCGCAAAATGCCCCCAGGGTTTCGCTGGCGAAGCGGACAATCAGGACGGCGGCCGCGCGTTCCAGAGGGTCCTCTTGAGGTGGGAGGCCGGCGATGAGGTCGGGCACACTGATTGAGAGGTACTTTTGGAAGGGGAGGCCAAAGGATTGGAACAGGATTCGCTTCATGAACATGTAAAATTCCGGTTTTAGGACGCGACGCCCATTTTTTGGGTTGGGATTGATGGTCATGCAGGTGAGATACTGCGCTTTTACACACTGAAATTCGATTTTAGATAAGTATTGAGATCAATTATGAGGCTAAATGGTCAAAAAGTGATATTTTTTGTCATGGATAATATAAAAAAATTTTTTTTTTGATAAAATTCATGTCTAATATCAGTGATTAGTTGCGGTTATTAATTTAGAAAATGATTTTCTCCTTTAAAAGTCCATTTTATATGATTTTAGGCCTCAAAAATAATCAAATCCTCATGGATAATATAAAAAAATATTTTTTTGATGGAATTCATTTATAATCCTAGTTATAGATTGCGGTTATTAATTTAGAAAATAATTTTCTCCTTTAAAAGTTCATTTTATATGATTTTAGGCTTCAAAGATGATCAAATCCTCATGGATAATATAAAAAGTCTTTCAAAATTTCGGTTTTTCTATCAAAATATCTCCCAAATTTGGCAAAACCAACATTAGAACCTTTCTTACTCCACTCAATTCTTCTATAACCAAGATTTACCCCAAAACTCCCACTTTCCCTCATGGATAACATAAAACCCGGCAAAAACTCACGCTAAACAAAGTTTTCTGTGTCAAATGCTTGATGATTTCCTCGGAACTGGTCTTCTCCGCGATGAAGGCCTCACACGCCCAGTTGATCACATCCATCGAGTTCGTATTCTGATATTCTTCAACATCAATCGGAGTGAAGAAGATCATCTCGCGCATCCGGCGCGGACTGAACCGATACCTGTCGGGGATTTTGCGACTTCGAACAGTGTCCTTGAAGATGGCGGCATTTGTCACATTCGCGACGTTGTTGAACATTCGCCGGTCCATGTCCAACTTGACCATGGTGCCCATGTTAAAGTCGAACATTTGAATAATCGGGTCGTCTTCCGAGAGTTTGGATACCAAATCCTGACGTCGTTGATACATTCGCGCGAGATCCAAGCGGAAGGGACGGCCAGTTAGGCCATTCATTATGCACTGAAAAAATAAGTCATCAAGTGTAATATTTTGGCTATAAAAAGGTCAATTTTTATCGGAAAGATTAGAAATTGATGTCAAAAAGAAAGAAAAGGCCTAATACTTTTTTCTATGAACATAAAATACGGCATGTTCACTTTTAAAGGACGTTGCGGACCAGTTTTTTTACCTTGTACTACCTTCTAAAAGTAGCAAATCAAAAAATCATTACAAGAGCCGCATATTACGTAAAATTACAAAAATTTTGTCATAATTTGATAAAAGCTACTGTATTCTCTCAATTTTACTATAAAATCTATTCAAAAACAACCAGTTTTCCTTGGTAAAATCGTCTTTTATCATCATACCCATCAAAATCGACATCTACCTTCCGGTCAAAATAACTTCGCCCTATCAAAACCTAATGTCCTCAAATTTTCAACACTTATTCCAACTGTCAAAAAGAATAGCTATTCCTAAAACCAGCTCCATATCCCCAACACTTTTTCCAAAACAATCAAATCTTACCTTATACTTGTTAACATCTCCTTTGGTCTCTTCCAGGAGGTCTTTCCCCAATTGGATCGGGTCAATCGGTTCATTTTGAATTGCAGCGTAGAGTCCAGTCCAATTTGCCGGTCTGCTATCGACATATTTGTCCGGCGGGGCAACAGTTTCCTCGGAAATGGAGGGAATCGGAGGGATACCTAAAAATTGATGGTCATGAATAATATTTTGATGATTTTTGGGGGTTATAAGATTCTGAAACACAATAAATGCTGGGAAATAGCTAGAAGAAGTCATGATTGAGGTCAGGATAGTAGGCAACATACCATTTGGAGGCTTGGACGTGACATATGGCTCAATTACTTCCTCTATCTCCTCTTTAACTAGTGGAACTGTCTGGACGGTTCCCTCGGCCAGATCGGCGGATCCTGGCCGGGAATTTCCGTTGGATTGACTGGAGCAGGGCTGATCTGTACCGTTCGGGGACTTTCGCGTTCTGGCAATGGCTTTCGCACATTCTTTTAGCACTTGGCCAAGAGTGGTGTCTGGAGTTGCATCCATACCACCTAAAATGTGGGAAATTAAAACTCCAAGGGTAAAATAAGGATGTTTAATAGGTAAAAATACTATTTTAACGGCTAAACGGTTCTAAAATAAAAAAATGAGAACTAAATTCGAGAAAACCCAAAAATTGATACCTAAAATAATATAAAAATTGAAGTATCTCGCCAAACTCCGTCGATAGCTGGTTTCAGATCACGGTATGGCAACGAATTTGCGTTGCAGAATCCGGAACAAGTTGTTCTGCAAAAAATTCGGTTGAAAAAATGGGGAGAATAAGGCGAAAAATTGCTTGCCATCCCATCTAGAGAGCCACACAACCCAGATGCAGACAGAGAGTGCAAGAAAAAATAGTGCATGCCAGAGAATTAAGGCCAGAAACAGTGGGCGAGTGCGCGGAGAGTGCAGAGAATCAGAGGGCTGGAGGAAAGATCGGCGCAAAATTCGAAACAGAGCCCAACCCTCGCGAAAAGGCGCCATTTCCCATGTTTTCGGTCTGCACCCTCTCTTCTCGTGCGCTCTTTCCCCCTTGTCGACTCATTCGCGTCCTTTTCCGTCGATCGCTCTCTTTGTTTTGCGGGTTCTATCCGATAGTCGGGCGTCTCTGTTGGAAGCACAATGTTTTTATGGGACTCTCGCAGTCTGATGTCTCTCCGAAACGAACGCTTTTTTACCCATCCACTCTCTTCTTCCCGGCTTTTTCGCGTGGAAGGAAAAGAGTCCCCCCTTTTCGAAGAGTCCCACTTCGTTTCTTTTTCATGAGATCTGAACACTCCCTCTTCTCCAGGTGTCCCCCGTTTTGACCAAAAATAAAAATTAGAAAAATGCCAGGTGAAATTTTACGCTCGAAATTCCCTTCGTGTTTTGGTTAACTTCTCCATCAATCCTCCTGAACCAATCTTTCCAGGGTTTTGGATTGCTATTTTACCCTTCTGTTTGAAGATTGTAGATCAACAAGGCAGCTCAAAATCTCAGGCGGCTGCTGAGATTTTGAGATTCTTTTTTCGAGGTGACATTTTATACGATGGAAAATTTTCTTCAATTATTACGACGAAAATTTTACTCATTTTTTCTAATAGGATATTTTATACAGTGAAATTTTTACTTATCAAATTTATTGTTCCTCTTTCCTGTGTTTTGTTTTCCCACACTTGTCACACTTTGAAAAAATTGAATAAAATTTTCATCGTATAAAATGTCACCACCATTTTTATTTTTTTTTTAAAGTGGACTCTTCGAAAACCGGACTCTTCGTTTCACGGGACTTTTCGATCTCTATAAAAATTTTTGCAATTTCGAGAAGGATACTTTTGTTTTTAGATTTGAACATTCACACAGAACGAATGGCTTTGAAACGCCCGTTTGATGGAATTACAGAGTCTGCAAACGCAACATCCCTCTTGAAGCACGATGAATTACGTAAGTTAAACGAAAATTTTTAATAAACTCACAATACGTTTAGCTTCATTTTGGGATGCCACACCCGCAGCAGGGACCTCAGCACAAAGCGAAGTCGGTACTGGACCAGTAGAAGACGAGCTGAATGTCGAGGAACCAAAGAGGAAGGTGCGCCGAACCGCAACGGTGTGTACAGGTCCAATGGCGACTCCGCTGGAAAGCTTTACGACCTCCGGCCGTCATGTTTCAGTTGGAACGTCGCAGAGAAACAATCCGATCTACTACACAGCCAGCTACCGCTACAAAGGTTTTGGATACAAGTTCTGCAAGCACAAGACCAACAAAGCAGGTACATCCGTTCGTGTCGTATGCTTTCAATGCAAGTTGCTTGGAGCCAAGTCGAGGAACACCGTCGACACCACCACTATGATGTTGAAGACGGACCCTGATGAGGGCGAGCACATCTGCATGGAGCAAGGACACGGTTTTACCGTTACCAAATTGTTGATGGAGCAGCAAATGCGGTGAGTACTGAGGAACACTTTCATATCATGTTTGTTTCAGGTCGATAAACCAGTTGGTGAAAAAACTTCCAAATTCCATAACACCTCAGAAGGGAACCGAGATGATCTACAACAAGCTTAAGGAATGCTTCGAAGGGCACCCAGAACAAAGTAAACTGCTTGCCAAACTCAAGACAAACATCCGTCAAAGAATGATGTACCACGCTAACACATCGACTAGATCTGAAGAGACTGTCCCGACGTCCTGGGAAGACGACTGTCGCGAAATAATGGAGCACGCCGTTCACCAAGGCAATCAGGACGAAGGTGCACCGCAAGGGGACATTCATCCCATGCCAGAACCTATCACAGATAAAAACGTTCCTGACTTTGACGATGAAGCATTAAATGATGCACTCGAAGCCATTGTCTCTGTTGCGTTGAAGCAGGAAGGTAAGTCACAATTTTATTAACTTTTTGATGGCTGGGGGCTAATAGCCAAGAAGAAAAATTTTGACTGAAACGCTTTTTGATTTCCCTATCGAAAAATAATGTTTTTCTAATGTTGCAGTCGACTTTTTGGATAGACTGCTCGGAAACTGACCAAGTTATATGTTTTCGACTAACCCGGTTGTTCCTCTTTTGTTTGACATGCAAAATGTTGGTGTTTATTGCTGGAGAACTTGTCGAATTTTTTCTTAGGACCCATGTGTAACATCAAATCGGAAAACTTGGCAAATGCACTTGCAAGAAACTTGTTTTTTTTTGAGACTCGGTGAAAGATTACGGTGTGTGCGAGCTGAAAAGCCCTAGTTGAATCAAATTAAATAAAGTTCTCCTGGGAAAAGTAGTCTCGTACCGACTTCTCAAAAAAGGAAGATAATTTAAGAAATTTGAACAGGCTTACATCGTAATCTGTTCCGCCTACTCCCTAAAAGGTGAGTTTCTTGCAAGTGCATTTGCCAAGTTTTCCGATTTGATGGTATACATGGTCCTAAGACGCTCGACAAAAAATTAGACAAGTTCTCCAGCAATAAACACCAACATTTTGCATGTCAAACGAAAGAGAAACAATTGGGTTAGTCGAAAACGTATAACTTGGTCAGTTTCCGAGCAGTCTATCCAAAAAATCGTCTGCAACATTAGAAAAATATCCTTTTCGCGAGGGAAAACCTCAATGCGAAGGAAGAATGCACTGTGCAGTGCTTTCCCTTTCAAAATAATTCGTTATATGCGCACAGCACGTCCATCCAAAATAAATAGAAGAAAAAATTTCCCGCCCCTTTTTGGAGATTCGTTCAAAACGAAATGTCACTCTCCGATAAAACGCATTTTCTTATCTTTCTTCCTCCTTTTCGAGAAAAAAAGCAATTATTTCGGGCGAAAAAAGTGCCGATAATTTCGCGACATTTCGTCTCGCTTTTAAATCAATGAAAACGATACGAAGTTTCGAAACGGTTCAGGAAATGCGCTGGATTGACGTGCACAGTGATTTTTTCCTTCATCAACCCAACGCAAATGTTACGTTTAGTCCCGATTTGCAACACGGTGTCTACTGAAGGAACGTCGGCACAAAGAGAACCCGGTGCTAGTCAAGCAGAAGACGAGCCGAATGTCGAGGAACCAAAGAGGAAGCCGCGACGAACAGCAATGGCCTGCACAGGTCCGATGGCGACTCCGCTGGAAAGCTTCACGACCTCCGGCTGTCATGTTTCAGTTGGAACGTCGCAGAGAAACAATCCGATCTACTACACAGCCAGCAACCGCTACAAAGGTTTTGGATACAAGTTCTGTAAGCACAAGGCCAACAAAGCAGGAACATCTGTTCGTGTTTTCTGCTTTCAATGCAAGTTGCTTGGAGAAAAATCGAGGAACACCGTGGACACACGCACTATGATGTTGAAGACGGACCCGGATGAAGGCAAGCACGTATGCATGGAGCGAGGACACGGTTTTCCCATCACCAAAGTGTTGATGGAGCAGCAAATGCGGTAAGAACTCAGAAACAGCTTAATGTCATGTTTTTTCTGTTTCAGGTTGGTAAACCAGTTAGTGAAAAAGCATCCTAATTCCATAACGCCCGAGGAGGGAACCGAGATGATCTACAACAAGCTTAAGGAATGCTTCGAAGGGCACCCAGAACAAAGTAAACTTCTCGGCAAACTCAAGACAAACATCCGTAAAAGAATGCTTTACCACGCTAACACATCGGCTGGAGTTGAAGAGACCGTCCCAACGTTCTGGGAAGACGACTGCCGCGAAATAATGGAGCGTGCCGTTCACCAACAAAACCGTCAAGACGACAGTGTATCGCAAGTGGACATTCAGCCCACGTCGTCAGAACCTATCCCAGGTCAAAACGTGCCTGACTTCGACGAAGACAGTCAGGACGAAGGTGTACCGCCAGGGGACATTAAGCCCACGTCAGAACCTATCCCGGATTACAATGCTCCGGAATTCGACGATGAAGCATTAAATGACGCACTGGAAGCCATTGCTTCTTTTGCGTTGAAACAGGAATTAAGCCCATCACATGGAGAAAACAGGACTCAATCCGTCCTTGCACCGCCGTTACAAATGCCTATTGTAGAACCACCGCCGAAAAACGGTAGGTCACAATTTTTATTAACAATCCAAAATTTGGGAATTATTGATTCTGAATTGGCGGGGAAATTTACCAAAGTAAGATGAGTTTCGAGCGGTCCAATCATTGATGGCTGGGACTTTCCTAGCCAAGAAGAAAAATTTTGACTGAAACGCTTTTTGATTCCCTATCGAAGAAGAATGTTTTTCTGATGTTGCAGACGATTTTTTGGATAGACTACTCGGAAACTGACCAAGTTATATGTTTTCGACCAGCCCGATTATTCCTCTGCTTGATATACAAAATGTTGGTGTTTGTTGCTGCAGAACTTGTCGAATTTTTTTTTGTCGAGCCTTATGGATGTTATACATGGTCCTAAGAGGCCAGAGAACAAAATTCGACAAGTTCTCCAGCAACAAACACTAACATTTTGCATATCAAACGAAAAATGAACAATCGGGCTAGCCAAAAACATATAACTTGGTCAGTTTCCGAGTAGTCTACCAAAAAATCGTCTGCAACATTAGAAAAACATCCTTTTTCGAGAGGGAAAACCTCAGTGCGATGGAAGTATGCACTGAGCAGTAGTGCGTACCTACCCTTTCAATAGAATTAGTTTCGCAATATGTGCACCGTGATTTTTTCTCGTTTTTATTAACCCAACGGTTACGTTTAGTCCCTATTTGCAACACGGAATCTGCTGAAGGAACGTCGGCACAAAGCGAACCCGTTGCTAGTCAAGCAGAAGACGAGCTGAATGTCGAGGAACCAAAGAGGAAGCCGCGACGAACAGCAATGGCGTGCACAGGTCCGATGGCGACTCCGCTGGAAAGCTTCACGACCTCCGGCCGTCATGTTTCAGTTGGAACGTCGCAGAGAAACAATCCGATCTACTACACAGCCAGCAACCGCTACAAAGGTTTTGGATACAAGTTCTGTAAGCACAAGACCAACAAAGCAGGAACATCTGTTCGTGTCATCTGCTTCCAATGCAAGTTGCTCGGAGAAAAATCGAGGAACACCGTGGACACACGCACTATGATGTTGAAGACGGACCCGGATGACGGCAAGCACGTCTGCATGGAGCGAGGACACGGTTTTACCATTACCAAAGTGTTGATGGAGCAGCAAATGCGGTAAGTACTGAAGAACAGTTCATATCATGTTTGTTTCAGGTCGATAAACCAGTTGGTGAAAAAACTTCCAAATGCCATAACACCTGAGAAGGGATCCGAGATGATCTACAACAAGCTTAAGGAATGCTTTGAAGGGCACCCAGAACAAAGTAAACTGCTTGGCAAACTCAAGACAAACATCCGTAAAAGAATGCTGTACCACGCTAACACATCGGCTGGACTTGAAGAGACTCTCCCAACGTCCTGGGAAGACGACTGTCACGAAATAATGGAGCACACCGTTCACCAACGCGATCATGGCGAAGGTGTACCGCAAGTGGACGTTCAGCCCACGTCGTCAGAACCTATCCCAGCTCAAAACGTGCCTGAATTCGACGATGAAGCGTTAAATGATGCACTTGAAGCCATTGCCTCCTTTGCGTTGAAGCAGGAAGGTAAGTCACAATTTTATTAACAATCCAAAATTTGGGAATTATTGATTCTGAATTGACGGAGAAATATACCAAATTGAGGCTTCGTGGAAACTGGACAGAGTGAAATTGGACAGAAATAATTTGGACAGAGCGTGGAAATTGGACAGGGTGAAATTGGACAGAGTGAAACTCGACAGATTTTTTTTCACTGCAAAAAATAATTATTTGATGATTCAATATTGACATTTCGTACGATTGCAGCGAAAATCTGTCCAATTTCATTCTGTCCAATTTCACTCTGTCGAATTTCACTCTGTCCAATTTCCACGAAGCCCAAATTGATGGCTGGGACCTTCCTAGCCAAGCGGAAAAATTTTGAATGAAACGTTTTTTGATTTCCCTATCGAAAAAGAATGTTTTTTTTTAAATGTTGCAGACGATTTTTTGGATAGACTACTCGGAAACTGACCAAATTATATGTTTTCTACCAGCCCGATTATTCCTCTTTGTTTGATATACAAAATGTTGGTGTTTGTTGCTGCAGAACTGGTCGAATTTTTTGCCGAGCCTCTTAGGACCATGTATACCATCAAATTGGAAAACTCGGCAAATGCACTTGCAAGAAACTTGTTTTTTTTTGAGACTCGGTGAAAGATACGGTGTGATCTACCTGAAAAGTCCTAGTTGAATCAAATTGAGAAGTTTTCCTGGTTAAGAGAGCTTCGTACCGACCCCTCAAAAAATGAAGATAATTTAGGAGATTTCAACAGGCCCATATCGTAATCTTTCATCGACTCCCTAAAAAATAAGTTTCTTGCAAGTGCATTTGTCAAGTTTTCCGATTTGAAGTTATACATGGTCTTAAGAGACTCGACAAAAAGTTCGACAAGTTCTCCAGCAATAAACACCAACATTTTGCATATCTAACGAAAGAGGAACAATCGGGTTAGTCGAAAACATATAATTTGGTCAGTTTCCGAGTAGTCTATCCAAAAAATCGACTGCAACATTAGAAAAGAACTCTTTTTCGAGGGGGAAACCTCAGTGCGAAGGAAGAATGCACTGTGCAGTGCCTTCCCTTTCAAAAGAATTAGTTTCGCGCTATTCTCGTTTTTATTAACCCAATGGTTACGTTTAGTCCCAATTTGCAACACGGCATCTACTGAAGGAACGTCGGCACAAAACGAACCCGATGTTGGTCAAACAGAAGACGAGCTGAATGTCGAGGAACCAAAGAGGAAGCCGCGACGAACAGCAATGGCGTGCACAGGTCCGATGGCGACTCCGCTGGAAAGCTTCACGACCTCCGGCCGTCATGTTTCAGTTGGAACGTCGCAGAGAAACAATCCGATCTACTACACAGCCAGCAACCGCTACAAAGGTTTTGGATACAAGTTCTGTAAGCACAAGACCAACAAAGCAGGAACATCTGTTCGTGTCATCTGCTTCCAATGCAAGTTGCTCGGAGAAAAATCGAGGAACACCGTGGACACACGCACTATGATGTTGAAGACGGACCCGGATGACGGCAAGCACGTCTGCATGGAGCGAGGACACGGTTTTCCCATTACCAAAGTATTGATGGAGCAGCAAATGCGGTAAGTACTCAGAAACAGCGTAATGTCATGTTTTTTTTGTTTCAGGTTGGTAAACCAGTTAGTGAAAAAACATCCAAATTCCATAACGCCCGAGGAGGGAACCGAGATGATCTACAACAAGCTTAAGGATTGCTTTGAAGGGCACCCAGAACAAAGTAAACTTATCGGCAAACTCAAGACCAACATCCGTAAAAGAATGCTGTATCACGCTAACACATCGGCTGGACTTGAAGAGACTCTCCCAACGTCCTGGGAAGACGACTGCCGCGAAGTAATAGAGCACGGCGTTCAACAAGACAGTCAGGACGAAGGTGTGCCGCAAGTGGAGATTCAGCCCACGCCGTCAGAACCTATCCCAGCTCAAAACGTGCCTGAATTCGACGATGAAGCGTTAAATGATGCACTCGAAGCCATTGCCTCTGTTGAGTTGAAGAAGGAATTGAGCCCACCACATGGAGAAAACGGAACTCAATCCGCCCTTGCACCGCCGTTACAAATGCCAATCGCTGAACCACTGCCGCAAAATGGCAAGTCACCCTTCATATCCCTGTAAAAAAAATACTTTTCTAATTTCGCAGATGGCTTATTTTTATATAGACAACTGGGGAACCGACCAAATCGGATATTTTCAGCTAACCCTTCCTCTTTCATTTGATATACAAAATATTGGTTTTCTTGACGGAGAACTTGTCGAATTTTTTTGCCGAGCCTTTTATCAGTCTGGCCGAAAAAGAATTACCCTCGTCGCAGCATCGAAATCGCAACCTCGAAAATGAGCGGCACCGAAAGTTTGAGCGATGCATCGCAAAAGTGCGCGCGACGAGAGAAAATCGCCAAAATTTGGGGAATTTTGTTGATTGCACAGTGCAAAAAAGCCGTTTGCACTGTGCAAAACACACTTTTATCGCCAGCGATGCGTCGTTTTTGCTCTTTCTTTCGGCGACGCCCTCCAAATTTCAAATTGGGGTTTGGAGAGAGTGCGACGGAGGGGGGCGCGGAGGACAATTCTTTTTCGGCCAGACTGATAGGACCATGTAAACATCCAATCGGAAGACCCGACAAATTCACTTGCAAGAAACATATTTTTTAGGGAGTAGGTGAAAGATTACGGTGTGGGCTAGCTGAAAAGCCCTAGTTCAATTAGTTTGAATAAACATTTCCTGGGAAAATGGCTTCGTATCGATATTTCAGAAACGGAAGAAATTAAGAAGCTTTCAACAGGCTCAGATCGTAATGTTTCACCGACTGCATAAAAAACATGTTTCTTGCAAGTGAATTTACCAAGTCTTTCAAATGAATGTTCAACGTGGTCCCAAAAGGCTCGACAACAAAATTCGACAAGTTCTCCGTCAAGACAATCGATATTTTGCATGTCAAACGAAAGAGGAACAATTGGGCTAGCTGAAAATATCCGATTTGGTCGGTTCCCCAGTTGTCTATACAGAAATAAACCATCTGCAACATTAGAAAAACATTCTTCTGTTTGGCAAGAAAATCCAAAATAAAAAAAATGTCTCCCGCCCAGTTTTGCGTTTCGTCCCAACGAAGTGTCACAATTGACAGAAGAAATAATACAATTCTGATTGTGAGATCGACAAACCACTCGAAAGACTTTGTTGTTGCATTCCATCAAGAGTTTATTTCGCACTTCACACATCGTGAATTTTTCTCGTCTTTATCAATCCAACGGTTACGTTTAGCTTCATTTTGGGATGCCACGTCCGCAGCTGGGACCTCAGCACAAAGTGAAGTCGACACCGAACTAGTAGAAGACGAGCTGAATGTCGAGGAACCAAAAAAGAAGGTGAGACGAACCGCAACCGTGTGCACAGGTCCGATGGCGACGCCGATGGAAAGCTTTACGACCTTCGGCCGTCGTGTTTCAGTTGGAACGTCGCAGAGAAACAATCCGATCTACTACACAGCCAGCAACCGCTACAAGGGTTTTGGATACAAGTTCTCCAAGAATGAAAACAAGACCAACAAAGCAGGAACATCTGTTCGCGTTATCTGCGTTCAATGCAAGCTGCTAGGAGGAAGATCGAGGAATACCGTGGACACAACCACTATGATGTTGAAGTCGGACCCGGATAAAGGCAAGCACATCTGCATGGAGCGAGGACACGGTTTGCCCACTACCAAAGTGTTGATGGAGCAGAAAATGCGGTAAGGAATGAGGAACAGTTAAATGTAATGTCTGGTCTGGTTCAGGTCTTTAAACCAGTTAGTGAAAAAACATCCAAACGCCATAACACCCCAGAAGGGATCCGAGATCATCTACAACAAGGTTAAGGAATGCTTTGAAGGGCACCCACAACAAAGTGCAATACTTGGCAAACTCAAGACAAACGCCCGTAAAAGAATGCTGTACCACGCTAACACATCGGCGCCGTCAGAATCTATCCCGGATAAAAGCGTGCCCGACTTCGACGATGAAGCATTAAATGATGCACTCGAAGCTATTGCCTCTGTTGCGTTCAAGCAGGAATTGAGCGCACCAGATGAAGAAAACGTATACTGGTTGACAAAATTTTCTTTCCTCCTCGTATCTCGGGAACCACTGGGCCTAGAACCTCCAAATTCGGCATAGAAACATCCTAGGACAGTCTAACACCATGCCCAAAAAATCATATCATTTGATGCACTTTACATGCCCTTTTTCCAAAAAAGGCAAAAACCCGGATGACAAAATTTTCTTTCCACCTTGGAAAAAACGTTTGTAACTCATAAGCCAGAGGGTTTTAAGGCATGGTTGTGGTATCGTTGTGTTCGCGAAGAAGTCCTCTCTCGATTGGTGTCACAACCTTACGGGGGTTTTAGTTTCTTCGCCCTTGGGCGTCGGCTCATCGTTGCCTTGTCCATTTTTAGCCAAATTCGTGGCCAGAGGAGCTCGCATAAGGCATAAGGAGATGAAAATCCCTTTAAAAAGTCTGGCATTCATTTTTACAACATTGTTTCCTCCGGCAGTAGAATTCGATTTAATTTAAGTGCGTCGCAGGGGAAAATGAGCGCTGCCTGGGTCCGCAAAACCGAAGAATCACTTCTGTACAGAATGGAAACGTCCAAATTTACATCCATTTTCGCTACATACGGCGTACTTTAGGGCTTATACGACAGCATGTGTTGAAATCTACCAGCTTATCTTACCCCTCTCTGGTCTATGTCGTCTCAAGTAACGCAGGTTGTTGCACTAGGCCTTGGCATTACTTAAGCTTGGTATATTGGGACTTTTGGCTACCAGACTACTTTAATACATTGACCTTGACAGGCCTTCAACGTTTTTTCCACGACGAATAGCTTTCACAGGAAGCTTAGAGTCGCAAATTTTGTACATGGGGCGTTTGGAACCTTTCTTCTGCTCACATCTAAGCGCGACATCAGTGATTAAAATCGTCACTATTTTTTAACTCTGTAGTATCATAGAAAATATATAAGGAGGAAAAGTTACTTGAATTATCTGCAGTGTTCCCATAATAGCGTAATTTTCTGGTAACGAAAACCTTGGAAGCGCGCGTTTTCCCCTGCAACGCACTTAAATTAAATCGAATTCTGCTGCCGGAGGAAACAATGTTGCAAACATGAATGCCAGATTTTTTAAAGGAATTTTCATCTCCTTGTGCCTTATGCGAGCTCCTCTGGCCACGAATTTGGCTGAAAATGGACAAGGCAACGATGAGCCGACGCCCAAGGGCGAAGAAACTAAAACCCCCGTAAGGTTGTGACACAAATCGAGAGAGGACTTCTTCGCGAACACAACGATACCACAACCATGCCTTAAAACCCTCTGGCTTATGAGTTACAAACGTTTTTTCCAAGGTGGAAAGAAAATTTTGTCATCCGGGTTTTTGCCTTTTTTGGAAAAAGGGCATGTAAAGTGCATCAAATTATATGATTTTTTGGGCATGGTGTTAGACTGTCCTAGGATGTTTCTATGCCGAATTTGGAGGTTCTAGGCCCAGTGGTTCCCGAGATACGAGGTGGAAAGAAAATTTTGTCAACCAGTATAACTCAATCCGGTAATTCACAATGTCAAAAATTAGCAAAAATCGCTAAAAAAACTTAAATATTGACTTACATGTTGTTCTCGAGGTGTTCCTTTTTTCGAATCACATTGCCAGACACTGTAAAAGGAGGTCAGAACAGAGCCTCAGAAAATCTTTTTATAAAATTTTGATTTCCCTCTCGAAAAAAGAATGTTTTTTAATGTTGCAGAAGGTGTTTTTTGATTGATACTCGGAAACTGGACAAGTGATGTTTTCAGCTATCCCGATTTCCTCTTTCGTTTAACATGCAAAATGTTGGTTTTCTTACTGGAGAACTTGTCAAATTTTGTTGTCGAGCCTTTTGGGAACATGTAGAACATTCAATCGGAAGACTTGATAAATGCACTTGCAAGAAACTTATTTTTCGGGAAGTCGGTGAAAGATTACGGTGTGGGCCAGCTGAAAAGCCCTAGTTCAACATGTTTGAATATTCATATTGTAATCTTTCGCCGACTACCTAAAAAAATAAGTTCCTTGCAAGTGCATTTGCCGAGTTTTCCGATTTAATGTTCTACATGGTTCTAAAAGGTTGACAACAAAATTCGACAAGTTCTCCAGCAAGAAAACCAATATTTTGCATGTCAAATGAAAGAGGAAATCGGGCTAGCTGAAAACATAACTTGTTCAGTTTCCGAGTATCGATCCAAAAAACACCCTCTGCAACGTTTAAAAAAATCTTCGGCTTCGAGAGGGAAAATCTTTCAGAGCAGGGAGAGAGTTCAGACATGAACACTTTATCAGGCAGGCCAAAAAGTTTTCTCACGTTTTCACACGGCAGGACAATCTCAAATAGAACAAAAATGTCTCCCGCCTACTTTGAAGTTTCGTCCAAACGAAGTGTCACAATTGATAAAAAAAAAAATAAAACAATTCGAGAAAAAAAACTTTCGATCGACAAACCACACGAAAGATTTTGTTGTGGCATTTTGTCCTTCTCCTTTTGGTACTCCCTTATTAATCCAACTGTTACGTTTAGCTTCATTTTGGGATACCACACCCGAAGCAGGGACCTCAGCACAAAGCGAAGCATACGCTGGTCAAGAAGAAGACGAGCTGAATGTCGAGGAACCAAAGAAGAAGGTGCGCCGAACAGCAGCCTTGTGCACAGGTCCGATGGCGACTCCGCTGGAAAGCTTTACAACTTCCGGACGTCATGTTTCAGTTGGAACGTCGCAGAGAAACAATCCGATCTACTACACAGCCAGCAACCGCTACAAGGGTTTTGGATACAAGTTCTCCAAGAATGAGAATAAGACCAACAAAGCAGGAACATCTGTTCGCGTCATCTGCGTTCAGTGCAAGTTGCTAGGAGGAAGATCGAAAAACACCGTGAATACAACCACTATGATGTTGAAGTCGGACCCGGATGAAGGCAAGCACATCTGCATGGAGCGAGGGCACGGGTTTCCCATTAACAAGGTGTTGATGGAGCAGCAAATGCGGTAAGTACTGGTGAACAGTTTAATGAGTTTCATGTTTGTTCTGTTTCAGGTCGGTAAACCAGTTGGTCAAAAAACATCCAAACGCCATAACACCCCAGGAGGGATCCGAGATGATCTACAACAAGGTTAAGGAATGCTTTGAAGGGCACCCACAACAAAGTGCAATTCTTGGCAAACTCAAGACAAACATCCGTCAAAGAATGATGTATCACGCTAACACATCGGCTGTATTTGAAGAGACTGGGCCGACGTCCTGGAAAGACGACTGCCGCGAAATAATGGAGCGTGCCGTTCACCAAGACAGTCAGGACGAAGCTGTACCGCCAGGGGACATTAAGCCCACGACTTCAGAACCTATCCCGGATTACAAGGCTCCGGAATTCGACGACGACGCCTTAAATGACGCTCTCGAAGCCATTGCCGCTTCGTTGAGGCAGGAATTGAGCCCACCACATGGAGAAGCTTACGAAGACATTCCAACCACCATGGCGACCGAGTTTTCGGACGCAGCACCCGTTGAAAGACCGGCTGCAAACAGGACACGGAAGAACAGGCATTCCTTGTGAAGATTTGATAAAGAAAATCTGTCGGGATTTTTACGCTACCGGCATAAATAAACTTCTATCTCGTTGGCAAAAGTGTGTTGATTCTAATGATTCTTATTTCGATTAATAAAGTTTATTATAAAAAAAGTTATGGTGTTTTAAAGTTAAAGGATAAAATCCGACATCTCATTTTGAACAACCTAATATTTAAATTTTTAATAAAAAATCGGAAAAAATTTTTGGTTCACCCTAATAATTGCTAAAAAAATACAATGTGAATCCAGCTTTTATCTTCACTCTGGTACCGCAAAATGTCTTAATCATCATTTTATCGACAAAAAACCCCCGAAAAATCTTTTTTGAAAATAAAATTTGTGTCTTTATTCAAGTCCGCAGCTATCCGAGAAGTAAAATACGTTAACAACATTGATTACAAGGGCCTTTTAAATGTGTTTCAACTCCGACTGGGGCTCGTTTTGGACGTTGATCTTGCGAGCCCGAAGCCCCGATTGATGGCAATGCATTACTTGATCCCATTTGGAAAGACATTGAACCAGGTCCTTACGCAGCGACTTGGCACCCCACAACTGACGAGGATTCGCCTGGAAAATTTTGACGTTAGAAATGAAAAGATTTACTTTGACTGCACAGTGCAGAAAAATTTTTTTTTGAGTTGCACAGTGCATGTCAGAAATGAAAATTGAAACTGCACAGTGCGATGAAAAGGGTCTATTTTTCAACTGCACAGTGCGATAAAAAAGCAAATTTCGAATAGCACAGTGCAATGAAAAATAAAATTCAGAAACCGCACAGTGCAGCAAAGAATCAACCTATTTTAGACCTCACAGTGCATCAAAAAAATTTCAGGTTGCACAGTGCGGTCAGTGGCAAGTTGAACCTTTGCACCGTGCGGTAAAAAATAGAAATTTTGAACTGCACAGTGCAATAAAAAATCAACTTTTGTAACTGCACAGTGCAGTCAGAATTGAAAATGGAAACCGCACAGTGCAGTAAAAAATAAAGTTTCAAATTGCACAGTGCAATAAAAAAGAACAAATTGCGGAACTGCACGGTGCGATAAGAAAATATTAATCTTTTGCTGCACAGTGCGGAAAGAAATCGGATTTTGGAACTGCACAGTGCGATAAAAAAACACAAATTTCTTGCTGCACAGTGCGATTTTGGGACGCATTAAACGGCCCGCCAACATGTCATTTCCTCACCTGAGGTCGGCACAGCTGCATGCACTGTGGTCCAATGTCCTCCAATCCCATGTCCCGGCAACACTCCGAGTTGTCGTGGGTTTGCGCGGCACAATGGATGATGGAGCTGAGGTATTTGTAGAGCCGACAACGACTCGGCTGGATCGTGTGCATCAGCACAACCCTCGCCTCGATCGGATGGTTCTCGTAGATGCAGAGGCCGCGGCATTCTGGGGGAACGAAACGCTCGCAGCACGAACCGAACACCTGATCCGCGATCTTGCGCTCAATGCAGGGCTTCCAGTCCGATGCTTGGTTGCCACAGTCCTGCAAAATAAATAAAAATTTGGAATTTTTTGAAGGAAAATTTTTGTTTGTTTTTTTTTTGTGAAAAAATGATGATTTTAGGGGAAGTCAAGATTTTTGGAGGAAAATTTTTATTTAAAAAAAAAATTTTTGATTTGTATTTTTTTTTTTTTTTAATGAAAAAAATCATCAAAATTGGATAATAAAGATCATGGCACTTGTTTTTATACGTTATCTTTGATTTTAAAATACGTTATTGTCATTTTATTCTTGTATTTTATAATAAAAGAAATCAAAAAATTTCAATTTTGAAATCATTTTTACAGCAAATTTAGTTGAATTTTGAATGAAGCAGAAGGATTTGAGTTCCTCGTATTTTACAAATAAACAATTTTTAGAAAAAAATTAAAAATTTTTTCAGACTTACTGTTGGATTCTCGAACTCTGTGACTTTATTTTGGGCAGAAACCGCCGCCGCCACTAATGCCAACGCCAATAACCGGGTGAACATCCTGTAAAAATTGTTTATAAATTTTATGTAATGTTAAAATACGACGTATCCATATTGTACTTCATTACAACACGTTTCCCGGAACTGCACGGTGCGAAAAAATAAAATAATAAAAAAATCTGCCTGCACAGTGCAACTAGTAAAAAAACTAGTTGCACTGTGCAGAGAGATTGATTGCACTGTGCAATTGTTCAAGAAATGAAAGAAAGTTTAATGCACTGTGCGCTCATTATTTTCGTTTTTAAATTTGCACCGTGAAATGGCGACATCTCAACAGAAAAATTATTTGCACTGTGCAGTGGCTTTGGAAAAGCGAATTGATTGCACTGTGCGGTGATTTTTCTCTTTTTGAAGTTTGCACCGTGCATCAGCGACATCTCGAAAGGTTTTCAAAATTGCACTGTGCAGTCTTGAAAAAGGATCTGTTGCACTGTGCAGTGACTTTGGAAAAAACAACTTTTATTGCACTGTGCGGTGATCTTTTTGAAATCTGCACTGTGCATCAGCCATCCCAAAAATGAGTCAAAATTGCACTGTGCGGTTTTAAAAAGACGATCCATTGCACTGTGCAGTGGCTTTTGAAAAGCCAATTATTGCACTGTGCGATGATCTTTTTGAAATTTGCACTGTGCGGTTTTAAAAACGAATCCATCGCACCGTGCAATTGCGACAACTCAACACAAAAAAATTTGCACCGTGCAGTGACTTTTGAAAAGCGAATTGATTGCACTGTGCGACAATTTTTTCTTTTTGAACCGGCACTGTGCATCAGCGACATCCCGAAAGTGCGATAAGATTGCACTGTGCGGTTTTGAAAAAGGCCCCATTGCACCGTGCATCAATTTCGGAAATAAAAGCCGACTGCACGGTGCAAAAAATTATTTCTGCACTGTGCAGTAGAAAAAAATTGAAATGTAAAAAAATCGAAAAAATAACTTTGGAAAATGATTTCGCAAGACCTCACGCCCTCTGAATCGCCCGTTTCATTACCAGTTTCCCCAAAAAATACCACTAAAATCGCAGAACCTGGAGGCGCGCCGCGGGCAATAAAGGTGTTGTTTCTGCGGTCATTAGTAAAATTGGCGAGAGAATTCCTCGAAAACCCCCAGAAAAATGGACGTTTTGCGATCGAACGACGCTGAGAAAACCGCTGAAAACCCGTTTCGTTTGGGACGGGCGGAGAGGGAAATGAAAAATTTAAACCGCTATTTGTCCATCAACGCGATTCATCAACCAAAAAATTGGTGGCGAGAGAAGAATGCGATCCAAAGGTCCGGTTCAGTATAAAAATTGGTTACCTTCCAAAGGCCTTTAGGGCAAAAAAGGGGAGTTTTGTAAGCCAAATGAGATTTTAGTGGTGTAATGAAACTTTTGAGCGACAAAAAAACTCAAAATGGATAAAAGTGGGCTCTGTGCATCCTACGTAAACTTTGCTAGTCCACGAAATTCTCACCGCACAGTGCAATCGCTTTTTCTGACTGCACAGTGCAAAAAATTGGAAAGGCGTTTGCACTGTGCGACAGATAGATAAGAAAAAATTTAAAAAATAAATTTAGGACCTCTAGGGTATGTGTTTACATTCAGAATCAAAAATTGTTATTAACATTGACCGTACAGTCCAAAAAACGAAAAACAAAAAAATCCGCACAGTGCGGTAAAAAAATAATTTCCACAGTACAATGGAGAGCATCCAAAAAATTGTAAAAGTACATTTTAGACTTTCTAAACATTCGTTTGACACAGTCGATAAAAATTTCATGTCCAGTTTTGACTGCACAGTGCGAAAATCAAGAATCGGTATTTTCCGCACAGTGCAGTCAAAAAATCCGGCTTTTTAAGGTTAGGATTCAAAGTTGTGTCGCCTAAAAAATGTTCGACAAAGCGCTTAGAGGCTAATATTTCATTGTGCGACAAAATTCAAATCGATTTTTTACTGCACCGTGCAAGAAACAGAAAGCTTTAAAATTCGCACTGTGCAGTCAAAAGAAAGACGTTTTATTTCGGCAAGTTTGCAAAAATAGAAATGTGTCGATGCTATGTGTGCCCTAAGGGTCTATTCAAGCAGTAGAAATGAAAATTCAAACTCTCTTTTTACTGCACAGTGCATAAAACAAAAGGCAAACTTCTGCACAGTGCAGTCGTAGAATCCAAAAGAAAAGAATAAAATAATGAAAAAGAAAGTTGAAACCTTTCCTCAGCTGATTTTTCAGCCGGTGTTCAACGGGCTAAACGTTTGAAATCCGCGCAAAAAACAAGGTCAATCAAAAAAGAAAAGAAAAAAAGTGCGCCTCCAATGAGTTTTCAGCGACGTGTGACCATCGAAAGGAAAATGGGATGGATCTGGAGGAGAGAAAGTAAAAAGGGACTGAAACCAATCGAGGAATCGTCGTGGAAGTGGAGCGATGACATAAGAAATGTTATATAATTTGATGGGATTTCGAGGAATGGCGATGATAAAGGAAATCTGTGGTGAAATCTCCGATAAATCAACCTCAAATACGATGAAACATCTTGCTGATCAACAATTCCACAATTTTTAGTTTGTTTATTGGCTGAAATCAAGATTTAAGAAAACGCACTGTGCAGATTTTAAAAATTGCCGCACTGTGCAGTCAGATTTAGAATTTGCACAGTGCAAAATGGAAAAATAAGAAGTTCAAGATAACGTCATGACAATTAAAACATATTTGAAATAGAAGTTTTGCCTCAGGGCGCGTTTCATTACAATCAATGTCGACTGCACTGTGCAGTTTGAAAAAATTTTGAGAAATTCGAAAATTTGCAATTTTTGCAAAAATCCTTGTCCTCGCAGACGTCCAATCAGTGCCATAGAGTGTTTTAAAATACGGATCTCTTGCTCAACTCTCCCGGCTTTGTGATTTCTCCAATAATTTCTGACTGCACAGTGCAAATAATCAAATTGTCTCATAGTTCGTATCTCAAGTAGAATTTGAAAAAAATTCTGCTTTAACTTATACAAAAAACTTTTCTTTTTCGAATACACAAGCTTATCTTTGCAAAAATGTCATTTGAATATCTAAATTTGGGATCTGAAATTTTCTGCACAGTGCAATACAAAAATTTTTGTGAATCCCGCGGGAATTCGAATTTCCTTTGCCGCTTTCTGTTGTAAAATGATCTACAGCATCTTGAGAATACAGTAAAAATTTTTTTACATCATGAACAATTTAAAAAACTCGTATTTTACAATCAATTTTAACTGCACTGTGCAGTTCTCCAAAATCCAACTTGCACCGTGCATGACTCCAAAAACCCCTTCATAAATCACAATTTCCTCTCCAAATTATCGTTCTCACGATCTCTTACTACTCCCCATCCACCGCCTTAATGGATTGTCCTTGTTTTTTCGATTAGGAATGCCACTAACGGCCATTAACCTTAATTGCGCATCTTTTCGATGGCATTTCCCTTCGTTTTATGCAAATTTCCTCTACTTTTTGTTGCCTATAAAATTTCTTGTTGTGCAAATATTAGAATGGAACGTGCTTTAGTATTCTTTCGTCTTGATCACTGTTTGTTTTGGAGATTACCGCGCTTTCCATACGTTTTTCATGGTAAACCCGTAGATTTTTTAGTCATTCGGAAGTTGAATTACGATTTTTTGACGGATTTTTTGCGTATTCGCACAAATTATTGCTCTTCCACATGTATTTTAGGCTTTTCAAAAATTTGCACTGTGCGAAATTATGTTTGTTTTTTGCACAGTGCAAGTTTTGATTTTTTGCACCGTGCGAAAAAAATACAAATTTTTGTTGCACAGTGCGGTTTTTGCGGCAAACTTTTGCACAGTGCAATGCATTTTTTGTTCGCACGGTGCAGATTTTCTCTTCATTTTTTCGCAAAAATAAGCCGCACAGTGCGGCTTATTTTTGCGACACTTTTGCACAGTGCAATTTTTTTAGTCTCACATTTTTTGCACCGTGCGTTGATCTTTTTGTGTTTGCACGGTGCAGGTTTTTTCTTCTTCTTTGCACTGTGCGATCTATACTCCCCGTACAATGTTTTGACCCCCCTCCTAACTCGGTCGAAGGTGTACTAATTCGGACCAAATTTGGTATGTAGTATACTCACAGGCTAGTAACAAAAAATAACATAGCTGGACCTACCTTATATTTGAATTTCAAAATCTAGAGACAATTTTCAAAAATCACCTCTAAAAATCGAGGAAAAAGTTTTGACCCCCCTTAAAAAACGTCTGAAATCGCCAGCGGATGCCACGCAAACCTATTGTAATCGACGTCCCATACCTGAATACAGGTTAATAAATGGTTTTCCGTTGAATGCTCCGTTGCATTTGAGGACGCAACGCGTTAAACCGTTTTTGATGTAGAGCTGCCCAAAATTGTAAAAATCTTGCCCTAGCGCTTTCCTAGGGCTCTGAATTGGGTTTATATTATGTGCTTTAGACCTGTATTTACCTTCTCCTTTCAATAAAAGTGCATGGTGGCCTGGCGGTGTAGATTCGGCAGATACCCTCTTGTCATACCCAGCCTTCGTGAGCCATTTGCCCTTTGAGTCAAGGTCGAGATGTGGTCGTTAGGTCCTCAGTGTAATCCTGAGACTCCTAGTTACTTTCAAACAAAGAATAAACTCCGGCTGACACGGTCTCATATGGTTTGCAGGCGCAACTTCGCCGATCTGCACCTTAACGAAAAACCCGCGTTTTTCAAATGGATTTTTAGCCACCAAAAACGGCTTTCATTTGATGGACCAGGTAATTTAAGACGCTACGGCACCCACCATTCTCATTTGAGACGTATGAAACGCCAAATGGGAGGTGGGGATGTCATCGTACTCGGGGTCATCTACAGTAACGGCAAAGTTAAGATTAAGGCGAATAAAACCCATTACAAAACGTGCCAAATCAAAACATTTTACGTTACTGAGAGCAACTAGGAGTCTCAGGATTACATTGAGGACCTAACGACCACATCTCGACCTTGAGTCGAAGAGCAAATGGCTCACCAAAGCTGGGCATGACAAGAAGGTATCTGCCGAATCTACACCGCCAGGCCACCATGCACTTTTATTGAAAGGAGAAGGTAAATACAGGTCTAAAGCACGTAATATAAACCCAATTTACAGCTTTAGGAAAGCGGGCAAGATTTTTACAATTTTGGGCAGCTCTGCATTAAAAACGGTTTAACGCGTTGAATCCTCAAATGCAACGAAGCATTCAACGGAAAACCATATATTAACCTGTATTCGGGTATGGGACGTCGATTACAATAAGTTTGCATGGCATCCGCTGGTGATATCTAACGTTTTTTAAGGGGGGTCAAAACTTTTTCCTCGATTTTTTAAGGTGATTTTTGAAAATTGTTTCTAGATTTTGAAATTCAACTATAAGGTATGTCCTGCTATGTTATTTTTTGTTACTAGCCTGTGAGTATACTACATGCCAAATTTGGTCCGAATTAGTACACCTTGGACCGAGTTAGGAGGGGGGTCAAAACATTGTACGAGGAGTATATTTCTTTTTTCTTTTTATCGCACAGTGCACTCTCAGCGACACTTTTGCACCGTGCGTCGATTTTTTGAGACTGCACAGTGCGTTTTAGCAGTATCTTTTTGCACCGTGCATATGATTTTTTGTCTGCACGGTGCAATTTATTCTCATTTTTGCACTGTGCAATCAGATTTTTCTTTTTTATCGCACAGTGCAGTTTTGTCACCATTCGTTTTTCTGCACCGTGCGTCAATTTTTTGAGACTGCACAGTGCAATTTTTTCGTTCCACATGTTTTTGCACCGTGCAAAATCTTTGTTTCTTTTTTATCGCACTGTGCAACCGGAATTTTCCCAATAAACCCTTCATTTACTCGACAAATCCAATTAAAACTCCTCCAAATTCATGGAGTAATTGAATTATTCATCCGAGATCTTTTTAATTACTCGTTGCTCGAGGGGATTTGTCATTTTCTCCAATTTCTCCATCCATTTTCACCTGTTTCTCATGCCCGATTTTTGGACGAAAATGCGTTTGTTTTCGGAGCGAAACGCCGAGTTGGGCTTTTTATATTGTTATATAACACAGCGCATCCCCAGCCAGTCATTTTTTTTTTATTTTTACCCGCCCTTTCCTCCGCATAATTCTGAGGTCACCGAGCTTGTTTGGCTCGAATGGGAATTTTCGCTCACCTGTTTCGTCGTTTCTCTCCCCTTTTTTGGTAGTTGATTATTAATATTTGCGGTCATTTGTTTCGAATTCCAATCGTGTTTCGCACGGTGCGCTCCATAGAACACTTTCAGTTCGAATGCACTGTGCGGTGAATAAAAATTGAACGGATCATTGCACTGTGCGGTGAAATGAGACTTCATTTTGAACTGTATCCAGTCTGAAGGGCTTGAATTTTTATTTTATAACGCTTTTTGTAAATTCAGCTTCTGCACGGTGCAGAAAAATTAAGTTTGTAAAAACCGCACAGTGCAGTGGGAAAAATTGGGAATTTCGCACTGTGCAGAAAACAAAATTAATTTTTTTTGTCGAAATAAAAAATTTACATCTGTCGTCATCTAAACACACTGTTTCCACTTTTACTTTCTACTGCACAGTGCAATAAATGCTTATTTTTCCAAACGCACAGTGCAGTTTCAAAAATTGAAAATTTCGCACTGTGCAGAAACCAAATTTTTGGTTTTTTTATTGAAAATAATACATTTACACCTATTACCATCTATACACGTTATTTTCACTTTTACTTTCTACTGCACAGTGCAATAAATGCTTATTTTTCCAAACGCACAGTGCATTAGTAAAAGATGCCTATTCTGCACTGTGCAAAAACCCAATAGGAATTTTTTTCATTCAAAAATAAAATTTGTCACTGTTTTTATTCTAAAACTTCCATCTTCTTCTTCATCTTCCACTCTACAATGCGGCAAAAACAAACATTGTTTTTGGCACTGCGCGAAAGAAAGACGCGTTTTATTCTTGCATTGTTCAATGAAAAACAGCTTTGTTTACTCATGCCACTAGCTGGCGATCTTGTTTATTGGCCACGCAATGGCATTGGAAGCTTTCTTTTTACGGCACATTACGGAAAATTGAAATTCTTTTTTTGCACTGTGCAGTGAGAAAATTGACCTTGAACTGCACAGTGCAGTTGAAAAAAAAAGATTTTTTCTTTGTATTAGTACTAGTTGTTCTATTAGTCACCTCACCATACGATAATAATTTCAATTTTTTCTTTGCACTGTGCGAAATTTCCAATTTAATTTTTTGCACGGTGCAGTTGGAAAGTTGAGCTTGAACTGCACAGTGCTGTTGAAAAACAAGATTTTTTACTATGTATAAGTACTAGTTATTCTACTACTCACCTTACTATGTAACGATAATTTCAATTTTCTCTTTGCACTGTGCGAAAACTACAATTTAATTTTCTGCACTGTGCAGTGCAAAGATTTGTCTAAAACTGCACTTGCGATAAAACTACGAAATTTTTGGTTGAGCAATAAAATTATGTATTCCATAAACTTCCAAAATAGCATCATCCAACCCAACTTCTCCTCCGCACAGTGCAAAAAACTCGGCTTTATTTTTTGCACCGTGCAGTTTTATTTGTTATGCTAATTCTTTATGGCTTTATCCGAGGAGGATCCGAGAAAGCCGGAAGAGGGTCCTGGAAGAATCGTTAAGCGTTTTTTCTCCTTGGGAATGAGTTATGCGGGGATATGGAGAGATTTTTTGGTTCGCAAAGGTCTTAAACCGCGGAAAATAGGCTTAAAACCCCGGAAAGGAAGGGGTTTCAAGGTCTCAAATATATCAGTATTATTTTTACATTTCATTTGAAGCCATTTTGCGATATTTTGAAAGCTTTTCAGCCCTGAAAATCGAGATTTTTTAGATTTTTTAAAAATTTTCCCCAAAAAATTAACTTTTTTATGATTATAGAGAATTGTATGCCCTAGGGCATTATAAAATGTCATCTACGATTATTTCTGATGGTATTTGAAATCCAATTGACACCATTCCATATGTTTATGGCCATCTGGCGCGAAAATTTACCGCCCTTTCCCCGAAAAGTGGAGATGTTGGATGGGTAATGGGAATTTAATGGGATTATCCTTTATTGCCGAGCCTTCAAATCGTCGTATCTTTCTATATTTACTCGAACCTCTCCTAATTCCCCTCAATTTTACCCTATTTTTCTCAAATTTCCCCAATTTTTGATGACTTTTCTCATTTTTTGGCCATAAATCGTAATATTTGGCTAAAAATAGCTCGACATCTTGATAAAAATGGTAGAACGAGCAATTTCGGAGGCTTTAGCAGAGACTTTTGCCCTTGATAAATGGCCCATGTTACCATGCGACATGAATTTGGATGTATTGGGGATTAGAAAATGCGCGGAAACCAAACAAAACCCTCCGGGCTTAAGGCGGCTCAAATTTCCAAATGGATCTTCGGGCCTTTCAAGATATCTGGGGGAGTATTTCACGTGGAGAAACGGGTTTTCTCGCAAGGTATACGATTTTTTTTGACTTTAGTCATCAAAATAATGGTTTTTTGGGAATTTTTTGATGATTCTGGGTAAAATACGAGGCACCGATGATCGCCAAGATCTTTAGAATGCCGAAGATGCGGCTGGGAATGATAATTTGGCTATTTGACGTTATTTTTGACACCAATTTTTGGGTAACAGGACTTTCGATATTATCCATGATGACTAGAACATTTTTTAGATTTTTCTTGAAATTACTCTCCACAAAGCTCTGTAAAAACTTGCATATATGTTCTGTCTGTCCTATTTATCCTGAAAAACACGATTTTCCAGTCAGATCTTACTGTATTTTCAGGGTAGATGGGGTCTTCCGATATTACCCGTGATGACTAAATTTTTGATTTTTCTCTTGCAAGATGGCAAAATTAATATGTAAAATTGGCCGATATATTGTCTACAAAGCATTGTCATTATCCTGGAAAGCTTTTTTTGTCAGAAATCGGACATCTTTATCGTGTTTTAAGTCATTTTTTGATATTCTCCAGGATGACTAAAATTTTTGATTTTTCTGGGGTAAAATTTCACAATTACTTTGTGCATTAGACTGATAAATTGTCTACGGGGCATTGCCATCATCTTAGAAAGCTTTTTTTGTCAAAAATCGGACAGCTTTATCGTATTTTAGGTCATTTTTTGATATTCTCCATAATGACTAAAAAAGTTATTTTTTTTTGCTGTAAAACGCCCGAATTTGAAAGAAATAACATTGTAAAAATATTTTAAGATACCATGTATTACACGGCGAGGTATTTTACATCCATAACCCATAATTTTTTTTCATTTTTTTCAATTCCCGATATTATTCATGATGAAAAAACCCCTCTTTAAATCACAAAAAACTCCCGCTCGGATTAAGAAATTCCTCCGTCAAGTCGCGCAAAGCCTCAATTTCCGATATTTTATTATATTTACCCGGAATGTCATGTCGTTTCAGAGAAAGTGACCAGTGACCGCCTCCGCGGCCGAAAAAAACCACACAATGAGCTTCATGGGCGAGGCCAACTTTGGCGAAAACAAAGAGAATGTGGCGCAGGTCTGAGTTTCAACCTTCTTTTACATTCCACTGATTTTTGCAAAGTAACTTTTGCACCCGGAAGGAATTTTTTGAAATTTTGCTACCAAGTGTGATATAATTTAATTTTTTTGAATTTAAAAAGGTGATGGTGATAGTGGGCGCCGTATTTTACCTCAAAAAGGTATTTGTAGTCGGAATTACTGTAAATTTTCACCGTATTAGGTTACATTTCCATTTCCTGGCACGAAAATTTGATTTTTGGCATTCTGCAACAGATCTCCGGAATCTCGCAAATCCGGATCGCAGCGATAAAACTAGCTGTAGTATGTTCCAAACAGTGTAGTAGACCCCAAAATACCTCTAAATTATTTGAATATTTATCTATCTATCCATTTTTGATCCAATTTTTGGGAATGTCCAACTTGCAGAAGGTCCAAGCGCTTGTCAAGCAGTTCGATCAGATTACCGATCAGTGCGTGCGCTTCTCCCAATCCGCCTCGTCGGCCGGCGGCTTTGAGCAATCCAATTTCCAGCGGGGAGGTCTTCGGAGCAGTAAGTTCATATTTGATGTCAAGTGTAATATAATTTTTTGCTGGAATTAGGCTGAATTTTGTATTAGAGGCGCTTCTTGTCGTCTATGTGCCATATTTAGCCTGAGACGGCAGTTTTTTTTCGGTATTTTACTCTCAAATTGAAGTTTTTGATATCTGACGTCAAGTGTAATATAATTTTTTGCGACTTTTGACGAAATTTTGATTTTAATACTTACATGAAAATGCCTTGAGCTTTATGAAGTAATTTTATCCCGGTTTTTGGGTGTTTATCCACTTGAACTATACGTTTTTTTGAAGGAGAAGGTCTAGTCTAAAATAATGTCGATCTTTGGGTAAACTTTGACGGAAAGCTTATTAAAACTGCTTTGTTACATAGATATGGGACTGATAAAGGTTTCAAATCAAGCCACACCTCGTATTTTACTATTATTTTATTGAAATTTCGAATTTTGAGACCAGATGTCAAGTGTAATATAATTCGTCAAATTTTAACAAAATCTTTGGTGGAAATTTCTTTCAAGCCTTTGAAAGTGATATTCCAAGTCTTATAAATTAATTTTAGCTATGCTGTACCTCATTTCCACATTTTTTTCATCACTTTTCATCAAATTTTACCTAAAACAATATAAAATTTCCCAAAAAATCCCGCTTTTTCCAGCCTACGATGCCGAACGTCGCAAATCCTTGAACATCCATCGACGATCCTTGAACGCGGCCAATTTTCAAGCCCTGAACCCGGACTTGGACCACGTCGCACAGCTCGGAGCACAGCTCCGAAACGCCGAACGGGACCTGGAAATTCGAGCCGATCTCGCCGATTCGCACGCCGTTTTCGTGTTGTATAAGCGGATTAGTGTGAGTGTTTCGAGTCCGCACCCATTTTTTTGTTGAGTTTTAGAGTCGTTTTGGCTTTTCGAATTTTAATTAAAATGGAAAAAATGAGGAATTCCAATGGTTTTTTTGCGGCTTCTTTGATGTAAAAAGATGTCTCGGACCTTTATCTGTGAATATTAATTCATTTCCTGTCGGTTTGAATCGGTTTCAGGCCAAAAAATGCGTTTTTTCGGGGAAAAATACCTAGTACAATATAAAAATTATTTAAAAATTTGTCGGATTGAATAATAATATGTGTATTTGAGACGGCTGATTCATGAAAACGATTTTTATTTTGAATTTGTTTTGAAAAAAAGTGGATTTTTGAGCGAAAATAGAATATAAATATAATTGTAAAGAGCCTGCTGGTCTTTGATATGGTAAAATAAAACGTATCCAGTCGTTTTTCCCATTGGAACTTTAGATTTTTTTTTAAATTTTGTTATGGATAATATAAATTATAGATAAAAGTTGATATTTCTGACTGGCAATTACGTGAAATTGATTTCCTTCAATTTTACTTGCAATTCTAGGTCTGTTACCTTTCCGTTGTTACGTATTTACATATTTTTTGGTTTACTTTTCCATGGATAATATAAAAAATCGATACAGTGAAATTGATTTTCAATGGAAGTTTTGAGGCCTTTGCGATTTTTGATATCATGTTTTATCTTTCGTTTATTTCAAAATTTTTGGTTTTGACTTAATCTTGCCATGGATAATATAAAATGTTGGTTAAGCTGTTTATGCGGGAAATAAGCCGTTAAAGGTGGTCTAAATGTTGCAGTTGAGAAATCGTGGGTCACACAGGTCGGTTGGTGCAAGTGCGGGTGAGCCCTTTGGGGTGATCGCATTTTCAGGTGATGCAATTTCGGGTGGCGCACATTCGGGTGATGGATTTTTGGGGTGGGTGAATTCTCGCGTGATGAAGAAAATATTGTAATGATGGCTACTAAATATGACTGTTTCGACCATCAGGAATGCGAAGATGGAAATCTCATTTTCTTCCTCGGCGGCATGGCCCAGAACATCAGTAATCCATAGTCGTAATTTTCTTTTTAATTTTTGGATTCCTGATGATCGAAACCCCCAAAAACATTTAACTATCTTATGTCATATTTAGTAGCCATTAGTACAATATTTTATTTATCACCCGGGAATTAACCCACCCCAAAAATCCATCACCCGAATTTGAACACCCGAAAATGCGATCACCCCAAAGGGCTCACCCGAACTTGCACCACCCGACCCTGTGTCACCCATAATTTCTCAACTACAGCATTTAGACCACCTTTAACGGCTAATTTCCCGCATAAATAGCCAATTTAACCAACTTTTTATATTATCCGTGGCAAACTTAAGTCAAAACCGAAAATTTTGAAATGAAAGAATGCTAAAACATGATACCAAAACTCGTAAAGGCCTCAAAACTTCCATTGAAAATCAATTTCACTGTATTCTAACCCGAATTTTTTTATATTATCCATGGCAAAGTAAACCCAAAAATAAGTAAAATACGCAGCAAAAAAGATAACGGACCTAGAATTGCAAGTGAAACTGAAAGAAATCAATTTCACGTCAATTGCCAGTCAGAAGTATCAACTTTTACTAATAATTTATATTATCAATAACAAAATTTAATAAATAATCGAATGTTCCAATGGGAAAAACGGCTGGATACGTTTTATTTTACCATATCAAAAGCCAACAGGTCCTTTAAAATTATATTTGGCCCGAATTGTTATACAAATCCCACATTTTTTGGCCATTTTGGTATCGCCAATGGTAAAATTTGACAATTTTTTTTCAAAACAGTCTTCATTTTCTATAAACACCCTCTAAACCGCATAATAATCCATAAACATTCATAAAATTTCGCTATCGAGACCAAGAAGCGTCAAATTCCCGCTTCTCCGATATTATTCATGACACCAGCTATTTTCGCTCAAAAATCCACTTTTTTCAATACAAATTCAAAATAAAAATTGTGTCCATGAACCAGCCTCAAGTTGGCATATCGTATTTTACAAATTTGATATTCAATTTTTTCGTTTTTTCAGAACAGATGTGAAGACCTCCAGGAAGGCAAGAAAATGCTCCTGAATGCGGAAAGAGCAGCCCAGAACCACTCGGTCTTCGAAAAGCGCGCCCAGAACTGTCGTCGCGAACTCGACGAGAAGCTGATCTCCCTCCAATGCCGTCGCAACGAACTCCAGAATCTGCTGGATGCCCTCAGGGCATTCGAAAATCATCGAGCCCCGATGAAGGAATGGCTGCAGAAAATTCAACCCACGGCCGAGATGGTCGAGATCTCCAAGGATTCGTCGGCTTTAGACCAACTGACCGCCGAATATAACAGACACTATGATGACTACATGAACCTGAAAAAAGTCACCGAAAATTTGTTCAAGGAATTCCAATTCGATGATCTGAAGAACCTAAAAAGTCAATGGAATGAGATTACCGAGCAGTGGAATGGATTAACCGAGATGTAAGAGCTTTTTTTGGGGGTTTTTGATGAGAAATCGTCATGGATAATATAAAAATTTTTGTTTTTTTTGCAAATTTTTTATTGGGTTTGCATGGAAATAGTTGAAAATTGAATTTTATTTGTTTTAGGGGGATTTTTTTACTTAGGAGGTCTATTTTAACATAAAAATAGACAAAAAATGTCATGGATAATATAAAAATTTTTTATTTTTTGCGAAATTTTGATACTTCTTGGTTTTTATTGGAAGAATAATGAATTTTATGGTGTTTGAGGGAATTTGGCATAAATTTTAGGGCGATTTTGACTCAAAAACAGGCAAAAATTTCATGGATAATATAAAAAAATTTGATTTATGTTGAAATTTTACGAGTTTGGAGGTTGAAATGGCCTTTCGGATGATTAGAATTTGTTTGGATCAGATGGGAGTTGAGTTTCGGGTTAAAAAAATCAAGCTTTATCATGTATAATATAAAAATATAAGTTCCCGAAAAATTTTTCGACTTTTGATTCATTTTTTGTTTATAAAGTGTCGAAAAGTAGTCCATTATAGCCCGGGGAATATTGTTTATAAAAAAGTTTTAAAATTTTCCCCACTTTTTACTTTTAGCATCATCCGAACCCGCAAAATGCAATCGCCGGATATCAAAACAAAGCAAGCCCTGTGCCAATGCGAGACCTGGTTCAAACGCCAGCTCACAAAATTGGAATTCTGGAACCAAAATGGATTCACAGTAGCCGAACAGAAGCGAATTGATGATATCTTGGAGGTAAAAATGGGATTTTTTTTATAATTAGTAACTGCACTGTGCAGTGGATTTTTGGTCTTGTGTTTTTTGCACGGTGCGAAAAATTTCGGTAGAAATTGCACGGTGCAGAATCTAGAGTTGTCGTTTGCACAGTGCGTTTTTTGTCTTTGGTTTTTGTTTGCACTGTGCAGTCGACTTTTGGCGTTGTTTTTTTTTGCACGGTGCGAAAATTTTTGGGGAAAATTGCACAGTGCAAAGGTCGAGTTCTGCTTTGCACTGCGCGTTTTTGTCGCGTTGTCCTTTGCACTGTGCATGTTTGGTTCATCAAGTGCACTGTTGCACCGTGCGCCGATTTTGCGGCAAGTTTTTTTCATTGCACAGTGCATCGGGTTTTGCGACAAACTTTTTTGATGTGCACTGTGCGAAGAATTTAGCCGCGAAGTTTTGTTTTGCACTGTGCTTTTTTGTCTTGTTGTTTTTTGCACTATGCAGCTGAATTTGAAGTGCACTGTGCGAGTTTTGGTTCATTGATTACATTGCACCGTGCGCCGGTTTTGGCGACAAGTTTTTTCATTGCACAGTGCATCGGGTTTTGCGAAAAACCTTTTCTAATTTGCACGGTGCGAAGAATTTAGCGACGAAATTTTTTTTGCACCGTGCGGGGTTTTGTCGCGTGTCGTCGCGTGCACAGTGCGTGGAGTTGGGAATCGTTTTTTTTTTTTTTGACTGCACGGTGCGAACCCTTTTTTGTTTTATTTTTGTCACTGCACTGTGCAATATATTTTTTGTTTTATTTTTTTTGCGACTGCACTGTGCAATGTGTTTTTCGATTTTATTTTACGACTGCACTGTGCAATGTGTTGTTTGTTTTGTTTTTCCGACTGCACTGTGCAATGGACTAATTTCCAAATTTTTCAGAAATCCGCCCGTTTAATCGCAACTTTCCGCCAAAATGGCGATGGAATCATGGCCTCGGACTCGGGAAGGAAGAGCCTCGAGACTTTGGAGATCCAGTTCGACAGAATCAGCCATCTGGTCCGTGAATTACGCCTCAAAAGTCCTCAATCCAGCCCAAGTGCGAAGTGCTCGGCATCTCCAACGACCTCACAAACAATGTCAACGAGATCTACAACGATTTGGTAAGGTGTTTTGCGGAGTTTGGAGGGGTTTTTGGGAGTTTTTGGACTAATTTTGCCTAGTATAAGGTTGAGTTGTTTTGTTTTGGACGAAAAATGACGAATTTGATGGATTTTTGGGAAATGTGGGTAAAATACGATGTGCCGGGCTTTTTCTTGAAATTTTGAAGGGTTTTGAGACGTGTTGGAAGATTTTTTTGCATGGTGTAAGTCCGGATTATGTGATTTTAGCCAAAAAATGGGTTATTTTTGAGTGAATTTGGGTAAAATACGGATTAAATTTAAATTTTAAGAATTATTTTTTAAAGAAATCCCCTGAATTTAGATATTGTTTAATGTTTTTGTAAAATTTTTGTTATTATCCATAAGAAAAGTGGACTTTTATTGTCTAAATTTTGCTTTTCGGATGATCTTTGAACTTGATAAAGGTAAATTGAGCGAAATCTTTTTAAAAAATATTAGTTTCTTCATAAAAATTTTGATTTTTTACCTAGTGTAATATAAAATTTCCCAAAATTTCGCCTTTTTTCAGCTCCAGCCCTCAAAGCGAGACGTCCTCGGTGAACGGCGCGTTTGTCCGCGTCCAATTCGAGCCCGAATGCCTCAGGGATTTACTGGATTGCCTCCGGAATTACAATCGCATCAAATTCTCGAATTACCGCACCGCGATGAAGGTCTGGGCGGTCCAGAAACGCCTCAATTTTGATTTGATCGACCTCGCCCACGTGGATTTGCTGTTCCGCCAGCTTTTGTTGAAGAACCACGGGGATCTGAGCATCGATGAGCAGTTCCAAATCCTGAAACCGCTCTTCGAAAAGGCCCACGCCGACTTTCCCACCTCAATAAAGGACGTCAGAGACGCGATCTTGAAGGCAACCGAACTGTTCAAGAGCCTCGCCATGTCCAACGAAGCCAGAACCATCAAAATGGCCCTTTCCTTCCTGGTGAACGGAAATTTGGACCAAAAATACCGGTATATCTTTGGAATTTACACCGAAAATGGAGAGGGAACCAAGGAAAAAATGGTGGAAATGTTCACGGACCTCGCGAAAGTAAGAAATTCCAGAAAAAACGGGGAAAATTGAGGCATTTTGAAGGTTTTTGGAGAGAATTGGGGGATTTGCACGGTGCAATGGGGAAGAATTGGTTTTGCACGGTGCGAAAAGAATGAAAATGGGGTTTGCACTGTGCGAAAAGAAGGAAAATGAGGTTTGCACTGTGCGGAAGAAAGAAAAATTACAATTTGCACTGTGCATGGTCCGCGACAAGGTTTTTTTGTTGTTTGCACTGTGCAAAATGGAGGAAGGGGATTTTGCACTGTGCGAAAAATAAAAAATAAAATTCGCACTGTGCATAATCTGCGACAAACTTTTTTTGTTGTTTGCACGGTGCGAAAAGAATGAAAATGAGGTTTGCACTGTGCGGAAGAAAGAAAAATGACAATTTGCACTGTGCATGGTCCGCGACAAGGTTTTTTTGTAGTTTGCACTGTGCAAAATGGAGGAAAGGGATTTTGCACTGTGCAAGAAAGGAAAAATAAGGTTTGCACTGTGCAAAGTCCGCGACAAAAAGTTGAGTGATTTGCACGGTGCAGAAAAGAAGAAAAAAGAGTTTTGCACTGTGCGGAAGAAAGAAAAATAATTCTCGCACTGTGCAAAGTCTGCGACAAAAAGTTTTTCAATTTGCACGGTGCAAAGAAGAAGAAAAAGGCGTTTTGCACCGAACAATGGCGTTTGCACTGTGCAAGGTCTGCGACAAAAATTTTTTGTTGTTTGCACTGTGCAGAAAAAAAGGGTTTTGCACCGTGCAAAAAAGGAACAACGACATTTGCACTGTGCAAAGTCTGCGGCAAAAAAGATTTGTATTTTGCACGGTGCAAACTGGAGGAAAAGGAATTTCGCACTGTGCAAAGTCTGCAACAAAATTTTTTGTTGTTTGCACTGTGCGGAAAAGAAGAAAAATGAGTTTTGCACTGTGCAAAGTCTGCGACAAAAGTTTTTTGTGGTTTGCACTGTGCAAACGAAGAAAATTTTGTCGCAAAGTTTGCACAGTGCAATGAACTGCGCGCACAGTACGATATCCAAGTTTTTTTGCTCCGTGAAATAATTTTTTACTGTTCTTCTTCTCAACTAACTTTTATTTCAGTTCCCTCGACTGGTCGGTGAAGATTCTTCTCGATTTGGCCTAAAATCTGCCCCTTGTTCCACGGCCTCCCTCTTCAAACATGTCGCGGATTCGAATGGTCAACTCAAAGTAGAGCATGTCACAGTCGACCAGTTCCTCGAATGGACCCATCTGAACCCGGAAACGCTGACCTGGGCCCGCTCTCTTCATCATTTGATCAGATCCGAGTTCTCGAAACACAAAAACGCCAAGTGCGCGGGATGCAAAATGTACCCGATTGTGGGCCTCCGATTCAAATGCCTCCATTGCTTCAATGTGGACATGTGCCAGAACTGCTTCTTTGCGCGCAAAACCATCAAAGGCCACAAACCCGAGCATGAATTACAGGAATATTACGAAAAGGTAGGTGATTGCACGGTGCGGCGAGAATTTCTGTTGGGTTTGGGGTTCGCACAGTGCGGAGAAAGGTGTTTGATAGTTTGCACGGTGCGAATGGAAGAAGGATTTTTTTGCACAGTGCGAAAATGAAAGTAGAGAATTTGCACTGTGCGAAGAAAATTTTTGGGGGTTTTTGGTTGCACCGCGCGACAAATTTTTTTATTTGCACTGTGCGAAAGGAAGAATGAGGAATTTTTTGCACTGTGCCAAAAAGGAAAGTTGAGAATTTGCACTGTGCGAAGAATAGTTTTGAGAATTTTTGTTTGCACCGTGCGACAGACTTTTTTCTTTGCACGGTGCGGAAAAGAAAGTTGAGAATTTGCACTGTGCAAAGAACAATTTTGAGGATTTTTCGTCTTGCACCGTGCGACAGACTTTTTGCTTTGCACTGTGCGAAAAAACCTTCTTTTTTTTGATTTTGCACGGTGCGGAAACGAAACGTTGGGGATTGCACGGTGCGAATAAAGTTTTGAACAATTTCCCGCACTGTGCAGTAATTTTTTTGGGGTTTTTATTACAGGGTGTTTCAAGAAATTTGGCAGAAACTAGTTGCGAATATTTTTGAGCTCTTGCTAGTTATCGCAGAAATTCTTTTTGTTTCTGAAACTTGACAGCGGGCGGTTTTGTACTGAACAAAAAAAATTTTTTTCGTCGGCGGAGAGGCCAGTTCTCGGCGGAGGCATTTGGGGCCTTTTTTAAAAATCACACCTTATTACATCGTGGAAACTCTGTTACAGTGGCCAAAATCATGTTTACGTTAAACCTCCGTGGATTTTGCGGTATGCTTTTTTTGTTTTCGATTTTCGCTCATCCGCGGAGGCACGGCGGAGACCTCAGGTTTCGGCGGACGTCGTTTTGAGCCTTTGGATCATTCAATTCAGGTTGGAAAAAAGTGTGGGGTGATTTTTTGTTGTCACCCGATGCACAGATGCAAAAATTTCGCAGTTTTTTCCCCCGGCGGAGGATTCGGCGGAGGCTTTACCAAAGGGTCAGAACAGTCTTAGGAGTCCGGGAAAAAACTCAGCTACAAGAATCCATCACAGCAACACCATTTTTCTTATTTTTTGATCCGGCGGACACATCGGCGGAGGTTTCGGCGGAGGCTTTATCAAAAGAGTCAAAATTTTGTTTTGACCCTTTGAGAAAGCCTCCGCCGAATCCTCCGCCAGGGGAAAAAAGTACAAAATTTTTGCCCTCTGTGCATCGGATGACAACAAAAAATCGCCCCAACCTTTTTTTCAACATGGATTTGCAAAAACCGAGGGCCCAAAACAAAGTCCGCCGAAATCTGCGGTCTCCGTCGCGCCTCCGCGGATGTTGCGTAAAATCGAAAACGCAAAAAAAGCATACCGCAAAATCCACGGAGGTTTAACGTAAACATGATTTTGGCCACTGTAACAGAGTTTCCACGATGTAATATTACGCTTTTTCAAAAGTGCAGACACATTTTCCGGCTTTTTTTGCACCGCACAGTGCAAGTTTCGCGTTCCCCGCGCGACGCGATCCGATTCGAAACATTTTGCACTGTGCAATTTCAAAAAATTCGCGCCGGCTCCGTTGAGAAAAGCTTGCGTCGCAGCGATATCCGGTTGCACAGTGCAAAAGGTCAAAATGCACCCCGCAAAAGGGAGTTTTGTGCACGGTGCGGCCCACGACAAAATGTGTCTGCACTTTTGAAAAAGCGTAATAAGGTGTGATTTTTAAAAAAGGCCCCAAATGCCTCCGCCGAGAACTGGCCTCTCCGCCGACGAAAAAAATTTTTTTTTGTTCAGTACAAAACCGCCCGCTGTCAAGTTTCAGAAACAAAAAGAATTTCTGCGATAACTAGCAAGAGCTCAAAAATATTCGCAACTAGTTTCTGCCAAATTTCTTGAAACACCCTGTATTTGCACTGTGCAAAATAAAGTTTCGGGTTGAATGCACTGTGCAGACAAAAGTTTTTGTTTTGCACAGTGCAAAATGAAAATTTGTCGTGTTTGCACGGTGCGAATAAAGTTTTGAAGATTTCTCGCGCTGTGCAATTATTTTTTTGGATTTTTATTTTTTGCACTGTGCGGAGTAAAGTTTTGGATTGAGTGCACTGTGCAGGAAAAGTTTTTTGTTTTTGCACTGTGCAATCTTCTCTTTTGATCTAATTTTATCGTATTCCAGACGAACGCACTGGATAATGTCCGTGATTTCACGCAATTCGTCCACAATAAGATGCGCCGACGGTCGACCGGTCGCGTGGGCTATGTTACGGTGAGCCCGGCCACCTTTACCGACGAGCCGGACCACAAAAACGAGACCATTGACGAGGTGTTTGTCTATGATAAGGTCACTCCACCACCAATCCCACAGCGCCAAACCCCCCTTCAAATCCATCTGACACCGGAATTTAGGAAACGAGACAGCGATTCACTGTGCAGAGAAGCCACTCCGGATGATTTGGGAAATCTGATCAGGGTTCTTCAGACAGAAAATGAGTAAGTTTTGGGGGAAAAATGAGGTTTTTTTGGAATTTTTGTGGGGATTTTTGACGAAAAAATTAGGTTTGATAGGGAGAAAAAGCTGTGAAATGAATTTTGGAAGCCTTTTTCGGGTAAAATAAGAGGACTATAGCACTTGACCTATATATAGGTCAAGTGTAATATAATTTTTGATAAAAAGTTGGGAATTTTGGAGGTTTTATGGGTTAAATGAATAGAAAAAAGTCTGACAAGGAAAGTACTTTTATGGGGCTCCTACTTTTTGACGGGACATATCTCAAAAAATCAGAAAAAATGTGCTGATCAAGGATATATAAATCTTAGCTGCCCATTTTAGGTTTTTAGGGGTGAAAATGCCCAAAAACTGGCTTAATTTCTCTACAAAAGGCGCAGGCATTCGAAACGATAAAAAGCGCAGTCGGTCTCCTCCTTCGGAAGAGAGCGGTGTGGCCGAGTGGTTAGTGCCGTAGCTTTGGAATCAAGAGGGAGGACGCCGCACGGGTTCGATTTCCCTTTTGGGCCGAAGTAACTTTTTAAAAAAAGTTGAAGGTCTGAAAAATAAATTTTTGTGCCAAACCTGATTTATTACGTCTTAGAAACTCAATAAACATCATTCTAAGCCAAAATAAAAATTGTAAACCTGTGAAAAATTGAGCGAAAAGGGGTTTATATAGGACTTTAAGTCATCTTCCGACTGAGTTTTCACCCCTAAAAACCTAAAATGGGAAGCTAAGATTTATATATCCTTGATCAGCACATTTTTTCTGATTTTTTGAGATATGTCCCGTCAAAAAGTAGGAGCCCCCATAAAAGTACTTTCCTTGTGAAATGAATCTTGGAAGCCTTTTTCGGGTAAAATAAGAGGACTATAGGTCAAGTGTAATATAATTTTTGATAAAAAGTTGGGAATTTTGGAGGCTTTATGGGTTAAATGACTAACGAAAGAGCTGAAATGAATCTTGGAAGCCATTTTTGGGTAAAATACGAGAACTATAGTCAAGTGTAATATAATTTTTGATAAAAAATAGGGAATTTTGGATGTTTTCTTGGTTGAATGACTAGAAAAAGAGCTGAAATGAATTTTGGAAGCCATTTTTGGGTAAAATACGAGAACTATAGTCAAGTGTAATATAATTTTTGATAAAAAATAGGGAATTTTGGATGTTTTCTTGGTTGAATGACTAGAAAAAGAGCTGAAATGAATTTTGGAAGCCATTTTTGGGTAAAATACGAGGACCATATGTCAAGTGTAATATAAATTTTCCTCAAAGAATATGATTTTTCGATTTTTTTTTTGAGAAAAAATAAAAATTCTTGGATGAAATTTGCGTTCTCATTGTAAAATACGATCGCGCATGTTTCACTTTTTTTTGCAGGATGTTAAAATCGGCGTACGACCGGGTCCGCCGACAGCCGACCCGCTCCCAGATCCTGACCACGCCCACTCAAAGGCTGGGCCAAACCGAAGACTTGTCGCAGGCCGTCGCTTGTATGCTCAATTTGGCCACGGAACACTCTCGGATCTAATATCTTAATTGAAAAGCAAATTTGCCAAAAAAAAATTTTTTTAATTTTTGGCAAAATTGCTATGCAATAATTGTAAATTGTTTTCAAAAATGCGATTTTTTGGCCATTGCGAATCTCAAGGTTGTTTGTGTGATGTTTTTGGTAGTTTGTTTATAGCGAAAACCCCCTAATTATATCAGAAATTACAGTACTTTTTTCCGAAATTTTAGTTATTCATATTGTTATTCGTGCTAACTCCCACTCGAAACCCCTCATAACGAACGTCGATTTATTAATAAATGAGTGTAATATTAATAATATTAACTTAGTGTAACAATTAGCAACAAAAAATTCAAAATTCCCCAAAAAAATATAGAAAACAACGTCAGAGATGGATGAAAATTAAATGAAGTACATTGTAATTACATAAGAGAGCAAAAAATCTGATAAAAGTCCAAATTTTCAAAAATTTTCCTTCAAAAAATCGTTGAAACTTTCTAAAATCCAGCTCTTCAGGTCATAGGCCACCCGTAAATTCAATTTCGAGTTAAAAAACATTCAAATTCACCATAAAAATTTTTGAATTTTTCGAAAAAAACATAAAATTCCAAATTTTTCAAAAAAAAAAAAAAAGTCCAAAATAAAAAATCTGTACAAAATATGATTCATTGATACAAATATTAGTTTCTGATACCATTTTCGGCCACAAAATCCCTAGCTATCCATTGCTTTCTGGTGAATTTCCATCTTCACCATGAGATCTCTTGGCCGGACTTGAATTTGCCGATTTGCCCGAGGATCTTGCGTACTTACTGACGAATTTGGGGGTTTCCTCAAATTTGCGATTACTGTAGCCTCTGTATCCACCTCTATCGCGACTGGCGGACCGTCCTCGACTGCTTCTTCGGATGTTTTTTTGGCCTCGATAGTACGATTTCCCCTCATATTTTTGATCCCTGGGTGACCTGCTCTGACTTCTAGGTGCTCGTTCTCTATTGTCACCTCGATTTCCTTCACTTTCCTCATCAAATCCGGACTTGTGGCCTTTCGGCCGCTTTTCGAAAATTTTCGGCCGCTCTGGTGAAATCTCCAACGGGCTGAAGCTTCGGTGTTTCCCCTGATATCCGCTTCGATTGTAGCCTTGAGGAGAGCGGGGACGGCCTCTTTTTCCCCTATAGGGGTGTGTTGGCTGATAACTTGCCTTAGGGGCATCGAAATAAATTCTTTGCCGTTTCTGATCGCCGGAGGGCGATGAATCGGGGCGGTCTCGCTTCAGCCGTGGGTCCAACTGAAATGATGACATTTATTGGAAAAATCAAAAATTTAGAGCAAGTTTGAGTTTTAGTTGTGGGCGCAGCTCGCCAAACTTTTAAAATTTTTTAATTACAGTAACGAACAACGCAACCTACTTGAAACCAATTACTATATCCAATAAAAATTTTAAAAACTCATATAATTCTTTTATGATCCCAAATCTCCGATTTTTTACCATCAAATGTCTAGTTCAATATAAAAAATTTCAGTGTTCTGCCTCTGCAGACCAGACCATGAAGTATGCATTACTAACATCTCTAAACGGTCTAATAAAAAAGTAAAATACGATGTTTTGAATCGGCACCTCATTTTGAACAAATTTCTTACCTGGCAGCCTGCGCCCGAGCTTAATAAAACCATACAAATTGTAAATTATTAGAATTAAACTTACTTTAATCTACTATCACCACTCATTTCGTTTATTTCACTATCTAAATCGTCAAAATTTCCCATTTTCGATACAATTTCCGAAACCGCGAGCTGCGCCCTAACCTTTTTCAAAAATAGCCGAAAATCAATTTCAAAATGATGAGAAAAGTTCACAACTTATTCGATTAGAGGAATAACAGCATTTCTACTTACATTTCTACTGGTCTCTTGCTTTTCCTTCAATTGTTCGCATTTCCAGTAGAACGAGTATTGAATTCTGGGGTCTGCTGCGTTACTTATCCGTGAACACGGGATTTGAACGGTCTGAAAAGCACCCACATGTCTTTTTAAATTATTTCCAACATTATTTTCCCCACAAACACTTCATTTTCCAATCTTTTTTACCTATATTATACTAGACATTTTGATGCCTTACCTTGTGAATAACTCGATGGCTATGGCTTAGATCGACCTTACACACATTGTAAGGCCCATTCTTTTCCACGGGGATCGATATGACGGAAGGAGTCAACGATGGGGTGCTTTCGGTTTGGGCCATCGGAGGACCATAGTTTGGGACGCTCAGAACTGGTTGGAAATGAGGATCAGGATGTTGAATTGGTGGGGGATATAACTGTTGAGGTACTGACAAACTAGCCGACGCCTCCATTGCCGGCTGATGGTGCAGTATCGGGTTTGAAAGCTGAAATTTCAATTTCAGGTCATGGATAACATGGGACTCTAAAAATTGAAAAAATAATAGATAAAACCATACGAAATGCATGTAATATCCCATATTATGCAATGGTACACTCTGAGGGACGCCTTCCGAGGGTAACGGAGCCATTGCCGGCTGAATAAATGTTGGTGTTACACTTGATGAAGGAGTGGTCATTCCTGGCAACATAGGCTGAAAATAACAACTACATTACTTCCCTGGGAATACTGCGTCACAACAAAGATATTATTATCCAAAATCTCTAAATTTGGGGAAAAATTATATTACACATGATACTTACAGAAGCTGACGTTGGAAAACTAAATTCTCGAGATTCAAATGGCGAAATTTCGATTGTATCAGCTACATGGAGGTTTGGTGAGTATCTCTGGTTAGTGGAATTTGAAGTAGAGGGTTCAGAAAGAAGATTATTCGGCAAATCCGTTAGATCCGACTTGATAGGACGAGAAGGGGTAAATTCGGCGGTTTTCTTTAGAAGAGACTTCAATAATATTTGTTTTAGGTGTGGAACACGTGATTGCATCGATCTATCAATGTCATTGGGGAAAAGGAGATCGGCTGGGTTCTGGAAAAAGCAACAAATTATATTGTAGTAGGTCAGCTGAATTAAACTATCAAAGAAAACAGCCAAATAAAGCAAAAACGTTTCCTAAATGAACGCCTATGCAATTCACAGTATAAGAAGCAGACATCTAACAGAACCTTAACAAAAACAAGCATTTTAAAGCCGGTTTTATATTGTAGTAGATGGTCATACGGGAATTGATTTTTCGTAGGGTAGATGTAGAAAAACCTGGAGATTTTCGATTCGAATTGCAAGTTTCTATAGCATCGCAGATAATGAAAACAAAATCTCGCAAAATTACATGCAAGATTACGCAAATACAGCCGACATTGCACTAGACATCAGATGGTCAAAAAAAATGCAAAAATTGACGTGTAAACAGTGAAATTAGCGCCTTCTAGTTGATGAAAATCTCAACTAATCCATTTTCAGCTAAAACTTCATATTTCGCCTAAAATATAAAAGAAATAACGAAATTATCTTACCCCATCCAAGATTTTGACCAAGCTTTTCAAGCCTTCCGCTCCATGCACTGCGATGCAATGTCCTGACAAATCCAGCAGCTCCTCGCTGTTGAAATTGCAATCCAAGAAGGGGCAGAGACAAAGGTTCTAAAAACAGCTCATAAATCGGATATTACACTTGCCTTCTTTTGGTCATGAATCCGAAATTTATGTAGCTCCAAAAACGACTCCGCTACGTACTTCCTTTCGCATTTATCGCACTCGAAAGGTCGATGGGAGGTGTGGGCTTGTCGAAGGTGGAACATTTTGCCTTCGATTGATTGGCGCGCGGGGAAAACGTGGAAACAGTTGGCCCAGAGGCAAGAAACCGGGTCTTCGATGAGATGCTGAAGCCAATGGAAGTCGAGATCTGCGGAGCCGGCGACCACAATCCCACACTCGGACCACTGGCACACAATCGGGTCCATTGGCTGGAAAGTGGATGGAGAATTTCGTATTTTCGACCACAGAATCGACGGAAAGAAAGAGTTGACACGCGATTTCGGGTCAACTCTTTCTTTGTGCAAATTCACGTGGATTTATGCAAATTTTTGAGGTTTTTAGAATAGCTTGAGGCAAAATGAAGCGCAAACCCTCTATTTCGCCGAAAATGCGCAAAACGTTTTGGACATAAAAAATTTTCTATCAAAATTTTGCTGATCAAGTGTAAGATAGACATGGCTAGTGGGCCGGGCCGGCCCGGCCCAGCCCCTGGGCCGGCCGAACGAGTTTTAAAGGCCCCGGGGCCGGGCCGAGCTCTTCCGGCCCCCGGGCCGGGCCGACCGGGGGCCCCCGCCAGGCCCCCAATCGGCCCCCAATGACTAAAATTCTCAGTCTCAAAGCGAAAATTAGGGTTGCCAATAAAAATAAAACGCAGAGCCAAGAACCGATTGGGTTTTTTGAAGTACTTTAGGCAATGGTTGGTAATTTTTTGTTTCAAAAATTTATTGTTATTGTTGTTATAACAAAAAAATGGGGACTAAGGTAGTACAACTCGCCAGCCCAGTTCAGCCCCTCTGGACCCAGTATAAACCCCCTCATCCAATCTGAAGCGCCTACTCGGGATTGGGTTCTCTCGGCAACGATCATCGTTGCCTGAACCACAAAAACGAATTTGGACGGTAACTGGGGCTTTGAACTAAAACGCCTGGGGTCATTTTACTCTAATTTGCATTTTTTGTATAATTGTAATTTTTTAATTACGGTGGGTGTGAAATGGGCAAAACAGTGGGGGTTTGAACTACCTTTCGCGGGGAGCTGAACTACCAAAGACCCAAAAAAATGTGTTATATCTCGCAATGAACGCAGTATTTATATTTACAGTTCGGCCCCCTATCGGCCCCCGGCCCGGCGGGCCGAGAAAATTTGAAGGGGGCCGGGGCCGGGCCGACCTCTTCCTAGTAACATTTAGCCGAGCGCCAACACTATTAAATGCAAAAATAAGAATTGGAAATTTTAAAGTTCAAAAATTTAAATTTTTACTTGTCCGCGATAAAACAGAATGCCAAAAAGAAGGATAAAATACGGTGACAAATCCTTCAAGTCGCGATTTGCAAACCGTGTAAGAAAGGTAAAATAGGCCGAGAATTTTTGCCATTTGATGAGGTTAACATTTTTCATATTAGGCCTACCTTTTCCATAATTCTCTTCAGTTTCATCTAGTATAATATAAGAAAAGGGCAAATTTCTCGAAAATTTCTAGCTAAATTTATTTTAATAGTGTGGTAGGTAGACGAAATCAATCGATTATTCGATCAGCAGCAGGATTTGGCTGCTTCTCTCGACTATGTGGCCTATTTGGCCAGTTCACAAAAAAATTAAAAAACAAAAGATGCTCGGTTTTTGCTTTCTTTGTAACGAATCGAAAGAAGAGAGACAATGGATCGGAAAAAGGCTTAATCAGCATTTGGCAACCGTCTCTATATAAATCTTTGACGTGATATTACACATGATGATCATGGATAATATAATGGTCGATTTTATGATAAATGAATGATTGCTTAGTTAAATGAATAATCGGGGCTTCGGTAGTTGAGCCTCCCACGAAAGGTAGTTCAAACCCCCACTGTTTTGCCCGTTTCACACCCCACATAATGAACAAATTAGAATAATACACAAAAAATGTAAGTGGGGGTTTGACCTAAAACGTAAGGGGCTTTTTCTAAAACGGAGGGGGCTTGATCTAAAACGTAGGGGGCTTGTGCTGGACCATACAACTTGGACTAATTCTTTGAAATAAATTTTGGGGTTCAGAATGGACGAGGGGGGTTGTACTGGGTCATGGGGGGCTAAACTGGACTGGGGGGCTGTACTACCTTAGCCCCGAATAATCTCTTAGTTGTCTTCAACATATTTGACCCAATATTTCCCGCTTTCCGGGCAAAACACCACAATTTAAAAATTTTTGACGAAATGTCACAAATTTTATTGGATTTTTTCATCGTATAAAACTGAACGTAAAGCCGGTAAAATACGAAAAAACACACTTCTACATCACTCATACACTCATCATCTTTCCAGTTGCTCAATAATATAACAATTTATTCAACTTTTGAAAAGAAAAAATATGATGAGAAAAAGTTTAAAAATTGGGAATGTAAATAATGTTGTGGGCTGTCGACCATACTCATTGGAAGTAGATATGTACAATATTAGAAGACAAACGATGAGATTAGTGAACATTGGACATATGTGACAATTCGGGGGGTTATGGGTCATCAAGTATGTCAAGTATAATATAAATTTTTCTTCTTTTTTCAGAAATTCATATCCAAAACCTTCACAAACACTCTAAAAAAGCATATTCCACTTGACAACCCAATAAAATTCAGTAATTTTGGATAAAAAATCGAAAAATTCAAAAAATTTGATAAAAAATAGAGGTTACTAAAATCGCTGCGTAAACGGTAAAGAGCGCAAAAGATGGACAGAATATGACACAGTGACTCTTCTGGATGTCGGCGAAAAAGGGGCCCGAAACCGCAAAAAGACCATCCCAGGAGTACCCGCAAGACTGTTTAAGAGCTGGGCGACCAGTTTCTGCTTAGCTTGCCTCGAAGAACTTGAAAAAATACCCAAAATTCGTGCACTTTCTCCATGCTGGACACGTATCAGCTGAAAGAATTTGTGTTCTGGCTGCCGATGCGGAGGCTAGACCGGCTTTGTGGGAGTGTCATTGCCTAAAATACACCCTGATTTACAATTTCAGCCAAAAAAATTAGTATTCAAATAAAAAAAAGTCCTATTTACAGCTCTTTTTTTAAAAAACCACTCAAAAAATCTCAAATTTCGATAAATAAAAGGTGACTTACGATTTTCAGAGTCGGTTCCTCGCACTCGGAGTCTGGCAAAATCTTCAAAAACGATATCGTCATCATCGGCTTCATCATCACTTCTGAAAAACACCAAAAATTTTAAAATTTACTTCAAAATCCCCTATAACAAGGTAAAAAATTGTCCATATTATCTTTCTACCAAAAAATAATATTCCGAAATCCACTATATCTTCTTCTACAGGCTATATTACAAAACCTTAAACCCATTTCCCACCAAATTTCGCTTCAATCTTCCACTGTAGATCAAATTAAAAAATCGACCCACTAAATGTCTAAATCAATATAAAAATCAGCTCATCTCTTTTTATGGCCCTAAATTTTTTCTTGAAATTTCATTCCTATCGATTCTACAGTATCTACTGCTCCTCTCAACACTAATTTCCCACCAAATCCTCCATTAATTTTCAACTTACTCGCCAAATTCGATCAAATCCACGTCAAAAATGGGGTCGTTCTCATTAATACTTCTCTCACTCATCGGTTTCGGTGTTTTTGGCTCCTGAATTTCGTCTGCCGGTTTGGCATGGCTCAAAGTGAAGGGCAGTTCAGCGCTGAGTTCGCCGCCCAAAGGGCCGGCGATCATCAGCCTGATTTTTACCTTGTACATGACCACTATCCCAAGATTTTCTCTGCCCGGCTGTGAGAGGGATGGATTCATGGTAGACGATGCTAGATTCGTATCTTCGTGTTTCAGTTGTCCATCCAGCGCCAATCCGCGTTTATCCTTGTTTTTGGAGAGCAATGGGCATAGGGTGTAGACCTTGGACAAAGTGGACCCGGGGCCGATCGGGAAGCCCTCCGTGGACTCCACTTTGTCCACATCGCAAGTGTAGGAGGCGGTGGTGAAAATGCAAATGTCCGCGACTTGGACCACCGACACTTTGATCTTCTTCACGGTGCGGCTGCTGTTGTTTTGGACGTGAACGTTGACGGATATCGACTCGCCGTGGTAGTACATCTAAAATCGAATTAATTATTTGAGTCGTAAATCCTCCCAAAATGATAATAACAACGCTTCGTATACACTTCACCCACTAACTATGCCAAAATTTCAAATTTTTGTCTATTTCTTGTCAAAAAATCACTTTTTATTTCAAACAACGGTCAATTTCACGACCACGACAAGCTGGGCTATATCCGAACCCCTTCCAAAATCTCTCTCATAGACTCCTCTTCAATCTAAATACAGAAACTCAAAAATAAACCACTTACTTCTCGGTCCAATGACGCTTCAAGATGAAGGACCCCAGGTGAAATTATGAACTCTTTGTTTACATCGATCATCGGTTGAGGGCGTTTGATCATGGGTGCGTATGTGAGTTTACGGATGGCGAGTCGTACAGAGTTACTGAAAATATTATTTTAAGGGCATTTTTTTGAGATTTCAAAATGCTAATCTAGCATGGATAACATCCCAAATCTCCAAATCCTTTACCCATTTCCATTTTATAATTTTCATGTGATAATATGATGTCAAAACTTACTGTTTCTTCGGCTTTTCCATGGAATCATTTCCAACGATGGTCTTTAATTCGTAATCCACGCCACAAGGCTTTCCCGTATCCCCAGGGGCAGGCTGAAATGACAAAATTTTTACACACATTGGGTTTTAATTGACATTTCCAACTCTTTAAAGTCCATACACTATCATTCCTCATATAAAAACACCCATCCAAAGAAAATATTACATTATTCATACCTGCAAAGTGACTGATGACGCGGAATTTGGTGGAATTTCAAACCAAAACGGAAAAGCGTTTGATCCCAACTTCTTCTGCAGTCGTTCCTGCAGCCGTGTACATGGTCTAGGCGCTTCCGTCGGTGGGTATACTTGAAAGAATTGGCTGATGAGGTCTTTTCGAAAAGTTAGTCCTAGCACGTCCAGATCTTCGCGACCATACCGGAACGCTGCGAGTAACTGCACTGTGACCTTTTTGTTCTGTTTTAGATACTCTTCGTCGATGAGGACCATTCCGTCTAAAAATATTTCAATATTTCCGGAATGGGGATATTAGCCTAAAATTTGAAGAAAATGGGGGAAAAACAAACATACCAATGAGATCAACTGACGTCCCGCGATCCAAAAAGTCGCGTTTACCGAGATAGGTTGTGATCTTGCCATTTGGACTCGTTTTCTTAAATACCCTGAAAGAAAAATAAATTTTTATCAATGTTGACATCAAGCATTTGATCCAGCTAAATCAAAGAAAAAACGGCTTCAAGGTCTCGGAAAACCCGCTGTAAAACCTGTTTACGAATCTGTCTTGCTGTTATGAATCACACTAACACCCCCAGTTCACGATAAATCAGATTTCCTAGACCAAGTGTAATATCCATTATCTCCTCTAAGCTAGTGCCTAAAATCAAACTCCACAAGCGAAAAACTTACCGTGTGCCTGATTTTTTGTCGTCTTCCATGATGGGTCCGTCTTGAAGTGTCTAGCAACGAGGCCTTCTCCGATTGAAATGCATTCGAACTGCAGGGCAATTGCCTGGAAATAAATCGAATAAAACTCGGATCAAAGGAGCGGATATTGTAACAAAAGCCGCGAATAGCAACGAAATGGTGGGGTTTCGACTAAAAACGCCTGGATTCGGGACGAAAACTAAAGTTCCCATTTTTTCTCCATCAAAAGAACAGATGACCCGTGACGGGTCAAGTGTTGCACTACGTAAAAAATTACACGGTAATGGCAAAATTACAGTGCAAAGTGCAGTATTTTGCAGAAATATGTAACGTAATACATATTTCTTGCCAAAAAACCACGTTTGTCTCCATTTCCAAACCTTTCATTACATTACACTAGGCAAACCCCGAGCCTAATCACAAATTTTCGCCAAACAAAAGGAAAAACCGCTAATAACACGCTATGTAAAGAAAAGGGAGAGACGTAAACACCCTGGAAGAATTAATTAAACATGCAGATAAGCCGTTATTACCTATTTTCTCAATTTTCGCCTATAATTACATTGATTATTCTTCAACTTTTCAAATAGAATCGTTTAACCACAAACGCCCTCTCATCTCAGTGTGATTCTAAAATTATGAAACAAAGGCAAATATAATGTGAAGAGAGCGGCTGAGAATGCAAACACTCTCGGTCACGTGTGGGGGAATTTTGTGGGGTGAAAACATCCCAAATCGGCGCGATGAATCGGGTGGGAACGGTCGTGACGACGTTCTATGGGACTGATAACAGGGTTCTGGATGCTTTTCGGAAAGTCACGACAAAGGAAAGATCGGAAATTTCGCAAAAAACCAAAAAATTTTGTTTTTAAGAGAAGCTCTAAAAAATCCGTCATCATGACATGATAAATTAAACCGAAGATTATGTCAAAGGTCTATTTCTTGATAGACAAATCACCATGGAATACAAAGGTTTCAAATACAAGAGGTGAAATTTAAATTTTGGGATCAAGATTGATGCCTACTACAACATGGAAATCGTTGTGAGGCGAATCTCGGATTGTCTTCTCAAACTTGGAATGCACTCTTCCTCAAAGCTAAGCTACTAAGCCACACTCCTTAAAAATTGTAGCTCTCGCTTTTCAGGGAGGGCTAAGAAATTCAACAAACTTTTCGGAAGAGAGACTATGGAAAGCGAGGAGAGACGGGCACAGAAAGCCCGATTTCTAGCCACATCTTTGAACCACAGAAGGACAAAGTTACAGTGAGAGACCTGATCCAGTGGCAAAAACGTATCATTTTGCATCCGGGAGGTATCAAAAATGTGGCAAAATGCCTCCCTCTCCAAGTGAAAAACCGATTTCAAAAGCGCGCCCTTAAAAACGAAGTTTTTTCACTTGGAGAGGGAAGCATTTTGCCACATTTTTGATACTTCCCGGATTCAAAATGGTACTTTTTTTTGCCAATGGATCAGGTCCCTCACTGTATACTTGACACCTTTTAGCCTTTTCACTTCACCAACGTGATCAGCGCAACAACTGGTGCTCATTATTTTCCCGACAGACAGACAGAAATGAGATGGAGGGATGCCAAAAGAATTGGCGACAAAACAAGTGCAAATTTGGCGAGATAGCAAGAAGGGCGAGCGTTATTTTCGTCTGATGTCCTCTCGATAACCGACTGTGCCAATGAGCCGGAAATGCGGATGACGCATTGAATGAACACATGGTCTAAGAGCCTCCGGCTATTAGCATTTTCATAAAGTGCATGGACGTTTTTCCCACTTTCGCACAGTGCATTGTGGGGGTTTTTGTGTAGGGTGCGCGACTAATGTCCATGCACTTTATGAAAATACTAAAACGCTCTCCAGTGGAGAAAATACTGGAGAAATTAGCGAAACCGTCAGCGGCATCGGAAAAACCAAGCGCAATAAAGGTGACGCCAAATGTGTAATAAACTAATCGATGAAAAATCTTTTTTGGGAATGTCCAAAAAAACTTGACCTTCTGTTTGGAAAAACAAGTCTGCTTGACCGTGCAAACATTCGGCTTGGTCAAATATTGGAGGAGAATTCATTAAGGCCAGCCTATATTAAGCGGACCGTGTTTGGGGACGGAAATGCCGGAGGTTAAACAACTTCTTGCCCTCCGAATGTTGTCCCAGAGATTGGTTCAAGGAAAACAATATCAATTTCGGTATTGTTTTCCTTGAACCAATCCAGCTCAGCGAGATTAAGTGGCTCAGGCTTGTCTTTACAATCACACAGGCTATTACCAGTGGTTCATAGAGTGCGTGTATTTTTACTTGTGGGCGTACAATGTATTAACACCGTTAGGAGGATGTGAAATGCACTGTGCCTTAAAAAAGAACACGCATTTTATCAATCGCCTTGTACTGTCCGTTCGCAAAGGCGCTGGAGTGATTTTTGCGCCACGAATAGTGCATGTCGCCAAAATCACTCCACGACTTTGCAAACGGACTATTAAACTTTATCATCAGCTCAGTCAACGACAACACGTTCAAGGGCACGTGCTTCTAGAAGAATCGAGTCTGATACAGGAATGGGAAGGATATCTTTAAAATCTTAAAGAGGATTAACCTGGGAGACTCCATCAATCCGGAATTACGAGCAACCCAAGATCCCTACCGAATATAGGAGTTATTTAATCAGCTATCCAAGTCTTTATTCAAAAAATGAGCGTTTTACAAATATATTGTACCACAAAAAAGTTGGCGACACAAACCAGATGAAATAAACCATGAAAACAATGCTAAATTATGGTGTAACAGAAATCTCTGTTGCCGATGATGCATCCGGTTGCAAATAATCTAATTAACCCACTGGGGGTTGTGTTTGATTGGAGCCCGATAAAGAGGGTCCAGTCGTCGATGCACCAGTCGAAACTGATCCGACTGAAGCTTGTGGTACACCGGAGACAGGCGAGGGAGCGGCGGACGAGGCAGGCGCACCGGACGGCTTCGGCACATTGCTATTCGCTAATGGATTAGCAGACGTACCAGACGAGGGTGGCGCCCCTGACGCTGGCGCTCCAGATGGAGCCGGTCCCGCTGAGGGTTGCGGTTGCGCAACCGCTGCTCCCGTCGGGACTGGAGCAGCTGTAGACGCAGGTGGCGCCTGTTGTGGTGGCGGTGGGAGCAGGTTTAAATTTGCCATGCAAGTGCAGTACCGAAACGGTGCGCAAACAAGGGAATCGCCTTGACGGCATCCGCACCCTCTGAAAACCCGAGGCTGTTACCTTGTCCAATTTTTCAACACATGTTAGTAACACTACTTACGACTTTGCGCATTCGTCATTCGTAATGCATGGCAAACTGTAGCAATTCACTGCACCTTGACCCCTTACATTTTCCAAACAAGAAAAATTAAAGAGCAATAAAACAGAACACAGCCTAACAGAGCCCATGGTGATCGAAATCCACAAAACCTGGCAATCACAGCGAATAAAAGGACCTCAGAAAATCAAATCCGGATCAAACTTATCTCGAGAGTGCATTATCCATAATGATTTTTCGCAAAAGCACTTTCAAAATACGCCCGAATATCCCTAAAGTTCAATCGGTTGTAGAAGACTTGTTTTTGTCAATATCTTTTTTAATTCGGTTGTAGGTTTAGTATTTGTATATTAAAAACCAGATAGGTATAATATATTATTTATTGATCTATCTGGCGTAGATCAATAAACTTGCTTGCTTTTCCAATTTTTTATTGAAAATTGGTCAGCCAGCGCTTCCGGCAGTTATTTTTACACTACCCTAAAAAGAATTTTCAGACAGCACACGTGATTCATTACAAAATTTTTCTCATCAAAACAGCAGAAACATCACTACTTCCAACACTCTGCTCTCCAAACCAAAGGGGCGTTTGAGATTGACCACTTCGGCAAAGATCAAGAGAATATCTCAAAAAAGAACGATCCGCAATCCTCTATGGGCCAATTTGTCGGCCACAAAATATCCAAAAAACGCATGCTTCGTGACAGAATGAGCGTAATAAAAACTGATATTCGAATGAGAGCGATGTTTCAAAATCCGAAAAAGAGGATTAACCAGGGGGGAAGAGGGGGTTTCATTAAATCTGGATAGGAGCTGAGCTCCCCATGCAAAAATTAGACAATAATCGACTGGCGGGGGCATCTTCAAACAAATAATTGCGAAAAATTTCGGTTTACACCTTTTGATAAAGGAACTTCTGCTTTGCCTGACCAAGTAAGTACCAGTCAGATCTATGCCAATTAACCATAATCGCGGCGGTGTTCTTCCCTTGCCTGACTTTTCGTCCATCTTTTTTTGTCCTTGTTTGCGGTTTGGAAATTTAATCGCCCGAGGTTTGATAGTCTCTAGATCTATGCCAATTTGAGTACCAGCTTCTTTCCAAGGCGTGAGTTTTTTTCTTTTTTCTGGATTGTAATATAGCTGAAAGCTTGTAGGATTAAAATGGGAATCTTCCTGCTTTGAAAAATCTGGGGAACCTACTTGATCATCCAATTTTCATACTAGTCCGTCCGCAAAGTCGTCGAAACTACACCAGAGACTTCGCGGATGGAATGGACTTTTATGAAAATTGGATGACCAAGTAGACTTCCCAGATTTTTCAAAGCAGGAAGATTCCATTTTCAATTATACAAGCTTTCAGCTATATTACAATCCAGAAAAAAGAAAAAAACCCGCCTTGGAAAGAAGCTGATAGTCAAATTGGCATAGATCTAGAGACTATCAAACCTCGGGACGATTAAATTTCCAAACCGCAAACAAGGACGAAAAAGGATGGACGAAAAGTCAGGCAAGAGAAGAACACCGCCGCGATTATGGTTAATTTAGGGAGGAGGGGGAGAGATAGGACCTTCTTTTCTTGGCCATGAAACATACGCGCCCTTTTGCGAGTCCGAAAACCCATAGGGCAAGGATGGCGGCGTTTTTCTTCAGATGAAAAATGCAAAAATCTCCAAATAACCTTTTGCGTTTCCCATCCAATTCCATGCGAAACCGATGCCAAAGTTCACTCGACAGGACAAGTGCACTTGCACATCAATCCTATCGAGGGCGCGTAGGTCCGTTTGGCTCATATTCGCGACGCAACAATACCCTCTTCCTTCAAGGCCAAGAGTCGTCAAGTGAATGGTGCGAATAATGAATTTAGACCCGAAGATTGATGGCGATAAGGAATGGGAATGGAGCCACAGTGTTAGCCAATAAATAAAGAGGAATACTCGAGTAAAAGCCGCTATTACTGACAATAAACAACATTATTCTCCGAAAAACTGGCATTTCTAGGAGAAAACAATATCGGGAAGGAATATACGAGGAAACGCCATAGATCGCCAATTCGAGAGTTCGAAGATGTCTAAAAGGGTAGAATGGGCAATATTCAAAGACTTCACAGACCAACTTTGACGGATTCCGTCTTCGACATCCTGACAAACGAAGGGAAGAATAGCCCGGAACACCGATAACAAACTACGACAGGAGCACCACAACGCAAAAAACATCATTTTCAAATCCAAATCCATCAGAGACCATCTTGAAACATCAACCATTTTTGACCTATAACCTTTCACACTCTTTAGCCGTCTGTGTAAAAAAATACACCCTCAGGCGACCGGAATTTTTCACTTTTTTCGGGGGACCTCGAAATGGGAGTTCCTCCTCGAAATGGGAGGGCAACAGTGGCTGACTTTTTCCTTCAAGATTTCCCCTTCAACGGAACATACATATCAGATGGGAGTAGTCGATGCGGCAGAGGAAAATGAGAACCGTCTGAGCTCTGCGAAAGAATTAATCATTCAAAACGCACTAATCCCCCTTGTTCATTAGCTTCCAGAGGAAGTATGTAACATGTGGATTCTGTTAGCGAGGGCATTTAGGTTATCCTTATGTAAAAGTCTGCAAGAAATTACAGCCGTAATCTGGGCACGAACAATTTCTTTGGGGGATTCTCCGACTTTGAGGGAATTTCCTAATCTCTCAAGCGACAAAACTGACAATATTGCGCCAGAGTCAAAAAATATGCATGTTGGAAGTCGAAAAAATAATAGAAAATCTCCATTAATGATTCTACTTCACACATTTTTTTGACAAGCAAAGTACTTCTACACAGTCTGGGGTAATAGGACGAGACATATATCAAAAAATACGCAAAATTATGATGAACAAGAATATGTAAAAATTAGCTGCTCAATTTTAGTTTGCATAGGGGAAAAAAGCGTCACAACTTTTCTCACAACACCACGCAAACGCAGCTAATTTTTACATATTCCTAATCAGCATTTTTGCAGCTTTTTTTTTTGATATATGTCTGGACCTACAACTCCAGACTCCATTGAAGTACTTTCCTTGTAAAAAACATGGTATTGTTTTGCTCTACGCGCCAGTACAAAACCAATTAGGGTAGAAGTCAGCCGATTAGAAAGTTGCCCTCAAATCACCTTATTTCCGATACTTTCAGAGAAAAAAAAAGAGTATTTGAGGGATAAAACCTCCTCCAATTTTCATTTTCAACCTCTTTTAAAAACCCCCTGTCGTCACACCTTCATTTCAACAGCTGATAGTACAACATGACATCAAAAACCCCATTATTATCCTTTTAAAACACCATTAATCTTAAAACCTTTCGAAAAAAACTCATTTTCAACCAAATGATCTCAAAACCCCTGTGACTTTACTCCTTCTGCAAAAGAAAGGAACTCGAGTGTAAACATGGGCTATATTTGGAGCCATCACCCATTAAATATATTATCCATTCCATGTTTCCATTTCCCTTTATCTCGAAGTACCCCATTCCAGTTTTCGGGGGGTCAGCGCCGAATTCTCGGCCTAATCCAATTGCGCGGTCGCTGTAATTTCGCTCCGCATGAGTTGGGCAGTATAATTATGGGGTATTGGCAACTTAGCGGGCGAAAAAATCGCAAGAAATAAAGTCGCAAGCCATTTCTCAAAATTATAATTTTTATTTTTACTCAATTTTTTGCAATAATTTGATATTTTTTAAACGTTCAAGAGCATAAAATATTATTTACAACAACTTTGACGTACCTAGAATTAATTTAAACCCCACAAAAAAAAACGTCCGGCCAGATCGTCTACTATAATATAATCTGGTATTATATTTCAAATTCCGCCCTCTCCATCTTCCCAAATACCTGCGAAACCGCGGTTAGGCATTCACAAAAAAGTCTATTTCCCCAACCCATAAATAAATCAAATTAATCCTCGAAAACGGCTTCAACTCGGTGTCATAAACTACATTATAGCCAAAACTCAATAGCGAAAAATGAGCTTTGACTTTTAAATAGCAGGTAGAACCTTGATTTGGCAGATACACTTCGAAAGTTCGCTCTATAAAAACAAATAAATCGACGATAACCAGTTATTTGATACCTCCCAACTCCTTTTTTTCGAAATAAAACGAACGGAAATTTGGAGTGCAGAGCTTCGCATAGTAACTCAATTTGGAAGACTGTTTGCTAAGTAGGATCTAGTTAGATTTTCTAATCAAGTAATGCATCTTTTTTGCAAAACATCCAGATCTGATAGTATAATAATATAAATCTTGTGATGAGGATACATTAGGTCCGTACTCTATCACAAGGCCGATTATGGTCTAATAAAACCAGTATTGAAAGATTTATTCAGGCTGCGATCATAGCTTCTTATATTTTTTTGTTTTTTTTCTCCTTTAGACCATGCACAATATAACGGCTAAAAGTACTATAACATCATACTTTGTCCAGCACTTAATGACGTGAAAACTATCAAAGAGACATACGGGATCAAATTCAACTATCAAATTTCAAATTTAAAGCCTATTATTATGCTGCAACCCCAAGTTTTATACGTGACATCTAGTGTAATATACAGGTGGAAATTCGGAACACCCAAAGGCCGCTCAGACCTCGAAAACATTAAACCCTTCTTAAGAAATCACTTGACATGCGTTTGAAACCCGGAAGCGGTCAAAGAACGCCAAAAACAATAATAATATTCATAGAAACAAAAAGTTGAGACAAAATCTGTGATTTCCATAGAAACACCGGGTCATCCGGAGGGCATTTGGTGCCAGACACCCCGCAAAATCCTGTAAACTAATACACGAACACAAGTTTTACGAAAAAACAAGCCTTCTTCGGCGGGAAACTAACGAATTCATGGAATTCCAAGCTGAAAAAATGCCTGGCTCGAGGAAATCGATTGTGACATTTCGTTGGACGAAGTGTCCGGGAATTATTGGAATTTTATTTTTTTTTATTTTTGGGATTTTTATCGCGATTATCGAGAACTCTTGAAAATAAAATACGTTCAGCTTCCTTATTTGTGTATTTTTACGTGCGCCTTATTCAATATTATCCGCTTTTATATTATTTTTGATATTAAATTTTCAGATTTTCAAATTTGGCCTAAAAATGACTGAAACTCAGATGGAAGTCGAATCAAACGAGCAAAAGGAGATCAAAACGGAAAAATTAGTGCCCACAAACAAGTCTAATCGATGGTGGAAGAATGTTCAGAAGGAACGGTGAGAATTTTTTATTGTTTTTTTGAACTTTAGACGTTACGAATATAATTTGGTGTTTTCTCCAACATTTTGGTCAAAAGCAAAATGGAACATGTGGTTAATAGCTCGATCTTGGTCAAGTCAGATTGATGAATGTTGAGACCTACGGGTTTTTCGTTCGAAAAGCTTTTATTGCCCGTTTTCCTAGGCCTTGCCATGGATAATATACGTTTTATGCTTTTTCTCATTTAGCTCGTCTCATATCGTGAAGGACCGTCCTCTACACACAAAATGGGCTGTAAAAATGAAGAAGAAGGCTGAGTTGGAGAATGCGAAGAAGTTGCAGCAACAAATTAGAGATAACTTGGCACAAGAGCGAGCCGAAAAGATAGCCAAGAGAAAGGAGAATGAAGAAAGAAGAAAAGCGAATATTGCCAAGTCCGAGATTGTCCAAGTTATCAAGAACACAGAGAAGCTGAAGAGATTGAAGAAGAAACAATTGAAAACTATCAAGAAGATGGATACCACTGAAATTGCTCAGCGTACAGTTACGGTAAGTTTTATTTTTTCCGATTTATTTGCGTTTAGGAGTAATCGGCTCATCGGCACTCTCTTGGAACAAATTCTTCCTTCCACTGGGAAGCTGAATTTTTCCGTTCAATTCACCTACTACAATATAATTTTTTTGTTGATTTCCCCTTGTTCCTTGTTGATAAAGTGATATTTTGATCGTTTATTCAATAGTATAATATTTAGATCGAATAGCTAATTGATATTCGCATAAGAAATGAGTCCGCAGCGTTTTTTCATAGAGAAATCGGGGCGGAAATGCATTTTGCGGCCAATGTTTTGTAGAAATAAGAGGATTATGAGTTGTAATACATATTTGGGGGCATGTTTTGTAATTTGGAAGGGATTTTTGGCGATTTTGAAGAAAAAGTTATATTCTCCATGATTAAAAATCTTGCTATCTTTCTCCCGAAAGCGATGATTTAGTCCCTAAAATAACGTGAAATGTCGTGGAAACGGCCGTTCCACTCATTTCCGAGCCAACTGAGTCAACATCGTTCGAATATTGCCCTGTTTTAATCACTTCGGCGTGAAAATTGATTAAAATCGCGGCTGTAATTGCATTACAACCCGCTGAACTCGACCCTTTTTCTCCAATTCAGATCGATGGAGAATCTGTGAAGTTTTTTGGGATGACAGAAAGAGCGGTTCAGTTTGGGGTGCCACGTGACTTTTGGTACGCTCCGAAGGAGAAGTGCTTTTGCAATTTGTGCCATATTAGGGTAAGTTGATTGATTACAAAATGTTTGCACTGTGCAGACCGGTTTTAGTTTAAAAATTTTGAAAATCACTTTTTTTAGGTCGAATTATACTTGCACTGTGCAGATTTTTCGTTTTTTGGAAACTGCACTGTGCAAAAATAAAATTTGTTCTAACTGCACTGTGCAAAAAAAATTTTTATTCGAACTGCACTGTGCAAAAACAAAAGTTTTTCTAGCTGCACCGTGCAAAAATAAAATTTGTTCTCACTGCACTGTGCAAAAATGAAATTTTTTTTGTGACTGCACTGTGCAAAAACAAAATTTTATTCGAACTGCACTGTGCAAAAACAAAACTTTATTCGAACTGCACAGTGCAAAAACAAAATTTGTTCTTACTGCACTGTGCGCACACAAAATTTATTCTGACTGCACTGTGCAAAAAAATCTGTTTCTCCAACTGCACAGTGCAGCCCAAACCTGATCGCACTGTGCATTGTTAAGATTCCATTTTGCACGGTGCAGTCAAAAACTAGACTGCGCGACTGCACAATGCAGAGTTGTCGCTTCTTGACTTTGTTCTGTGCAACAAAATTTGTTGTCGCAAATCCGTTTCCTCATTGCACTGTGCAATCAAATCTGATTTCTTCCCACAGTGCAATTGTTTTCTTTTGTTTTTTCACTGCGCGACAGCGACAAATTCTGATTTTTGCACAGTGCAAAAGACCGGAAATTTCTTGCACCGTGCCAATTTATTGCTTTGTGACCGCACAGTGCAGTCAAAACTATTAGAAGTAATTTTGCTATTTTTTTACTTTCAGACTGGTTCAGTATGGGCTTGTGTGATTACTTTTGCCATCTCGGTGGCTGGGATAATATTCATCATCTTCCAGCGACATCAACTTGATAAACTGACTAATTGTAAGTCAATTTTCTCCGAAATTGGACTCTCAAACGCCATATTATTGCAGTATCCGCCATTTACGAGCACTATCCGTTACTTGGCGCCTTTGTTTTGCTGATTTTCAGTTCAATTTTGGCGTTGATCGGAAGTTTATCGCAGAAAAAGGCCTTTTATATCCCGCATTTGGTGGTATCTGTAAGTAATAACATTTGTAATTTAATTTAGAGCAAAATATTTTTAGTTCTTTAGTCAGATCATCTTTATGTATGGAGTTATTTGGTTTGTAATACTTTTGGTCAGCAAAAACAAGGAAAATAACGCACATTACTTTGACCTAGCATGGCTGATTGGCCTGATTATTGGCCAAGTTGTCCTAATATACTTGTTGGATGTGATTTACCGAGATTACAAGTATTTGAATAGGAAATTTGGATGATCCTGATATTAAATTTTATGTAAATAATGTTTTTACATTTTTCGATGGGTTACTGTAATTTTTGATGCGGTTTTTCAATAAATTATTTGAATTTGAACAATTTGCTATGATTCTGTGCTAAAAAGTATGGTAATATTAGCTATTGCGACCTTCAAAACACCACTTTCTTTTTGGTCATCAAAAATAATGTCACGTGCCAAAAACCCCTCCAGTCTGCAAAACGTAACCTAATCTGCTACGAAATTCCCTTCTTCATACCTTATTTGCCCCTACAAAGACATTAGATGTGATGTATCGCTAGTGACCACTGCAATTTTGACCAATCTTTATATTATACTAGCCATCTAAGCTTCAAAATTTAATCATCGATTTTTGAGAGATATTCAAAATTAATGTCCATGTTTCTCAATCCCGCTTCAACCTGAACAGTTGGACAAACAAAAAATCGGGTGGGTAGGCCGGGAGCCCGATTATATTATACATCTATCCATCAAGCTTTCCGGGTCACTTGAATTGGAGGATGGAGAAGATTGTAGCTTTATTTCTGCCATTCCTCATGAGTGCTGATGCATTCGCCGAACAACTATCGACCGTCTGCAATCCGAACAATGTCTACAACGTCTGTACACACTGTAAGTCAGTCATTTTAATGATTTTTGAATGGTTTTATATTATCCATGTCATCAAATTGAAAAATTGTTTTAGATGACTTCTATTCCACACATCGTGAACCGTTTTGCTGTTCATATGAGCCTTCGGTATGCTGTTATCGAGTTCCAACGGGCGTTTTGCTTGGACTCTTCGCTGGATGTGGTTTAGCCATCGTCTTTCTCTTCGGATGGATATCAACTTGCTGTGCAAATTGTTGTGTTAACAGAGCTAAATAAAAATTTTATGTGATCTTGAGGAGATTCTGATCAAGTCTAGTTTTTCTTACTGTAGTTTCAAGCTATTCTGTAATTTCAAAATTAATTCCCACAACGAAGAATTGGAATGCCAAAATTTTTTGGCATTCTGTTTTAACTGAAGGAAATCGTTGAAAATAAATATTTCGAGAAGTTTTTGAGGATCTCCTAACTAGCTAACTTATTTTTTCTTGTTATAAAGTTGTTGCTGTTGTTAAACAAGTCGTTTTGCTTGACTTATAACCGATATTCACCATGTCATCCCGAGGATCTTTGGCGGATCGCGCCACCGTCGAGAGAATTGTAAGTTTTAGGTGTTCGCCAGCTTATCTGAGGTCGTATTTTAGCGAGAACGTGGAAGTGACATCACAGAGAAGGACATTCGATCTGCACAGACCTTTGACTTGTCCAAAATGGACAACCCCGAGGAGACGGAACTTTTGGCCGAATTTGATCGAAGGAGGAAAGCAAGAAACTTGATGGTTCCCACCGACGATGAACGTGTCAAGTACTTGCTGAGGAAAATCAGTGAACCTATTTGTAAGTTGTTTTGCAGTTTGTTTTTCCACTTTTAGACATCAACTCTCATGGATAATATAAAATGTGGTTTCCAGGTTTGTTCGGTGAAGACGTGTTGGATCGACGTGAGCGTTTAAGGAATTTCTTATCTAGACTGACTGATGAACAAGTTTTCGCGGTGCTGCAGGACGACGAGACCGAGAAACAGGAGACCACGGAAGATGGTGAGACCTGGTACCATCATGGCCCGCCAGAACTGAGAGAGGCCCGAGTAAGGATTGCCGACTTCAGTTTGGAGAGAGCGAAGCACAGGCTTGCCAAGGCTCGGGTCAGAGCGACAAGAACACCGCAGGAAAAGGCGCTGGCTCGACAAGAAGTTCATAAGACAGTTCAGAGTATTTCACTATTTGGATCTCAAGTTACTGGTGAGTTTTTGGTTTTATTTTGTAGTAAATACTCCTATCTTTGTTTTTCATACGGGTATATATGATGCCATTTTATTTATTGACACTTTTTGGCAGTTTTTTGACCAATAGACCATGTGTAATATAAATTTTTGATGATTTGATATCTTTACACCGTGTGAATCGCTTCAAATGCTCTAATAATTAATCTCCATGCTTTCAGGGACAAACCGAACGTCATATGTCGACTTTGCGGCCGATTCGAATCATGCGATCACATCAAATTGGGGTGGTCAAGTACAAATTTGGTCCATCCCGAATTGCCTCAACGAACAAACATTCCAAGGGCATCCCGACAAGGCCAGTTGCGCTCGATTTCGTCCGGGCGCTTATCAGAACATCCAACCGAGTGAAGTGAACGCAGCGAGTTCGGATTTCAGCGGAAATGTGATGCTTTGGAATTTGAATGAGGGAAAAGCGATGGCTCAATTGGAAAATCATGGAAACAGAGTGACCAGAGTGGCCTTCCATCCAAGTGGAGAGTTTTTGGGGACAACTTGGTAAGAGTTTTGAGGTTTAAATGGGAAATTTTGGGGTGCTGAGTGGATGTCTAGTATAAGGTCAGATTATGCAATTACGGATGTTATAGAGTGAAAGAAGTTTTGAAGAAGTAGTTTGATGATTTTTATGGGGTTTTTAGGTATATTGGAGGTTTTTTGAAAGAAGTTTTGAAAAAATTATGACTAAAGTTATATTACTTTAGGTGATTTTTTGATAGAAATTGATGTTTTATGGATGTTTTGAGGTGCGAAAACCTCTGAATAGATGTCATGAAGAATTTGAGAGCTATTTTTATTCGTTTTGTAGGGTAATTTGTTAGAATTTTAAAAAATTTTTAGACGATTTTTTGATAAAAATTCGTATTTTATGGATGTGTTGATGTGCGAAAAGCTCAAAATAGATGTCATAAAAAATTTGAGAGGTATTTTTCTTTGTTTTGTGCGATAATTTGCTGGAATTTTCAAAATTTTTGAGTCTTTTGCCTAGTGTAATATAAATTTTTCGGTTTTTCAGCCATGACAAGTCTTGGAGATTGTACGATCTGCAAACCCAAAAGGAGCTCCTCTTCCAGGAAGGGCACAGCGACGCCGTCTACGACCTCGCCTTCCATCCGGATGGATCGTTGGCCCTCTCCGGATCCTGCGATTCCTACGGCCGCGTTTGGGACCTCCGCACCGGCCGATGCATCATGTTCCTCGAGGGACATCTCAAAGACATCTACGCCGTTCAATGGCACCCCAACGGCTTTGTGATGGTGACTGGCGCCGGCGATAATCAGTGCCGAACCTGGGACATTCGAATGAGACGACAGCTCTACAATATCCCCGCCCATCTCTCGAATGTCACCGGGATTTCCATGGATTCGGAAGGCGAGCTGATGATCACATCCAGCTACGACCGAACTCTCAAGCTTTGGACCACCAGTGGATGGCAACCCCTCCGCGTTTTGGAGGGTCATCATGAACCAGTCACCTCGGTTCAGATGTCTCCCAACAACAAATGGATCGCGTCGGGGTGTGCCGACAAAACTTTCAAGCTATGGACCACGGAATCCATTGATTTTGAATAAAATTTTTTGAAGACTAGTTGTCTGTACCTACTTATTTGAAATTCTTTTCGCTCTAAATCGGATAGCTAACAAGGGAAGTACCCAAAATGCGAAGCTCAGACTTTCTTTAAATTTTGCACACATCGGCCGTAGACTAGATATCAATTCCTAAAAATTTTAGCTCGCGCTTTGCAAGGACAGCCGAGATATTCAACGAGCTTGGCGGCTGAGAGAGTACGCTAAACGTGGAGAGCGGTCAGAAAAAAACGCTTTTTTGCCATAACTTTGGCAGTTTCGTGCGGAAAAATTTGATTTTTTGTAGCAACATTATCCTTTACGGTTGAAATGGGCATGAAACTTTTCGTACCGAAATTCGGCAAAAATTCCTGAATTTTCGCCGACTTTTGATCAAAAAATCTCGGTTGTTTCTGCAAAGCGCAAGCTGCGATTCTCGCATATATCTTAGTAAAAATTATTCTGAATTTGTGCCAAGTTTCATCAAAATCTGAGCGTCGCACTTGGGGTACTTACCCTGTTAGCCATAATTTTGCCAATTGCGGATGAAAAAAATTATTTTTTGTGGAAATATTACTCTCAGCAGTAGACTTACAATGGGGGACATGATCCAGTGGCAAAAAACGTACCATTTTGCACCCAGGAAGTATCCAAAAATGTAGCAAAATACCTCCCTCTTCAAGTGAAAAAACTCCGATTTAAAAAGCGCGCCCACTCTTTTTGTGAGGCGCGTCCGTCAAAACGGAGTTTTTCAGTTGGAGAGAGAGGCATTTTTCCACATTTTTTGATACTTCTCGGATGCAAAATGGAACATTTTTGGCCACTGGATCAGTCCGTCACTGTAGGTATGAAACTTTTCGTGCCAAAATTCGGTAAACAGCGCCAATTTTTTGCCGACTTTTGATGTAAAAATCTCGGTTGTTTCTGCGAAGCGCGAGCTAGGAATCTCGCATATATCGTTGAAAAAAATATTCAAAAGTTGTGCCAAGTTTCATCAAAGTCTATGCGTCGAACTTGGGGGTACATCGCCTGTAAGTGCAACCGATTGAAGAGTCAAGTCGAGAGCTAGGAATGGCCGAACTTACGAGATGAAAATCCGAGGATCTTCAATTACATATTATTTAGCGACAATCACAACAAAAAGTAGTTGATCCAAGACTCGAATTTACGCTGAGAAATGAGTCTATCGCTTCTTGAGAACGGCTCAATACAATTGATGAATAATCCGATTTTTTTCACTTCCTTAGAACAAAATTTACGTTTTTTGCGAAGAATCAGGACTTTTACGTTCCTCAGAGCTCTTCGAAAATATTGCCTGAGGGGATTTTTTTTCAGTTTCCATGGAAATTTCCAAAAAAATGACAAAAAATATTTTTTATTTTTTTCAGATTTATGCGGCATTACTGTTTTTTCAATCAATGTCATGTTCATGTAAGTCGATTAAAATTTATTTTACATTTAAAAATTTAGCAAGCCACCAGAAACATCGGGCTTATTGTTTTTATGACGTCATTTGCGTTTTTGATTTATATGGCCCAAAAACAATATGCTGGAGTGTATCATGAAGGAGGGAAAAAAGGTATTTTTATGGCTAAAAACTTATCTTTTGAGAATGAAAAAATTATGGATAAAAAACGTTAAATTTTATGCATCATCTAAAATTATGGAGAAAAAACGTAAATTTTTGAGATGCAGAAAGTGTTTGATTTTATTAAAAAATTATCGCAAATTACTTTTTTACATCAAATTTTTACCGCACAGTGCAAAAAAATTTAAAATAAAAAATTGCACAGTGCAAAAAAAACAAAGAAAATTTTTGCACGGTGCGAAAAAATTGAATCAAAAATTTGCCCCGAAAAGTGTAAAAAATCATCTGAATTTTCAGATAACTGCCATTGGGGCGACTTTCGTATCGGATGTTTGCCGAAAATCGAGCTAATTCCGATGACAATCGCCTGTCTGAGCAGTTTATTGCTATTAATCGGCCATTTCCTCAAGAAATGGCAACTCTACCTTCCATTTATTATATCCACAATTGTCGCTGTAATTCTGATCTTCATCTGCATTATCAATGACTTGGTTAATCTTCAAGATTCTCAGCAAAATTCGAAAAAAATCCGGATTTATTGCGAAATCGGGGTTTTTTTCGTTTTTGCCCTCTTTTACTACTATTGTATTGGCGTGGTGGTGGATGGAATGAACTTCTTGAGGCTGGTGAAGTATTATTAGAATGATTTTTATAGAGAATTTTACGATTCTTTGATTGAATTTTGGTGCTATTTTAATAAAAATGTATATAACTTCAAAGGGTAATATCTTAATGGTATGTTGGGTGATTTTTCTAAAATTCGGCATAGAAGAGTCACAGGGTATGTAGAATACAGGCAGTGAAAATTATGAATATTCGATAAAAACTGAAAGAGTTATAAACGATCATTTGAAATGAAGGGATGGCAGAAATTTTTTTTATTTTTTTGCACTGTACGTACGATAAAAAACAGTTTTCTTCAGCACTCCGTATTTAAACTCCTTTGAGATGATTTTTTAACGCTTAGCACCGATTTTTGTCATCGTAGACTGGTTCAATTTTGAAAAAAATATCAAAAAATCTTTTGGAATCGTCATAGACAAAAAATTGATACAAAATCAACTTATAAACTGATGAAAGTTCCTACAATGCCTTGGAAAAATTTTTTATTTTTGTTTTGGCTAATTTTTTTATTCAAAGTTCAAAAAAGTTTGTCCTGGAGGTATGGGGAATTGAACCCCAGCCCTCTCGCATGCTAAGCGAGCGCTCTACCCCTGAGCTATACCCCCACTCTCCGAAAGAGTCTTCATTTTTGGATCAGTTTCAAAACACGTTTCAAACGGAGATTCTTTTTGCATTTCGCTTATCTCAAAGTGGGAAATAAAAAAGATTTCCGTTGTAAAGTCCGATTGACATCCCACCTGCATTACTACCAGTTCGGGGGGATCGGAGACGTCGGTTCCATGGTGTAGCGGTTAGCACTCAGGACTTTGAATCCTGCGACCCGAGTTCGAATCTCGGTGGGACCTAATGAAATTTTTTGATCTTTTTAGAATTGTTGGCTAGCCAATTTCAGAAAAAAAATGATTTTTATGCTCCCAGCATCTAACAAACGTCTATAAATTAAAAAAAAAAATTTACTTTTTTGTCATCATTTTTTCCTGTTCGTTCTTGTTGATCAACACAAATTTATTCACTGTTTTCTGGAGGCGTGGAGGTGAGGAAACGAACAAAAAAAGGTTTATGAGACGATTCTTCAACTCATTTGCATTTATGTCCTTAGGGAAAATGGGATTGAAAGTGAAAATTTTTCGCAATTGCCTTCATTCTTGATGTTTTTTTTATTTTTCAAATACTTTCAGCATTCCAAAACAATCAAAAAGGAAGTAGATTTGTCCCAGTAACATCAATTATTTGCCCTAAAAACCGGGAAAATCGAAAATTTATTCGGTTTTTATCCCAATTTCCCTGACAAATAGCCCCTTTTTACGGTGGATCCACTAGTTCGATTCTTTTTTACTGCACAGTAAAAAATACTTGCTTTTTCGACAGTAGCCTGCAGGATGTCGGTACCGGTGGGACTGCTGGGACATTCGCCATTGAAATTGAAAAAACTTAGGGTGAGTGAAAAAAAATTTTTTTTGATTTTTATCTAACAAGGTAAGTACTCCAAGTGCGACGCTCAGATTTTGATGAAACTTGGCACAAATTTAGAATAATTTTTTCTAAGATATACGCGAGAATCCTAGCTCGCGCTTTGCAGAAACAACCGAGATTTTTAGATCGAAAGTCGGCCAAAACTTATGACTTTTTGCCGAATTTCGGCACGAAAAGTTTCATGCCTATGTCTACCGTAAAGGATAATGTTTCTACAAAAAATTAAATTTTTCCGCACGAAACTGCCAACGTTATGGCCAAAAAGCTGTTTTTTCTCTGACCGCTCTCCACGTTTAGCGTGCTCTCTCGGCGGCAAAAATCGTTCGATACTACTAGTCGTTCCAGAAAGTGCGTGCACTTTTTGTCGTGGGCCGCACTGTGCACAAAATTGCCTTCTTGCGGGGTGCATTTGACCTTTTGCACCGTGCAATTGCAATGTCGCAGCGACGTAGGCTTTTCTCAACGGAGCCGGCGCGAATTTTTAGAAATTGCACAGTGCAAAAGGTTTCGAAAAGGATCGCGTCGCGCGGGGAACACGAAACTTGCACTGTGCGGTCCGAAAAAAAGGCGGAAAAAGGTGCACGCACTTTCTGGAACGACTATTACGCTTTTTCAAAAGTGCAGACACATTTTCCGGCCTTTTTTGCACCGCACAGTGCAAGTTTCGTGTTCCCCGCGCGACGCGATCCGATTCGAAACATTTTGCACTGTGCAATTTCAAAAAATTCGCGCCGGCTCCGTTGAGAAAAGCTTGCGTCGCAGCGATATCCGGTTGCACAGTGCAAAAGGTCGAAATGCACCCCGCAAAAGGGAGTTTTGTGCACGGTGCGGCCCACGACAAAATGTGTCTGCACTTTTGAAAAAGCGTAATAGTACTAATCGCGCTCAAAAGTCCTGACAATTTTCGCACCGTGCGAAATTTTGGGTTTTGGACGTCGCCCCTGCAAATTCGGGTTCGTCGCGCGCAAAAGTGCATGTCGCTAGTGAAAAAAAGGGAAATTGCGGCGACAAATGCGAAATGAAAGAAGAATGCACAGTGCGAAAGTTCGGTTTTTGGACGTCGCGCCCTCAAATTCGGGTTTGTCGCGCGCAAAAGTCCAGGTCGCTGCGAAAAGATGCACTGTGCGGATGAAATGAAAGAAGAATGCACGGTGCGAAAATTGTCAGGACTTTTGAGCGCGATTAGTACTAGTCGCGCCATAAAGTCCTGACACATTTTGCACCGTGCGAAAGTTCGGGATTTGGACGTCGCGCCCCCAAATTCGGGTTTGTCGCGCGCGAAAGTGCACGTCGCTAGCGCAAAAACGGGAAATCGCGGCGACAAATGCGAAATGAATGAAGAATGCACGGTGCGAAAGTTGGGTTTTGCACGTCGCTAGTGCAAAAAGGGGAAATCGCGGCGACAAATGCGAAAAGATGCACAGTGCGGATGAAATGAAAGAAGAATGCACGGTGCAAAATGTGTCAGGACTTTATGTCGCGACTAGTACTAGTCGCGACGTAAAGTCCGTAGAATTTTTCGCGGCCCCCAAATCCCGTCGCACCCCGAAATGTCGATTTGTCGCTGAGAAAAATGGGAATCGCGCGCGACAATAAGGCAAAATCAACAAAATTGCACAGTGCAAAATGTGTTTTCGGGTGAATGCACAGTGCAGAAAATTCTACGGACTTTATGTCGCGACTAGTACTAGGCGGGCCAAAAAGTCTTGACATGTCTGCACAGTGCGCCGTCGTGCATGAAATTTATCGCGCGGCGACAAGAAAAATTTACGGTGCAATGCGACACCGCACAGTGCAAAAAGGTTGTTTTGAAAAGGGTAAACAACGCACAGTGCGTTCTTCGTTCGCACCCCGCCAAAGGTTTTATCGCGCGACACCTCGTCGCGACACTGGATTCATGCGCCCGCACGGTGCGAAAACATGTCAAGACTTTTTGGCCCGCCTAGTAGTCCTTCCGTAAAGTCGCTGGAATGATTTCGGCGACGCGCACTGTGCAAGAAAACTCAGGGTGCGAGCGACGTCCCAAAAAAGCTTATTGCACTGTGCAAAAAGCCAAAAATTGCACAGTGCAAAGTGAACTTTCGTTTTCGCGGAGTGCATGTCGCCGAAAACATTCCAGCGACTTTACGGAAGGACTAGTATCTCGGCGGCGCCCGCAAAGCGCGAGCTAAAACTTTCAGGAATTGATATTTAGTCCATACCCGACGTGTGTGCAAAATTTAAAGGAAATCTGAGCGTCGCACTTCGAGTACTTCCCCTGTAAACATTTCAAAAAAAAATTTAAAAAAATTTTTCGGAACTTTTTCAAAATAAAAAAAATATTCTTTTTAACAAAAAATTTTTTTCAAAAAATATTGTAAACCCAACAAATTTCTCGTTTCAGTACATTGTTTTTGGTTTCCTTTTATTCGACGTAGTTTACGGAGCAGCATTATGTATATTTGTCGCCCAATTCGTCCAAATTATCAGCAATTTCGGTGCTTTCTGGCTGGTTTATGTGGTCAGCACGATTGTCGCGATGTATGCGGCGTGTGGCAACCGAGAATGGCTGTTTTATCCGGTGCTGGTTTTTGTGGTAAGTGAGTCAAAAAGTTAAAAGACAGGGTTGAGTTAATCAGGGAAGTACTCCAAATGCAACGCGCAGAATTTCTTCAAATTTTGTACATTCATTAGACATAGGCCACATTCCAATTCCTGCAAATTTTGGCTTGAACTTTACCGGGACAGCTGAGATATTCAACGATCTTTGCGGCAGAGAGAGTGCACTAAACGCGGAAAGTGGTCATAGAGAAGAGCACTTTTTGGCTATATCTTTCTCAGTTTGGCATAGAAAAAATTGATTTTTTGAGGAAATATTACCCTTTACCGTAGAAATAGCCATGAAACTTTTGATGACAAAATTCGCAAAAAGGTATCATGTTTTTTAAAAACTTTTGGCCTAAAAATCTCGGACGTTTTTGCAAAACGAAAGCTGGGAATCTCACATATTTGTTACAAAAAAATTTATTCTAAATCTGCGCCAAATTTCATCATAATCTCAGGGTCACACTTGGGGTATAAGTCTGCCGGGAAAATAATGAACAACTCTGTCGCATTAAAAATTTCGTTTTTCGCAACCGAGAAAAAAGAATTGTGTCGCGGCAAAATCAGAATTACTTTTCACTTTAGCAATGCGATTGGAAAAGCGACATTGCGCTCATTATTTTCCCGACAGATTGATAATCTAAATCTGTGCCAACTTTCATCAAGATCTGACGTTTCGGCGATTTTCTTTGACCTAACTTTGCGGCTCATATCTCTGCCCTTAGGGGCTGCGCAGAGATTTTACCGCTTGGGAATGATACTGAGTCCTACCCGATCAATTTGCACTACCCCTGGTTCAAAAAGCGATCGACACCGAAAGCAAATCGCTTTTCGTTCCCTTGTGAGCGTCACACCTGGATTACTGTGAATTTGACCGAATTTTACAAAATTTTCTTCAAAAAAACTGTTCTCTATCCACTATTTCTTTTATAGGTGCCCTTTGTTTTCGGCACATTGCTCGTCATGATGGCTGTAATAGCGCAATTGGGGATTTGCTTCGCCATGAATGGTAAGTCAAACTCCAATTTCACTTTTCTTTTGCCATGCCTTTTTACTAAAATTTCACCACCATTTTAACCATGAACTCGCTTTTCAACTTGTCTTTGCATGCTCTAGGCAATGTGCGAATGCCGAGTCCTTTCTTAGAGTGCGCGCAATCCATGGACCTGCAGACGCGGCTCTCGTTCCTGGCCATCCTGATGTTCTCTACCTTCATTTTGGTGGAAAAGGTGTTGGAATTCGTCGCGATTCGACGATTGATGCGATTAGTTCGAGAGGAAAAGGCGACCGATGGGCGCGTTGGACTGGTGGGAAGGTCGTTCTCGAACCTCGGAACGAATGTTTTCAACAAGAACGCTCGGATTCAGGGAGAACCCTCGGGCGTTGTGGTGCGGGAGGTTCGAGATAGCGATGACGATGTGAGTTGGGGGTAAAATACGACAATACATATAGAGCATTAATTCCACCAAGTTTGGGCAAAAATAAGTCTAACCAAGTTTTCGTGGTGGGACCAAAAACTAAAAAAATCATCGTTGTATGATTTGAAAAATCAATGTAAAGTACGTTTAAAACTGTCATGTGGATAAAAATATGGATACCTTATGTTACATCGAGCAGTAAAAAATATTGCAATAGATGTCTTTGAACTGCGCCAAGATTTACAGGAGTCCTAGAATCCCAGTATTTGTATGACAATAAGAGTTAGCGGTAAAATACATTGATTGCAGTCAAGTTCTGTCAATGCGCAATAATAGAAAAAAAGCAATTTTCGTGGTGGGACCAAAAATTCGTAAAACGTTTGTGTTATGACTTGACAATGTAAAATACGCGACCTCTACCCTGCGCCTTGTAACTGCCCATCATCTCTTTGTCATGGTTCAGAAACTGCACCAATTTTGCGACATTTTGCTGCGACGATAGCTTAATCGTATCAACTGAATTAAAGATTGTAAAATACGGAGCATTTTTTTGGTTTTTGGTCTAAAAATATGTCTTTTAGGATATTCTATGCTAATCCCAAAAACTTTTTTCGCACTGTACGATTTCATAATTTTTTGAAAACTGCACCGTGCGGAAACCTCTAAAGGCAAATTTTTTTTTGTTCTACAAAAATGGTCTTTGAGCCTTAGACCATGCATTCCCAATGCGCATACTGGCCATATTTTTCACTTCATTTTTTTCAGTTAGTAGTCTACCGAAACAGCACCGCCTCCGTTGAGCCGGAGACGTTGCCGGTCCCGAAACAAACACCCCCTCCTCTGACTCCGCCCCCTGCTTACGAACCCAAAGAAAATAAAGTGGAAAGTCTGGACACTCCCACGGATTCGATCAACGAACTCCCGCTCAACTCCAAAAGCAAACGGACCATCGAATAAGAGAGAAAAACCGTCATGTGTAATATACATATTTATTTCATTTATTGTTTATTTATTAGTCCAGTATTTTTGTAAAAAAATGGTAGTAAACTTTGAATCGATTGTTTACGATTCTTTCCAAAAATTTTTTTTGTTGCTCGTGGCGCATTTTACAGGATGACCCAAAATAACGGAGACAAGTTTTTGAAGAGTCCCACCGCGAAAACCGGGCGTTAGAGATATACAAGCGACAGCCGGTGATCTTCTACAACACCTTCTCTATAATCCACAAAAATTTGGTGGAATCATCATGTCTCAGTAAAAAGTTACAGCTTAACAAAGACGACTTTCGCGTTTTTTGGCCCTCAATTTTGGTTTTGGTTTCCTTGCACGGCAAACCAAAATAGAACAAAAATGCCTACAAAAATGCCTCCCGCCCACTTTTGAATTTCGTCCAAACGAAGTGTCACAACTGACAAAAGCAATAAAATAATTTCGAGAAAAATATTTTTCCATCGAAAAACCACACGAAAATTCTGTTGTGACATTTCGTGTGAATTTGTTCGATACTGGGTGTGTGAAGCACCGAAACGAGGAGGGAGACTCCCTGCGTTGCCGTGCCTTGCGTTGCGAATTTTTTTCGTTGCTTGAGCGCTTTTGCTCTATTATACCTTTTCTTGACGTGCCGTGCCACTTCGTTGCCTACGCTTTTAAATTGAAGTCTAAAAATTTTTAAGGACGTGCTTTTCGGTGCCCGCAAATGGACTTTTCGATGCCCGCAAATTTTCGCGGTTCGCGACCGCAAATTAAATCGAAATCTGCCCGCACTTTTTCTGCCCGCAAATTATAAAAATGTTATAAAACGCCTGAAACATGGTTGATTAGTGAAATATTTGTATAAATCCGGTGGAATTAATAAATTTACATATGCAAAAGTGTATTTGACAAAAAATTTTTTGAGAAGTGTCTCTGTCCGTGTTTTCTGGGATAAAATTTCAAATCACGAAATGGTATCATGTTTTTGGACAAAGCTGATGAATATGGAGTCCAAATCAAGTTGTTATAAAGGCTGAACAAAACTTTTTTTTGTCTAAACGAACTTTTCGATGCCCGCAGATCGGAAATTCGGGTCCTCAGACATTACCAATGTAAAAATCTTCATTTTTATCTTCCATAAGTCACATTATGACACTTTTCACGACCAGTGACACCTATTTTTCAGTAGAAAAGTTCAAATTTAAATTTGCGGGCAAAAAAAGTTTGAAAACTTTTGGATGCCCGCAAATCAAAAAATGCTCCAAAACCTTTCGTAAGCCACCGTAGTGAAAAAAAAATTGATTACTACGACAAGATTAGGCACTATGATCATTTTGTGGCAATTGAGGCCGATTTGTTTGCAGGAAAACGGATTTTTGACAGAAAAAATATTTGCGGGCAAAAAAAGTTCTAAAAATTTTTGAATGCCCGCAAATCTGAAAAAAGCTTCTAAATCAATCGAAAGTAGTTGTGATGAAAAAACGAGTTCCATAAGTCACATTATGACAATTTTTACGGCCAGTGACACCGATTTTTCAGTAGAAAAATCCAAATTAAAATTTGCGGGCAAGAAAACGGTTTCTTGGCAGAAAAAATATTTGCGGGCAAAAAAAGTTCCAAAAATTTTTGAATGCCCGCAAATCAAAAAAGGCTTCCAAATCAATTAAAACTTGTTGTCTTGGGTAAAATTGGGTTAATAATGCTACTATGACAAGTTTTAGGACCATTGGCACCGATTCTTTGGTTGAAAAGTTCAAATTTAAATTTGCGGGCAAAAAAAGTTCCAAAAATTTTTGAATGCCCGCAAATCTAAAAAAGCCTCCAAATCAATTGAAACTTGTTGTCATGGGGAAAATTGGGTTAATAATGCTACTATGACAAGTTTTATGACCATTGGCACCGATTCTTTGGTTGAAAAGTTCAAATTTAAATTTGCGGGCAAAAAAAGTTTGAAAACTTTTGGATGACCGCAAATAAAAAAATGCTCTAAAATCTTTCGTGAGCCACCGTAATGAAAAAACCTTGATTACTATGTCAAGATTAGGCGCTATGATCGTTCGACGGCAATTGAGGCCGATTTGTTAGCAGGAAAACGGATTTTTGGCAGAAAAAATATTTGCGGGCAAAAAAAGTTCCAAAAATTTTCGAATGCCCGCAAATCAAAAAAGGCTTCCAAATCAATCAAAACTTGTTCCCATGGAGTCATAGCATCTTTATTTTACATTGGAAGTAGTTGAGTTATCACTTAGAGGTTTGTTATTATGAATTTTTTCTCATTTTTGGGATAAAGCGCCTCTTCCTGCAGCGCGCCGAGGTCTTCCGGGTGGGTTTCCAGTAAACCTGATGGTCCGATCCTTTTCTTGTTCAGTGAAGTCATGGAGTCCTTCTTTTTTTGCAATAAAGACTGCGTGCTTACATTGAGTCGCCGATTTTTGCCCAACGGGGCAAGAACACGAATAATACGTACCACATTTTCGAAGCATGTAAAATGATCCTTTTAAGGCTTTGTAGGACTCAAGAGAATTAAAATTGGCTTGTTTTAAATCGTTGAAATTTTTCAGAAGATCAACGCTTTCATCGGCAGTTGATGACTGAATCAAGTAATACCGTCCTATATTTTAGGTTTTAGTCTTGTGGCCTTGCTTACCTGACTTAAACTTCAGGTACTTCAAAAAATTGGGATCCGCTCGCGAATTCACATGCATAACGAATGCTTTTCTTGCAGCTGACAGATCCACTGCAGGTTTTTCAGGAAGGTTTCTCTCGACCTCAAGAGATCTCGATACTAGTTCGTCTCTTAACAACGGCACCATATGTTTGAAATCTACTCGTTCCCTTTCAGTTATTGAGTCTTTAAACTTTCCATGGTAACTTTCAGCTCCATTGTTGGTGGAGCCGTGCTGTGTAGCACCCTCATAGAAACGATGCCTAAAAGTAACAGATAATGTACTGTATTCTTACTTTTTTTCTGCGCCGTCTGCCGTCACCCACGGCTTCACCTTAGAAGCAAATGTTTTTGCGCCAAGATCGTTGTACTTCTGTAGGACAAGCTGACCAACTTTCAAAAATTCTGTTTCCGTCTCTGCTCTTTGCAACATAGAAATATCGTTCCGAATTTCTTTTAGTAATCGTTTTTTGTCTCTTTTCGGAAGATGAGTTTGCGCAATTTTCATAATGGCCTTAAGTCAGCGTACACATTTTATCTTTAAAATCTTACATAACCCAATTTTACCCAAGACAACAATTTTTAATTGATTTGGAAGCCTTTTTTGATTTGCGGGCATTCAAAAATTTTTGGAACTTTTTTTCCCCGCAAATATTTTTTCTGCCAAGAAACCGTTTTCCTGCAAACAAATCGGCCCCAATTGCCGTCGGAACGATCATAACGTCTAATCTTGACATAGCAACCAAGATTTTTTCATTACGGTGACTCACGAAACATTTTGGAGCATTTTTTTTATCTGCGGGCATCCAAAAGTTTTCAAGCTTTTTTTGCCCGCAAAGCTAAAATTCAAATTTTCCACCTGAAGATGTGCAGCAGTTGTCTCGTGGCAGCTTGAAATTACACAAAAAAATGATAACAATGAAGATTTTTACATTCGTAACGTCTGAGGACCCGATTTTCCGATCTGCGGGCATCGAAAAGTTCGTTAAATCTAAAAAAAGTTTTGTTCAGCCTTCATAATAACTTGGTTTGGACTCCATATTCATCAGCTTTGTCCAAAAACATGATATCATGCCGTGATTTGGAATTTTATTTCAGAAAACATGCGTCTGAGACACTTCTCAAAAAATTTTTTGTCAAATACACTTTTGCATATGTAAATTTATTAATTCCACCGGATTTATACAAATATTTCACTAATCAACCATGTTTCAGGCGTTTTATAACATTTTTATAATTTGCGGGCAGAAAAAGTGCGGGCAGATTTCGATTTAATTTGCGGTCGCGAACCGCGAAAATTTGCGGGCATCGAAAAGTCCATTTGCGGGCGAAAAAAAATTCCTCCAATTTTTAATAAATTTTTGGTGCCCTAAATTTCCTTAACCGTGCAAACTAAACCAAAATTTTTGTTTATTGAAACATAATATATGCAAATGCCAATATGGGATATAATGGATACGGCGGTGGTAATAATAGAATCGATTTCTTGGGGACAACTTCTCCATACTCTTCGTGGTTATAGTCTGGTTCCGGTGAAGGCGGAGAGGGAGTAGTTCTTGGCTTAGGGGGAGTACTTCTGGGCCCAGTGGGAGTGGTTCTTGGCGTAGAAGGGGCAGTTCTTGGCTCAGAGGGAGTAGTTCTTGGCTTAGGGGGAGTACTTCTAGGGCCAGTGGGAGTGGTTCTTGGCGTAGAAAGGGTAGTTCTTGGCTTAGGGGACGTAGTTCTTGTCTCAGAGGGAGTCGTTATTGGCTTAGAGGGAGTAGTTCTTGGCGTAGAGTGCGTAGTAGACGGATGTGGGTTTGGAGTTGATTTGGTTGGTCCGGGGGCCGGTGGAGTGTTCGTACTGGCATGAGGAGTTCCGTCAGTTACAACTGGCGCTGCAGTGCTAGTTGTAGCTTCTGCTGTAGTCATTGTTGTAGGAGCTTCTGCAGTAGTTTCTGTGGTCGTTGCAGTGGTAGTTGGTGTAGTCGACGTTGCAGCCGTCGTTGAAGTTTCTGTAGTCTTTGCAGCCATCGTTGTAGTTTCTGTAGTCGTTGCAGCGGTCGTTGTAGGTTCCGTAGTCGTTGCAGCGGTTGTTGTAGTTTCTGTGGTCGTTGCAGCCATCGTTGTAGTTTCTGTAGTCGTTGCAGCCATCGTTGTAGTTTCTGTAGTCGTTGTAGCCAACGTTGTAGGTTCTGTAGTCGTCGCAGCGGTTGTTGTAGTTTCTGTGGTCGTTGCAGTGGTAGTTGGTGTAGTCGTCGTTGTAGCCAACGTTGTAGTTTCTGTAGTCGTTGTAGCCGTCGTTGTAACTTCTGTAGTCGTTGTAGCCGTTGATGTAGTCCTCGTTGTAGTTGTGGTCGTAGTTGTCGTCGTCGTCGTGGTTGTGCTACGGATGTCAGAGTCAAAGATATTGCATCCCTGGTCCACTGGAAGGTGATATTTCGAACCAGCAGGGCAACGAAAAGCCTCGGCAAATCCTTTAAAATTGGCAAGAGCTCCCCAAACACGAACTCGAGCTGGCACATAGCGACTCGTTACATAGTCGTTCCAAAAACGCCCCGTCATCGCCGCAATCGTCTGGGCAACGTTGATGAAAAAAAGCTGTCTGTTGGAGAACTGTTCAATTAATCGGGGCTCCGAAATATTATTTCCAGGGACGAAGTGGGAAAAATAGGCCAGACGAATACCTAAAAATACATTAAGGTAAGTCTAAAACATGTGGACGACTTTTTTTGAGGATTTCTCTCTCGAAACAAAAATTTCCCTTTTTCCGCCGCTGCAGAATCAAAATGGAAAGGAAAGACGGACGTCAATCCAAAATAGAAGAAAAAATTTCCCGCCCCTTTTTGGTGATTCGTTCAAAACGAAATGTCACTATCCGATAAAAAGCATTTTCTTATCTTTCTTCTTCCTTTTCGAGAAAAAGCAATTATTTCGGACGAGAAAAAGTGTCGATAATTTCGCGACATTTCGTCTTTTTTTAAATCAATGAAAACGATACGAATTTTAGAAACGGTTCAGGAAGTGCGCTGGATTGACGTGCGTCTAACCATAAAAGTAGGAGCCCCCATAAAAGAGTGCAATGGTGGACCGGCGGCACCCCCAGTCCATGTCTCTGCGGAGGCGAAAAGCGCATACTGTACATTCCACTGCACAACGGAAAAGGTGATTAAGGCCGTCCCCACCGCTTATCTCTGGCTCCGATCTGGCCATAAGACGCCGGAAGGGGTAGGCGATAGGCCGTATAAAAGCACAGAAGAACGTGCCTTCATGGTCGACCCAGCGTTCTCCGATCGGAAAGCGCTGTTATAATTTCTGCCTTAATCAGAAGGCTCAGGTTTAGTTTTATGAAACTCAAGGGGGAGTATTTGGTCTCTGAGGAGACGAGTTCACTCCACCCTTCTCGGGAAGTACACGGGAATTTTATGGGCGCGCCCCCAGGCCAGGTTATGAGGTCATTTATTGGGAATTACTCTCGGGACATTTTGCGAACGTTCAATGGGAATCTTACAGGGCTTTTGAATAATTTTACAGGGTTTTTGAATGATATGTTTTATTGTATTTTATGCCGTCCAAGGCAGTTCTCTGCGGAGATGAGTACTCAGGTTTATGAATCGTCTAATTCTGTTAATGGTCTTTTCTGTCTAATCTCCGAGGAGATGCAATCTCTCTCAAGCTCCTCAGATGTGGACTCCGCCAACAAAGGTGAGTCCGACTCAAACACCGAATACATTCCAGCACTCAGAAGACACACGCACGCTTCCAGCGCCCTGATGATCAATGTCATAACCCGAGGAAGCGCCAGGCCCACTCAAAGACAAATGGAACAGCCCAAGGCAAGTCAAAACATGTCTGAAGCAGGAACATCAGGCTCAGGGGAGTTTGGCCGCCCTGAGTCGGATGTTGCCATGCAACTGGTAGCAGCGAGCACGGTCCCGGCTGGCCAAGCCGTCAGCGATCCCAGCGCCTCGCCGGAAATTTTGCAAAAATTATTTCCACTTTCTTCTGTTAGAAATCTAGAAAGTAAACTCAATCTTAGTGAATTACAGCAAATAGTCACTCTAATGTTTACTGATTGCAGGAAATTAACTGGAATGATTCCTTCGATGGCCACAGGACAAACCCAGCAACATCCCTGCCCGGACAAGATGCTGATTCACCAACATTTCTCAGCCATCGAAAAAGAATTGGATCTCCTGAAGAAAACAACCACAGGTGAGTTCAGTAGTTCACTGTTTACAGATCTGCAGACCGAAGTCAAAATCCAAGGAGAAGAGCTACACAAAGAAGTCAAGATGGCTACTGAGGCCATCGAGGATTCAACGAAGACCTACATTGGTGAAATTAATCTACAAATCACTGGTCTGAAACAGCAAGTGGCCGATCTCTCAACCCAAATGCTCAATCTTGAGGCCAAGTACTCCGAGGAACTCAGGAATTTTGGTCAACAACTTCAAGACTTCCGTCAGCAGCTGGTTCACGAACAGGATTCGCAGAACAATCAATTCCTCTTGGCACTATCAGGTAACGAAACTATGCCTCGAGAGGCTGAAGAATCACTTTTAAATTTACCTCCCATCCCCTCCAACCTTCAGGTCAATGTCATTGATTTTGGCAACCTTATGAAATTTTATTCTGGGGAAGGAGATGAATCTTTTTCCGAATTTATCCTCAAATTTGAGGATTTTGCCAATCAGCAATCCACTCCTTGGGATGATAAAACCAAACTTTCTAAGTTAAGACTTTTGTTATCAGGGGAAGCCAGAGAAAAATTCCAAATTACTTGTGGTGATTCCGATAGCCTTACTTATGCGCAGGCAAAACAAAAGTTGCTGGCGTCTTATAAGCAAGACTCTCTGCACTCTGGGGTTCTTTCGGAACTTCACGCAACTAGACAGCGTGACGGAGAAACCGTCGATGACTTCTTCTGTCGTCTTCGGCGGGTTTTGACAAAATTAATGCCCGATGCCTCACCTGAGGAGTTAAAAACTCGGTTTAAGGAGGAATTTACTTATCGTCTGTTAGATTCAATCAGCACTCCGCTGCAATGGCTTGCACCGACTACTCTAGAAGAGGCCCGACAAAAAGCGCGTACTATTGAAAGCTCTCTCAGAAGATCAGAGGTCCAAAGAACCGAAATGGCCCTCAGGCAACTAGGATCTGGAGTGAATGCGGCCCTAGCCCAAAACTGGCCCACCAACCAAGGAGCCAGTCGACCTTCTGGAGGACAACTTTTTCCATCACAAACCAACAATTATCCGGTAAGCCCTTATCAGAATATTCGTTGTTTCTTTTGCCAGTCTCTTGGACATGTCAAGAGAGAATGCCGAAAATTTGCCGCTTATATTGCGCGTCAAAACTCGGGTCCTCAACAGAGCTCCAACAGACCGAATGGCGGCACTCCATGGCAGCGCAACAACTACGGACAACCTAGAAATGCGCAATACACTCAAATGATGAACAACAATCAACGCTCTGGACAGCGTCAAATGTTTGTTCCATCCTCAGCGCTTCCGCCCCGGCACACACACGCTAATGCCGTCCAGCCGTTATTGGAGTCACCTCTCTTCACTGATGACATCCCACTTCAGCAACCCACTGAGATTGTTCAAACCGATGCTCGCGACGCGGCACTCCAGCTCCTACAAAGGAAACGAGATCAGCGAATGTGCCGACATGTTGGTCACCATCTACTTGTAGTACAATGGGCAAATAATCATAACACGACTAAATCTTCAAATTGGCAAGAAAACAATAGGCCTCAAACTCTTAACAATCTCAATACTCCCCTTTTATCTCCCAAATTAACACCTTCTGTTGCTCTTTTTATTGCGCTTCACTTAATTACACTAATTTCAGGAACTGAAATCAATCCCATGATCTGCCAGAACAGCAATGCCCGTACTCTCTACAAGATCCCTTCCATGGAAAACTGTGATCTACCACCGCTCGAAATCCCGGTACCAATGACATTGGAGATATTCAAGCCCAACACCGACGCTCGCTCGCAGGCAGCCTGGTCCTGTCGCATTCAGAAAGCCACGATCCAATACTCCACTTCACTTACTGGACTTGTTATGGAGACTCCAGTGACAACAGAAACGATGCTGGTTCACCCACGTCAATGCTGGGACATGCTGAAGACCAAGAACTGTGCATTCGGCAGTCTCACGAACCGATCCACGTTGTGGCTCACCAACAACAACTTCAAAAGAGACTATCCTTGGCCAGTTCTCGGTAGTTTCTCTTGGAAAACTGAACATGTGCACAATTGTGAAGTGCTTCCACTCCAACTACAATTCGCCTTTGGTGACAATACTGTTCAAAGCCCACTCGGAACGTTTGACAACTGCCCTTACTCTCAAGGATATTGTACAACCCCTGATCACATTACATTGATATGGACTCCCAAAGCCTCCAGCAACTGCCCCTTCATAAAGGTAAGCACAACAAAAGGTTTAGTGAGCTCTCGCCTCTGGATGGCTTCAAATAACAATATGGCACTGGAGATATCCCCCGACCAGGTTGACAATTGTGGTACCTTCCTCAACCTGACCAGCCAAGAATTCGCAGTCACTACTCACGAGACTCGACCAAAACGAGCCAAGCTAGTAGATGCCGAACTGCTGTCCAGCGTTGCGTCGGCACTCAGCATCCAGTCTGTCCTAATGATCAAGTCTTCGTTACATTTTGCTCAAATGGAACGGTGTAGACAGCAGCGACAAATCACGGCCCTTCAACAAGCAATCATGGAACAAGATGCCACCTCCTTAGCACGATCAATCCTCAACTTTCCCTATGTCCATGCCAGAAGAGTCACACCATCCATCCTTGAAGTCCTCCAGTGCACACCTGTCCCCTTCAGTACCATCAAGATACGTGAGTCAAAATTTTGCTATGAGCTTACTCCTATTTACTTCATTGACAGCAACCTAAAGGTAGTGTCAGCTTTTTTGGATACTGTTGACATGATCATAAAACATGACAGTCATACTATCCCGTGCCTAGGAGCGCGCGGCGCTTTCCCCCTGGGCAATAACTCTTGGGTCCAATTTTTACAACCATATAGAAATTCCACTTTTCCGTTTCCTCAAAATATTACATTGCTTCATGCGCAAAGCGAACATAATAACAGCGCACCACCTAATCTAGCGATAAATATTTTTCGAGTGGAATCAATCACCAATTTTTCTGCCCCTACTCCCTTACTCTCATTTACTCCCCCTGGAGCTCGATTCAGAAGTCAAGACCTCTCTCATGAGTTGCCGGAAGGACCGCAAACGGTTCTATCCCTCTTGACTATCCCTCAATGGTTAATCCAGTCGTGGATTTACGGCTGTTGTTGTGTTGTCTCACTTCAATTAATATTTATTGTTTGGGCTTTCTCGAAATTCCTCAAGGAAAAGATCTCACCAGCACCAAAACCGGTTGTGCAAGTAGTAGTACCCCAAGAAAAACCGACAGTCTGGCCCCCGCCATTGGTTGCCTCATGTGACAACGGGATTCCATATGCTCAGATCCCTCTCAAGATCAATGGAGTTCCTCTTTGCGGGCTCATTGATACTGGAGCCAGCATGTCAATTATGGCTGCTGCACTGGCTCCAGCCTTAGGTCTCAACATTGCTCAGCATGCGCAAAGGTTTGCAACCTCAGCAAGTGGCCATACACTTCGGTTGTTCGATGACAAAGTGGTAACGTTGGAAATTGGTAATCTCGTCCAAAACATTAACATGACCTTCTCCGACAACACCAACTTCCTCAACGCCAGCTATGACGTCATCATTGGCTGTACAGCCTTGGCTGAACTACCCCCCATGCTGATCGACATGAAGGCGCGAACAGTAGCCATTGGTAGAAACATTCTTCCGCTCATGTCCCCAGAAGAAATGGCAATGCTCCCGGTAAAAATAAAGGCCATTTCAGCTGTCACTTTACACCCATTCTCAACTACTCTAGTCCAATGCCACCCAGATACAGTGAGCTCTCCCTCCAATACAATCCTCATGATTAATGATCCCAGGTACGTTGTCGATCTCCCAAACCCATATCTTTGCGAAGATGATAAATCAAAACTCAAATCGTTAATCAAAGCATTCCGATATCATTCATTGTCCTCAATATGACATTGACTGTTCTTCTCTGATTGTTTCCTTACATTTTTTTACTTTTGTGATTCTCTAATCCCCATTGCTCGAGCGCTTTGCCTCTAGATCACTCAGCACCCCGATGCAAACACTTGTTTTTTTTTCAAATGGGAAAAGGAGTGCAATGGTGGACCGGCGGCACCCCCAGTCCATGTCTCTGCGGAGGCGAAAAGCGCATACTGTACATTCCACTGCACAACGGAAAAGGTGATTAAGGCCGTCCCCACCGCTTATCTCTGGCTCCGATCTGGCCATAAGACGCCGGAAGGGGTAGGCGATAGGCCGTATAAAAGCACAGAAGAACGTGCCTTCATGGTCGACCCAGCGTTCTCCGATCGGAAAGCGCTGTTATAATTTCTGCCTTAATCAGAAGGCTCAGGTTTAGTTTTATGAAACTCAAGGGGGAGTATTTGGTCTCTGAGGAGACGAGTTCACTCCACCCTTCTCGGGAAGTACACGGGAATTTTATGGGCGCGCCCCCAGGCCAGGTTATGAGGTCATTTATTGGGAATTACTCTCGGGACATTTTGCGAACGTTCAATGGGAATCTTACAGGGCTTTTGAATAATTTTACAGGGTTTTTGAATGATATGTTTTATTGTATTTTATGCCGTCCAAGGCAGTTCTCTGCGGAGATGAGTACTCAGGTTTATGAATCGTCTAATTCTGTTAATGGTCTTTTCTGTCTAATCTCCGAGGAGATGCAATCTCTCTCAAGCTCCTCAGATGTGGACTCCGCCAACAAAGGTGAGTCCGACTCAAACACCGAATACATTCCAGCACTCAGAAGACACACGCACGCTTCCAGCGCCCTGATGATCAATGTCATAACCCGAGGAAGCGCCAGGCCCACTCAAAGACAAATGGAACAGCCCAAGGCAAGTCAAAACATGTCTGAAGCAGGAACATCAGGCTCAGGGGAGTTTGGCCGCCCTGAGTCGGATGTTGCCATGCAACTAAAGTACTTCCCTTGTGAGGAAAATAAATCGGTGCACCTTGTGCGCTAGACTGACGAACAGAACGTGTAGCTCGACGCAGTCTGGATACAAAAAGAAAACATAAGGCGGCCAATACTCACCAACTTGATCCGAAAACGCTTGGTCGGCGATTTTGTTGGGATCCACACAGAAGTCCGGGCTTCGTGGATAACATTTTTGACTATAGAGCTTTGTAACACAGTCCCACCGAGCACGATGCTCCTTGTCCGGATCCTCATGGCTTTTCAGCAAATCCTGTCCTAAAAAATTAAATAAAAAAAATAAATAAAAAAAGAAAGATAAAAAATTTTAACAGAAAATTATTTTTTAGCGGTATGGTCAATTTTATCACTTACCGAAAGTACGGGCTAATTCATGGGACATCAAAAACCCTGCTCCAGAGAAATCGAGAGACGCGGGAAAGTCAACATCGTAGTGGGAAAATTCAACAGTGCGAAAGTGAAAGTAATTGTGCTGGTTCACCGGAGAGTGGGAAGCACCATTCTGAAGATAAAATATGAAAATTTTCTTTATGAAAAAATAGAAACAATTACAATTTTTTCTATCCTATTTTAGTCAGAAAAAAACGGGTTTCAACTGATGCTTCCCAAAAAAAATTGCAAAACTAAGCGATTCACGTCAATCCAGGGCATTTCCTGAACCGTTTCGAAACTTCGTATCGTTTTCACTGATTTAAAAGAGAGACAAAATGTCGCGAAATTATCGGCACTTTTTCTCGCCCGAAATATAATTTTTCTTTCTCGAAAAGGAAGAAGAAAGATAAGAAAATGCGTTTTATCGGATAGTGACATTTCGTTTTGAACGAATCACCAAAAAAGGGGCGGGAATTTTTTTCTGCTATTTTGGATTGACGTGCGATTGGACTTACCATGTACTCTGGGATGAAAAAATTTTTCAGCCTTTTCTCCGAGTTGAATTTGAAAAGATTGGCCAGTCCATTCACAAATCTCCTCGTATACGGCGCATCCAACGACAACGGACCCACTGCAGCCAGCTCATTTCCCAAAAGAATTGGATGATCCAGAAATTCGAACTCATTCTTCGCCAATCTGTCCAGATAGTTCTGTCGGGTCTGATTCTGCTTGAACGTTGCGTTTCGGAGCATACCTTCAGCGGTTTTCTTAATAGCGTTTCCTTCTTCGAAGAATTTTGCTTTCAGCTCATCAAATCTCTCCTTTTGTTGCATCTCCAATTCGTAGGCAATTTTGGAAACTTGAAGGGGAAACGCCTGTTGAATGTAATTTATACAGTAGAAAAACTTTTTCGGGCGGTGAATGTGATCGGTTAAATACTCCATTAGATGATTCAGAAAGTTGGAACGATGATGAGACTGGCTGGGCTGAAAAATGTCATCGTTTAAAATCTCCGTGTTTTGTTGTCCTAGTCCTGTCATTTTCATGTCCAAAAACTTACATTTTTGACGTTCGGAAAATAGAAAACAATATCCGGGAAAGTTTCGTCCAATCTTGTCCCCATGGTTTTATTGAAGAAGCGGCCTTTTAAATGATTTGCCTGTACGTAACCTTGCGCCCTGTAGTTCCGGTCGTAGACCAGATCAGCACATCCTCCAATGACATTGCAATACTTCTGCCTGAAGACGATCATATGTATTCAATCAACCCGACCCACAGTATTAATAAGTTGCCATCTATTAATACTTGTACCAGTCTGTCGGGAAAATAATGTCGGGTTTGTCGCAGCAAAACCTCGCACGTCAATCCAAAATAGGAGAAAAAATTTCCGCCCCTTTTTGGTGATTCGTTCAAAACGAAATGTCACTATCCGGTAAAACCTATTATCTTATCTTTCTTCTTCCTTTTCGAAAAAAAAACAATTATTTCGGGCGAGAAAAGTGCCGATAATTTCGCGACATTGAAACTTGCAAGGAGATGATGATGGGCGACTTCAAGGCTCGATGAATCCGCATTATTTTCCCGACATACGGATATGTACATATGATGCACAAATAACTTACCAAGCTTCTTTTTGGTTGACCTTTGGTGGAATATGCAGAAATAATTGCCCCGCAGAAGCATCTAAACCCCACCCATTTAAAATCGGGGCTCCCGTATAAAACAGATGAGTGTACATTTCCAAGACCAGCTCGGTAAAAAGGTCGTCGTTATTGGTGACAACTTCGTTCTTCATTGGGAAAGTAAAACCTCTCGATTTGAAACTGGTCACAATCCGATTGTATATTGCTGTACGTTCCGGTTCTTTCATAATGGCGGGATTCTTCCTGCAGGCTACGAGCATCTGTTTAACATCCTTGACGGTCGGGATCTGAAATTGAAAAAATGACGGTGTAGACTAAAAAACAGGTAAATCAAGATCAAAAAGCGTTTTGTGTATTCGATCTAAATCTTACCTCATCTCCAATGTTTGATTTCAGCATTACACGGTTCTTGAAGTCATCATTATTCTTATCAGGAATATGCTTCTTGCCAAAATATCCGGCAGCATAGGTGTAGAAATCATCGCAAGGATCCGCTGTTGTGTTCATAAATTTTTTCATGCGATACACCTTCGCTCGTACCGCGTCAGGATAATGAAGGGCCTGGACGGCAACACTTTGCAGGAGAACTCCCCATAGAAAGAGCCGACCGGTCATCTTGGATGACCATCGAATGGGCGGTTGATAGAGAAAAATAAAAGACTGGAGGCTCTAAATTTACATATTCAAACTTTTTTTACTAATTTTTATTTTTTAGATTTTTTTTATTTTTTTGAACTTCCCCATTACCGCTCATTGGATTCTATTTATTTCTCCATTCGTTCCTTTCGTTATGGCCTCGAAGTGGTATCAAAATATTACTTTATGCACAAAAAAAATCAAATATTTCTTCAAATGTCGTCAATTGTTCCCATTCAGCCTGTATTTTAGCATGTAATAGCGTCGTACTGTCCAACGTAGAAATGTCTCACGCTTTTTCACAAAGGTGTCGGTTATGTAACCTGTGAGAAGGACCAATATTCCACCCATAGGACAATTCCGATTGCACTATGTCATCAAAAATCTTTCCATAAAATTATAACCCTCTGAAGATGGCACAGAGATCAAAAACAAGACTACAAGTCTTCTAGCGATCTCTCATATGTAAAGCGGACCACTCCAAAAAATTGTTTTGTCTCAAAGCACAACCCACAACCAGCCCCGTTTATCTCCTTGGTCTTTTTCTTCGAAAATAAGTCGAATTTGTTCAATTGAATGGAAACTTAATCGAACAATTTTGCGAAGAACTGTTGTGTTGTAGTCTTTTTGTAGTCGACACGTTCGAATTTATCGGTTTATAGTCAGAAATTAAGGATGAGTGAGGAAAAAGAGCTCGATATTCGAGTGGTTCGACCGATTATTGAGAATTTCTTCGATTTTGACGTTGTACAAGGGGATTTGTTGAAGTGAGTTTTTTTATGAACTTATATGCAAACCTTTGGTTTCTCGTATTTTACAATCTTAAGAAATTTCGCATTGTGCATTGTCCAAAAATCAGCTGTTTTCAATTTACTGAACAAGAAAATATATGCCTTATATTTTTGTGTTATTTTTAGTTTGTCAAATATAATATTTCCACACCGTGCAAAAGTCAGTCTTTGTTTTTTGCACTGTGATTAATCAAAAAATTGCTTTCTTCACTGCACAGCGCAAGCAAAAACTCTGTCTCTCTCTCTCTCTGTCTCTCTCCCGGAAATGGACTGTCCAGTTTACCTTGAAATTGTACCGTTTCACTTTTCAGGAAAGCCCCAGTTCACATTGGTGGAAACTTTCAGTCAGTTCGACTGTTTGGTGGCCAAACTGTTGCTCAATGTTACTCCGCTGCCAAAAAGATTTACCCCGACAAATGCCCAGAACTTTTGGATACAAATTTCATTGCTCCAGGAAGTGTGACAAAAGATTTGTTTTACCGGCACAGGGAGCTGTCGCATGACTTGATTCAGATCAACGTTGAGCAAAACGGAAATGTCATCGCAAACGCTACGATCAGGGTACATTTTCGTTTCTTGCTCTCAGCTGCGTTACACAATGAATTGGCATTTTTAGGCTCTAAAATCTTTGAAATCAAATATATTTTTTTTAGATGAAACCTCGGCCAGATCCTGATCGAAATCCCCCTTATAACGCGACCTTTCCCGCTCATGTAAAAGATCCGTTTAACTACAAAAATGTCAACGCTTATTTAACGAATCTACCGCAAAAAGAATGGCGTCGTCAATCGGGACGAGACGAAAGATTCGAGACTAAGGAGGATGTCTATTTATTCGATTGGAGACCAATTAATATTCAGAAATATTTGGGGATCAGTGGCGAAAGGGAGGTGACCTATGTGTGGGCTCGACTTGCCGATAGTGTAAGAGGTAAGGGTAGAGAATAAGTATCGATCTTGACAAGAGTGTCTATGCATTCTGGGAACTGAAAGCCATCATTTTACAACTATTTTTCAGACCTTCCAATTGCGGACCCTTTAGCAATTCCAATACTAATGTCCGACTGGATTATTGGCCATCCCATTCACATTTATCACCGACAACTTCAAGTCAAACTGACCACCAGCGCTTCAATGACGCATAAACTAATTTTTCATCAAGATGATGTCAATGTAAGGAAAACATCACAAGTAAAAATATGTATATAAGTCGCTTTGTAACCTTACTTTTTACAGCCCCATGGGTTCTTCCTCATGCAGCTGGACATGGATGTGGTAAAAGACGGCACTGGCCTAGTGAGGGGCGAGATTTTTGACGAAAACCACAATATTGTTTTGTCTTTTATGCAGAACCATTACTACGTGACGGATGAAAAAGCCCTAGCCGAGTACAATGCCCAGAAATCCCGATTATAATATATTTTATTCAAATGTAAATAATTTAGACGAAAACTCAAAAATCTTCTTCCCAAGCAATCCAAGGGTTCTCCAACTTGTCTCTGCCGAAAGAATGATGGCCAATTCTAAAGGTTTGCAAGCTTGGCATTAGTTGTAAAGAATTTGTGGCTGCTCTAACAACGCGGAGGGACCAACTTTCGCAGTAATCCGTAAATACAACCTTTTCCAGTCTTGCCAAAAATCTTTCGTTATCAACGAAGAAGTTGTAGGCCAAGGCGTGGAAAGTGAAGCCAAAGCCGTGGAATATGAGGCGCCGAGTGTCTTGCGCGAAAGCAGGGGCGTACGCTGAAAATTGTAACGTGTATTAGAGTATCAAAGACAGACACCTCCGTTGCCATTCATTGAAGTTTACTTACAAATTTTCTTCAACGGCGGAATCACCATTAACTCCTCTAGTTCCAAAAAATCGGCCTCGATGTGGTCCAGAACCGCCAAAGGGCACGACAGATACCGCAGTGTGCCACTGTTGTTCTTTACTAAATCTGCAGCATCTTCAAACCATTTTTGCATACAACCTATGACAATTTTTTTGCAGTCTGAAAATAACAATGATAAAAAACTTAAAATTGTCAAAGTGCTTGCCTTTTATACATTTTTTGATCCTTTTCATTACTTCCGGCGAAGGATTGGAAAGAATAAGCTGTTTCGTCAGCCGAAGATAGCCTTCGTTTTTGATTAAGGTTGTTGGCCATTCGCATAAAATGAAACTTTGGCCGTCGACTATCTTCCAAATTCGGAAATTGTCGCTGTGAACGCCCAACGTGTGGCCACATCGGAGTAGGTGTTGCACAGCGATCAAATGCCGTAACAGAGAAAGACGCTGAAAAATAAAGCTCACTGGCTTCTCTAAAACTTACAATGACTTTGTGTCCGATAAAGCGATGTGAATACAGTTCTGGCATTCTGGTACAATGTTCAACTGAAAAATTTTGCACAGTAATTCAAATAAAACTAAAAAACGTATATTGCTGCCCGATGGCGTTTCTTAGACATGTTACAAAATGTTTAACTTACCAAAACTTTCAAAGACAGCATTTGACATGGTCTTCTTTGTCAACAGGGTAGCTTCACTCATTTTCATTAAATATATAGTAAATTAATAATAATAGATATATGTTCAACACAAGCACAGCGCTGATGGACTAGAGATATTTTGCGAATGATTCCCTTTTTTTATCTGCTTCATTTTTTGTTCTTGACAGAGATTTAGCGCAGAAATTTTAAAGACGCGCACAGATCTATCGCAGAAATTCTAATGACGCGCACGCACAATACAGTCAAAACACAACATATATAGCAAACCATGAAAAAATTATTCATTGTAGAAGGGTTTTATTTTACGGTTTGCCTTGGGCGTACAGTTCACTTTTGGACTTTGGAGATTTTTCCTTGTAGAGAGGTTTTGTTGTACAAGAGTCCGTCGTAAACAAATTTCGCAAAAAAAAAATAAAAAATTTATTCAACAATTTGTAAAAAAGACAATCAAATATGCCAACAATCCGTTAAGTAAACCTGATAGGATCCAATAAGTAGAATGCGAAGTCATAATTTTTCAAAATGTACAAATACCTTCTGACCTACAATCAGTATCAATTTTGCTAAAAAACAAAAATCTCTAAAAATGGGGAAAATAACAACAATTCTCAATTCAAGCTGGAGTTTATACTAAAATTATAGCATTTTAATCTCAATCTGGCTCAATCTAAACAAAAATTACTTTTTTGTTTAGTGTAATATAATCTATTTCTCAAAATCCAGCTGCATCTTCATTATTCTAACAATAGCAGCTCTTTTTGGTGTTTTTCGGGATTGGTGGGAAACGGACGTAAAAAGTTGTTGGGTATTCCGAATCATTAGTGGTCAACGTTCGGACATGTCTACCGTCGTATAGAGACCTCGATTCGTCCCACGAACGATATCCACGGAAGTGATCGGCGACCTCAGAAGGCTTATGAAGACCGCAGAAGAGGTCCTGAAATTTTTGAGGGTAAACATTACAGTAATCCATCAAAAAAATAAAATTCTTTTGGTCATCAAAAATATTATCTAGAACAAAATGTCCCAAAAACAATAAAAATGGAGTGAAAATTAGAGGTCCCCAAAAGTTGGAAAAAGTGACAGTAATTCCCAAAAATATCCAAAAAAGTGCGTAAAAAAAATTTTGGCAAATGTTGCTTTCCAAAATAACTTACAACTGGTCTCGTCGATAATTCTCTGCTGAAGTGATGCCCATGTCGGTCTTGGAAGGCTCTCGGCTGAAAAAACGACCTTTATGCGAAAAATCATCCAAAAATACGGTCAAAAAAATCATTCAAATTATTATTAAAATTATTAAAATAAAGCCAATTTTCCCCTCATCAAAGCAATCACAAGTTAATTCACACTCAAATCCTACCCTTCTTACACATCTTTCGCAATGTTGTAGATGATAAGACCTGCTCGATTTGCTATACACATAATTCAAATCCAGGTCGATATTCACTTTAACGTCGAATTCTATGCTTTCCCTTCTATGCACATTCAGGGCCGGCGAAATTTCGTTGGGTTCCACGTTGCGGGGGCCTTTTCCAACATTCACCAACCAAAACGTGACTTTCCTCAAGTTCGGAAGTGAATTTAGCATCCGATGGACACTGTACGTCGGATCAGCGTACAAATGGGAGGAGTATAGCTCCAGACTGAGCTCTTGAATTGATGGGAAGGAGTGGGAGGCCTTCTCGAAGCCGTTTTTGATGAATAAAAATGTGGAACTAGCAAAGCCAAGGATGCTCAATCTCTTCGTTTTCTTGGTGAAGACCGACTCAAACGCTGAAAGCAGTCAAAAGATTACTTAACCAGATTTCATTCGGCAGCCTGTGACACCAAACGCTTATCAAAAAAAAGAAATAACTTAAAAAATTATATACAAGTTAATAAAAAACTACCTCAAATAAAGTCAACTTCCCTAATTTCTTTCAAAAAACTTTAATGTTCTTGCGCGAAAAATATCATTGGAATTGTTACCTAAACTTCGAAAAACAATGAAAAAGTTGCAAACTCACTAAAAATGCCAATGGGAGGCTGGACAACCAATTCCTCGAGATCTAGGAGATCATCTTCGATATTCTCCATCACCACCACCGGACAAGTCAAAATCTTCAAGCTCTTTGCATTCTGTCTCACCAGCCTCATTGCCGCATCACATTTCCTCTCTTTGTTTACAATTCTCAAGGTCTTTACACCTAAAAATGACTTATAAAAACGTATTATACTACACCTGATATTACTTGCCTTTAGCATAAGGCAGAATAAGCTCAGCTCGTTCATGATCCAAGTCTTCAACTCGTAAAATGTCGTAGTTTAGAGCGTGAGCATTTCTTTCTACTGCGATTCGAGGCAAATGACAAACGGCACCTGATTCTTCTTTAGAATCCCAGAGCTCAAAGCCGGCTTTTGTAATATTCAAATAGAATCTATTTCTATTCAAAGTCTTCATTGTGATGAACATTGTGTGTCGAGATATTCCCTGAAATAAGAAGACCGTTAAGTAGAAAACATTGTCAAAAAGAAGCAAAATTGTATTATACGTGCCAACAGCGTGTTAATAATTGCGTCTCTCTCCTTAATATCTGGCCGAAGCGCGAGCCCATCGTATACGGGAAGATTATAGATTGAATCCAGCCAATATTCAACTAAAAATAACGAGATTAAGAGATTAATTGATTTTTAATATAATAAATAACAAAAATCATACCGAAATTCTCGAGAACCACGAAATTCATTTGCCTTTTGCTCGTTGATTCCGCCATGATGAAGATCTACACCCAAAGATGATCACGTCTGAAAGAAATAAATAAAGGACCTTCGTTTTACGAAAACAATACGAGGGAAAAATAAAACGAGTTCTTCGCAGAAATTCCAAAGCAGAAAACATTTCCCTCCAAAACAAAACGCGGGGAACGTTCGGGGGTATAGCTCAGGGGTAGAGCGCTCGCTTAGCATGCGAGAGGGCTGGGGTTCAATTCCCCATACCTCCAGAAATTATTTTTGGTTGCTTTGAATCAATATCTTTTCAAAATTTTGCAAAACAGTAATTTATATTTGCTGATTACCTTTTCGCAGCTCTGTTTTACTCTAAAACTTTTATTATCCCCTCTTTTTTCTCAACATGGACAACATGTTTGCGTCCCACCACGAAGTCCCTGAAAAATCAAGCCCCAAATTTATTTTATTTTTTTGGCCAAGATTTTTCGCAAGTGCCAAGCTTGTCCGATCACCAGGTATTTCCGAAGAAGTCTGATCAATAAGGTTCAAAAAATTTCTTCTTTCTGGTCGCTTTTTAGCCGAGAATTTTGGTCTTATTTTAGGTGAAATATAGATGTGGTTACCTCGCTTCTGTCTTATCAATTACCTTCGTGATCGATTGTAATATAGCGGGCTGACGATCGATAGATTGTATAGAGTCAATTTCAGATCCAAACATGGTGCTTTTGCCGTCGAACCAGAAGGAATTTGCTGATCCTCTTTATTGGAAGAAGTTCTTCGAAAAGTGCGATACTGCCTTCGAATGGTATGGAGAGTACAGTGTTTTGGCACCAATCTTGGAGAACTACATCAAACCCACATGCAAAATTCTGCAGCTTGGATGTGGTAACTCGAATTTAGCCGAGCAGGTGGGATTTTTAATTTTTGTGTTGTTTTTGATGTTTAGGTGAACGAAAATTCATGGGCTTTTGATGGGATTTATCGATTTTTTTGTGTAAAAGAGAGAACACAATATTTACTTGCTATTACAACGAATTTGGGTATTTTGCGAGCTAATATTTTCATTTAAATTTCAGCTATACGACAATGGGTTCAGAAATATCACAAGTATCGACATTGACGCCAAGGTTATCCAAAAGCAAGCAAAGAAGAACGAGAACAGATCGGAGTTGGTCTTCAAAACAGCTTCAGTCACGGAGGTAAGCAATTTTACCCGCAAATCCATGTTTTTTATATTACACTTGGTATGACTTCATTTTTTTAAAATTTTAGACGGGATTTGAAGATGCCGAATTCAACACTGTGTTAGATAAAGGTACTCTGGATGCTCTCTTGCCTCCTGGAGCTGATACCGACGCCGAGAAGGTGGTTACGGACATGTTTAACGAGATTGATCGAGTCCTCAGTGTGCTCGGAAGGTACATTTGTGTCACTTTGGCTCAAGACCATGTTGTCAACAAACTTATGGAGCATTTCCATGCATCTCAACGGTTCCTAGTACGGGTACATCGGACCGAAACTGATCGTCACTTCTCCATGCCGGTCTTTGTTTTTGTCTTCACCAAACTCAAAAATCAGATGAAAACTGCGATCGATTATGTCAGCCAACTCCCGCCATATCAGAGAATCGAAAGATGCGAGGGAATCGATGGGCTGATGAACAATTTGAGGAGTGAACGCGAATTGGCTTGGCTTTATCATCAAACTTCGAGGTAAGTGTCTAGAATAATATTATTTTTTTCGAGGTTTAGGAGAAGTCGATGTTAATATATTAGAAGCGGTTCATGGTCTAAGGATATGATGTTTTCTTAGACTATAAGATCCGAATTTTGCGTTTTGAGATAGCTATATCTAGTGTAATTTAAAAAGTTCCTAGTTGCAAACTGAAATCTGTGATTTAGAGTGTAAAATACCTGAAATATAATTTTTTAGCTTTTTTTTGAACAGCAACAGATTACTTTCTTGTTATGAGCACTTTTTGTCTAGTGCAATATAAATTTTTTTGCAAGCTCTAATTTTGACTTCAAATTTTCCATTTCAGGTGTCTCCGAGAAGAAGTGTCTCTAGTGCTCAATGATTTGAACGGAAATCCTCGTTACACCTTCACCATTCTCGACGATCCAAATCTCACAACCCTGCTCACTTATGGTGTATTTGTCGCTCCAGTTGGCCATGAGACAGATTGGCTCTTCTCCACTCCAAAAGGCCGCGCTACTCTCCGAAAACAGTGCAATCGACATCGACTTTTGCTCGTCCGATTAATGCCCAACCAAGTCTATCTGTCCATAAATCACATTGAAATTGAAATCACGGACCTCTCGACGAAGTTGGCACCTCCATATTTTGGCCAAAAATCCATCGAATTTTTGTCCCTTGGCCGGATGGAATCCATGGAAGTTGTTGCCTCGGGCGAATCGCCGGTCAACGGGAAATGGACCGTGGAACACGTAAAAGGAGGAGAAGACAAGGTTTACAGACGTCTGATCTTCCTCAATTCCAGCAGTTTGATCCAATCGGAAGTGGAAATGATTCGTAAGTTGAGTTGGCGGAATAAATTTTTGCAAAAATTTTATGTTAATTTATATTGCACTTGGTATTTTTTATAAAATATTTGAAAATTTTCAGCCGGTAAGAACAAACTCCGCATGAACGACGACTACTTGTCCTGCGACCATCACCGCTCCATGATCACTTCCCTCCAATTCCTCGCCGGAGATCTCGAATCGGCTATCGCCAAGTCCGAGAATTACAGATTCTGCGTCCTCGGCCTTGGAGGAGGATTGTTGGCCAAGTTTTTGCACAAAAAACTCCCGAAATGCCATGTGGTGGGCGTGGAGTACGATAAAGCTGTGGTGAAAATCGCCAAAGGACAGTTTGGATTGCCGACGGACGAACGAATGGAGGTCAGAGTGTGCGATGCCTACGAATATATGCAAGAAGTCAGCGAAAAGCCAGGTAAAATACGGGGTTGAGATGTGGTGGCAGAGATGTGGTTTGGAAGAGCTATTTTTGAGGTCTGAAAGTAATTTTGGATTTTATTTTAGAGTGAAATGTTATGTTTAGAAATTTTTTTTTTGTGAATTCGTATGATTTTTGAGCTTTTCTAGGGATAAAAATAGGGGTTTTTACTCGAAAACTTTAATTAAAAATGGTACTTTTTGCCAAAAAAATCTTTTCAATATTTGTTTTCAACAAAAAATGGCCTATTTGACCCTCGAATTTTAGACGAAGAGAAGTTCGATGTGGTCTTTATGGACTTGGCCACCAGCGAAAGCGACGTCGATGGCCTCGCTTGCCCCCCGTCCAAGTTCGCGACCCCCGAGGCCATAGAGTTGGCCAAGAAATGCCTGAAGCCGACCGGCGTTTTCTCGATGAATTTGGTGACCAGAGACGACGAAATTGTGAACCGAGTCAAGAACGACACCCTCAAAGTCTTCCCGCACGCCCATGTGATCAACGAAGAGGAGGACGTGAACGAAGTCCTCGTTTGCCCCCTAAAATACGACAAATCCGCCCTCAAAAAGAGCCCCAAGGACCAATCAGAGCGCTGGCAAGTCTCATACTCCCAAATGCTCCAAAAACTCCAACCGGTCGATCAAAAGAATAAGAAATAAAACATCAGAAATGTACTTTAGACGCCATCAAATACTTATTTAGGGATTCCAAGGATGTTTTTAGAAATTTGAGGAGTTTAAAAGGTTAGAGTAGGTTTATCACAGTGTTCTTGGGGTCTCTAGAGATTGTTTTGGTGGTGTCACAAGAATTTGTTGATTATTTCTCAAATTTTTGCTTGAAATTGAAGGAAAATTGAATTTTTTGTGATGTTTAGGGAATTTTTTGGCAAAAAAATTAATTTTAATGACTTATTTTAGTGTAAAATAGAGTCTCGAGAACATTTGAGTACGTATTTTACAAAAAAAAAAAAATGAAAAATTTGGCCGAAAATTGGCTACTTTGATAAATTTAGGTAGTGTTTGATATGAAAATCCAGAAAATTTTTCGATTTCAAACGAAAATTCGAATTAGGAACTCCGTAATAACAGTATTTTTCATATTTTTTTGCTCTAAAAAGCAGAAAATTATGAGAAATGCAGGTAATTACACTCATTGTTATTTTTCTTTCTGTTTTAGTTTTATTGTTTTTTTTCAAAGTTTATTTCGTTAATAAACTTACAAAATATTATTGATTGTTGTTCGAAATTACGATTTTGTGAAATTTTTTCGTTAAATTTTTTCTAAATTACGGTATATCACGGTAGTTTTGTTCTGTGAAGGGAACAAATCTATCTTTAAAACGTTATTTACTACCATTCAATTATATGAGTTATATGGCCATTAAAACCAGTAAAATTACTGGTGTTTAGCGGAAAACGCTATTTTCTTTTGTTGGTTTTGAGTTTTAGGCTTTAACTTTCGAGAAATATGGTTTGGGATATGTAAAATTTACTAGAAGTTTTACGTATTTTTCGAAATTTAAAGTGAGAATTTTCATTAAAAATTAGGCTGTTTTCGTATATCCCGACCTTGGGTTTTTTCTCAACCAATCTTTTATGCAAAAATCGTACAGTAAACTGACGATTAACCCGCTGTAAACACCCACATCACATGCAATTTCCTGCTAAAAACAACAATCTCGGTTCCGTTTTCTACGAACTACCTTTCGTGTTCATTTGAGATGTGTGATATACGCGGTCAAGCAATATACAGATGTAAAGTAATCTTTGAAAGTTACGTTGTTTCAGTTGTGATACAGAAATGTACCCAATTTTTTGAGGTTTGGCACAAATTTAGACTACGATTTTGTAAGAAATGTGTGACATTTTTAGCTCGTGTTTTTTGAAAACTATTGAGATTTTTACGGCCGGAGGTTGCCAAAAAATCGAAGCTTTTTTGTAGATTTACGAGATGGCGATTTGTTATTCTGTTTCGAGTGTATTAATGAACACTTTTTTGAGGAAATGTTCTTTAATAAACTTGAAACCGAATGCCAAATTCTCATCTTGCAAATCTACAAAAAACTTCGAAGTTTTGGCGATCTCCGGACGTAAAAGTCTCGATGGTTTTCAAAAAGCACGAGCTAAAAATGTCACACATTTTTTAGAAAATCCTTGTCTAAATTTGTTCCAAATTTCATCAAAATATTACCGCCGTATTTTGAGCTTTTTCAATTTCTTTTTTTTATGGCGTAGGGTTGTCATTTTTGATCTGTTGGACTTTCATTTTTTGGGCAATTCGTCTTTTTATATTACGTTCTTTTATGACAGCATGCATATTACAGGATTCTGTTTTTTCCTTCTCTTATGAATGTGCCATGCTTCGCTTGTAAAACAAATTAGCGATCAGTAAAATTTTTGGTTAAAATTGACGTCAGAAAAGCGTATAATTGTAGTCTTTTAGTTTTCTTCAGAGCCAAGTTCTCCAGGTCAAAAGGCCAGACCAATTTTTCTAGGATAATTAGTTGAAAAGCCGCGCTGAATGGGCTCTGGAGATTCCGAAAAAAAGTGGTTAGGTTATGCGCTATTAACTTTCGCCGTCAATTGGTGTCCGAAAAAACAAAAGAGAACGAAAGTTGTCAGCTATGTAAAAAGGTCGCTTCGAGGGACAGAATTCAGTGGGCAAAAGTGCTTCTGACTGCATCCGCGAGGCATTCCAAATATTACGAAATACTTCCCTCTCTTACCGAAAATAGCGTTCTCCTGAAGAGAGAGCGAGAAAGTTTTCCCTTTGGAAAGAGGTACCTTTTTCACTCTTGAAAATCGCGCTATTTTCGGTCAAAGAGGGAAGCATTTCGTGGTATTTGGAATGCCACACGGATGCAGTCAGAAGCGCTTTTGAGCACTGGGCTCTGTCCGGCACTCTAGTTTACAGTGGGGGACCTGATCCAGTCGCAAAAACTTTACCATTTTGCATCCGGGAAATATCAAAAATGTAGCAAAATACCTGCCCCTCCAAGTGAAAAAACTCCGATTTCGTACCCGCTCTTTTTGTGAGGGAAAGAGTTTTTTAGTTGGAGAGGGAGGTATTTTGCTGCATTGTTTGATACTTACAGGATGCGAAATGGTACGTTTTTTTGCCACTGGATCAGGTCTCGCACTGTATGTTGCGCCTTGCTTTTCCCAATTTTCGTCCGAGAACAAAATAGACGGCATTTTTGGCCCAGTAAACTACAAGTTTCCGAGCATGGGGATTAAGAATCTCTCTTCGTTTTTGGCAGACAATTACTAAGTACGTGGGTATCCATGCGCGAGTGGTGAATTAATTCATTCCGAGAAAAACTTGGTATGAATTTCTTATTTCCTTTAGCATCATCCATTGTTTATTGAATCTTCTTTTCATACTCGAGACAGATACTTTTTGGGTTACGGTCAATCTGAGAAATACCTTTATAACCGTCATTTTTTGCAAACATGTTCTTTGAATGTTCCAATTAAACTTGTGCTGTGAATGTATTGCTTATACGTTCTCTACGGCTCGGTATAACCTTTAATTACCGTTTCAACACAAATTACCACGTTTTTGGGCTGATAATTATATCTTCTTGTTGCTTTGCAGCGCAAAGATACGTACGTCGAGAAATCTTAATGATAGGAGAGAGTGAACAAAATTGTAGATATTATGTTTTGAACATGCCGATTCTCTTACCTAGAATTTGGGGTTTGGTTTTCATCAAAAAACTGTTTTCTCGGAAAAGTCTCAAATTTTGTGAACTTTTGCACCCAAAGACTGACGACTGATTGACCTTAAAATCTCTGAAATGGCTTGTCAAAGCCTTGTACTGGTTTAGCCAGTTTAGAAATTTTTGGGCCGACCCAATAGTTTGGCCACCAATTTAGCTCTTTGGCAAGCCACCAGGGAGATTTGACTATTATTCCAATTCTCAAATTAGGCGAATGATGACAGTTATAGGCTTGTAAGTTACAATCATCAGCTTTTAGACGGAAAAGTGTCGAAGATTTGAGATTTTTCCAGATTTTTTTTCAATGAAAATTCAACCCCAAATTTTATGTATGAGAATTGGTCTATCGCACGTTAAAAATGTAATAATAATTACAATACAATTATTTTCTGTGTCTTAGGATTACAAAGATGTCCCGACAATTTTCGTATGTTTGAAAAAACAAAATCTATAATTAACAGCCCCAAAAAAAGAATGGTAATTTGTGACGAAACGGAAATTAGAGGTAGCGCAGAGGACGTATCAAGTCGCATTTGTCGCATCTCAAATTTTGTAATAAGCTCAAATTCTTTGCTCATGAAATTCAGCCCAGTTGATGTTTATGGCGTAATTCCAGGGATTTAATCTGTTCCATTACCAATAAATTTACGTAAGCGCTCAAAAAGTTATTTTTAATTGCCCGTTAGCGCAATTGGAATGGGTTAGTTAAAACGGGGGGAGGGGGGGGGGGGGGTTTCCCAAAGCTAGCCAAATTATTCCTCAAGACATCCAATGGGGACTCCGGCGATGCGAATAGAGAGAATGTCCACAGCATCTGTAATACATCTTTACGAACGGGCTCAACATTTGCCATTTTAACACTAACATGCTCACTGAAACAAGATAGGATCAGAGCATCAACTTGTGCCCATTAGGGTAAAATGGGCACAAAGTTGATGCTTTAAAACCAGAAAAAGAAAAAAAAGCTCAACTCACTTTCCTCTACGAATTGTCGTAGCAGAGCGCGTTCCTCCGCGCAGGGATACCCGGAGAGATCGTGTATCATCTGTCCGGTGGGGTGAGGTTGCAGGACGATTTGCTCGGTTGTGAGGGGGGGGGGGGGGCGAACCACGATAAAGGCATCGTTGGTAGCGTTACGGGAATTCTGTTTCCATGGCACAGCGGAGCTGAAATCAAAAATGTGATGTACAGTGGGGGGACCTGATCCAGTGGCAAAAAACTTACCATTTTGCATCCGTGAAGTATAAAAAATATGGCAAAATGCTTCCCTCTCCAAGTGAAAAAACTCCGATTTCATAAGCGCGCTCGCTCTTTTTGTGAGGGAAAGTGCGCGCCCTTGAAAACCGAGTTTTTTAGTTGGAGTGGGAAGCATTTTGCGACATTTTTTGATACTTCCCGGATTCAAAATGGTACGTTTCTTGTCACTGGATCAGGTCCGCCACAGTATTTTCGGCTAATTTTGGAAGTTTTAAAAGCTAGAGAAGTTTTTCAAATTTTAAAAACCCCGGTCCTGCCACGAATTATCTTTTGATTGCCTAAACTCCTCATAATTTAATGTCTCGACCTATAAGTCCAAGCCCCATAGAAGTACTTTCCTTGTCGGTAACCAGAAAACAAATTATTTCATCAAATCGCGACAATAAATTGGACAAAATTACTGGTTTTCTCCAGTACATGGCGTAATTTATGGCGTGATTTTGGCCGTTATAGCGTGCCATTTTCTGTTCTCGAAATGTTGTTGGTGTTGGAAGCGGGGAAAACGATTTTTGGTCATTAATTTGGATAGATCCTCCCATGTTTTGGTTGCAAAAATATCATAAAACATTGGCTTTGACACTGTGCGGTCAAAAAATTTTTTCATCATAAATGCAGTCACATTACAGTTCCTCACTGTGCAATGTCAAATGAGAACGCATAAGGCTCCAAAGTTTGGGTTGTATTTATGGTTTATCATTATTACTTCATGTCTTTTTGAGTGTGGTTCTAGATCACCTGTTTTTCTTTTCCGTTTTTGCCATTTTGAAATGCCGGAGGGTAGAAGGAGGAGTAAACATGCGTCTGTCGTATTACTGTGCATCCAAAATTATGGGGTTACAACTTTTTTTTGCTCTTTGGGATTTTTTTGGGACAGCACAGTGCCGAAAATAAAATTTTACAAAGGAGTGCAGTGGAGTAAGATTTTTTTGATATTTTCTTTTACAGTGGTACAAATAAGTGCCGTTCATACTTATTGAAGAAAATCTTGCTTCTTTTGTCAGCTGCATAGTCCAATTTTTGAACAGTTTTTGGACTGCACTGTGCGCGAAAAAATATTATAAAATTTGGTAAATGGCTGAAGTCGAAAAAGATTTTTTTGACATTTTCTTTTACAGTGGTACAAATAAGTGCGGTTCATACTTATTGAAGAAAGTCTTGCTTCTTTTGTCAGCTGCATAATGCAATTTTGCCCATTTTTTGGACTGCACTGTGCGAAAAATCGTAATTAAAAAATCTGCGCGGTACAAATTTTTTGTTGAAATTACTAAGTTTAATATGCCTTACTGGGGCGTAATTTAGCCTGCGTAAAAAATTTTCTCTTATTTCCCATCGCACTTTGAAATTTTTTCTTTATTCCTTCGACTGCACTGTGCGAAAATTCAAAGTCGAAAAACTTGCACCGTGCAACATTTTTTCAAATATTTTCTTGCATGATATGACTGGGTATACTCACCTCTACTATAATTTCGACAGTTTACTTTCCATTCTTTACCGCAGAATACATTTTTTGCATTCAAACCTCGTTGCACAGTGCTATTTCCATGTAATCTTGAACCTTTGTAAACATCACGGGATGTGAGCCGGAAAAAATCAAGAATAGGTGTGCATATTTGGTTTGTCACGCAACTCCCAATCTAATTCTTATAATTTCAAAGAATTAGCATGGTATGTTTGTGCACTTAAATACAAGAATGTGCACATTCTTGTATTTGGGAAAAACATGATCCATAAGGCAATTACGGGAAAAAAAGCCGAGACGGAGCAGACTTTCCGTCATAGATTATGCTGTCATTGGCATTTGTACATATTATTTTCGGAAAGTGCATGGACATTCTTTCTCTTTCGCACAGTGCGTTTTGAACTTTTTTCCACGCTTGTCGTCTTGTCATTAGTTTTTCTTTAGTAAATTCAATAGATTTTTCGCTTTTTGCATAGTGCAAAACACAAGAAAGCCGTCTGCACTGTATAATTCCTCGGCAAAGCCGCGGCGGCGCAGGTGAAAAAACTTACAGTGGCGGACCTGATCCAGTGGCAACAAACGTATCATTTTTTATCCGGGAAGTATCAAAAATGTAGCAAACTACCTCCCTCTCCATATGAAGAAACTCCGATTTCAAAAGCGCACCAACTCTTTTTTTTGTGAGGGACAGGGCGCGCACGGCAACCCAAAATAGAACAAAAATGTCTCCCGCCCACTTTGGAATTTCGTCCAAACGAAGTGTCAAAATTCACAAAAGAAATAAAATAATTCCGAGAAAAATATTTTTTGGTCGGAAAACCACACGAAAATTCATTTTTGACATTTCGTTTGAATTCAACCGATACTAGGTGGGCGAAGCGCCGAAACGAGGCGGGAGACTCCCTGGGTTGCCGTGGCGCGCCACGGCAACCCGAAATAGAAGAAAAATGTTTCCCGCCCAGTTTTGAGTTTCGTCCAAACGAATTGCCAAAATTGGCAAAAGAAATAAAAAAATTCCGAGGAAAATATTTTTCGGTCGGAAAATCCCACGAAATATTCTCTTGTGACATTTTGTTTGATTTCAACCGATAAAAAATGGGCGAAGTGTCGAAAGGAGCCAGGAAACACTTCGGGTTGCCGTACCCTTTGGGCGCGCCTTTGAAATCGGAGTTTTTTTACTTTGAGAGGGAAGCATTTTGCCACATTTTTGATACTTCCCGGATGAAAATGGTACGTTTTTTGTACGGAGTTTTTTAGTTGGAGTGGAAGGCATTTTGCTACATTTTTTTGACACTTCCGGATGCAAAATGGTGCGTTTTCTGCCACTGGTTCAGGTCCGCCGTTGTATGTCACAGCGATTTTTTAAGGTTTTACTGCATCCTTTTGCCATTTACTTGGTGTAAAATGTTACAACATGCTCCGTTTTGTACTTTCGGCTGGACGAAGTACTTACTGCCCTAATGTCAACAAATATACAAAATCTCTAGCTTTTGTAAAAAAATTCTCGCCTCTAAAACGGCACTTTTTAAAGTTCAACTTAAACTAGCGTATAGTTACATTGGCGGACCTGATCCAGTGGCAAAAAAACGTATCATTTCGCATCCTGTATGTATCAAAAAATGTGGCAAAATAAATGCCTCCCGCTCCAACTAAAAAACTCGGTTTTGAAGGGCACGCTTTTGAAATCGGAGTGTTTTCACTTGGAAAGGGAGGTATTTTGCCACATTTTTGATACTTCCCGGATGCAAAATGGTACTTTTTTTTGCCACTGGATCAGGTCCGCCATTGTTGTTAATCCTAATTGCCTTGAAAATAAAGTTTTCAACCCACTGCTTTTCGATGATAAACTTCAACCTCCAAATTGTCCTACGTTTTGCAGCTAGCTACAATTTTTCATTGTATCTTTTTTTTGCAAGAATTCATTCGCCTTTTGTCTGCAATTTTGGCTGTTTTGCCATTAAGACATTTATGACATCTTGAATGGAAATTACCACTTATATGACGCCAAAAATTGTAATTACGGAAGTAAAAAAATTTTCCGTGTGTCTAAAATTGGTTGTTTTCGCCGCTTTATGGCTATTCAACACAATTACATAAAATGCAATTAATTTGGGCCCGTTCTTAGACAATTATTTGGGTGTCCCATAAGCCTGTCACATTCTTGAGTCGTATTATTTTCGCGCATTCCTGTACGCTTTGAGACGCATTACAGCGTATGCTGGATACGGCGTTTTGAAGCTCACATATCGCGCTTCTAAACCGTGTATGATGAGGCTACATAAGTTATATCTTCTATCCACCCTGCCCCAATATTGTACTAGACATTAAAAAATTTTGCCTGCTAGTGTTAAAATGGATATATGTGTTGGGAAATTAGATGTGTAAGCCCACAAAACGTAAAATTAGAGCGGAAGAGAGCTTTGGATCTTATTCTAGTTTGCGTGGCGACACAGGCGTAGGTACCTTTGTGGTGGTATACGCTTTTTAAAGTTTAGGGAGGAATTACCCTCAAAAAATGTTATATGCAAAAGTATGTACATCATTATATCCACCATGGCGCCTGGTACAAAAAGTCTCCAGGACAGGGTCATAAGACCGAACTCAGTGGAAAACATGGCCTATTTAGAAATAGGGTACTCCGTAAATGTATTAAAAAGTGCATTTTAAGAAGGTGGAATCACACGTACCAAAGAACAGAACTGTTTTTCCGGAAGTGGATTATATTGATTACATTAAAGAACTTTTATTACATTCCGGGAAACATGTTTTTAGTTTAAATTTGAATGCTGTTGTGCTGTTGATCAGTCTATCAGGAAAACAGTGGTGGGTTGCCGCAGCAAAATGTTTAGCCCCGTCGAAAAAAGATGCAATCGCGCAATAAATTTCCAGTTATGGCTAGCCGTCGCAAAGCTATGATTGGCGATTCCAAGGCGACGTGCCGTCGTTATTTTCCCGACAGACTGATATACAGTGAGGGACCGGATCCAATGGCAAAAAACGTCTCATTTTGCATCCCGGAAGGGACCAAAATGTCTCCAAGCCCTTCCCTTCTCTAAGCTAAAAACCCCCGCTTTGAAGAGCCCGCCTTGAAGGAAAGGGCGCGCTTTTCAAAGCGGAGTTTTTTAGCTTAGAGAAGGGAATGGTTTGGAGTCATTTTGGTCCCTTCTGGGATGCAAAAGGAGACGTTTTTTGCCATTGGATCAGGTCCCTGACTGTAAGTGTAAGAGATGACGGTTTCGACAATACCCAGTATTAAGGAGTCCATTAGGCTCTTGAAATGAGACTTCAATTCTCAGACCCGAAAATGGGCAAGACTTATGGGACACCCTAAGAAATTACTTTTAATAACTTGTTTTTATGTGGGCAATACTATTTTTTTGGTTCAAATATGTTCTTAGATTTTTTTGGCATCGATCGCACTGTGTTTTTTACACTGTGCAGTCTTTGAAATTTTTTTGCACTGTGCAGAAAAAATTTTTCGTGCACTGTGCGGTCTGAAAAACAAAAGAATTTTGAAGGGTCTCCGCACTGTGCATAAAATTTTTGCACTGTGCAATTCACATTTTTGTTTTTCTCGTTCGAGTGACAATGAAAAAATGTTTTTGCACAGTGCAAGTGAAAGTTTGTTTCAAAACAGCTGATTGCACTGTGCGATGGGAAAAAAGTCGCGACTTCCAAAAGCGACGCACTGTGGAATGAAATTTTTTGGAAAAGCGATCGCACCGTGCGTTTACAAATTGTTTGCACAGGGGGGAAAAAGAATAAAAATGAATTGCACTGTGCGTTTAAAAGTTTAATTTTTTTGCACAGTGCACGCTAGAAAAATGTCGTGCAGGAGAATCTTAATTTATGTGCCCTTCCCACAGACCTTTTGATGTTTGAATACTTCCTCCTATCTTAATCCACTCTCATATACGTCATGATTATCCTAATAAGTAATAATATGCACTTGTTCTCTGAATTAATGTCCTCATTCTTCTAGCCCATTATCAGATGAAAAATGGCAATGGACGTGAACGGAAGCACCGAAACACACATTTTGGAGACAATTTATGATATTGTGGAGCTCGTAGACGTGTTTCTGACCTTTTTTGGCCTTCTGATGGCCCTATATTACACCAGATGTGTGCTCAGGTCGAGCTTGATCCATGTCAATTTGAAATTTATTTTGGTGAGTTTTGAGATTTTTTAAGATTTTTCGCATTTTTTTACTTTTTTGCTATTTTTTTACTTTTTTTAATTCAAAAAAACCACTTTACGAAGCTCCGAACAAAGTCCCAGCAATTCGGAGAGACTTCCGAGCACGGCCATGATAGCTCAGTTGGGAGAGCGTTAGACTGAAGATCTAAAGGTCGCCGGTTCGATCCCGGCTCGTGGCATTTTTTATTTTTGTTTTCTTTGGGGTATCATGGAGTGGTAAATAATTTAGCAGTCTAGCCAGGTTTGATTTTAAGTCCCAATTATGATTATCGATACCGTATTTTACAAAATTTCATCTGAATTTGAAGAAAAAAGTGTTTATACGAAATTTTTGATTATGGGAAAAAATATGCCTTATATGACAGTTAAAAAGTTTTAACGTATTTTACACACGGTCTAAAGACCACATAGGCTTCATTTTATATTGTACTAGATATAAAGTTTTCAAAATTCAAAAAAAATTTTTTTTTTGTTTTAGTTGGTGAAAAAAATTATGCATGTAATGAGACGGAAAGACAATACAGCGTATTTTACAATGGATGTAAAATTATTTTTAAGCCATTTTATCTTATTTTATCCATTTCATTTCAAAAAAAATCGGAAAAAGAGAAATATTTTGGTTTCTTCGTATTTTACCGTATAAACTTGACTTAAACTTTTTATATTTGACATCTTCGTACTCTTTACGATCTATTTTTTCAGTTAGCCGCCTCTTTTTACTTCAATATGAGTGCATTTTCGCGGGTTTTCCTTCGAAATTCCGATCCCGATTCCTCAAATTATGACGTCATTTTGCTCCTGTGTAATATTGGAAATATCGGTGCGACCGGTGGTCTCAATTTGGTTATCATTTCAATTGTCATCGAGCGTTTTTTGTCCACAATCTACGCCGCAACATACGACGAGCGGGGTTGGAGGTTCGGAGCGATTTTTGTGTTGGTCCACATCTCCTATTTCATCTCGTATGTGGTCGTCACACTGCTCTACGAAGAGACGATGGCGGCGGACTACATGGCCGTCCCCAACGAGCCTTGTATTTTGTACAAACGGCCGATAATTTTGAGTGTGGTTTGGATAATATACCCCACGATAACCATGCCATTCCTCCCATTATTGTACTCTATTTTTATGCTGAATAAGCGTAAGAACCAGAGATTGATCGATTATGACCTGGGCATTCGCTTTCAATACCAGCAGAATATCAATACCCTTAGGCAAGCGATCCGAATCTCGGTGGTGGTGGCGTTCATTAGCATGGTCGGAATCGTATGCGTCCTCATAATTTTGTACAAAATGGTGGTGCTAAAGGAAACGGAGATTACATGGACTTATAAACTGCTACTCAATGTGAGTCGAATTTTGGGATTTTCTGAAATTTTTTCGATTTTTTGAAATTTTATGATGGAATAGGGCATAAAAAATGATAAAATCAGATTAACAGGGTATATTAGATTGCTACAAGCCATTTTTCAGTATTTTTGACGATTCTCAGGTTTTCGTGGCGGGACCCAAATTCAATAAAAAACGCTGTTTTTGGAAATAAGACGAAAGATTTAACTCATTTTTTGCAAGAGCTGTTCAACAGATCATTCTCGAGCATTTTTGAGACATTTCCCAGTAGTTTTGGTGACTTTCAGGTTTTCGTGGTGGGACCCAAAAAATCGAAATTGTGGTCTTTTTTGTCGCCTAATTTAACTACTTTTTTTAACTACACTATATTCGGAGAAAGATGCAATGACATGCTTCAGAAATTGTGTTTCTTTGATAAAATCCGTGTTTTTTTTTGATTTTTGGGTCCCACCACGAAAACCTGAAAATTTTTCAAAATTACCCGGAATTCACTCAGAATGACAGAACACGATCTGCCAATGGCATTTTGACCCAATTTGCTTCTCTTGCAGTCTCTGCCTTCCAAAAATACAAAGAAATCTATAGCTTCTAAACTTTTGGGTCTTACAACGAAAATTTGAATGTCCCAAGTCGTTGTTAAATAACTCAAAATTATAGAGGCTTCGCTTGAGGCTACGTATTTTAATTTTAGCTTCCCGGAATTGCCTTGGATCTCGACAATTTCGCATTTTCAATTCTATGGCTTCTCTGGTACAATCCGCTTTATTGCACCGTGAAAAGTGATATCGCGTTGTTGATTGCGGCCAGTGATGACGAACCCGAGGAACGGAGCAGTATGAAACGAGAGCGGATACGACAAGAAACCGATGTTTACTTCAGTCAGCTCGCCAAAAGTTGGGACGCCCAATATGGCCCGGCTCCCATAAAATAAAGTGCAATATATGATATGCATTATGGTATCAGATGCTCAGGTTGTAAAATTTTTTTATTTGAAACGATTTTTAAGATAATAAATTTAATGCCGGACCCAAATTTGGGCGATTTTCAGATTTTCAAGTTTTCGTGGTGGGACCCAAAGGTACAGGTTTTATGAAAATTTTAAAGACTAGTACACCGGAAATTCACACAATATCTCGTTATAAGATAATTTAGGCAAAAAGCATGTTAGCTACCGAGTAAACTGCCATAAAAGAACCTGCACTGTGCGGTTTTAAAAAATATCTCAAATTTTGCAAAAATCAAAAATTTTTTTTTGTTTTTTGGAACAACTGTAGTCATATGGGTCTCTAGAATCACTTATGAATACATTTTTTTAACGAGACTTCAAACCCCTAGAAATCCCGACACGTTTCAATTGCACTGTGCGATTTTCAAAAACACTAAGATTTTGGAATTTTCAATGCGACTAGTCGGTTTTATGGTATGGGCGGACTCTGTAGGCCCTACTCGTTCTATTGTAGTGCGAATTTATCCAACACAAGTTTCCAAACCCACTAAAAATCCCAAAATTTATATTGCACCGTGCGATTTTCAAAACCCCCAAAATTTCACACTTTTTAATAAAAAGTACAGGTTTTATGGTATGAACGGACTCTGTAGTCTATATTCTTTCTATTGTCTTGCATATTTATCCATCACGAATTCTCAGACCCTCTAAAAATCGCAAAATTTGAATTGCACTGTGCGATTTTCAAAAACACCAAAATTTCAGTATTTTCACTAAAAATTTTTGGTGTTACTGTATAAACTGACTCAGTAGGCCCTATTCTTTCTATTGTCATGCATTTTTGTCCAATACAAATTCCCAACCCCTCCAAAAATCGCAAAATTTCAATTGCACTGTGCGTTTCCCCGTAATCTCCGCAAACTTTACAGTTTCCATGGGTTTCGAAACCGACTCGAGTCGGGATCTCGGTCCACTTTCCCAAATTTTTTAGTCTTCTTTTCCCAAAGCGCTTTTTTTTTGAAAAAAGTCTCTCCCCCCTTTTCCACCTGTGGGATAAGAAAGGAGCGAGAAAAAGCCGAATAATTCTTTTAATCAAAATAACGCTTTATGCGAATGAATAGTATAGGTGGCTTCGCAGCCAATTCCACGTTGCCTAAGGCAGTGGAAATTTATTCTTGGGATTTTTAAATAAAAAATTTTGGAAATTTTTTGTTTTTCAGACAAAAGCGGGTCAAAAATTTATTAAAAACCCGTTGAAAATTAGTGCTAAAAGCATAATCATCGATAAAAAATATTTTTCAAAGTTTATTTTTTCGTATTTTAGCGAAAAAATTCGATTTCTTGCAAAAAACGTAGAGAAATGTCAAAATTTACCGATTTTTGATTAATTTTTGACCAAAAAATACTCTCAAATAGAGTAATTTCCCTTTTTTCACCAATCCTCAAATTTTAATCCAAATCCGATACAAATTTTTTCAATTTCCTTTTGCAGGCTGCGGATTTCCCGCTTTTCCTCGGGCGCAGCTTGCCAAATAAAAAATTTGCAAATTCTTCGAAAATTTTGTCGAAAAATGTAAATCGACGTGTAATAGGTTGGCAAACACTCGTAATTTTGTTTTTCTTCATCTGTTTACGCAGGATTTTCTTGTTCTATTCAAAAATACTGTTTTTTCGTCAAAAAATGCACAGAAATCCTTATTTCTCCATGATCTTGACTTTTATTTAGGTTGTTTTGGTATTCAATATCCGAAAATTTGTTTATGACACCATTTATGTTCTATTTACTCTCTTGTTTTTCAAAGACTCCTCGATTTCAGGGCTTTCGAACCAACACACGGGTATTTCCATGGTGAAGAAGGAGAAAAAACCGAATGTAAGTGGCTACTTTTGCTTGTTGTTTGTTTTTCAACTGATGTAGGTCATGTTCGAGCTAAATCTGATCGGATTTGGGGGATTTATTGGGTGGAAAAAAGGCTTTTGAAAATTTGAAGGACCTGATAGCTAAAATAAGGTCTGGATGTCAAATTTTCTACGTTTTTGATAAAGATATGTAGTTTAAAAGCTAGAGTAGATCCTGAGCTTTATTTTGATATCACCTTTTGCCATGGAGATTAGGATTTTGCCCTTCTTTCACCATATTTTAGGTAACGTTGCATCAAGGCTGCCTAGAATAGGATAATTTGATAAAATTTTTGGTAATTTTAGAAAATGATTGTCTAATAATGATAGAATATGCTTTAATCTTACTTCTGCGTCCAACTTACATTAAAATTTGAGTCAGTTTCGTACCTTTTTACCTTGTTTTAGGTATAAGAATGGGACTGTTACCTAAAACAAGGTTTATTGGTCGATTTTTTTGAAATTTGTTGAAAATCTAGATTGTACATTATAGATGAAGATGCGTATTTTAATTTTCATATTCAATTTTGCAGAAAGATTCATGATTTGTTTCGAATTTTACCTTATTTTAGGTTTAGATAGCTGTTTTGATAGAAAACTTTAAATTTCTTGCTAAAAACTGCAAAATCCTGTAAGGTTATAGATATCTAGTCCTAGTATATAAATAATTCAAGGTCTTATGCCGTATTTTACCTCATTTCCAATCAATTTCAGGCCTCAAAATCCGCAAATTCGGCGTCACTGTCTTACCCCGCAATATTCCTCATTGTCGTCGGTTCCATCGCCTTAGGATTTTATGCCAAAGACCTCAAGGAACTCCTAGTCAAATCCTTCTCGAATTCCGAGCTATATTCCCCGTCAAATCAGCCATTATCAGATGCCAAGGAGAATATAATTTATCGCGGACCTCAACGAATTCTGACCTCGAAACCCGAGGAATTGAACGAAATTGAACAAAGATTAAAATTAGAGATCGATGAATTCAATTTTGATCCTGTGGGCCCGGGCGCGTTCAATAAACCCACAATTTTGCCGGAAAATTTGAAGAAAAAGTCGGAGGAGCGATATTCCGAGAACAATTTTGATGTGGTCGTCTCGGATTTGGTCTCAATTAATCGAGCATTAACTGACGTCCGAAATCATGCGTGAGTTTTTAAGAATTTTGCTGATTTTTTGAAGGAAAAATGAGATTTGTTGAAGATTTTGGCCGATTTTTGCCTAAAATAATGTTTTTAGATGCCAGAAACGCTTCACCGACCAACTTTCAATTGCCAATCTGCCAAACACATCTTTGATTATCGTTTTCCACAACGAGGCATTCAGCACTTTGATCAGAACTTTGCATTCGATCATCCAAAGGACTCCTCTTCAGCTGATCCATGAGATCATTTTGGTGGATGATCAGAGTGATCGAGGTGAGAAGTTGAAGAAATGGGCTTATTTTTTTATTTGAGAGCCGGATCGACAGAAAAAATCAGGGTTTTTGACATTAAAACGTTGTTTTAGGCAAAAGGTAGCTGGTAATGTCTAAAATAAGGTCTAAAGACAAAAATTGTATAAGCTTTTTCTGGGTTTTTGTGCTTATATTGTAGTATAGGGTCTGTTCTACTACGTAAAGTTTAGTTTACCTTTTACTTTCAAAAAATTTGACAATAAAATCTTGTTTTAGACAAAAGATGGCTGTTAACGCCTAAAATAAGGTCAAAGGACGAAAATAGCCCATGATTTCTTTGAATTCTTGTGTTTACTTTGTAGTATAGGGTCTGTTCTATAACGGAAAGATTCAACTTATCCTTAACTTTCAAAAAAATTGACATCAAACCCTTGTTTTACACAAAAATCATCAATTTTTACCTAAAATAAGGTTTAAAGACGAAAATAGCCCACGATTTTTTTGAGTTTTGTGTTTATATTGTAGTATGGGGTCTGTTCTACTGCGTAAAGTTTAGTTTACCTTTTACTTTCAACAAATTTGACAATAAAACCTTGTTTTAGACAAAAGATAGCTGGTAATGCCTAAAATAAGGTCAAAACACGAAAATAGCCCTAAAATTTCTTCGATTTTTTGTGCTTCCCTTGTAGCATAGGGTCCGTTCTATGACGGAAGGTTTTAATTTGCCCTTAACTTTCAAAAAATTGGGCATTAAAACCTTGTTTAGATAAAAATCACCAATTTTTACCTAAAATAAGGTAAAATGGGTTGAAAAATTGTATTTCCTCTGTGGAATTTAGTTTGAAAATTAATAAAAATGTGGGTACTTTCTAGTGCGACATGAAATTTTCTCAGAAATTAAAATTTTTGGTTTGAAATTTTGAATTCATCACCATATTTTAGCTAAAAAATTTTTTATAAGTTATATATGCTGACTCTAAATTGATTCAAATTGAAGGTTGACCCTTTTGAGACTATGATTTTTCTTTCCAGACTGGCTAAAAGAGCCTCTCCAACGATACTTGGACGAATTTCCATTCAAAAACATAAAATTGATCCGTTTACCCGAAAGAAGTGGGTTGATCAAAGCTCGGCTGGTGGCTAGCGACGCCGCATCTGGTCAGGTAAGAAATTTGACAGTCAAGTAGAAGTTTGAGTGTTGTTTTTGAAGGGTTTTGTGAGTGAAAACACAAAAAAGAGCGATTTTTGACTCAAAAATGGAAATATTTCAGTTTTTTCGAGAAAAAATCGCTTGAGTCATACTGAGTATTTTAAAATATTGTTTTTAAAAAAATTCATCCATTTTTCACATTTTTGTGACCAAAATATCGAAAAAATCCCGATTTTCTCTCAAAAAATATTTATAAACTAAATTATTCGTTATAAAAATCGTTCGTTATATCCGAAAACTGTCTAAAACAACTTTTTGTAGCTTTATTTATTCCAAACAATCCCAATCCCCCCGCTTTTCCCCGTTTCTTCATCGAAACGAAGCGCCTGAGCTGCCGGCCCAAGTAGTATAGTGGTTAGTACTCCACGTTGTGGCCGTGGCGACACAGGTTCGATTCCTGTCTTGGGCAGCTCTTCTTTTTTGCGTATTTTTGGGCGGAAAAGAAGGAAAAGCAATGGGATTTTGAATATAAATTGTGTTTTTGGTCTTTTTTTGTTGTTTTAGAGGGACAAATCAGTACAATTTTTCGATTTTTGGAGGAAATTTGAGGTTTTTTGAGAGAAAGTTTGAATTTTTGGGGGATTTTTGTAATTTTTGTTGGGAAATGGATAAAAATGAGAGTGAATAAGAGGGAATTTGGTTGTAAAAAGTATTCTTGAGGTGTCTACCTTATTTTAGAGGGGGTAATCAATAAAATTTGAGGATTTTTACTGGAAAATTTTTGAATTTTTTTTGGATTTTTTGATTTTTTATTCGAGGGAATCAACAACGATTCGTATTTTACAATATAAAGGCATTTTCAGTAGTAGACTGTATTTTTTGTGGTATTTTAGGTCCTTCTCTTCCTGGACGCCCATATTGAAGTAACGAAAAACTGGCTTCAGCCCCTTTTAACCCGAGTCCATGAAGAACCGAATGTCCTCGTGGCCCCGTTGATCGATGTGATCGACCTGGACACTTTCGAATACCGCACAACCATCGATGGTTTGGTCGGCGGCTTCAATTGGCGTCTCACTTATAACTGGGGAAATTTGGACGAAATCGAAGCCAAAAGAAGAGCCGGAAATCATGCGGAACCATTCAAGTAGGTCCTAGAAAGAATTTAGAGGGTGGTTGAAGCGAGTTTAGAGGGAAGGGGTACTGTAATTTGAGGGAAAATTAAGATTTTTTGAAGATTTTGAAGAGTTTTGGCGAAAAATCAGGAAATTTTGGAATTTTTCGGATGAATAAAGTCGTATTTTAGGAAAAATGGGATATAAGAGTTCTGTAAATATAACGTGAAGTACAATGTAACACATCAGAATGGAATAAAAAGCGAAATTTTGCTTCAAATTGAACAAGAAATAGAAAATAGCGAAATTTCCCTCAAAAAATTTCAAATTTCTGCGAAAAACTCAGAAAATCTTGCTATGCACTCCCTAAAACAACAAAAAAAGACCAAAATTACAATTTGTATTCAAAATCCCACTGATTTTCCTTCTTTTCCGCCCAAAAATACGCAAAAAAGAAGAGCTGCCCAAGACAGGAATCGAACCTGTGTCGCCACGGCCACAACGTGGAGTACTAACCACTATACTACTTGGGCCGGCAGCTCAGGCGCTTCGTTTCGGTGAAGAAACGGGGAAAAGGAGGGGGGATTGGGATGGTTTGGAATAAATAAAGTTACAAAAAGTTGTTTTAGAGAGGTTTCGGATATAACGAACTATTTTTATAACGAATAATCATAGTTATAAATATTTTTGGATGGAAAGTCGGGATTTTTTCGATTTTTGTTATAAAAATATGAAAAATGGATGAATTTTTATGGGGGTTTGTTTTTTAGGTATCTAAATGTAGGAGGCATGGTATAAAAATACTATTTTCAGGACCCCAGTGATTGCCGGCGGATTATTCGCGGTTCGCCGCGAGTATTTCTATCAAATTGGAACGTACGATGAAGATATGAAAGTTTGGGGAGGGGAAAACGTCGAAATCTCAATGAGAGTAGGTTTATGATTTCCGATAGGCCATATATGGTCTTATTTTAGGTGTGGCGTTGTGGTGGCCAACTGGAAATCCACCCGTGTTCGAGAGTGGGCCATGTGTTCAGAAAGGTGACCCCTTACACATTCCCCGGCGGAATCGAGGAAATGATCACTCATAATGAGCTGAGAACCGCTCTGGTATGGCTGGACGAATATCTGCCGTTTTACACGAACACGCATCCATGTAGGTTGGGTCCCACCACGAAAATTTGAAATGGCTTGGCATTGGGAAATTTTATGTTATAGATACTGAGTGAGATTTGAGGAACACGTTTTTAAAATTTTTTTAGGTTAGGGACATTTTATACGATGAAAAATGACAAAAAAGTTTTTGATGACCAAGTGTAATATAATTGATACTTTTACCTGCTATAAATACTGAATGAGAGTTGAGGAACATATTTATAAAATTTTTTAGATTAGATGACATTTTATACGATGAAAAATGGCAAAAAATTTTTTGATGACCAAGTTTAATATAATTGATATTTTTACCTGCTATAAATGTTGAATAAGAGTTGAGGAACACGTTTTTTAAAATTTTTTAGGTTAGGGACGTTTTATACGATGAAAAATGGCAAAAAGTTTTTTGATGACCAAGTGTAATATAATTGATATTTTTACCTTTTCAGTCTCACAAAAAGTCAGTCCCGGATCGGTGGAGAAGCGTCTGGCTCTCCGGGAGAAACTGCAATGCAAATCTTTCCGATGGTACATCACCAACATCTACCGAACCTCCCCTTTTCCGCTGGACTTTCACTTTTTGGCCAGAATTCGCAGTGTCCAAGACGATTTCCTGGTGGATTCGCGACAACAAAAACAAGGCAAACTCTTTATTGCGGCTTTTGAAAACTTTGGAAACCATCAGCTGTGGGTTTTCGATAAACAGGGAGTACTTTATAATGATCATGCTTGTATTGCTATTGTTGGTGGAAATGTGGAAGTTATTCCGTTTGAGCATAAGCTGGAAGGATGTGCGAGGTTCGAATACGAGAAACAGGTAAGCAGGGATGTTTTGAGAGGATTTGCACTGGTTTTGGGAGATTTTGAGCACTTGACCCTGATTTTCAGGGTTTTCGTGGCGAGACCTAAATTGGAGAGAAAATGTTGGGATTTTTGGGCAAAAAGTGATTGGGTTTGGTGGAATAGAAGATAAATAATGTGATTAGTAAAAAAGTTTTTTAATCTTGTGATTTTTTAATTGAATTTTGACAATCTTTTGAAAAAATGGGTCTCGCCGGGAAAGTTTTTAATTTGATTTTTTGATGGGAGAAAAGGATGCAGTTTGCAAATTAGAGTTTTAAACCTTGTAAAATGCCCATTGCAGAGTGAAAAAAATTATTTTTAGGCCCAGCGATTCATCGAAAAGTCCTCGGGACTCTGCTTGGGAAGAAATGGCGCCCTGGCCATACTGGACCAATGCGATCGCCCACTAACTACCGAATGGAAAGTTGAAGAGCTCGCGACTCCATCAGAATAGATTTATCATCAAAAGCCCATGAAATTTGCATAATACTGGTTATTTTGTCGTAATTCACTTTTTTTCGCTGATTTTTGAAGAAAAATTAATAATTTATTAGATATAATGAGAGATTGTTATAGAATTAAAGATATGAAATTGAAAGGAATACTTTTTTATTACTTTGTGGAAGGTTTGAAGCGATTTGGAAAGGTCTGGAATGATTTATACAACTTTTTTTGATTTTGGCATTAATATACAGGGTGCGGCAATTTTTCGGCCGGATTTTAATTGGCCATAATTTTTTTAGTTTTTGGGCAAATGTTAAAATTCTTTTTTTCCCTGAATCCATAGACAACCCCATTTTGTTTAATACCAAATATGTTATACCCGTTCGTTAGACTACAGTAAAAATTCGAGACAAAGAAAAAGCTCTAATTTTCATAGCTGACAATGGAATTACCCCTAGTGCGACTCTCAGATTTTCTTTAAATTTTGCACATGGGCCGTACATAGGCCACACATCAATTCCTGAAAGTTTCAGCCCGCACCTTTCAGGGGCGACCAAGATATTCAACGATTCTTTGCGGTCAGGAGGGCACATGAGTGGTCACACAGAAAAACTTTTTGGCCATATCTTCGCTAGTTTTGTGCGGAGATAGCTGATTTTTTGTGGAAACGGTATTCTCCATGGCATGAACAGGCATGAATCTTTTTACGACAAAACTCGTAAAAAAAGACATTTTTTCTGGCGATTTTCACACACGCCGAAAAAGCAGAGAAAACGTCCGAAAGGCCAATAACTATGAACTAGGTCCCTGTATGAATAACATATTTGGTATTAAACAAAATGGGGTTGTCTGAGGAATCAGGGAAAAAAAGAATTTTAACATTCGGATAAAAACTAAAAAAGTTATAACCAATTCAAATCCGGCCGAAAAATTGCCGCACCCTGTACAAGGATAATATAAAATTCACCGGCATTCCTGAAAGTTCAACGGAAAACAGATCAACAGGATTAAAGGACATGAAATTTTGCGTGATTACTAAAAATTTCAAAAAAATTGCGTCATCATGACTTAATTTTTAGACGATTCTTTCGAAGCGGTCAGAGCTCACCGACGCAGTTTAGAATTGGAATCGTAGTCTTCGATGAGGACCTCTTTCTCTGAATTTGAGTGTTTCGTAGCTTCAGGAAGTTTGGCATAGCGTTTTATCCGCACAACTTCGTCATCAACCAGCTCCGCGGATTCGGGCGGACTGGTCGTGGTTTCGATCTCCTCTGATGGTGTTGTTGCCGGAGGGAAGAACGGCCTTTTTGGATCTGAAATTACTCTATAAGATGTGATCTCTCGTATTTTGTCGATGGGTTTTGGTATTTCAGCAAAATTTCAAATTTCCCTGATTTTCAGGGTTTTCGTGGTGGGACTCAGAAACTACGAGAAAAAGGTTTATTTCAGGCTGAAATTATTAGACATCCTGCCCAACGCCGTATTTTACAACTTTTTAGTTGTTTTTACGCTAAATTTTTGCGGTTCTGAATTTTCAAAATTGTCGTGGCGGGACCCAAAATGAATAATTTTTAGGGAGTAAACAATGTTTTTTGAAATGTTTTTTGAGTCTGAAATTTTAAAGCAGCAGTGTTTCGATGTATTTTACCCTTTGTTACTCGTTTTCAGAAAAAAATCCAGCCATTCCCCTGAATTTCAGGGTTTTCGTTGTGGGACTCAAGAAGTCTTAATCTTCGTACAATTTCCATTTTTTCCTCTAAAAAATTCACCTACCGATTTTCTCAACAATTTTGTCAATATTATTCGCCGCATCCTCGATTACTGTGGCATCCGAGTCACTCAGGCCATATTCTTCTTTCATCTTGGGATCCTTGTCAGTGCTGACTAGAACTAGTTGTTTCACATTTTTTAATTGTTTTCCAACTGCCTGTCGATCATCTCGAAGTTTATCGAGTGTGCTAAAATACGAAAAGGAATAATTTTAGGAGGAAAAAATGAAAAAATAGGGAAATATCGGCCGCAGCTCGGCAGAAATGCTATAAAAAACCAAACAAATATTAGGATTTAAGATGAACAATCGATTTCAAATACAATACGCTCAAAATTTTGAAAAAATACGGTAGTTTTATCGAAGCGTGGGCGCAGCTCGCCAATAATATAAATGTTCAGCAAGACCATAAATATGGTTACAACGAGTATTTTAGTTCTAACTGAGCTCAAAAGTATCCCATTTTGTCTAAAAAGAGCGTAAATACGGGTATCTTTTGCGAACTTCAGGGCGCAGCTCGCCAAATTACAAAACTTTCAATCTCACCTGTAGAGCGCTGCTGGCGGCGCAAACAGCAACATCCGACTGTCGTCAGAATTTGTGTCACTCCGATTAGTTTGAATAAAGCTGACTGCTCTGTAATTTTTTATATTATACTTGACTTCTGGCTATTGCAATAAATTTTGTCCAAAAAAGCTTACGTATTCTGTGAAGGCTCGTTTCGAATGACAAACTTCTTTTTGTAAACACTCTGAATTTTGTTCTTAACAGATTCTAGAGTCTCCAGAAGCGCCAGTTCGTTTTTTATTACAGTTTCACTATAAGGGACCAACTCCACGATCAATTGTTGGTCCGCAAAACTTCCGTTCAGCCTCTCCAGAGCTTTCAGGAGAACGGTTTCGACCTGAAAATTAATCGTCAAGGGTTTTCTGCGTTTTGAAAGAGTTCCCCTGATCTTCAGGGTTTTCGTGGTGGGACTCAAACATTTGCCGTAAATTAGTCAAATAGTTATTTTGAATAGCGCAAATGAATCAGTGCGTTCCCACTAGCTCTAGAATTTCCCAAAAATAGCTATTTCAAGTTTTCGTGGTAGGACCAAAAAACTTTTTGGTCCCACCACGAAAACCTGAAAGTCTCTGAAAACCCCCGAACTGCAGCAATATGTTACCACGCACCTCACTTTGGTCGTCTTCAGTAAAAATATAATTGGCATCGCGTTTTTTTCTCGCCGTTTTGTCCCTTTCGCCAACGGGGAAAACGGTCAATAATTTGGTCTGCTTTGTCGCTGGAGGCGGATCGTCTTTCTTGGCTAAAAAATGGACAATAAATTCTGGATTAGAGAGAAAATGACGTGACAATTTGTAAAGAGTGTTTTGAACTCACAACTTCTTTGTAGACCAAAGACTAGGCCCAAAGTTAGGCCAATTATTACCAAAATTACAAGAACGGCCACCGCCACTCCAACAAGAATAGTCTTTCGGTTATAGCGGTACTGTAGGTATTGGAAACGCCGACGAAATGAGATTCTGTCCATCTGAAATCAAGCCAACTTCGCTTTTGCACAATGCACAAAAGTAAACGCAACATTTCGCGTGGTAAACAGCAAATAATTGAAAATTGTAAATAATCAAAAATTTCTGACTAGTCTGAGACTTAGAGAAATAAACTTGAAAATACTTGTTCTACAGTGCAAAGGCCAAAATAAAGTGATTTATTGACTGCACTGTGCAAAAAAAGAAACCCATACTTCGCACCGTGCAGAGCAAAATTTTTAAATTAGCGCGATGCAAAAAGCTCAATGATTGTTCTGCACGACACTAAGAATATCTAAGCACCATTTTTTATTGTAAAGACACCAAAATGGGCGGACTTCTATCTGCACAGTGCGAAAAATAAGAAAGTTACATTCGCACGGTGCAGAGAAAAATTCGAAATTTGCACCAAAGTGCAAGCCCAATGATGGTCCGACGCGACGTTTAAAACATTCAAGTACCATTTTTCCATCGTCAAGACACCAAAACGGAGATGTTTTGTTTCTGCACCGTGCAAGAAAGAGAAACTCAAATTTCGCACGGTGCAGAGCAAAATTTCAAAATTTAACGTTACAGAAAGCCCAATGATGCTCCTGCGCACGTCAATCCAAAAAAGAAGAAAAAACTTCCCGCCCCTTTTTGGTGATTCGTTCAAAACGAAATGTCACTATCCAATAAAAAGCATTTTCTTATCTTTCTCCTTCCTTTTCGAGAAAAAGCAATTCTTTCGGGCAAGAAAAAGTGCCGATATGTTCGCGACATTTCGCATCTCTTTTAAATCAATGAAAACGACACGAAGTTTCGAAACGGTTCAGGAAATGCGTAGGATTGACGTGCTGCGCGACATTGAAAATATCCAAGCGCCATTTTTTCATCGTCAGGACACCAAAATGGGCATGTTTCTGCCTGCACAGTGCGAAAAATACAAAACTTAAATTTCGCACGGTGCAGTAGCAATTTTGTATCTTGCACCGTGCAAGCTGCATGTTTACCTTCTACGCACTGTGCAGAAATTTTTTGGCTAACTCTTTGCACTGTTAGACGCCGAAACTGAATTTTTTTCAACCGCACAGTGCGGTCACGCCTAAAATCAACAAAAAATTGTCACTTCTTTTTAGTGATGATTGTAAACGAATTGGGCGGCCGGACTGAGTGGGTCGCGACTTTTGCTTCGAGCCTCGCCCTCTATCGCCTCAGGGAATTTGGTTGATAAGCGGCTGACGCAAGCGGCAAAGTGCGAGGATTAGACCCGCCTGGCCGGAAGAAGAGAGCGCATTTCACAATGTTACATATCAAAAAATCTTTTGTACCCCTATCAATGAATGACTAATCCACTACAGATCAAAAAAAATAAAAAAAAAAATTAAAATTTTTTGAATTTTTCTGTTTCTGGTGGAAGAATTCGAATAATAACTGATAATCGGAGTGTTGGAGTACTGTAAAGGTGGAGGGGTTTCGAAAAAATCAAAGGTTTGTGTTGTAATTTTGTGTGCACAGTGCGAAAAGACAATTTTTTCGAAATTGCACTGTGCAGTGGGAAATGTTACAAATTTCTGCACCGTGCGTGGAGTACATACAAAACTTATTTTTACAACAGCTTCTAGAGACTCTGAAAAAGTCAGGACAATTCCAAAATTTAAGGATTTCCTCTCTGCACCGTGTAAAAATTTGATTTTGAAAAATTGCACGGTGCAATGGATAAAACCTAAATTTTTGCGCGGTAATAGTCGCATAATATTTACTTTCTTTATTTAGCGTAATAATACGACCTATAGCAACCAAATGAAATCCTAAAATTTACTTACTTTTTTCTGCACAGTGCAAAAAATGGAAACTTGAGGACTGCACAGTGCAATCGAAAAATTTCGAAATTGTGGCCTGTCCAAGAGATTTTTCAAACAGTGCAACGTGCAGAGGGGTTCCTCGTGCTTGATTTACTACGGTGAAAACCCCGAATAAAAATTTTTAAATCGGCATGATGACTGACAGGCCTTTTGGTAATCCGCACAGTGCAGAAAATACCTTGACGCTCCTTTCACAGCTAAAGGGCGTATGCGTTTAAAAGCTGTTTAGAAGCAAGCCATTAGGCGTCTAGTTTACGCCTTTAGCAGATAATGCGGGTTTAGCCACTCCTAATCCCTTCATTTAGAAGCAAACTCGAACATTTAAATTTTCATCAAAATTTTATCTTTTTTCCCCATGCAGAATGTAGAATATTTCTTGACGTCATCTTCCAAAACTTTCATTAAAAATTTTGAAGAGACACGGAAATTTTTTCTTTCGTTTTTATCGTATGGTGCATCAAAAAATAATTTTTATTTTTGCACTGTACATGCTTTTGCAGTGAAAATAAAAATTAATGAAAGTGCACAGTGCAGATCGAGCTTTTTTCTTTCGAATTATGCAAAACCTTCGGAAAGATGCAATTTTTTAAATTTTGAAGTGCATTTTCGTCTTCAAGCAAAGTTTTTCAATTTTCGCACTGTGCAGAATTTCAAAACCTTCTTAAAACTTCATACGGTGAAGAAAAAACTAAAATTAACGCTGGCGCAAACATAAAATAAAGCGTATTTTCGTCTGCACTGTGCAATTTCTTGAAATTCTTGCTGCACTGTGCAAAAAAAACTTTTTTAATTTTCGCACTGTGCGAAATTTAAAAACGTTCCTTAAACTTCACATGGTTTAGAAAAATTAAAATTAACGCTGGCGCAAACAAAAAATAAAGCGTATTTTTGTCTGCACTGTGCAATTTTTTGAAATTTTTGCTGCATTGTGCAAAAAAAAACTTTTTTAATTTTCGCACTGTGCAGAATTTTAAAACGTTCTTCAAACTTTGCATGGTAAAAAAATAAAAATTAAAAGATTCCGCACAGTAAAGATGAAATCTATTTTCGTTGAGCTGCCCAATTTTTTGAAATTTTTGCTGCACTGTGCAAAAAAAAACTTTTTTAATTTTCGCACTGTGCAGAATTTTAAAACGTTCTTCAAACTTTGCATGGTAAAAAAAATTAAAATTAAAGCTGACACACAGTGAAGATGAAGTGTATTTTCCTCTACACTGCGCTATTTTTTGAAATTTTTGCTGCACCCTGCTGAAAATCAACTTTTTTAATTTTCGCACAGTGCAGTTGAACATTTTCCTTTTGTAGGGCTCAAAAATTTTCATTTGACCTTTCTGTCGTTTCAGAGTCGTAAAAACGCCCGATTTCAAAATTTTTGATTTTAAAGTCACTTCTTGTTGTCACTTTTTATAGTGTTTTTACAAGCATTAAGATTAGTCATAAAGTGTACCGCAAGATTGATAAATGGAGCAAAAATTTTGTTCTGATAAGCACAGGAAGAGAATATTTGGCTTATCGGGGGAAAAACATTTTAGTTAGTAGCCATTTTACAACGGGCTCACCCTATTTGGATGTGAAGTCGATGCAAAAATTTTTTGATACAAAATTTGGGTGTAGTCTGGTATACTGTGGAAAATAGTTTAGTCTGTATTTTAATACAGTCTTAAAAATGTCATCAGGCTACGGATTAAGGAAAATTCGTCCACTGCACAGTCGGTAGTCAAAAATAAAAAATTTGAGTGTTGCACTGTGCGGTGAAAAAAAATATTTTATAAGGCAGTAATTTAGCTTTATTGTGAAGTAAAGATATATTCAAAATACCTTGTTTCGAACATGGAGACAAGAAATAACCATGAAATTTCGTAATGCACAGTGCAATGGGCAAAAAAATCATAAATTGCATTTTGCACAGTGCAGTTCATAAAATCGTCTATTGCACTGTGCGAGGAAGTACATGTGAAATACATCTAATAAAAATAAACTAAATTTCCCCCATGCATTTTTTTGAACGCTACAAAATTGAATTCTGCACAGTGCCATCAACAAAAACGGTTAAATCTTCCGCCGCACTGTGCAACTTACAAAATAATTTATTGCACTGTGCAGAGGGGTTCATAAGAAACAGTTGTAAGAAAAAAATGTTTTATTTGGAAGAGTCGACAAAAAAATGTGATAAAATTGAATATCTGCACAGTGCAATCCGCAAAAATGTCCGGATTTTCAACTGCACAGTGCAATTTTCAAAAAAATGAATGTGCGTTATGAAGAACTACTATCAAGGTAAAAATAAAAACTAATATTTTTTATTTCCCTCCGCACAATCACAATTTATTCCGTTTTTTTTTATTCTGCACTGTGCAGCCCACAAGAATCATTAAACCATCCTCCGCACCGTGCGGTTGACAAAAAAACAACGTTAAAAATCCAGCTCAAAAAAAAGAGCGCATGGAGGTCTTAAAAACAAAAAAGATGACTTTCAAATCGGCCGTAAAAAGTTGGAAAGTCACCAAAAAAGGTGCAAACATAAATGTGTCATCTACAACTTGATAAATAAACGATCAAAAATTGTCACAGATTTTGAAATATGCAAGTTAAAAAACTCTCGTATGTTTTAAAAAACCATTATCGAGATTTTAGCTAGTTGCGACGAAATTAAACCTTTATAAAAGACATTAACCCCTGCACAGTGCGAAAAAATAAAGTGTATTTTTTTGCACTGTGCAGTGGAAAATTGTATAAATTTAAATTGAAAACACAAACAGCATCTTTTTAAGGGTCGATAAAATTTTATAGCCGATTTTTTGCACTCTACAGTAAGAAACATTCCGTTTCAGAAAATCGCACGGTGCAAAAAAATGAAGAAAAAATTTTGCACTGTGCAGTGGGAATTTTCAAAAATTACAATTTAAAAACTCAACTAGGATATTTTTTGAAGGGTCGGTAAAATTTTCTAGTCGATTTTTTTGCACTGTGCAGAAAAAAATGATTTTACAAAATTCGCACGGTGCAAAAAAATAAAGAAAAAATTTTGCACTGTGCAATCAGCAATTTGACAAATTGCACAGTGCAGACTAACTAAAATTTTTTTCGCATCGTGCAACAAATTTTTTTGACTTGTTTGCACAGTGCGACCTAAAAAAATCAAAATTTTTAATGGATTTTTTTTGAATTTCTTTATTTTTATCAAAACAAGTAAAATTAAGTTTATCATGTAGTCCGCAACATCTTGTACTCCATTGTTTTTTGCATTCTTTTTCCAGTTTTTAATTGATTATCAGCTAGCGGAACATAATGTTTTCGGAAGATGGGTGTGTCACTGCTTAAGCTTAACGGACCGATTAAAGTTTGTCGTATGAAAGAGGGAATAATCGAGAATGAAAAAAAAGAAAGTTGTGCTTTGGACAAGTCAAACAAAGTTTTGACGAAATGAACCCTTCAAAAAACGGGATTTTTGGGTTTTAAAAGTAAAAAGATATTAAAGTACGCACTTCTGGAAGCCTAGCAATACACTTGGCCACCTGCAAATTAATTCCCGTCGGGACCCAAAAAGGGATTTGAATTTATTTGTGTACGGTAAAAAAAAATTTTTTTTTGCGGCTCCAGCCGGAAATTTTATTGTTTGATATCGCGATGGATTGATCTCAGTAAGTTTATTTTATGTTTATTTTCGCTTGTTTCTAGACGGCGAGCTCAGGGACGGTTGGAGAAGGTCGTTTACAAGCTTTTTTTTTATGATTTCTTTCAAAATTTGTCAGATTTTCTTTCTTCTCGTAAAAAATGCTATCTTATCCGTGTTTTGATAGTATTATCGTCTAACGAAGCTGTAAAAAACATGAACAAGCTCTCTCATACCCTCTTCTGTCTGTTTAAATTACTATTTCGACTGAAGAACCATTTTTTGAAAAAATTCCGACATTATCCATTTATTTTGCTTGAATTTTTCAGTTTGTTCACGTCAACCAAGAGCACAAAAACGACTACCACAACACCTGCTACAGCAGCTTCGAATCCTTGCCTCCCGATTATATGTTATTAGCAAGAAGCCTTCTTCCCTCCAACATTTCCTCTTTACTTTTTCAGAATCAAGATTTATCACATAAATTTATTAACCTTCTCTTATGTCTTTATTGTTATTATTATTCAACGCATTATAATTATAAGTCTCCACTGGGGGGATGCGGACTTTGTGACGGCATCGGCTTCATGATCATGCGCGAGTTCTGTTGGAGTAAGAGGCGGGCCCTTCTACGAAGAATCACGGAGTCCGTCTCGAAGATGAGGACATCGAGATCGCAGGGGATCTTGCCAATTTTGACATGTTCGCAGAGAGCCCTAAAACCGAGTAATCAATGTCAAAAAATTTTAACTTACTTCAAGATAAGGTGGTCAGGGTCAATCTCCAAATTCTATCCCATATTTAACGAGTCAACAAAAGTCTGATTCTTCATGATTCTCTCCATGAATCTTGACCTTTTTCTGCAAACCACTGCTTTTCCTATTCGAATTCATGGAGTTCAAGACTTCCGCGGGCGATGAGGAGCATTTACCTCACATCGAACTCCTTCAGTTGCTGGACAACGTAATTATCAACGCACGTGCACGTGAACCCGTAGACGACCTCGTCTTCACGTTTCGTGGCTAAAATTCGGATCTAAAACATTTTCCATTGAAAAAAGGCTAAAATACAGCAAAATTTACACGAACCACAAACGGTTTATTTATTATACATAAATAAAACTTACCCAAAACACGCCAAGGCTCCAAAACAGTTGATTCCATGAACAAACAAGTAAAATTCTCGGCTGCAGCCGCAAAAAAAAATATTTTTTCTACCGTACACAAACAAATTCAAATCCCTTTTTGGGTCCCGACGGGAATTAATTTGCAGGTGGCCAAGTGTATGGCTAGGCTTCCAGAAGTGCGTACTTTAACACACGGAACAACTGATAAAAATTTAGTAAAAAAATTAGTACCGTGCTTTTTGCACAATTAAATTCTTAAAAATTTACATTGCACAGTGCGAAAGATACGATCTTGTTTTTTGCACAGTGCATCAATTAAAAATTTGATTTTCTCGTTACACCGTGCAAGGAAAAAAATGTGTCTACAAATATTCACAATGTAAATTAAGCCACTCTGTTGTTTGCACTATAAAATTTACAAAAGCTTCCACTGCACTGTGCGAAAGATGCAATCTTGTTTTTTGCACAGTGCATTACTTAAAACTTCAATTTTTCGTTGCACCGTGCCAAAAAACTGAACATACATTCACACTGGAAAATTCACATTTCATTACTGCTTACACTATGAAATTTACAAAGAACCAAGTTGCACTGTGCATAAAAATAAATTTTTAATGTTTGCACGGTGCAAAGTCCGTAGGCCGGAAAAATGTGGCCGTTGTGAAAAAATTTGACTTGAAATGTGGTCAAGTCAAAAAAGTTGGGCATATTTTTCAATTCGTCCAAATTCTGGCTTAACTTGGCCATATTTTAACATTTTCTGAAAGATGAGTCAAGTTTATCTCGCTTGTGCCAAGTTATTTTCCAAGTTATTTCACCCTAAGCCCAGCACGCTATTCAATGGGTATCCAAGTTTGACAGCTTTCAGTATGTCGGGAAAATAATTATCACAATGCCACTGCGCCAAATTTTACCGCGACGCAATCCATTTTTTCGGCGGCGATGCGATTTTCGATGGGACAGAGTGATTGCTATTTTTCGGACGAACTGATATCTAAAATTTCTGTTGGCTGGTCAAATACTGTTTTCACAGGCGATTTGCAAGCCTTTCCGAGACAGAATTTCCCCCATTTCCACGGCACATTGAGGTTTTATTTGACAAAATCTAAAGCTTTTCGGTGGGTTAGGGCTCCGATTTTTCGAGATTTTAATTTTGCATGTGGAAATACCGACGACCAATGGTTAGATCAACTTTGTCTAAGAAACATGCGAAATCTCTGTGCAAGATTAATCGAGATTTTTTGGCCCAAAATTTCGGCCAAGTTTGACTTTTTTTTGCCAATTTTCTGATTCAAAAATTTCATTGCTATTTCAACCGGAGAGGAAAAAATTCTATAAAAACCCCAAAATTTCCTTGTGAGATTGGCAAAAATACGCACAAAAAGCATTTTTTTCTCTGATCGCTCTCCGCATTCCGCGCACACTCTTGTCAAAAAAGATTGTTGAATATCTCGGTTGCTATCTCAAGGAACGAGCTGAAATTTTGAGGAATTGAGATGTGGCCTATGCTTGATGTGTGTGCAAAATTTGAAGAAAATATGTGCGACGTACTTCGAAATTTTGAGATTTTTTCAAACTGCACAGTGCAAAAATTTTTTTATTCAAATAAGCAATATTTAATAATTTTTTTAAGTAATTTGAGTCTCACAAATTCAAAGAGCGTATTTTACATTATTCTTCATTTTTTCACATTATTTTTACACTGCACAGTGCACTAAAAATTTGAAAAATAAAAAAATTTTTGCACGGTGCAAAAATTTTGGTTCAAAATTTGTGTTCCAAACCTTGCAATATTAAAGTTTTGACAGTCCAAATTCCCCCTTTTTAATCCATTTTCATCAAAAAATATCTCGCCTTGAATGACGTGCCCTTGAAGGGTTGAGTGGCACTTCGCCCCTTTCAGGGCACGTTGACCTTGACTGTTGCGTTCTGCCGCAATTTTGAATCGCTTTTTTTTCGATCAATGTCTCCTATTCGAAAGACATTTCAATTATTTTTTTGTTCGAATTGCTTGTTAATTACAACATATTGAAGGAGCACATGATCTAATCGAAAGGTTTGAAAAAAAAATTTCCGGGTTTTTGGCTGAAAAGTAGATGAAATTTCTGGGTTAAGTAAAATTTTAAATTCGCAATTTTTTTTTAATTTTTGCACTGTGCAAAGAATTTTTTTTATTTTCGCACTGTGCGAAGAAATTTTTTCAAAATCTTTGCACTGTGCAAACAAAATTTTTTGTTTTTTTGTGTAGTAAAATACGATGTCGAATTCAAGCGGCCATTTATAGGTCAAAACTCCGTATAACGAACAGCAATGTCCAAAAAAAATTGTTCGTTAAAGAAAGGTTTTTCTTGTACCGAGATTAATTTCTTGATCAAAATTGGCTTCCGCGACCTCCAAAATTGTTTGTTATAGAGAGGCTTCGTTCTCCAGGGTTCGTTATAAAGAAGTTTCACTATATTTGCAAGTTTCAAACTTTGAGTTCTGTCGCTATTTATGTAAAAAAACTTTTTTGTCACTGCACTGTGCGTTCCCAAATTTTTGATTTTTTGCACTGTGCGGGGAAAATTTTTGTCATAAGACTATTTTTTTGTGAAATTGAGACAATTTTTTTTGTTATTGTCAGTTTAAATTTGGTTTCATATTTTTTAAATAATTTTTTTTAATTTTTTTGTCATTGCACTGTGCAAAAATAGTTTTTTGATTTTTTGCACTGTGCGGTAGACAAGTTTTAACAAAGTATTATTTGTTTTGAAAAGATGAACCTGATGCTTCACTACTGTGAGTTTGCATTTAATTTCATATTGTTTAATAATCAAAAAATTTAATATTTTTTGGTTGCACAGTGCAAAAATAAAAACTTTCTTTTTTTAATTTTTGCACATTTTTTAATGATTTTGAACACTACATTGCTCCACCTATCGTATTTTACATTACTTTTCATATTTTTTCCACCACTCTTTTTGCACGGTGCAATAAAAAATTGTTTATTTTTTTGCACAGTGCGGGAAAAGTTAAAATTTTTTTTCAGCCCCGACAAATTGCCGGATGAAAAGGCATCATTATTCCACATAATTGCCTGTTTACACTCTCATTTTTGTTTTGGAATGCCCGTAAAAACATTTCCCTTGTAACAAAAAATAATGGAATTCGGAAAGAAAGGGAGAAGAAGGGGAATACCTTCTCTTTTCCATTTCTCGGCGTATATGGCTGATTTGACGAATGTTCCTTTTGCCAAAAGAAGAAAGTGGATTTTTTTTGTGAAAAAAATAAAAAATTTTGCTGTTAGAAAATTTTTTTATTTTTTGCAATTTTTTAAAATTCGAAAAATCGGAAATTTTTTGAAAAAAAATCCATTTTTTTGATGAAGCTTGGAGAAAAGTAAACTGAAATGTTATAAAATACCTTTTAAATTTTGTGAACTATCATTTTGCAAGGTAATTCGAGATTTTGAAGACGAAAATCCGAAAAATTTAAACTATTTTTTTGCAATTTTTGTCTCAATTATGTCATTCTCTTCAAGATATAAAAAACCTTTAAATTTTTCTGCAAAATATCCATTTTCCCACCTGAACTTTACAGAGATATGTTCAAAAAAAACTTTTTTCTCTGGTCGTCCCTTCATTTTCATTGAATATCTCGCGCCTCAATGCAAACATTATCCTGAAATTTATCGAAATTTACTTCTATATCATATAAAATACTATGCAAATTTTCACAAAATTCTGCACAGTTATTTTTCTATTAGCGGCGGAAATAAAGAAGTGTTGCGTTCGCAGAGTGCAGACAAGTTTCTTTGATTTTTGCTTGGAAGATCGGGTCAAGAGAAAATTAAAAATTTTTCTGTCAATGTAATCCGGGCGTTTCTTTATTTTCACCAGTGATTTTAATAATTCCATTTGAATTCCGGCGGCTTTCTTTTATATTTGGCTTGTTTTTCACGTTTTACTTCAAAAAATAACGAAAAAGCTCGATTTTTAGTTAAATTCTTTTTTCAATGAGCAAAATGCTTACTAATAAAGTGAAAAAATCATTTTGCTGTTTACGTAGTAGTCCTCTTTTTTATATAACACCTTTCAAAAGGAATTGCATTGGCCGGGAATCGAACCCGGGTCGCCCGCGTGGCAGGCGAGCATTCTACCACTGAACCACCAATGCACGGTCTTGCAAGCGCTTCTCTTTGAGAGGGAATTTATCGGAAATTCATTTTTGATGAGCTTCAAGTAAAGGAAGTGAGATCTGTCGGGTTTTTTTCGCAGTGTTATATTCATTTCATCAAATTTGTTTATCTACCCATGAAGCCCTCCTTTCAGAGGTTTTTAATACATAGTTTTTCTCAACGATTTTTTAACATTGAATTTAAAAAATTATTACTGTTTAAGCATTTCATAGAGTAAAATACGAAATCGTACCGTTCATAATATTTTCGTTATTTTAAGCAAAAACAATTTTTTAATTGATTTTAACATGAATCCTAGATTTTTTTCAATAATTGCATTTTTATCCCTGAAATTTTAAATAGAGTATTCGAAAGACCTTTCCAATTTTTTGAATCTTCTATCTAGTCTATGTACATATATTACATAAAGTTTTGATAAGAATCTCGGTTTCACTCTTATTTACCCAATGTTTTGGTTCAAAGATTCGTGACATTTCCACTATTCGAATACTCATTCATTGTTGACTCACATTCCAGATTAACGTCCGAAACAAAAGGCACAAAAAGGCCCTCTTCAGAGGTGTTCAACTTCAAAAAAAGTTCTCAGCTTTGTGAAGGAAACTAAAGTGAAAATGGTAAGTAAACTTTTTTCTCTCACGACTAAAGACATTATAATTTTGAATTCTGAATGATTTTTGAGTTGAGTTGAAGTAAAAAACTTTTTGGAAAATTTTAAATTTTTGCACAGTGCAGAATTTCATTTTGCAAAAAAGTTGTGTCGCACTCTTCTCAGATCGAACAGAATATCTTAAGATGACTATTGATTTTAAATCTGCATTTGAATGTTGTTTTACAAATTAAAATTACCATTGCACTGTGCGAAACAAACTTTCGTCTTATAAATGGTATTTGCACTGTCAAAAAAAAATTCAGATTACTGTATGTCTACTAGTCGTTCCAGAAAGTGCGTGCACTTTTTGTCGTGGGCCGCACTGTGCACAAAATTCCCTTTTTGCGGGGTGCATTTGACCTTTTGCACCGTGCAAATCCAATATCGCTGCGACACAAGCTTTTCTCAACGGAGTGGGCGCGAATTTTGGGCGCATGAAATGAAATTGCACAGTGCAAAATGTTTCGAAAAGGATCGCGTCGCGCGGGGAACACGAAACTTGCACGGTGCGGTGCAAAAAAAGGCGGAAAAAAGTGCGCGCACTTTCTGGAACGACTAGTATAACTTTATTCAGCTTGATTTCAGACTTTAGTTTCACAGTAACATACCATTCAATGTTATTTTTCATACCAAATTTACACTGCACTGTGCGAAATAACGTTTCGCCCTGTAAAGTTCAGTTGCACTGTGCAAAAAACTAAGCTTACATTACTGAGTGTCTATGATCTCACTGAGTTTAGTTTCAGTCCCTAATATTGTACTCACATACCAAAAAAATGTAATTTTACACATTTAATTTTCTTGGCACAGCGTGGTTTCAAAAAAATCAAGTTTTTTGTCATTGCACTGTGCAAAAAACTTACGTTACATTACTGAATGTCCATGACCTCACTGAGCTTAGCTTCAGGCGCTAATATTGTACTCACATACCAAAAAAATGTAATTTTACACATCGAATTTTCATTGCACAGTGCGGACCCAAAAAAATCGATTTTTTTGTCATTGCACTGTGCAAAAAGAAACTTTACATTACTGTATATTTATAACCTCACTGAGCTTAATCTCAGGCGCTAATATTATGCTTAAATACCATTCAATGTAATTTTACACATCAAATTTTCGTTGCACAGTGCGGACTCAAAAAAATCGATTTTTTGTCATTGCAGAGTGCGGAAAATTCAAAAACTTCTTTTGGTGTCAAAATTTTTCTATTGACTCCCAGTCAACCATAAAGTGGGCTAAGTTATTGTGCGACGGAATATAATACGATTATTTTTATTTTTTATTTTCCTATGTTTGTATACATAATTTGTTATCTGATTATTGTTTGAGGGTCATGCTTGTGTTCATAACTGATAACAGAACAGTAGAGCCTTCTCCTTTCCTGACTGAATATTCAGCCGTTTTGAGATAAGTAGAGGGTTGTGATGGGTAAGGAATTGACAGCCATAAAAAGGAGGCTTTTCAGTGCTTTTTGAAACTCTTTTACTGTTTAATTTTTGTCGGGAAATAAATTTTGAGACAAATTTTTATACAACAAAAGGTTTTTTATGCACTGTTTTTACGACTTTTGTTTTATGCACTGTGCGAGTTTTTTAAAAGAATATAAATTGTCAGTGACAGGTATGATTAGAAATATGTAAGTGTTGACAGTTCAATAAGGTCTTCTAGATCTTATAAGACAACATCCGGGCAAATTCATAGCTGATTCCGTCCGCACAGCGCAATTGAGAAAAATTTGCACAGTGCGATTTCAAAAAGAGTCCGAAATTTTTCGCACATTATGGAATTTATTGCGATTTTTTGTTGCATAGATTTTTCACTGGCCATATAACTAATCAATATCTTTTTTTCCGATTTTTAACTAGTCTCCGCACAATGCGATAATAAAATTTTTTTGCACTGTGCAGTTCAGAAAAAAGTCTAAACTTTTTTGCACTGTGCCGAATATTCGATAAATTTTTTGGTTTTGAAGCTGTTGAATAGTTTTAAAATACGAATTGCTTATCTGTGTCCCCATTACAGTTATTTTCCGTACCGCCCGACCGATTGAAATTTCACTGCACCGTGCAGTTTTCAAAAAAACTTGGACTTCCTCTGCACTGTGCAAAATTTTGAGAGAACTTTTCTCAAGATAAATGTCTTGACAGGCCACAAAATACTGCTACTTAATTGTTTTACAATCTTGATTCAAATTCTGCACAGTGCGACCGATTCGAATTTTGTTGCACTGTGCAGTCACAAAAAGTTTTCCAAATCTTGCGCCTTAAAATTCGAACTAAATTTTTTACCTTTTCAGAAGCTCCGACCAACAGTGCACTTTACAATAACCGACGAATCAGCGGACAAGTCCAAGTTCCTTCAGATCAGCACCTTGACCGACCCAGACAGCTCCATTCAACGGGCGTTGCATCAAGTTTTAACGGAGAGAGGCATGTCATCATCCGATTATGAGGTCCTCAAAGCGTTCTGTGAAGGGGATCGAGTGAAGATCGACAAACATGTGGAGAATCATCAGAGTTTTGAAGTTGTAATTCGAAGAAAACGCCAGAAATCGCATGGCAGACCGAAAGGAAAAAAAGTTGCGCCATATGTGTTCAAAGTGATACGAACGGTGGTGGAGGAAATTGTCGATGAAATTAGGCCACCAGAGGTGTTTTTGAGTCGAAGCGAGGACATTGATGGACCTATAGCGGTATGAAAAAAAATATTTTTTGGTCTCACAACGAAAACATGGGGAGGTTTAAACGTAAAAAAATGAATTAGAAGTGATGACCTTTCATGTAAATTTTTTTATTTTGGGTTAGCTTTAATTTTAACGCCTTTTCAATTTTTAAAATTTTGAGACGGGTCCCACCACGAAAACCTATAACTTCGAAAAATATCCCAAAAACGATAAAAAGATGAGTATTAGGAACGACAACTATATGAATGTTTTGAGTTATGATAAAGTGTAAGATACGCTTTCGACTTCTTCCATTTTCCAAACAGGGTCCCACCGCGAAAACGTGGAAACGAAAAAATTGGTTAGCAGATTGACCAATGAACTAAGTGGATCCTAAAAAAATTAATTTTTAGAATTTTGAGGCCGTTTCAATTTGTAAAATACGCTGGTGCCCTATTTGAATTTAGTCAGTTTCGGTCCCACCACGAAAACCTGTCATTAAAAAAATCAGCTGGGAAATGTCCAAACTCGGTAGTTTAGGCTTGAAAAATAATATTACTAATCATTTTCTTGTTGTAATCTGTCAAATACCCCACTTATAGCAATTAAAATTTACAAATTGGGGTCCTACCACGAAAACCTGAGATTCAAAAAATCATTGTAAAAACGGCCGAAACCGCAAAAGAAGAGTCTAAAATGGACAAAATTCATAGTTTTTTTTATTTTGTAAAATACGCCTTTCTAAATTGCGAGTATTTTTAGACCACCTCCAAGATTACCGTACACCTGCGCGTAAAGACGATCCGCCCCGATACAATCGATCTGGTCGACGAATACCCCTGGGTGAAGCTCTCCTCCTCCCCGTGGCACGTCGACTCCACAACAACAGCGGTGCAATTCATCACGAAGCTGGTGAAAAAAGGATTTCTCAACGAAGTGATCGAGTTCAAATTGGTGGATTCGGATGGAAATCCGCAGGAGATTCAGATGAACTCGTTCTTGAAACATGGACAAGTGTATTCGGCGGTGATATGCAGAGGAATTGAGAGGGACATGCGAAGGGACGATGAGAAAAAACCGGTAGAAATTTGAATATGCAAATTTTTTATTCAATATTTTTTTGGAATTTGAATATTTAATTCGAAATTAAGACGTGAAATATTGTGATGTACAAAAATCTAGTGATGTAAACTATTTTATGTAAAATTTCAATTTTTATGTAAAATAAACGTTAAATTTTATACATTTTTTACGTTTTTATCTATAAGTTGTAAAATACGTGTTTTAATACTGAAGTTTTTTTAAAAACTTTGTAATTAACGTTTATGGCGCTCAGCAATAATATTCATTAAATAAGCACACTCAATTTTGATGCAAAACTGTCAGTTTTTTGAGAAAACGTTAAATTTTATGCATTTTTTACGTTTTTTCTCCATATGACTTACGCTTTTACAAATCCAAGATTCGATAGCTCAATTTTACGGACAAAAAACGTTAAATTTTATGCATTTTTTACGTTTCTATCCATTAATGAGCTAGAAATAGCGAAAAAATATCTCAGTTTTGTCGACTGTCACGCAAACGGTATATTCCTCGTATTTTACAAAAATTTGACTCAATTTTTCTGCATTATGGGCAAAGACGTTAAATTTTATGCATTTTTTACGTTTCTTACAAAATCAATACCAAAGTAAGGTCTTTCTTGGAGAAATTTATTAGAATCATATTAGAAAAATAACAACAAAGAGGTTGCTGCCAAAAGAACATTTAAATTACCATGAAATGATCGTTATCTTGCTCATCCTCGGCAGAAACAATACCAGATGGCGTGGAGGATGGCGGGGAAGCTGAAAATCATTATTTTTACTAATCAATTGCTCATTAACAAAGGCACATTGAACTGCTTCGTATTTTAAACTCTTTAACGCATTATTGTTCACTTTTTTACCAAAAAATCGCGATTTTTCGAAATTTTTGAAATCCGCACTGTGCAGTTTAAAGAAGTCGCAAAATAACTTACATGAAAAGAAGGAGTAAGATGAAGTTTAAACACACATGGCAAGAGCATCCTTGGCCCTCCAATCGGTCCTTCCACCAGACAGCCAGTGGCTAAAATACGAAGAAATAAAAGGTTTTTTGGATTGCACTGTGCGAAAAATTACGGTTCAAAACTCACAGGGAAGATGATGATAAGCACGATCATAATCAAGTCATCGGAATTTCCGGTTCTGAAATTTTAAATTTTACTAAATTTAAATTTAAAATCACTTTTTTTTATCCATAATTTTAGGGTTTCATAAAAATTGACGTTTTTCGTAAAAAACCGTATTTTTTTAGAATTTTGCTTAATAAATTTGATTTGAATACTCACTGCGTCATCTTGAATCGTTATGGCGACCAATCGAGGGGAAGCTGAAATAGATATTCTAATAAAGGAAGTATTTTACAATGAAAAAAAAAATTTGCACTGTGCGAAAAAATGGGTATAAAGAAAACAGTTTTTGTCTCCGCAAATTTTGACATTTTTTGCTTGCACTGTGCAAAAAATCATAATTGATTGCACAGTGCAAATTGAAGAATTTTGTTTTTTTTGCACTGTGCAATGATGCTGTGAAATCGCACAGTGCGGAGATTTCGCGTCGCAAAAATTTTTATTTTCAATATGCACCGTGCGAAAAATAAAGTCACTTTTTTGCTGCACTGTGCGAATTGAAGAATTTCGTTTTTTTTTGCACAGTGCGGTAAGAAACATTGCACAGTGCGGAGATTTCGCGTCGCAAAAATTTTTGTTTTCGAAATGCACCGTGCGAAAAATAAAGTCACTTTTTTGCCGCACTGTGCAAATTGAGAAAAGAAAATTTTTTCAATTGCACAGTGCGGTAGGAAACGTCGCACAGTGCGGAGGTTTCGCGTCGCAAAAACTATTTTTTCGAAATGCACTGTGCAAAAAATAAGATCGCTTTTTTTGCACGGTGCGACAAACATTTGAGTTTGCACAGTGCGCGAGAAAAATTTGTTTACTCTGCTGCACCGTGCGAAAAATTCCGCAATTTTGGCGGATCGCAGATTGCAAAAAAGTCCGTCTTGAATTAAAATTGTCAACAAATTTCAACACAATTCGAGTACAATATCAATATTTAACTCGAGTTGAAAAACACAGAAGATAAAAATGAAAGGAAATGAAAGTTTCTGTCGCTATAAACACCTCTATCAGCCGACGGGCATTATCGGTGTTTCATTGTGGACGCTTTTGTTTGCCCAGCCAAACCTATTTTGCGGCTACAAAACGGGAAAGGCCGGGTTGGGTTGGCGGATGAATCAGCGGTCGGGGAAAACTCACCTTTTTTTATTTTCTTAGCCTCAATATTGAAGCTTTATTTTGCAAAAAAAATTTTTAAAAAGTTTATTTGAATTTCGAAATATTATATTATCAATACCGTATGTTAAAATTTATAGGCTAAAAATATATTAGGAGAAAATAAAAAAAATTTTAATTTTCAAAAAAAAAAAAAAATTAATAAAAATAAAAAATAATAAAATTTCTTCGTGTTTTAACCACGACTTCTCCGGCGCACCATGCAAAAAAAGGTTTTTTGCACTGTTCAAAAAAATTACTTTCATTTGCACAGTGCAATAAAAAATTCTCCTCTTTTTTGCACTGTGCGGCCAAAAATTTGTCGCATGTCTTTGCACTGTGCAAAAAAACAACTGTAATTTATCCATCCGCACCGTGCAAAAGCATTTTTTTCTCGCTTCATTGTGCAAATTAAAGGCGTTTGAAATTGTTGCACAGTGCACTAAAAAAATAAAATTTGCTAATGCACAGTGCAAAATTTCGTCAGCGGTTCCCCGTGCGTTGCTTGACCGCGCAAGGGAAAACCTTTTTGCACAGTGAAAAGCTGCAATAATATAGCTCCAAAAAAGTGTGGACCCCAAATTTGTGACGGTTAAACGTCATCAGGTTTTAAATTATTTTTCGCCAAAAAACCTCAGCAAACACTCAAGTAATAAACATAAAGAGAGCCGCATAGCTTTCTCTGACCCTTTACGGCTTGATAATAGGTACGGTTGATACGGATAAGACAAATACAGCCCAAAAGGCACCGCCCAAACAAATAGACGCCAAATTTTATGCATTTCTTACGCCTTTGTCCATAAATATGCTTACCTGACGATAAAATGGCATTTCCCTCGGACCCCTGTTTTTTTCAAAGGCTTTCTATCGTAGCTTAAAAAATTTTTTATACGATATTCAAAAATTATGGATAAAAACGTCAAATTTTATGCATTCTTTACGTTTTGTTCATAGCTTTGAGGGGATAACCCGGAAGGCTTAAAAATTGGCTGAGGTCATCTCCAAGAGTCTCAGTCAGCGCTTTGTTTCCTTTTAAGCCCCTAGGTTTTTATCAGACAAAAGAAAAATTGGACCTTCAAGGTGCGGTTTGTTTATTCAACGGCATGAGACAATGATATCACGATAAACTTTGGGCTGTTCAAAAGCAAAAGCAGTAGAGGACTCCGTGGATGATTCCGGGCAGGCTGAAAGTTTGAAATTTTTAAGAAAATTTTGGGTGGATTCGAAATTTTGCATTATTTTATTAACAAAAGGCTTACATTCCCAAGCAAAGTAAGAGCAGGTTGATCCAGGGATGAATAGTGCATCCTTTTCCATCTGCGACATCACGATACCACACGGCGATTGGCTAAAAATAAGAAGAAATGACTGCACTGTGCAAAACAAGGGAAGTTTCAAACTGCACTGTGCAGTGATAATTTTATTAGACTGCACAGTGCAAAAGAGCAAGAATACCAAATTGCACTGTGCATTGAAAATTTTATTAGATCGCACCGTGCAAAAAAATTTTTTTTGCGCTCTGCGACAAAGCATCGTTGCACAGTGCGGATGTTATTGGTTTGCACGGTGCAACAAGTTTTTTACTGGGCTGCACCGTGCAAAATTTTAAAGAAATTATTTCTGCACCGTGGAAAAAAAGGGAACTTTTAAACTGCACTGTGCAGTGGTAATTTTATTGAATTGCACCGTGCAAAAAAAGAGAAGTTTCAAACTGCACTGTGCAGTGGAAATTTTGTTAGAATGCACAGTGCAAAAAAACTTTTTTGCGCTCTGCGACAAAGTGTTGGCGCACAGTGCGGAAATTTTTATTTTGTACTGTGCGAAAAAATTGTGCACTGTTCTGCACTGTGCAAAAATTTGAAGGAAATTGTTTGTGCACAGTGCACAAACAAACATTTTTTTCCCGCACTGTGCGAACATTTTCGAGCCTTTCGATTTCCCGCACAGTGCAAAAGCCGCGACGGAAATGGAAATTGCACCGTGCAGAAAGCAGAAAACCTAAAGCTTTTTTTTGCACAGTGCAGATGCAGAAATTTTTCCCGCACTGTGCGAAAATTGATTTTTTTCAATTACTGCACGGTGCGAAGGAAAAAATATGATTTACAAAAAAATGTTAAAAGAAAAACAAACGACTTACAAATAGGCCGATCAGCATCAAAACGACAATTACAACGTCGTCCCGGGTACATTTACTCCCCATTTATTCGAATATTGGCCACAAGTTCGATCAAAATAGCAAAAAATAAAAAGTGAAAAACAAGATTTCCTCAGGGCTTGTTGTAGAAAATGATTCAAGTTTGTGAATCAGGAGGGAAACATCGATTACGTTTCGTCATTTCCTCAAATGTCTTGGCAATTTTGAAAAAAACGTCAAATTTTATGAATCTTTACGTTTTCAAACATAAAAAAATGAGTTTTTCTGAGACTCTGCAAAGAAAATTGTCCGATTTCCAGCTCCAATGGTATTTTACTATATTAGTTTTTTTGACAATTCAGTACTTTTATGGACATAAACGTCAAATGTAAAGGATTTTTTACGTTTTGAACCATAAATTAGGCATGTTTTAAGAAAACAATTGGTTTTTTGAATTTAATAATGCCCGTTATAAACAGCGCTCGTATTTTACAACATTTCCGATGAGATCGACAAATTTATGCATTAAAACCGTCAAATTTTATGTATTTTTCACGTTTCATTCCATAATTTTAGAAAAAATGCCCAAAATTTGTTTCGCCTTTTTAAATAATCAACGGCTTGATTCGGACGCCGTATTTAAAAAAATTGATAAAATTGACAAATTTATGCTTTAAAAAAGTCAAATTTTATGCATTTTTCATGCATAATCCGGAGTTTACTCCAATAAAAGGCGAAAAAAAGTAAACTCGGAATTTACTCCAAAAATCGAAATTTTGAAAGCCATTTTGATTCCTGCTCTGCGACTCATGAAATTTCTCGATTTTTACTCTTTTTCAGAAAAAAGTGAATTCGAAAAAATTTCAAAATTTTTGAGCAAAAACTTTTATCTCGTCTCTTATTTTGCCAAAAACAAAACAGTTTTTGTTTTGTGAAAACTTTTAGACTCGGCGAGCTGCGCCCTATGTCATCGAGGTGGATCGTATCTTAAGACTTGTATAAGAGCTAAATTACGACAATGAACGATATTTATGAACTGAAACCCCCGTTTTACGTTTTTGTAGCCATTCTCTATCCTAGGGCGCAGGCTCCCAGAAAAAATTCAGAAAACTTCAAGGTTTGCTTGCAAATCGGCTGGCGTTTTGTTACATTTATTTGTAAATTTGTAAATAGCCCTGTCAACTCCTGGAAAACCCGCAGAAACCCCGGATATCTCTCGACCAATGTTGAGCATCGAATTTACATTCTCAAGATTTTGAACTTCTTTTTGAAATTTGCATAATCAAAGTTTGGAATCGTGGGAGCTTCGAATTTTCAGAGCTCCCAGAGAGCGGCCACACATCTCAACCTAGAATAAAAATGACCCCCAAATGAGCAAAAATTCGATTTTTATGCAAATTTTCCGATAAGAAGATGGAAATCTAAATTGGTCCCTTCATTCTTTTCACCGAGGGCGAATTCGGTGCATTCTACGAATACGAGTACAAGGGGACGTCGTACTGGTACAAGTTGGAGGCAAACCTAGGTCCCAAATACAAGCAACCGCTCGCCTGCGAGAGCGGCGTCTACCAGCTATTGGAGCAAATTCCGAAGCTCCCAGACAAACCGTAAGTTGAATGGGGACCAAACAAAATTTTGAGAAATACATGGTGGGCCACTAAAACCTTCCGTCCTCTTTTTTTAGATTTCTCCGCTGAGACTCCGCCGATTTTCATGAAATTTAGATTTTTCTCGAGCTGAGATGCGCCATTTTCAACCGGTTGAATTTGAAACAAAATTATCCTGAATTGACCTTTCTATGCCTTCCCAAAGTTTTTGAAAGTTATTTTCGAGCCGAAACCGCTAAAACATGGAAAATTTTTGGAATGATTTTCAATTGCCTTTCTCGGACTTGGAAAATTTCTGGCTTTTTTGGTAAAATCGTGGAGTAAAAAGTTTTGAGATTTGTTTTTTACAACTATATTTTAACATTATTTGAGGTGAAACGCAGATGATTTCACCCTAAAACCCGAAAAATTGACCAAGTTTTCAAAATCATTCCAAAAATTTTCTAAGTTTTAGCGGTTTCGGCTCGAAAATAATTTTCAAAAACTTTGGAAAAGCATAGAAAGGTCAATTCAGGATATTTTTTTTTCAAATTCAACCGATTGAAAATGGCGCATCTCAGCTCCAGAAAAATCTAAATTTCATGAAAATCGGCGGAGTCTCCGCGGAGAAATCTAAAAAAAAATGACGGAAGGTTTTAGTGGCCCACCCTGTACAGTGAAGGGCCTGATCCAATGGCAAAAAACGTCCCATTTTGCATCCAGGAACGAACCAAATTATCTCCAAATACCTCCCTTCTATGCGCGCCCTTCAAAACGGAGTTTTTCAGCTTATAGAAGGGAGGTATTTGGAGACAATTTGGTTCCTTCCTGGATGCAAAATGGGACGTTTTTTGCCATTGGATCAGGTCCCTCACTGGAAAAAAATTGTAAAAAAACTTTTAATCCGTTTGTTTCAGCGATTTCTAGATTGGCAGTATGCTCAGCTGCTGTCAATTCTCCGAAGGCGTCTACTGCATGCGCGTCGAAAAGTATGGCCCAAACGTCCGCGATTTGCGAAAAGGACAACCAAGTACGGGATTTGCCATCGGTAATCAAGGAAAGTGCCTTCTACGTCAAGAAAGACCGAGATACGTATCGGGTGAGTTGAGTTTGTATTTTTGCTGGTTTAGTATTAAAATTTTTTTACTTTTTCACCTTTCGGGCCGGCGTTCTCGGAGGATAGGTTACCCCTAACAAATAGGTTACCCCTAACAAATAGGTTACCCCACCGGATATGTTACCCCAAGTTTCGGGTAGGTAACCTCGGAGGATAGGTTACCCCACGGATAGGTTACCTCGGAGGATAGGTTACCCCGAGGATAGGTTACCTCGTAGGATAGGTTACCCCGAGGATAGGTTACCTCGGAGGATAGGTTACCCCGAAGATAGGTTACCTGAAATTTTTTTTTAAAATGTTTTCGCTTCGGGACTTGGAACAAAAGGATGTTTTGTAAAATTTGAATAAAATTTGAAATGTTTTTGAGCTGACTGAGTATGAACTGACTGAATATGAAAACTGGGTTTCTGTTACTTTACTACCTTTAGGGATTCTTTTTGAAATTTTTTCGACTTATAACACTTATAGACGTTAATGGTGTTGTTTTGGTGCCTAGTACTGCTTAAAAAACACATTTTTAACACTTGGTACTAAATAGTACTACCTGGTACTATTTAGTACGAGGTGCAAATTTGGCCGTAAGGCGGTAATGCCGTTGGTTTGGTGCTTAGTAGAACCCAAAAACACGTTTTAACACTTGGTACTGTATAGTACCAACTGGTACTGTTTAGTGAGAAGTGAAAATTTGGCCGTAAGGCAGTAATGGTGATGGTGTGGTGCTTAGTAGAGCCCAAAAACACGTGGTACTATATAGTACCAGGTGGCCATTGGTTTTAGACAAAATTTTAGTGCTGGCGGCACCATAGTTAATAGTCAGTCAGACACCCTTTTTCTACTCCCGATGCGAAAAGATTTCAAAATTTTGTTGAATTTTCCAAAAAATTCTTTTTTTTCCCAGTCCCGAAGCGAAAACATTTCAAATTTTTTTCAAATTTCACAAAAAATCCTTTTTTTTCAAGTCCCGGAGCGAAAACATTTCAAATTTTATTCAAATTTCACAAAAAATCCTTTTTTTCAAGTCCCGAAGCGAAAACATTTCAAATTTTATTCAAATTTCACAAAAATTTTTCTTGCAGTTTGTCATTACTGACCTCGGATATGCAATCAGAATCGGCTCGGAACGCTCGGCCTTCTACCCAATCCCCGAAACGGCAACCACTCACATCCACGCGAAGAAAGCGTTGAAGTCGGAGGACACGGAGAGCCTGCTCTTCATGATTCTGGGAATGATGGCTCCACTGCCTTGGGCGGGAATCAAGAACATTGAGGAGGTTAGGAAGATCAAGTTGGAGTGTACCGAAGAAGACTCGATTCCCGACGAGTTCAACACCAAAGACGCTGTGACTTTGTGTCACATGAGGGGTCTCTACACGGACGACTTGGCGCTGGAAAACGTGGCCGAGATGTTGATCCTTTACTATCTCGCGGTATGTGGAATTTATTTTTTTACCTGCGAATTGGTTTTTAAGCGCATTTTATATTTTGAAAAACTTTCAGGTCGAACCAACCGACGACCTCCACCTTCCCGTCCGTTTTCCAAATGCCGAGTTCAAGTTGGCGGGCACGTTCAAGTCGTATGACTAGTATGAGCTGAGAAATCATTTATCTTTTATGAGTAAATATTTTTATGTGTGATTTTTTTTTTTGATCGGCCATCGAAAAAAGGCGACCCATAATGTCTTGACTTCGCACTGCGGACACGTGCATTCGGCGTTGCAACGAGGTGCCCACGGCAACTCAACTAACTCAAGGCACGGTCATTCGGAACTTGAAACGTTTTGGCAGTTTGTAAAAAATTGACAATGAACGATATTTATGATCTGAAAACCCCGTTTTACATTTTTGTAGTCATTCTCTATCCTAGGGCGCAGGCTGCCAAAAAAAATTTTCTGAAAACTTCAAGGTTTGCTTGCAAATCGGCTGGCGTTTTGTTACATTTTTTGTAAACTTTTAAATAGCCCTGTCAGCTCCTGGAAAACCCGCAGAAACCCCGGATATCTCTCGACCAATCTCCCCCAAAGTACAATATATACAAAAGGGCCCGTTTTTACGTCCACTTTTGCGAGCTGTAAAAAGCCTAATTGTCATAATGAGGCAAAATCAATTTCAGTGTATAAAAACCGACCAGAGCTCTATCAGAAAAAGTAAATTTCAGCCCATAGCATAAAACGATAAAGATAGCGCAACCATTTTTTGACCAATTTGGGGTCCGCGTTTCAGGCGCCTTAGTTGTAAGCACTTATAACGGCAAAACATGTGTCGTAGACAATTATTTTGTCTGAAACTTTAAAAATGGCTTCTAGGACGTATTACACGTGCCCACAATCGCCCACTTTGTTCCCGTACTCTTACAGCCCGCAGGGCAAGCAAACGAAATTTTAGTCCAGATTTTATTGGCGCACCCTGTACAATATAGATAAAAAAATGGTTGTAATAAACGTACTTAAAACAATCTTAAATTCGCTATTCATGAATTACAGAGAGAAAATTTATACAGAATACATCGAATAAACATACCGCATAAGGCTCAGATATATTATCAATTTTGCAATTTTTCTGCTCTTACTTACGTAACTTCAATCAAACATACTTCTTTGAAAAAATCAAATAATTTCTGCTTTAAGACAGAGACAAATAACAGAAAATCTCTACATCAAGTAAAAAAATAAATAAATTTTGAGGCGAGACATTTTGATGCGACCATCCGTCATTATTTTTCCGACAGACTGATAAGCAAAACAATGTTATGTCGACGAAAATATGTGGAAGTTGGAGGTGTTGGATACGGCCGGTCAAGACGAATTTGCAGCCATGAGAGAGCACAACGTCCGAAGTGGCGATGGATTTCTACTAGTATTCTCGCTGACAAATCGAGACAGTTTTGAGTACCTCAAACGACTATTATACCATTATATCGACAGAGTTAAGGACAGAGACTTCTTTCCAATGATTGTGGCTGAAAATAAGTGCGATTTGAAGGAAAAAGGTCAAGCAGCCTTTGCATGTTCTGAATATTTTATTGAGTAAAATTGATTGGAAACCTTAAAAAATGATGACGAAAAGTTGCAAATTTTGCTTAAAAATACTGGGAAATTGGTTAAAAAATCAAATATTAAGAAGATTTAACACGGCTATTTGTATCGCCGAATTAGAAAAATGGCCAGCCCTATCAGCAGTAAGAGGAACACCAGCGCCCCGCCAATGCCTCCTCCTATCAGCGCCCAATTCGGGGATTCATTTTGCGCAATCGTCACATCCTCGGAACTTCTAAAAAAATATAATTCACAGAAAGTGAGGACCCACGATCTTTCGTTCGGATTGTACAGGTACTTGACGTAGGTGTTGTTCAAATAATCGGATACCTCAGGACCAGGTGGATTACATCCTCCCACCGAAAATTTAATAAGAATGTAGTTCTGAAAACAAGAATTAGATTACAAATAAAACAAAAACAATTTTTTGGCGCTACGGCGCACATCAACCACAAACAGAATGCCAAGATTTTTGGCATTCGGTTTTTTAAGGGTCTCTAATGTTTTAGCTTACTGTGCAGTGGGTAATGAACAAAATAACATGAACCTGCAATTGAAACATTACCAAGGACCCATATTTTTTTAATTAATGGATTTTGGCGTTCTTCGGCCACCAGGTTAGCGAAAAACTGCCGGAGAAAATCGAATTTTTGCAAACTTTGCGGCCGAATAACTTGTCTAAAACTATTGAAACACGGAAAGTGATTGCAACGATCTTCAGAATATTGTATTCTAAGGTAGTATGCGAAGTTTGAAGCAAATCGGACAAATAATAAAAAAGTAGATGCGATTTTAAGCTTTTTACCTTATGGATTACGCAAAATTCCAAAAAAGACAAATTTGTGAAAATTTATACCTTCCAGGCAGAATTTGGGAAAAATATTTTGGGCGTTTGTTAAACACATGCCCACGGTCATTTTAAACTAAAAAACTCAAAATCGATTTTTTTCGCAAATATGCCTTATTACACGCTGACGCACGGCCCCAAAAATTTTCTTTTGAACTTTTCTTGCAAAGCTTTAAGGAAAGGTGAAAATTTGGCAAGATTTTTCCCTGGAAACTCGAAAAATTCCGCAGGACCTATGCACCCTTTCAGAACCGAGTATAAATGTCTTGAAAACACCAGTATGTCGACGTCTGGCATAATCGAAAATGCAGCCAAGTTGGCAACTCTTCTTGAAATATCGAAAAAAATTTGTAAAACACCCGAATAAATGAAAAAAGAATTTTTACGTAGTTGTCGAATACACTAACGACCCGTAGATCCAAGCCGATGGTATCCGCTCCGGGTGGAGTCGAACCTCCAAGGCCTCCCTCTGCCAAAAGTTTCGTGCGTGGAACTTTTTCCACTAGACTATTTGGTAACGCTTCTCCCGGCCTTTCGGTTCGTCTTTTCTCTCTCTCGATTTTTTTGTCGGATCTTTCTGTCGATATTTCTCGTCTCCCAAGACCATTCGGCAAAAATGGAAAACGGATTCCTACTAAATTTTGTACGCTCTTTCAGAATTTGGAGGTCTCATGTTGAAAGCTCACGGACAGTTCAAACCATTCCCTTGTTAGAACAGCTTCTAAACTGGTGCGGATGCCACTAATTATGCTCTTATTGTCTTTTTAGATCATAGTGGACCTAGCTGACAAGGGAAGTACCCGAAGTGCGACGCTCAGATTTTTATAAAAATTGGCATAGATGGAGATCAGAATTTTCTTATTCGATTGCGAACATCCTAGCTCGCGCTTTGCAGAATCCGCCGAGAAAGAAGGGCCGGAATATCGAAAAAAATCTTCAAATCCCGACGAATTTCCCTGCAAATCCGCTTGATCTTGGCATTTCGTCCCAGGAGAAAAATATTTTTTCTCGCAAGAAATTTTTTCTTGGTAATGTTCAAGACTATTTTGTTTTTTTTCTGTTGGTTTGATGCCCAGTACTGCTCGAACAACGTGTTCTTAGCGCTCGGTATTGTATAGTACGAGGTGGTGCTATATAGCACGAGGTAAAAATTAAGCTATAACGCGTGAATGACGTTGTTTTGGTATGCAGTACTGATCAAACGTTCATTTTGTGCAAAAACAAATTCGTGCTATATAGTACCATGTGCTAAAACACATTTTTGAGAAGTACTGGGCTTCAAACCCATAGCATTGACATGTTATGGCTTAATTTTTACCTCGTGCTGTACAGTACCACCTCGTACTATACAGTACCAAGCGCTAAGAACATGTTGTTTGAGCAGTACAGGGCACCAAACCAACAGCATTAACATTTGAACGCATAATTTTTAATCGCACTATCCAGCTTGGGGACAAAAACGTCCTGGGGACAAAACCGGTGTGGGGACAAAAAAAAAATAAAAAAAGTGGGGACAAAAACGTCTTGGGGACAAAACCGTCCTGGGGACAAAACCGGTCTGGGGACAAAAAGGCTCGAAAAAAGTGGGGACAAAACCGGGGTGGGGACAAAACCGGGCCCAATCGTGGAGGATCGATCTGAATGTTCTTCAAAAAATTCTGTTTTCCTAGTCCCGAAGCGGAAACATTAAACGGTATCGTTAAACCGGAATGTCGTTGACCCGATCTCTCCCTGACCCGAAAAGTCGGGACCCGTTTTTTTGACTTACTAATGGAAAAAGTAGGACGTTCTTTGAATTTAACTTGTATTTATCGTCCTTTGCGCATTCCGACGCTTTCCAAACGTGATCCACAGCCCAATTTATTTCTTTGCAGACGTCCTCTCCCTTATTTTTGAAGACAATCTTATCTCCAAACACTGCAAGCTTGCTCTCGCAGTTGAACTGGCCCGGGGTTTCGGGTGTGTACGGGTCAAGCGCCGTTCCGTTCAATTTGAACGGGGTCGCTAAATCGGCGTCACACGAAATCATCACCAAATCACGCCCCAAAATTTCGAAAAATGAACCTGTCAGGCAGTAATCATCCTCGAAAGCTTTGTTGAATACGGGGCAAATCCTGCAAAGTCACAGATGAGTTGGCTCGTCGGCCGGCACGGCCCGTTTCAAATTTGCTTCGGCCCGGTCCGGGCCGGCCCTTTGAAACAAAAGTCTCCCCAAGTCTAGCTCGTTATTTCTAAATTTTTTTCTATCGTCATGTAAATGGATAAATACTGTGTTCCGTAGTCTCTAAAAATAAAAATACCTTCAAAAAATTGTGTTTTGACATTCCATTTATTTTCATTAGTGTCGTGGCGCGTAATCAATCATAGCCCCGCGCGGCGGGTTAAAGAGAGATGCGCACCCCGATTTCCCCCAGTTGGCTTTATTGTAGGCTCCGCATACGGACGCGTATACGAAGGGTCTCCTCAATAAAGTATTGAATGCAAACGCCTTCAGATTGTATAAGGGTCTACGGTAAATACCTACCCACAACATTAGCAAGCCCAATTTTCGCTTCGAGATTCTGGATTTTAACTATTCCGGGCCGGCCCAGCCCGGTAGCCATGTCTAGTCACCTCAGAGGCGTGCAGAGGCCGGCTCTCTGCATTGGCCCCCCTGTTCTCTTTTCTTGTTGTAAAAATCTACATAGTACTAAAAAATCTACATTTTTAGTTTTCTTATCAAAAACCAGGCATTCCCTACAAAAAAAATATTGTAAAAATAAAGCCCCACTCATTAGCCTTGTATCCAGAAACTCCGATGAGAAACTTGTCTTCTTCCAGCGCCAAGTGAAAGCGATAATTTTCCAGGCCTGTCTGTTTGTCAACCAAGTCCAATTTCTCTTCACTGAAAGTAACATTTGATGTTGATAAATCTTTCTCAAGTTTATCGCGCGCACCCCAAATGCGTCACATTTTAATCCCTCAGAACTTCAGCTCCGAATCTACCAGCGAAGCAAAGATACAGTGGCGGACCTAATCCGGTGGCAAAAAACGCACCATTTTGCATCCGGGAAGTATCAAAAACGCAGCAAAATACCACCCTCTCGAACTAAAAAACTGCACAAAATTAGGGTCACCTACTTACTAGATGAATTCTAGCACATAAAATTGAAATTTTGCACCCGCATCCCACTTACGTCACATTTTTCTCGGACGGATTGTACGTGTACCGAATAAAAACTCCATCATTCTCTTCTGCATGGGTTATTATCTGGAACTCGTTCGGGACTTGACCCTCAAATTTCGTGGTCAAGTTGAGACACTGCAGAAAGGTGGTTATCGAGGAGTAGAACTCAGCTGTCGAAGGAGTACTCATGTCGGAACCGCCGCACGGAGAGGCGAGAGAGAGAAAAGAATGAAAGGACCAATTTAGATTTCAATCTTCATAGTGCAAAATTTTTATAAAAATCGAAACGTTTGAGGAATTCCGGCTTCTGATCGATCAAATACCGTCTTTCCATTGGTGATCCAGCTTCTGGACGGCCCAGCCCTACAAATAAAAGATATAATTGTGACTATCATCAAGCACAGCTCACCTTACCGAAAAAAGATCATTCCAGCTCTATTGGCGTTAGTACTGATGATGGAGATCGTCACGGGCTGACGAGGCAGGTCTTTGGCGGAAAAGTCGACATCCACCTGCGTTTCTTCGCAAAACGACACCGGGCGCTGAATTTACACTTTAGACTCAAAATTGGACGTTTTTTAAAATATTTTATTTGCTCACCATGGATAAGATACCAAGACGATTAATCCCAAAATAATTATCGACTTAATACCGAAACTGGGCCAGGGATCTCCATAGACCGTATTTAAAAAATCTTTGTACAAAATTAGAGAAAATTTTCCGTATTTTCGACATTTTCCATCAAGTATGCCCAAACACCAAGTACAACATAAAAAAACTCACAATATAGATCCGATTAACGCTCGATACTTCCGATATGACTATTTTGTCGTCAAAAGTGCTTTTGCGGAACTGGATAAACATACGGGAAGGCGGTATGTTCTTCTTCCAGCATACGCAAAGCTCAGATACAAACCAGCGAAGGCGGATAAGTATAACACGTCCAGCAATATGAAAACATTCTAATCTAAATTCCAAATTAATTCAGAAAACAAGATTACCTCATTTCCGGCCATCGTTGCGATCTAGAACGTCTGCTTAAGTCATTATCGCCCAAATAACTAAACTAAAAATAAAAGAAAACAACAACACAACTCGCTTACCTGATCTGCAATCTGACAATCACGACCTTTTTACAAGAAATCGCAAAATTTATGAGGCATCTTATCGTGTAACAGCTGAAACTTGTGCACGCGTGAGCTGGACTTGTGAAATTCTAAGTTTTTGGAACGTCGCGACGTATTTCCACCTTGGATCGATCAAAGTAAGATGCTTTTAATCAGCCTTTTTTTTGATTTGCAAGAGTTTAGAGTGTTTAGATGAAAAGTCCCGAACGTAATAGCCTTCCCGTGCAGGGAGCATGCCAGCCTGAAGAAGATCCATCCCCAGAAGCTTCTGCAGAAGATGTATAAACATGCACGGTCAACCAACGGATTGCTAAAGGATCCATTTGCTCAATTTTGGTAGGTGTTTTTTTTAACTATTTTCCACATTTCAGAGGTCTCGAAAAAACTTCAAGACAAAGTTTTGTTATATTGTACTAGGTCCAGGTGAACCCGTTGGGTTTTAGATAACTACAAAAATGGTCATGGACGAATCCAATGGACAATGTATACACGATGAATAGAAATATGACATCCGGTAGCTTCAGGTATGGTTGATAACATTCACCTGGACCTAGTACAATATCGCAAATTTCATGTCTAAAAATTTTCCCCGCAGAAACCTTAATATTTTCAGTTTTTGAATAATTAATCTCAAAAGGTTTATGGTGAAATCTGAAATTAATTATTAATTTGGAATTTAGATTAGAATGTTTTCATATTGCTGGACGTGTTATACTTATCCGCCTTCGCTGGTTTGTATCTGAGCTTTGCGTATGCTGGAAGAAGAACATACCGCCTTCCCGTATGTTTATCCAGTTCCGCAAAAGCACTTTTGACGACAAAATAGTCATATCGGAAGTATCGAGCGTTAATCGGATCTATATTGTGAGTTTTTTTATGTTGTACTTGGTGTTTGGGCATACTTGATGGAAAATGTCGAAAATACGGAAAATTTTCTCTAATTTTGTACAAAGATTTTTTAAATACGGTCTATGGAGATCCCTGGCCCAGTTTCGGTATTAAGTCGATAATTATTTTGGGATTAATCGTCTTGGTATCTTATCCATGGTGAGCAAATAAAATATTTTAAAAAACGTCCAATTTTGAGTCTAAAGTGTAAATTCAGCGCCCGGTGTCGTTTTGCGAAAAAACGCAGGTGGATGTCGACTTTTCCGCCAAAGACCTGCCTCGTCAGCCCGTGACGATCTCCATCATCAGTACTAACGCCAATAGAGCTGGAATGATCTTTTTTCGGTAAGGTGAGCTGTGCTTGATGATAGTCACAATTATATCTTTTATTTGTAGGGCTGGGCCGTCCAGAAGCTGGATCACCAATGGAAAGACGGTATTTGATCGATCAGAAGCCGGAATTCCTCAAACGTTTCGATTTTTATAAAAATTTTGCACTATGAAGATTGAAATCTAAATTGGTCCTTTCATTCTTTTCTCTCTCTCGCCTCTCCGTGCGGCGGTTCCGACATGAGTACTCCTTCGACAGCTGAGTTCTACTCCTCGATAACCACCTTTCTGCAGTGTCTCAACTTGACCACGAAATTTGAGGGTCAAGTCCCGAACGAGTTCCAGATAATAACCCATGCAGAAGAGAATGATGGAGTTTTTATTCGGTACACGTACAATCCGTCCGAGAAAAATGTGACGTAAGTGGGATGCGGGTGCAAAATTTCAATTTTATGTGCTAGAATTCATCTAGTAAGTAGGTGACCCTAATTTTGTGCAGTTTTTTAGTTCGAGAGGGTGGTATTTTGCTGCGTTTTTGATACTTCCCGGATGCAAAATGGTGCGTTTTTTGCCACCGGATTAGGTCCGCCACTGTATCTTTGCTTCGCTGGTAGATTCGGAGCTGAAGTTCTGAGGGATTAAAATGTGACGCATTTGGGGTGCGCGCGATAAACTTGAGAAAGATTTATCAACATCAAATGTTACTTTCAGTGAAGAGAAATTGGACTTGGTTGACAAACAGACAGGCCTGGAAAATTACCGCGTTCACTTGGCGCTGGAAGAAGACAAGTTTCTCACCGGAGTTTCTGGATACAACGGTTCAAAGTGGGGCTTTACCTTTAAAATATTTTTTTGTAGGAAACGCCTGGTTTTTGATAAGAAAACCAAAAATGTAGATTTTTTAGTACTATGTAGATTTTTACAACAAGAAAAGAGAACAGGGGGGCCAATGCAGAGAGCCGGCCTCTGCACGCCTCTGAGGTGACTAGACATGGCTACCGGGCTGGGCCGGCCCGGAATAGTTAAAATCCAGAATCTCGAAGCGAAAATTGGGCTTGCTAATGTTGTGGGTAGGTATTTACCGTAGACCCTTATACAATCTGAAGGCGTTTGCATTCAATACTTTATTGAGGAGACCCTTCGTATACGCGTCCGTATGCGGAGCCTACAATAAAGCCAACTGGGGGAAATCGGGGTGCGCATCTCTCTTTAACCCGCCGCGCGGGGCTATGATTGATTACGCGCCACGACACTAATGAAAATAAATGGAATGTCAAAACACAATTTTTTGAAGGTATTTTTGTTTTCAGATACGGAAAAAGTTCCTTGTTTTGGCCACAACAAAGGTACTCCGCGAACTGCGCCCAAGCTTGGGCACTAAAGTTAGGAAAAAACGCTTCGACCTAGCTGGCACTGAATTACTATAATAGCTCTATAGTTTTAAGGGTACCTACGAAGGCTGTGACGACTCATTTAGTTCCATACGGAGGCAATAAGTTAGTTTTGCACATGTTTCATCGTATAAAGTGGGAAATCGCAGGCTGCAGCCTTTTTGAAGAGCAAGGTGGTACGTAAAAAAGAAGGTACCTCACTAACTAAATCCGCTGTCCGGGCATTGACAACGATGAATTGAGCGTGCACGCTAAATTTGGGCTAATTCCGACCAGTTTCCGCAAAGTTATAAGTTGCGGCCAAAATAAGGAACTTTTACCTTAGATACCTACGGAAACACAGTATTTATCCATTTACATGACGATAGAAAAAAAAATTTGGAAATAACGAGCTAGACTTGGGGAGACTTTTGTTTCAAAGGGCCGGCCCGGGCCGGGCCGAAGCAAATTTGAAACGGGCCGTGCCGGCCGACGAGCCAACTCATCTGTGACTTTGCAGGATTTGCCCCGTATTCAACAAAGCTTTCGAGGATGATTACTGCAAGAAAAAGTCATTTTCCGAAATGTTGGGGCATGATTTGGTGATGATTTCGTGTGCCGCCAATTTAGCGACCCCGTTCAAATTGAACGGAACGAAGCTTAGCCCGTACATACTCAACAATACGCGCCAGTTCAACTGCGAGAGCAAGCTTGCAGTGTTTGGAGATAAGATTGTCTTCAAAAATAAGGGAGAGGACGTCTGCAAAGAATTAAATTGGGCTGTGGATCACATTTGGAAAGCGTCGGAATGCGCAAAGGACGATGAATACAAGTTGAATTCAAAGAACGTCCTACTTTTTCCATTAGTAAGTCAAAAAAACGGGTCCCGACTTTTCGGGTTAGGGAGAGATCGGGTCAACGACATTCCGGGTTAACGATACCGTTTAACTTTTTCGCTTCGGGACTGGAAAAAAGAATATTTTGAAGAATTTGAACAAAATTTTCACGTTTACGTATACGTGAATCGTCCTGTCTTAACAGTCAACAGCGGAATAGTTCATCTAAAAAAATCCAGAAATAACATTTTTACTCTACTCTTTAAAGGAAAATTGTGACGTACAGATCGGTTATCCACAAAAAAATCTTTGTTTTCTTTTCCCGAAGCGAAAACGTTTCAAAATTTTGTTAAATTTTCACAAAAATTCTTTTTTCCAGTCCCGAAACGAAAAAATTAAACGATATCGTTAACGCGAAATGTCGTTGACCCGAAACGCCGTAGCGCCAAAAAATTGCTTTTGTTTATTTGTAATCTAAATAATTCTTGTTTTCAGAACTACATTCTTATTAAATTTTCGGCGGAAGGATGTAATCCACCTGGTCCTGAGGTATCCGATTATTTGAACAACACCTACGTCAAGTACCTGTACTATCCGAACGAAAGATCGTGGGTCCTTCGTTTTCTGTGAATTATATTTTTTTAGAAGTTCCGAGAATGTGACGATTGCGACGATCCAAGATGAATCCCCGAATTGGGCGCTGATAGGAGGAGGCATTGGCGGGGCGCTGGTGTTCCTCTTACTGCTGATAGTGCTGGCCATTTTTCTAATTCGACGATACAGGAAAAGGCAATATAGGTAAGCAAAGTTATGAAGAGTCGGAGTGGGACGATTGGGGAAAAACACGATTGGGGAAACCGAAAAGCGCACTATGAAAAAATTTTGAGAAATCTAAGCTACTCTAACTTTTGATCCAAAGAATCAATTTTTTCTTGCCTTAGGCAAAACTTTAGAAAAACGTTGTCAACAGGTAACTAGCTCAGAATAACGATACCAATCCATCCGAACCACCCCCGACTCTCTGGCATGTCTAATCTTTGTGATACAAAATTTTCGATAAAAGTGCAGTACAAAAAAAAATAGAAATTCCAAAATTTTTTGTTTTGTTAGTGTACTAACTGGGTTGAATTTCAGCCCTGTAGGACCAACTTGGAAAAAATGTGCCAAGGCACAATTTGGCCTTTAGGCGTTAGTGGTGTTGTTCTGTTGCTTAGTACTCCTATTTTCACCATGTACTACATAGTACCAGACAGTACTAAACAGTACCAGTTATTTAAAACGTGTTTTTGAGGAGTACTAAGCATCAAAACAACACCATTAACGCCAAAAGCCATATTTTCACCTCGTACTGTATAGTACCAGATAGTACTATAAAGAGGAAAGCTAACATGATTTTCGAAATCAGCACCCTCGAAAACCCCTAAATCCAGTATTTTTGGATAAATTCCAAAAAATTACTTTATAACACTACTGCTTAAGGAAAACTAGTAAAGTTCAGAAAAAATGAACCCGATATTCGAAATCAGCAACCTTGAAAACCCCTAAATCGAGTATTTTTAGAAAAAAATCGAAAAATTACTTTTTAACACTACTCCTTAAGAAAAAAGTAACAATAAAAAAAAATAACAAAATTTTTGAGATTAATAACAATAAATCCAGTCAGATGGTTCAGATGGCAGGTCTAAGCCTCTTCTTTGATTTTTCCCCGGTTCCGGAAGTGTCACTGTTCCGTCATTCCGGAAGTGTCACTATTCCGCCATTCCGGAAGTGTCCAAATTCCGGAAATGTCCTGATGCGATTAGTGGCATCCGCACAAGTTTAGAAGCTGTTCTAAGAACCTTGTTTTAGGTGGTATTGGCCATTTTTGAAATTGGCGCAGCGAAGTTGAAACCTTGTTCATTACCCACTGCACAGTAAGCTAAAACATTAGAGACCCTTAAAAGACCGAATGCCAAAAATCTTGGCATTCTGTTTATGGTTGATGTGCAAGGGGTTCTCTCGCGAACCTTGTTTTAAAGGGCTTGTACAGCTACTTTGAAAAGCAATTTTCTCGGCTTGGGGTGGCGTTCTGATATAACGTTTGTTTTCGTGGCGGGACGCACTGACAAACTCGGTGCGGCTTTTTTTGATCCAAAATGAGGTGTATAAGGTACATTTTCAAGCGTTATATGGCGACAATTTGTTGTTTTTGCATGGCGAAGTGGTAAGTCGTTGTTTTGAAAGATTTTTGATTGCATTTTTAGGTGGTTTTTATGTTGTAGATGGTTTTGAACCAACCCGCTCTTAATACTATTCATCTTGTACTCTGTAGTATTAGAAAGGGTATTACATTCTTATTTGCCGTACTTTTTCGACGGAGTGGCGCTATGAGCCATCTCCGACCTTGTACATGAGATAAAGATTGGTTTTGAATAAAATGTCAGTCAGGCTGTTTTTTGGGCATTAACCCTTTCCGGACGAGTCGGCACCTCCATGCAGAAATGAAAGAGGGTACCCTACTGAGTAAAGGCATAATAGTGGTTCAGCCCATCGAAGCGTTATTTGGGACTTATGACAAAAAATGTCCTAAAAAGTACCCCCAGTTGACATAACCCTTATAAAATTTTTCTAACGATCTGTAAATTAGAAACTACCCCTAGGTTAAAGTCTAAGACTCCTACTACTGTTACATCCAAGAACTGTCCAAATCGGACCACTACAGGATTAGTTATCGACTTTTGGAAATTGAATTTTAAATTTCGACCAATTTTTGACCCAAAATTGAGTATATCTTCCGCCGGAATCAACCATTTCAGTCTAAATGTGGTTTTTCTGAATCTAGAGTGACGGTAGCTTCTTCCCAGAATGTTTCCAGAAAAAACCTATGGGGCACTTTTCTGTAAAAAGCGAAAAGGTTGAAAGCGTAAAGGTTTCACCGTATAAAATGTCGCCGCAAACCGAGAAAGGTCGGGCGCAGCTCGAAAGGCGAAAATAATATATATTTTTTTGAGAAATACTATTTTAGTGTGAAACTAAAGCAAAATCCAATGAAATTGCCTGAAAACGCATTAAAAATATTAAAATGACATTGAGTTAATGTTTGCGTGCTCTGTCTGTCTGTATTTCATCTGAATTCAGCTTGTCGACACTAAAATATTATTTTTCGAAGAAAAATATTATTTTCGCCTTTCGAGCTGCGCCCGACCCTTCTCGGCTTGCGGCGACATTTTATACGGTGAAACCTTTACGTTTTCAACTTTTTCGCTTTTTACAGAAACGTGCTCTATAGGTTTTTTCTGGAAACATTCTAGGAAGAAGCTAGCGTCAATGTAGATTCAGAAAAACCACATTTGGACCGAGATGGTTGATTCCGGCGGAAGATATACTCCATTTTGGGCCAAAAATTGGTCGAAATTTAAAATTCAATTTCCAAAAGTCGATAACTAATCCTGTAGTGGTCCGATTTGGACAGTTCTTGGATGTAACAGTAGTAGGAGTCTTAGACTTTAACTTAGGGGTAGTTTCTAATTTACAGGTCGTTAGAAAAATTTTATAAGGGTTATGTCAACTGGGGGTACTTTTTAAGACCTTTTTTGTCATAAGTCCCAAATAACGCTTCGATGGGCTGAACCACTATTATGCCGTTACTCAGTAGGGTACCCTCTTTCATTTCTGCATGGAGGTGCCGACTCGTCCGGAAAGGGTTAAACTTGCCAATGCTGTTAAATTATACAGTGTGCATCTACTTAATGAAAAAAAGTAGCTTGCTCTATGATCTCGAGTATTTTCTTGGCATATCATCTTCAACAAGTAGTTACCGTAACAATTTGTACCCCGAATTACCAAGAGGAATGGACGAAAATCACAAAATTTGATATGCAAATTTGAACGCAGCGTGCCTGAAAACGTAATGCTACAATCATTAGCCGTTTCAGAATAAATCGGGTCTGTTAAGTTGGTTCTACAAAAAAGTTCCGAAAAATAGGCCAAAATAGGCTTGCTTTTACCCATTTTTCCTTGAACCAACCACCTGCGGCAGATAGAACATTTAAGCAAGAAGTAAGATACGGCTATAGGTTTGTTAACATGCTGAGTTTGATTTTCGGGGCAAAAAGTTCCCATAGATAGTAATTTTCTGTACTTTAGGGCCTTTGAAGGTTACTGTAGAAGGTAAACGGTAGCTTAAATGACTTAAAAGGTCGATTAAATGACTTCAAACTAATCGGTGTCGGTTTGTTTTACATCTTGCATTTGGTACAAGTAGTCTAAGTTGTTTCTTGCCGAAAATAAATCACTAATCGGAATTTTTTTTTAAAACCAATGTTTACCTGATGTACAAGGACGGAGATGGCTCGTGGGGCCACTGCGTCGATAAAGTACGGTAGATCCGAATGTAATACCCTTTCTAATACTACAGAGAACACAAGGAATGGTATTATGGGCAGGTTGGTGTAACTATTATTTTAGCCTTTTATTTTATGTTAATTCAGTTAATAGAATATAAAGAAGCTAGATTTTCAATTTCTGATGGAGTGTATGGTAGAATTTTTTATTTGTCTACCGGATTTCATGGGTTTCATGTTTTGTGTTTACAAATACAAATAAATTTTTTATTACTTTCATTTTCTTAATCTCTTCAGAATTATATTTTAAATAAAATAAAAAAGTCGAAAATTTTAGATTAATATTTTTAATTTTTTTAAAAATTAAAACAGCTTTTTTGTAAGGGTCGAGCTAGCTGTGCACATGAAACAGGATGTCGCAGCAGAGTCGTGAAACAGTAACCATAGGTTTCCCTAATCACGAATATTAAATTTCAGAAAAAAAAATTTTGATTATTGGCCTACTGTAGGTGTACTGTAGCTTTCCCGCATTCCCGGATCTCAGCTACAAGAGGTCGGGTTGTATCCGGACCTTCTCTGAATCATAGAATGGACAATTCTAAGCATCTTTCATGTTGGGCACTTTTTCCTATCTGTGCCGGAAGTATTCTAAAAATTTGCATAATTGTCAAAAAATTCACATTTTTCAAATTTTATAGAAAAATTTGCATAATGGCATGACATTTTTATTACCCTAAAAGATGCTCCGTGATGTGGCAATTCAAACGGTATATAGATCACCGCAAGGGGTTCTGCCTATGTTGCAAACGGGTCGTCTAAATATTGGATCATCAGGAATTCAATTTTTCTGAACGTCAAATTTTGTCAAAAAAATGTGGTGTTTGGTATGACCAAAGATTGTATTGGACTTCAAAGTGGTTCCAAAGTAAAAATATGTAATTTTATGACAAAATAATGTTATAAATCTTTAAAAGACGAGTCAGTGGACATAGGAAAAAATCAATTTTGAAATTTTTGCATTAAAACGACCGTCGATAGATGCTAAGCAAAAGCGAAGGACGTTTTTTGCCTAATCCTCCATTAAGATATATTTTTTACAATTTACTGTTTTTTAAGTAATCGCTTATAGTTGTCGTATTTTAGCTCTGAATACAACAATTTTAAGCTTACTGATGTTTTCGACCATTGCTAACACGACGGAGCTATTATTTTTTTCGTTTCCTACTGTAACTTCCCGTGATACAGTATTGGCCGAAAAAAAACGGCCGTAAAATCTTTGTTTCTAAAAACCCCCAGCTGATTTTTTGATATGTTAATCAGCGTAAAATTCTGCTCTAGATGCAATCAAAAAAAGTGCAAAAAGTGGTACGACAAATTTCGTGGTGTAGTGGTTAGTGGGCGGGACTACCATTCCAGCGTCCCGGGTTCGATTCTGGCTGGGTGCAGATGTCAAAAAAATTCCGCAAATCAATTTTTTAATTACCTATTTTTACTTTGGAACCACTTTGAAGTCTAATACAATCTTTGGTCATACCAAACATCAAATTTTTTTGACAAAATTTGACTTTAATTCCTGATGATCCAATATTTAGACGACCCGTTTGCAACATAGGCAGAACCCCTTGCGGTGATCTATATACCGTTTGAATTGCCACATCACGGAGCATCTTTTAGAGCAATAAAAATGTCATGCCATTATGCAAATTTTTCTATAAAATTTGAAAAATGTAAATTTTTTGGCAATTATGCAAATTTTTAGAATACTTCCGGCACAGATAGGAAAAAGCGCCCAACATGAAAGATGCTTAGAATTGTCCATTCTATAATTCAGAAAAGGTCCGGATACAATCCGACCTCTTGTAGCTGAGATCCTGGAAATGCTGGAAAGCTACAGTACACCTACAGTAGGCCAATAATCAAAAAAATTTTTCTGAAATTTAATACTCGTGATTAGGGAAACCTATGGTTACTGTTTCACGGCTCTGCTGCGACATCCTGTTTCATGTGCACAAGGCAAATCTGAAAGCTCGAGTCTTTCGCAAAACCTGTTTTAAGCACTTAAATTTAAATTAAAAATTATTTATTTTTTTTACTAACAAGGGATCGGCAAATAGTTGTAACCTGCTTTCTTAACGAAGCCTATATCATTTGAAAGAGGATTAAAAATAGTTCACAGCGCAAAAAGAACTAGCTGCCTAAATTCACTTTGGACAAAGTTATGGCCAAAATACAGATTTTAGCCTAATTTCCGCCTCGCTTTATAAACTCTCGGAATGGCAACAGAGTTGTGTCCAGTTGGTCGAGTGGTAGTGAGCCCACTTTCGGCGCAGCGAGTCCTGGTTCTGAATCCGGTCTCTCTAAATATTTTGCGTTTCTTCTCTTATACACTGCTCGACAAAATTATAAATGCACTTTAAAAATCGCTTTAACTTTTGTGGTTGTCAATGAAATTGTGCCATATTTGGCTCCAATATGTACTAGTGTACTATAAATCTTGTGCCAAAAAATTATTTTGGAAACTTTCCACAATTTGGAAAAAAGTTGAAAAAACCGAAATTTTGGTGATTTCCTTTGCGACAAAATTATAAATTCGCGCAATATTTTGCAATTTTCTAGCCGTTGGTGCTGAAGCAAAGTAAGTAATTGGGCTTAGTAGTATCCTTAGGGGTCCTTCTGTCATGCTACGAGGAAAAATGATGGCAGAATTTGAGAAGGGCGAAGTTACGGCCCTGAAACGGCAAAGACCTTGGGTTTGGCAAATTTCGGCTCAGGTAGGGCGTTCTGCCGAAGTTGTGACGAACTACTCGGTTCACTCGGAAGTCCTCAACACATCTAAACGTTCTGGCAAAAAAGGTTCACCACCGCGGCAGAATTAAGGCAGAGAAATCCGCCGAGCTTCCAACTCCACCTTCTCTGGGTATCATATACATAGAGCAAGAAACAGGTCTCAATTGTAGCAGCATGGCTATGCTAAAGGCCCTGGGACACAGCGGTGTCATCACTGGACGTCATGTAAAATCATGCTTCAAGCTGGCCTAGGTTCGGTAAGCGCGCGACCGAAATTGGCCAAGGTGAGACTTTGACAAAACAGGTCCTCCAACATTACGGCACGGAAAGTAACGCGGTTCTCTTCTGATATAATGACAGTGATATGTGCTATGTGTGAAAGCGTCGAGGATATCGGCTGGCCATGCAATCTCCAAGGAATTCCTTACTGCAACGATGATAAACCTACCCTTGACTACTCAACCTGTTTTGTCAAAGGCACCTTGGCCAATTTCGGTCGCGCACTAACCGAACCTAACCATCTGGGGGAACGACGTCATATGACGTCCAGTGATGACATCGCTGCGTCTTAGGGCCCTCAGCATAGCTATCCTGCTACAATTGAGACCTATTTCTTGCTTTATATGAGACCCAGAGATGGTGGAGTTGGAAGCTCGGCGGATTTCATTGCCTTGACTCCGCCGCTATGGTAAACCTTTTTCGCCGGAACGTTTATGTGTGTTGAAGACTTCCGAGTGAACCGAGTAGTTCGTCACAACTTCGGCAGAACGCCCTACCTGAGCCGAAATTTGCCAAACCCAAGGTCTTTGCCGTTTCAGGGCCGTAACTTCGCCCTTCTCAAATTCTGCCACCATTTTTCCTCGTAGCATGACAGAAGGACCCCTAAGGATACCACTAAGCCCAATTACTTACTTTGCTTCAGCACCAACGGCTAGAGAATTGCAAAATATTGCGCGAATTTATAATTTTGTCGCAAAGGAAATCACCAAAATTTCGGTTTTTTCAACTTTTTTCCAAATTGTGGAAACTTTCCAAAATAATTTTTGGGCACAAGATTTACAGTACATTAGTACATATTGGAGCCAAATATGGCACAATTTCATTGACAACCACAAAAGTTACAGCGATTTATAAAGTGCATTTATAATTTTGTCGAGCAGTGTATGCCACAAAACCATGGTATGTTGACATTTTTTAATAATTTTTGTTCCTCCGCGGACAAAATCCATGGTTACGCAATTTTTCTGAGTTTTTGAATTTTTTTGAAACGACCACAAATTTGATGGTGATGAGAGTGGGTATGTCACTATCGTATAATTACAAGGGTGTTGTGCCAGTAACCTGACCGATTATGATTACTGGAGGATAATTCAATTTACAAGGGCCTATAAATATACATTTTATCAAAAAAATACGAAGATAAAATTGTAAAATCGGCCAAAGACACTATTGCTGACACACTGGACCAACCATTGGTAAGGCTAGGACATAAGAAATTTTCGTTTGTGAATGACCACGACGATCATATAAATGTATTTCCAAAGCTTTTTGCTCCAATTTTCCCTTTAACCTAGTTTTATTTACAATTTACTGTAACTAGCAGTAATGTCTAATAACATATAACCGAGGATTGGTAAAGCCATAAAACGACCGTGATAGACGTTTTTGGATACCAGGAAATTAATGAAGACGATTTCAAACCGCCAGGATTACTGTAATATAAGGAACCGGCGTTTTGGCCGCATATAACCCCTTTCAAAAAGCTGTCGTATCTATGCCCTAAGGTAATTTAGGCCGCTATTTTTTTTGCGCTGTGCACTATTTTTAATGCTCTTTCAAATTATATAGGTTTCGTTAAGAAAGCAGGTTACAACTATTTGCCGATCCCTTGTAAGATAAGTCTGTGAAAATTTTTTTTGTAAAAATTAATAATTTCTTTATAAAAAAATTTTAAAATATTTAAAAAAAAAATATTTTAAAATTTAAAAAATCGCCATAACGTCAGAGTACTGAAGTCAAATCGGATGAAACTTTGCATAGCGTATTCTCAAAGGTTGGTTAACACTTGTGTAAAATTTCATGGCATTTGAGAAAAAACCCCCCGAGATACGATCAAAAAATGGGGTGGAACCAAAAACCTGGGACGCACTGTATGTCTATTTGCAGACATCGCGCATTATATGTCAGATTTGATTTCTCCACCGCAATGGAAACCACCAAGAAGTGTACGGAGGGGTTCGATGTAGTCAAGCTGAAAAGTGGGATGAAACTCGTCGTCCCGGTGAGTTGTTTGACTCTTTGAGTTTGACTTGTATTATAATATATAATGTATAATGATTTTTTTTCAGAAAATCATTGATAATGCCGAGGTGAAGCGGATGGTCGCCCAAGGCGAATTCGGAGCATTTTACGAATACGAATACAAGGGGACATCGTACTGGTACAAGTTGGAGGCAAAGCTAGGCCCCAAATACAAGCAACCGCTCGCCTGCGAGAGCGGCGTCTACCAGCTGATGGACAAGAATTCCAAGAGCCCAGACAAACAGTAAGTTGGATGACCCCAAAACCGTTTGTTTCAGATTCATCTACATTGGCAGCATGCTCAGCAGCTGCCAATTTTCTGAAGGCGTCTACTGCATGCGGGTCGAAAATTATGGCCCGAACATTCGCGAGATGCGCCAAGGACAACTCATGGCTCCGTTCGAGGCGCAAAAACTCTTCTTCCAGTTGCTTTACTGCATGAAAGCGCTGATCAACTACGGGATTTGCCATAGGTACATCAAGGAGAGCGCATTCTACGTCAAGAAAGACCGAAATAGGTATCGGGTGAGTGCATGTTGAGTTTGTATTCTCCCTAAAACTTTTTTTCTACTCCCGATGCGAAAAGATTTCAAAATTTTGTTGAATTTTCCAAAAAATTCTTTTTTTCCCAGTCCCGAAGCGAAAACACTTCAAATTTTTTTCAAATTTCACAAAAAATCCTTTTTTTTCAAGTCCCGGAGCGAAAACATTTCAAATTTTATTCAAATTTCACAAAAATTTTTCTTGCAGTTCGTCATTACTGACTTCGGATATGCAATTCGCATCGGCTCGGAACGCTCGGCGTTCTATCCAATCCCCGAAACGGCAACCACTCACATCCACGCGAAGAAGGCGTTGAAGTCGGAGGACACGGAGAGCCTTCTCTACATGGTATTGGGCATGATGGCTCCTCTGCCTTGGGCGGGAATGAAAAAAATTGAGGAAGTCACGAAGGTCAAGTTAGAGTGTACCGACGAGAACTCGATTCCCGAAGAATTCTTCGACATCAAGGAGGCTGTGACCTTGTGTCTCATGAGGGGGCTCTACACGGATGATTTGGAGATGGAAAACGTGGCCACGGGCATCCTCAGATATTACTTTTTGGTATGTGGAATTTAATTTTTTTTACATGCGAATTGGTTTTTAAGCGCATTTTATATTTTGAAAAACTTTCAGGTCGGACCGTTGGACGAGCTCCATCTTCCTGTGCGTTTCCCCAATTATCATTTCAAGTTGATGGGCACGTTCAAGTCGTATGACTATTAAGACCCGAGAGCATCGAATTTTTTCGTAAGAAAATTAAAATAAATATTTTTATATGTGATTTTTTTTGACCGGCTATCTAAAGTCAGTATTCCATGTCGTCCCCATCTTGATTACTTTTATTGAAATCAAAAAAACTTAAGAAACGACGTATTTTATCCTCGACAGAAGCAGTACCAAGCGGCATGGAGAAGGCCGGGAATGCTAAAAAATGACGTCATTATTAAATAAAATCAAGCCCAGAAAACTTACTAAAAAAAGAGCGTCAAGAGGAGATTCACACAAACGGGACATGAGCATCCATTCCCATCAACATTGTCCTTCCAGAAAACGGCGATTGGCTGAAAAGACGGGATCTTTTGGAAGTAAAATACGAATTTCCCATTAGATATTTTTAAAAAATGAGTTTTTTCTTGATTTTTTGATGAATACGGCTGAATTTACAAAGAAAAGGAGGGGTGTACTTATTTTACAAAAAGATTCTGAAAAATCGGCGCTTTTATGGATGAAAAACGTCAAATTTTATGATTTTTTTTAACTTTCCTATGTATATTACAAGAATGTCGAAAAGCGCATTTTACAAACATTAGCATCATAAAACAGAACAAAAACTCACGGGAAGAAAAATGCAAAGGCAAATCATAATGACGTCATCGGTATTTCCAGTCCTGAAATTGAGTTTTTTAGATTATTTCGATGAAAAAATCGACTATCAAGGAATGAAACTGTAATTTCAGAACTTACTGGACCATTTTGAATAATGAATCTCAAAAGGTTTCTGGTGAAATCTGAAATTAAAATCAAAGAATTAGGTTAAAATCAATTAAATTTGTGTTCAAATCGCGGTATTAGCATGAAATTCTTTGAATAAAATTATACATTACAAAAATCAAAGGCATCGTATTTTACATTAAAAAAATAATTTTGATTTCACTTAAAAAATAATAAAAATATAACAAACAAAACTCATTTCTTAAATTAATTGTGCTAAAATTCATCAAAATTTTTTTTTGTCCAACACACTTCGTAGTTCTTCCATTTGCTTCTTTATTATTAGTGACTTTGCAAATTTGAAAAAATCGCACAGTGCGGGGCGAAAAATAGGCTAAAAAATGGACTGCACAGTGCAAAAAAAAACTTTTTTTTGAGAATGCAATTTATCGCTGGGGAATAGAAAAAAAAGTTAAAACATCAACACTTCTGAACTGTATAAATGGTATAACCAAGTATTTTGTGGTATAACAACCATAAAAATTCCCAAAAATACCGAAATTTTCAAAAGATTTCAGACTGAAAACGTCCTTGTTTACATTGTTTATAAGCAAATGGTTTTATTATACAAGGCCATGAGTCAACAATCATTCCAAGATAAGACCTGTTTTGGTTGGGAAATTGAATTTTGAAGGGTGCATTATCGACCTTTCGGGCTGAATCACAAGTCGTTTAGGTGAAAAAATCCAGAATAAAACTAAGAATTGTGTGAACTATGAGCAATTTGCAGCTATAAAAACTTCTTGTTTCCATCTTGTGACCCTCCTACGTATTGTGTCGAAATTTTATTTTTTTTGTGGAAATCGCACAGTGCAGTCTGAAAATTTCGGTTTTTCTGCACAGTGCGGAGTGTAATGAGAATATTGAAATAAAAAATGTGGTGTGAAAAGTCATGAGATTCAATTATATTTTCTTTTTAAACCAGGCTTTTATCGCACAGTGCTAAAAAAATCCAAAATTTTTAATCTGCACAGTGCAGAAAAAGGAATGAGCAACTGCACGGTGCACCATAAAGCGAAAGTTGAAAAATTTTGCAAATGACGGCCTTATAAACTACTGTATCACCAGTTAAAAAATCCAACCTGAAATTGCACACCCCCACCGTGCAAAACTTTTCTTTTTTCTACTGCACAGTGCAGAAGAAAGAATGATCGATTGCACTGTGCGCGATTAGAGAGAAAATTGAAAAATTTTGCGAACGAGGGCCTAATGCCGTACTATTTGACTTGATAAGAAATTCAACCCAAAATTGCGCATCCGCACCGTGCAAACCCATCTCTTTTCTACCGCACAGTGCAAAAAAACAAACCATCATTTTCTTCACGAAAAATTTCAAAAATATCAAAAACATTGCTTCCATTACAAAAAATACAGCTAGTAATTTCTTCACATACCATCGAACTCCCCATTAAACATTGCAGAAACCAAAAAGTTTTGTAAAATCACAAAACTCACGAAAATTTTGCGCTTTTTGAGCCAACCCATCCAAACGACTTCCCGAATTCCACTTGAAATGGTGTTTCAGATCGGACAAAACAAATTTCTTCATTCGGTTGTTTACGATTAGATGTTTATATCAAAGAGAAATCAACAAAACATAAAACTTCAACAAGAAACAAGGGTAACAATGGCTGAACAATTTCCAGCAAAAAATCGGTTCCAAATTTTGGCTAACAGTAATAGGTGATAATCAAAGTCCCTTCAAAGGTACAATTCAAAAAAAATCGTATCTAAATCCAAGAAAAATCAAAAAAAATATTACTTTAGGCTATACGGGATTTTTCTTTCTTTTGGAGAATCTCTGGAACGGGATGCCCTTTCGTTTGCGGGTCTGCGCTTCAACGGCTTTGATCTCACTGTAGCGTTTCTTGTTCTTTTGCAGGGTTTTGTAATCGTCCATCAATTCCTCCACCATCGTCTGTTTCCGCTCCTTCTTGGTCATGCGGCTCGAGTAGAAGTCGGCATGGCTGTCGATGACACGGCCAGTCTGAAATAGAGTCCATTACAATCAATTTTTGGACAATTTTCCGCTACTTTTTAACAAACCAGGACTTTTATTTTTTCCCTTTGAATATTGTTGGGCGTATTTTACCCCTCTTTTTTATTGTCAAATCGCCTCGTTTTTTACTATGGTCATCATCTAGACACCTAAGAGGTCACAGTAAACTAAATTAATACCCAAAAAAGCAAACCAAAATCCAAAACTATAAAAAAACCCAAAATTTTACCCACCAAAGAAAAAAAACGCGTATTTTACCCAACTTTTCCATTTCACAAAAAATTATTTTTCATCTCCCAACAAGTACCAGTCTAAAAACTCGATGACTATCACAAAAACACATCTTAAAATTCCATAAATCCCCTTCAAAAACCGTAATTCCCAAAATCCTCACCTGGAAGTACTTGGGCAAAACTTTGAGGTCATTCTTTCGATAATGTGCAGTCGGATCAATGGAACCTCGGATCTGAAGCAACTCCAGGTCACGTTTAGTCTCTTCAGTAAGCTCCGTAGCCGGCAAATTGAACCATCCCTTTCCTTTGGTCGATTCTCTTTCGGCCTTCCGTTCTCTTTTCTGTTGTCTGGCGCTCTTCTTCTGGATCTCCTGGATCGCTTTCTTATCGTAATCATCGTCGACAACAGCTCTGGCCAGCATCTGAAGGGATTTCATTGCGTTAGAGAGGATGAAAATCTAAAAACCAAAAAAAAAAATGAAAAATTTTACCTTTTTGACGGCTTCTTCGTCAATTTCTGGAAGTGGTTCCCAAGTTTTCGACGATTTCAAAGGTTGATCACCTTCTTCATGAACTTCAGCATCTTCCGCATCCTCAATTTCTCCCGATTTCTCTGGTTGAGCATCTTCAAAGAACAAATCTTCATCATCAACATCACCTCCTTCTTCTTCAATGTTTTCAGGGTCAAATTTCTTTCCAATCTTCTTTTTCTCTTCCTCAACCAACTTCGCAAGCTCTCCACTGACCTCTTTTACAGCTGGATACCTCCTCGAAATTTTATAACACTCCTCATGGAAGTCTAAAATTATATTATTCATGACAAAGTTTAATATCTTACCGGGCTTTTCTTCCTCGGCCAACGACTTTTCAGCTTCATCAAGGACAATACGGACAAACTCGAGGTTCAAAACCTTGTCATCGCGAGAAACAAAGTCAGAAGGGCCATCAGTTTTGCACTCGGTGGTTTTTTCAGCGGATTTTGTTGGTTCACCCTCTTCCACGGTGTTTTTGAGCTGACTGAGTATGAACTGACTGAATATGAAAACTGGGTTTCTGTTACTTTACTACCTTTAGGGATTCTTTTTGAAATTTTTTCGACTTATAACACTTATAGACGTTAATGGTGTTGTTTTGGTGCCTAGTATTGCTTAAAAAACACATTTTTAACACTTGGTACTAAATAGTACTACCTGGTACTATTTAGTACGAGGAGCAAATTTGGCCGTAAGGCGGTAATGCCGTTGGTTTGGTGCTTAGTAGAACCCAAAAACACGTTTTAACACTTGGTACTATATAGTACCAACTGGTACTGTTTAGTGAGAAGTGAAAATTTGGCCGTAAGGCAGTAATGGTGATGGTGTGGTGCTTAGTAGAGCCCAAAAACACGTGGTACTATATAGTACCAGGTGGCCATTGGTTTTAGACAAAATTTTAGTGCTGGCGGCACCACAGTTAATAGTCAGTCAGACACCCTTTTTCTACTCACGATGCGAAAAGATTTCAAAATTTTGTTGAATTTTCCAAAAAATTCTTTTTTTTTTCCCAGTCCCGAAGCGAAAACATTTCAAATTTTTTTCAAATTTCACAAAAAATCCTTTTTTTTCAAGTCCCGGAGCGAAAACATTTCAAATTTTATTCAAATTTCACAAAAAATCCTTTTTTTCAAGTCCCGAAGCGAAAACATTTCAAATTTTATTCAAATTTCACAAAAATTTTTCTTGCAGTTTGTCATCACTGACCTCGGATATGCAATCAGAATCGGCTCGGAACGCTCGGCCTTCTACCCAATCCCCGAAACGGCAACCACTCACATCTACGCGAAGAAAGCGTTGAAGTCGGAGGACACGGAGAGCCTGCTCTTCATGATTCTGGGAATGATGGCTCCACTGCCTTGGGCGGGAATCAAGAACATTGAGGAGGTTAGGAAGATCAAGTTGGAGTGTACCGAAGAAGACTCGATTCCGGACGAGTTCAACACCAAAGAGGCTGTGACGTTGTGTCACAAGTCGTCCGTGTAGAGACCCCTCGGTCTCTACACGGACGACTTGGCGCTGGAAAACGTGGCCGAGATGTTGATCCTTTACTATCTCGCGGTATGTGGAATTTATTTTTTTTACCTGCAAATTGGTTTTTAAGCGCATTTTATATTTTGAAAAACTTTCAGGTCGAACCGACCGACGACCTCCACCTTCCCGTCCGTTTTCCAAATGCCGAGTTCAAGTTGGCGGGCACGTTCAAGTCGTATGACTAGTATGAGCTGAGAAATCATTTATCTTTTATGAGTAAATATTTTTATGCGTGATTTTTTTTGATCGGCCATCTAAAGTCAGTATTCCATGTCGTCGAAAAAAGGCGACCCATAATGTCTTGACTTCGCACTGCGGACACGTGCATTCGGCGTTGCAACGAGGTGCCCACGGCAACTCAAAATACAGGGTGTTCATAGAATCATGGAAAAAATTATTCATTAATAACTCTGCGCTCGGTGATCCAATCCGAAATTTTTTTTTTGCATTTTACAGAAAAACCTTGGAGTTTTTAGAATCTAAAAAAAATTTTCTTTTGTCGGCGGAGACTTCCGTAATCCGCGTTGAATTCGGCGGAGTGTTTTTACGCAAAATAAGGCTGTAAATCGTTGTATGGGTAAAGAGAATGGGCTGAAAAGGGTTCAGAAGACATAATATGACATTTCTTTCAAATTTTTATGCTTTGACGGAGATATTTTTTAACCTCGGCGGACAATTTTTCTTCGACTCCGGGAAGTCAAAATTGGCTAAAACCAAAGAGTATGGTATCTCTGGTGGCATGGAGCCTAAAAACGACTTAATACGTCTTCAGCCGGCTGGCCGATGAAAAAAAGGCAATTCGGCGGAGAAATCGGCGAAGAAAAAAATAAACCCATTTAAGAAATTATGATGAGAAAACTAAAGTTGTAGGTCTTATACGGCCCTGATCAACCAAAAGTATGATTCTTCTTTTTGGCGGATGCTCGGCGGATAAATTTGCATAAGTTCTTAAATACGTTCATTTTTTCTTCGCCGATTTCTCCATTTGGCGGATCGCGACGGCTTTGACGAAATTCCCTTTTTATTAGGTTGGGGAATAAGTTCGTAGAGCTTTTTATTGTTTTGTTTTGCTAGGATTGTTTGTTGTTTGGCAAAGGTTATATATATTATCTGATACAGTTTTTTCTCCTCTACAAAACTGTGTTTTTAGTTTTTTTTGAAAATTAAATTTTTTATAATTTTTGGGGCTTAAAAAGTTTTTGAGGTCCTCTTCGCCACCGAATTTTTCACCTCGGATTTGGTTCGACAGAAAGCGGAAAAGGTGGTAATCGGTTGGCGCAAGGTCCGAGAGTATGGTGGATGCTAAATAACCTCCCATTCGAACTCATGGAGTGCGGTTTTGACGACTTGTGCAACATGAGAGCAAGATGACTCGTGGAGCAAGATGACTTGGCCTTGATTTCAGTCGAATAGCCCCATTTTCGAGGTGTAGTTGGGCATCATAGAGCTCCTTGTTGACAGTGGCGTTCTTTTGAGGCATGTCCCAATGCACCATGCCTTCCCAGTCCCCCCAAATGCAGATCATGGCCTTTTTGGGTGGGGATCTTGCTTGACTGTCCCCTGGGGTCACCCACTCCAGGAAACAGTCAACATTTTGCATGATATTGACGTACAGACACCATTTTCATCCCCAATGATGATTCGACACAAAGACCGCCGTTTGCGTCCACGTGCTGCTCGGCGAAAAAAGCAGGTGTCGAAAACGCAAATTTTTGCCTCCTAGATGGTTCACTTTTAAGCCCAAAAAATAATTAAAAATTAAATCTTCAAAAAAAATTAAAAACACAGTTTTGTAGAGGAGACAGAACTCTTTCGAACGCATATATAAACTTTTCCAAACAAAAAACAATCGTTGCAGGACGAAGCAATAAAGAAATCGTTGCGGACTTATTCCCCAACCTAATATTTTGACGTGTGACGGTTCTCCTAATCTGTACAACAAATAACTACACTGCTAGGTGCAATTTTATTTGTACCGTTGGTTGTAACAGCTTCTGTCATGACCAAAATCCCGCAGATATGGTATCAAAAACATAATGCCTTAAAAATCATTGACAAGTCTTCGATACTGTCCTGATTTTGTAAAGATTTTGACGTGAGAAGATTTTTTTCCGGATGATGAATGGGATATTAATTCTTCCATTATTTCTGCTAATGGTCACTGACGTTCTTCAAATTTATTGCACATAAAGTACGTGCCGTTGACTTTGTATCAGCCTACGGAATCATGGTTGGCGGCCGGTCTGGCGGCGCTGGTGGCGGAAACAGAAAGAAGCCCCAAAATTTTGGATTTTTGTGTTTTTGAGGACCTCAACGCCAGTTATAGCTCATGTTGCTCCAAAATTCCGTGATTATAGAGCGTATACTTAGCCAATCGTTATAGTGTAAAAGCTCAAGGCACGGTCATTCGGAACTTGAAACGTTTTGGCAGTTTGTAAAAAATTGACAGTGAACGATATTTATGATCTGAAAACCCCGTTTTACATCTTTGTAGTCATTCTCTATCCTAGGGCGCAGGCTGCCAAAAAAAAATTTCTGAAAACTTCAAGGTTTGCTTGCAAATCGGCTGGCGTTTTGTTACATTTTTTGTAAACTTTTAAATAGCCCTGTCAGCTCCTGGAAAACCCGCAGAAACCCCGGATATCTCTCGACCAATCTCCCCCAAAGTACAATATATACAAAAGGGCCCGTTTTTACGTCAACTTTTGCGAGCTGTAAAAAGCCTAATTGTCATAATGAGGCAAAATCAATTTCAGTGTATAAAAACCGACCACAGCTCTATCAGAAAAAGTAAATTTCAGCCCATAGCATAAAACGATAAAGATAGCGCAACCATTTTTTTGACCAATTTGGGGTCCGCGTTTCAGGCGCCTTAGTTGTAAGCACTTATAACGGCAAAACATGTGTCGTAGACAATTATTTTGTCTGAAACTTTAAAAATGGCTTCTAGGACGTATTACACGTGCCCACAATCGCCCACTTTGTTCCCGTACTCTTACAGCCCGCAGGGCAAGCAAACGAAACAATATAGATAAAAAAATGGTTGTAATAAACGTACTTAAAACAATCTTAAATTCGCTATTGATGAATTACAGAGAAAATTTATACAGAATACATCGAATAAACATACCGCATAAGGCTCAAATATATTATCAATTTTGCAATTTTTCTGCTCTTACTTACGTAACTTCAATCAAACATACTTCTTTGAGAAAATCAAATAATTTCTGCTTTAAGACAGAGACAAATTACAGAAAATCTCTACATCAAGCAAAAAATAAATAAATTTCGAGGCGAGACATTTTGATGCGACCATCCGTCATTATTTTTCCGACAGACTGATAAGCAAAACAATGTTATGTCGCCGAAAATATGTGGAAGTTGGAGGTGTTGGATACGGCCGGTCAAGACGAATTTGCAGCCATGAGAGAGCACAACGTCCGAAGTGGCGATGGATTTCTACTAGTATTCTCGTTCCAATGTGGCTGAAAATAAGTGCGATTTGAAGGAAAAAGGTCAAACAGCCTTTGCATGTTCTGAATATTTTATTGAGTAAAATTGATTGGAAACCTTAAAAAATGATGACGAAAAGTTGCAAATTTTGCTTAAAAATACTGGGAAATTGGTTAAAAAATCAAATATTAAGAAGATTTAACACGGCTATTTGTATCGCCGAATTAGAAAAATGGCCAGCCCTATCAGCAGTAAGAGGAACACCAGCGCCCCGCCAATGCCTCCTCCTATCAGCGCCCAATTCGGGGATTCATCTTGCGCAATCGTCACATCCTCGGAACTTCTAAAAAAATATAATTCACAGAAAGTGAGGACCCACGATCTTTCGTTCGGATTGTACAGGTACTTGACGTAGGTGTTGTTCAAATAATCGGATACCTCAGGACCAGGTGGATTACATCCTCCCACCGAAAATTTAATAAGAATGTAGTTCTGAAAACAAGAATTAGATTACAAATAAAACAAAAACAATTTTTTGGCGCTACGGCGCACATCAACCACAAAGAGAATGCCAAGATTTTTGGCATTCGGTTTTTTAAGGGTCTCTAATGTTTTAGCTTACTGTGCAGTGGGTAATGAACAAAATAACATGAACCTGCAATTGAAACATTACCAAGGACCCATATTTTTTTAATTAATGGATTTTGGCGTTCTTCGGCCACCAGGTTAGCGAAAAACTGCCGGAGAAAATCGAATTTTTGCAAACTTTGCGGCCGAATAACTTGTCTAAAACTATTGAAACACGGAAAGTGATTGCAACGATCTTCAGAATATTGTATTCTAAGGTAGTATGCGAAGTTTGAAGCAAATCGGACAAATAATAAAAAAGTAGATGCGATTTTAAGCTTTTTACCTTATGGATTATATTACTTTAGGCAACTTTTAATGTCCGACAGCGTTAAATAGTTTAATTAATTAACTATATTATCTCATAACATCCTGTTAAGGGAGATTAATTGCAAAAATTTTAACTCTCAGGCCGAAAAAAAAGTTTTACCTTATAGTAGCATACCTGACCTTATACCAAAAATAATGAAAGTTTATGACTGAAGTCAAAGTTTTAAAACTATCTATGTGAGTTGAGATGGCTTTCTAAGGCTATACTGAGCTTTTGGAGTTGGTTTCAACTTCGCTGCGCCAATTTCAAAAATGGCCAATACCACCTAAAACAAGGTTCTTAGAACAGCTTCTAAACTGGTGCGGATGCCACTAATTATGCTCTTATTGTCTTTTTAGATCATAGTGGACCTAGCTGAGTCAAAATTTACCGATTTTTAAAATATTATTTTAGTCACCTAAATATCAGTTTTTTTGGATTTTGAGTGAGTAAGCTAGTATATGACACAGGGTTGCTTATTGTTCTCTAAAACTACTCTAATTATGCTCATAGAAAAATGAATTTAGGCAATTGCTTCGTTACGAAACGATTTAGTAGCAAAAGATGTCTAAAATAAGGTTCAAATCTACTATTTTTTAGTCAGTCCGACTCGTTTCCAATTTTTAATTTGAGCTACCCTTGGGCACCCTAACAAAGCTTTGCAAACAGTTTTCCCGATTTGAAACTTTTTTTGTGGTTGATGTGCGGCGTCTCGGGTCAGGGACAGCTCGGGTCAACGACATTTCGGGTTAACGATACGGTATCGTTTAATTTTTTCGTTTCGGGACTGGAAAAAAAGAATTTTTGTGAAAATTGAACAAAATTTTAAAACGTGTTCGCTTCGGGACAAGAAAACAAAAAAAAAGATTTTTTGTGGAGAATCAACCTGAATGTTCTTCAAAAAATTCTGTTTTCCTAGTCCCGAAGCGGAAACATTAAACGGTATCGTTAAACCGTCGTTGACCCGACCTCTCCCTGACCCGAAAAGTCGGGACCCGTTTTTTTGACTTACTAATGGAAAAAGTAGGAAGTTCTTTGTATTCAACTTGTATTTATCGTCCTTTGCGCATTCCGACGCTTTCCAAACGTGATCCGAAGCCCAATTTATTTCTTTGCAGACGTCCTCTCCATTATTTTTGAAGACAATCTTATCTCCAAACACTGCTAGCTTGCTCTCGCAGTTGAACTGGTCCGCGGTTTTGCGTCCGTACGGTTCAAGCTTCGTTCCGTTCAATTTGAACGGTAAATTCTTTATTTCCTGCAAACACCCAATCCTCACCAAATCATGTCCCAAAATTTCGAAAAATGACTTTTTCATGCAGTGATCTGAATCGAAAGCTTTGTTGAATACGGGGCAAATCCTGCAAATTCACAGATGAGTTGGCTCGTCGGCCGGCATGGCCTGTTTCAAATTTGCTTCGGCCCGGCCCGGGCCGGCCCATTGAAACAAAAGTCTCCCCAAGTCTAGCTCGTTATGACCAAATTTTTTTCTATCGTCATGTAAATGGATAAATACAGGGTGTTTCAATAAATTCCGCGGAAAGTCGTCGTCGATTTCTCGGCTCTCAGAGTAGCTTTTTTGACAATCCCACTTATCTCAAACGCTTTATTACGAATTTTGACGGTTCAAAAGAGGATGAATCTTGATGATTGAAGGAGGATTTGCATATTTCTATGTTTATCAAGCATTCGGCGAAGGTATGGCGGACGCTTTCCATATCGGCGGAGGCCATAACTCATCTTCGGACAAAGACACAGAGCTGGGAAATGGCTCGAAATGATTCCTGTGCTCTGGTTGACACCATCCTTCATCATTTCTTATGAAAATCAAATTTATTCTCAGTTTGGCGGAGGAATCGGCGGAGGCCATAACACATCTTTGGTTAAAGATACAGAGCTGGGGAATTGCTCAAAATGGTTCATGTGCTCTGATCAACCCCAGTGCTGAGCGCATGAATCATTTCGAGCCATTTCCCAGCTCTGTGTCTTTGTCCGAAGATGAGTTATGGCCTCCGCCGATATGGAAAGCGTCCGCCATACCTTCGCCGAATGCTTGATAAACATAGAAATATGCAAATCCTCCTTCAATCATCAAGATTCATCCTCTTTTGAACCGTCAAAATTCGTAATACAGCGTTTGAGATAAGTGGGATTGTCAAAAAAGCTATCAAATATCTCCGCCAAATACATTGCATTCCGCGTCGGCGTAGAAAAAAATCTTTTTAGGCAAAAAACCGCCCACTACCTTCTTCCTACTGCAAAAAAAATTTTTTGGATATCGTGGCTGAGCGCCGAGAAATCGACGACGACTTTCCGCGGAATTTCTTGAAACACCCTGTACTGTGTCCCGTAGGTATCTAAAAACAAAAATACCTTCAAAAAATTGTGTTTTGACATTCCATTTATTGTCATTAGTGTCGTGGCGCGTAATCAATCATAGCCCCGCGCGCCGGGTTAAAGAGAGATGCGCACCCCGATTTTCCCCAGTTGGTTTTATTGTAGGCTCCGCATACGGACGCGTATACGTAGGGTCTCCTCAATAAAGTATTGAATGCAAACGCCTTCAGATTGTATAAGGTTTTCAAACGACTGAGAACCAGGGTCTACGGTAAATACCTACCCACAACATTAGCAAACCCAATTTTCGCTTCGAGATTCTGGATTTTAACTATTCCGGGACGGCCCAGCCCGGTAGCCATGTCTAGTCACCTCAGAGGCGTGCAGAGGCCGGCTTTCTGCATTGGCCCCCTGTTCTCTTTTCTTGTTGTAAAAATCTACATAGTACTAAAAATCTACATTTTTGGTTTTCTTATCAAAAACCAGGCATTCCCTACAAAAAAAATATTTTAAAGATAAAGCCCCACTCCTTAGCCTTGTATCCAGAAACTCCGGTGAGAAACTTGTCTTCTTCCAGCGCCAAGTGAAAGCGATAATTTTTCAGGCCTGTCTGTTTGCCAACCAAGTCCAGTTTCTCGTCACTGAAAGTAACATTTGATGTTGATAAATTTTCTCAAGTTTATCGCGCGCACCCCAAATGCGTCACATTTTAATCCCTCAGAACTTCACTTCCGAATCTACCAGCGAAGCAAAGATACAGCGGCGGACCTAATCCGGTGGCAAAAAAACGTGCCATTTTGCATCCGGCAAGTCTCAAAAACGCAGCAAAATACCTCCCTCTCGAACTAAAAAACTGCACAAAATTAGGGTCACCTACTTACTAGATGAATTCTGGCACATAAAATTGAAATTTTGCACCCGCGTCCCACTTACGTCACATTTTTCTCGGACGGATTGTACGTGTATCGAATAAAAACTCCATCATTCTCTTCTGCATGGGTTATTATCTGGAACTCGTTCGGGACTTGACCCTCAAATTTCGTGGTCAAGTTGAGACACTGCAGAAAGGTTGTTATCGAGGAGTAGAACTCCGCTGTCGAAGGAGAACTCATGTCGGAACCGCCGCACGGAGAGGCGAGAGAGAGAAAAGAATGAAACGCACCAATTTAGATTTCAGTCTTCATAGTGCAAAATTTGCATAAAAATCGAATCTTTTCGGGTTGGTTGCGTCAAAGTGGAACAAGTCATTACCATCATTACCGTCGGGTATCCGCATCGCATGGCCTAAAAATCAATCTCCTACAACATAAATAACTCACACGTTTAAGGAATTCCGGCTTCTGTTCGATCAAATACCGCGGTATTTGATAAGACCGTCTTTCCATTGGTGATCCAACTTCTGGACGGCCCAGCCCTACAAATAAAAGATATAATTGTGACTACCATTAAGCACAGCCTTACCGAAAAAAGATCATTCCAGCTCTTCGACTATTGGCGTTAGTACTGATGAATGGCAGGTCTTTGGCGGAAAAGTCGACATCCACCTGCTTTTCTTCGCAAAACGACACCGGGCGCTGAATTTACACTTTAGACTCAAAATTGGACGATTTTTAAACTATTTTATTTGCTCACCATGGATAAGATACCAAGACGATTATTCCCAAAATAGTTATAGATCTAATACCAAAACTGGATCAGGGAGCTCCATAGAGCGTATTTAGAAAAATCTTTGTACAAAATTAGAGAGAATTTTCCGTATTTTCGACATTTTCCATCAGGTATGCCCAAACACCAAGTACAACATAAAAAAACTCACAATATAGGTCCGATTAACGCTCGATACCTCCGATATGACTATTTTGTCGTTAAAAATGCTTTTGCGGAACTGGATAAACGTACGGGAGGGCGGTATGTTCTTCTTCCAGCATACGCAAAGCTCAGAAACCAGCAAAGGCGGATAAGTATAACACGTCCAGCAATAAGAAAAAATTCTAATCTAAATTCCAAATTAATTCAGAAACCAAGATTACCTCATTTCCAGCCTTCGTTGCGATTTAGTGATTCACCTAAAGTCGTTTTAGTTTTGCTGTTATATTATACTTGATACCTAAAATAGTATAATTTCCTATCTTACAGGGGAAGTACTCCAAGTGCGAAGCTCAGATTTTCTTTAAATTTTGCACACACGTCGGGTATGGACTAAATATCAATTCCTGAAAGTTTTAGCTCGCGCTTTGCAGGCGCCGCCGAGATATCGGACGATTTTTGCCGCCGAGAGAGCACGCTAAACGTGGAGAGCGGTCAGAGAGAAACGCGCTTTTTGGCCATAACTTTGGCAGTTTCATGCGGAGAAACTTGATTTTTTGTTGAAACATTATCCTTTACGGCTTTACGGTATATACAGGCATGAAACTTTTCGTGCCGAAATTCGGCAAAAAGTCCTAAATTTTCGCCGACTTTTGATCTAAAAATCTCGGTTGTCTCTGCAAAGCGCGAGCTAGGATTTTCGCATATATCTTAGAAAAAATTACTCTAAACTTGTGCCAAGTTTTATCAAAATCTGAGCGTCGCACTTGGAGTACTTTCCCTGTTAACTTAAGGACAGAGACTTCTTTCCAATGATTGTGGTTGGAAATAAGTGCGATTTGAGCGCGCAACGGCAGGTGAGTAGTTGCACTGAATTTGGTCCAAACGAAGTGTCACGACTAGGGTTCGGAAAAATTCGGGTATATTCACCACGCGGGTATATACCGGGTATATTCGGGTATTTATAAAATAAGCCTAAATTAGTCCAATATAGTACCAATATGAAGTCGTTAATGAATAAGTAGCCAGTTATTCATTAACCTAATCATGTTTGGAGAGATATTCTTTATTTTCCCAACTACAACAAACAAAACTAGTACTTTAGCAATCAGAAAGTTTAGCAATCCAGTATTTGGCAGTCAGATTTTGAACTTTTCCCGTTTATTTTCCGACAAGTAAATTTTAGCCTTACAACCAAGTTTTGAGAGGCAAAAAACAAATTATGACAAAATGTGAACATTTATTGATTCTTTATGACAAGACTCGATTTTTTTTACATTTTTTGAATGCAAAAGTAATTTGAATATACCCATAAATACCCGAAAATTCCCAGCCTCTCGGGTATTTGGGTATATACCCGGGTATATACCTGGGAATATACCCCGGGTATATACCCCGTCCGAACCCTAGTCACGACTGACAAAAGCAATAAACTAATTCCGAGAAAAAATGTCGAAAATTCTAGCATCGCGAGAAAAACATGTCATTAAAAGAGACATCGCCAGTTGTGGAAGGAGGGTTTGCCCTAGAATTTGACCCCCACTTTTTTCTGTCTCAACTGATGACATATAGGCTGTTAAACAACTTGGTGAATTTTTTTCAAAAAATTCGTCATCATGACCGAGATATGACACATTTATTGAATTTCGTTTAATGTGATATACTGTGCTAATTTATCGCCGAAACATCGCAGAACTGAGTACACATACGTTATAGGCCATGCTGAACAACTTTGTAATTGACCCCAAGTTTGCCAGGTTACTGTAACATACCGTAACGCCCATGCTCGATCAATAAATCTCGATTTTCTCGATTTTTTTCAATAATTTTCTCAGAATTTTTTTGCATTTTTGGAATCAGCATCAAATTCTGCATCGGATAGACTATATGCGCATCTCCAGATAGCTGTACAAAAATGTCGTGGCGCAACCGGTAGTGGGTCGGACTACCACTCAAAAGGTCCCGGGTTCGAGTCCGGGTGGAAGCATAAATGCTCAAAAGCGCTGGAAATTGTACCAAAACAGTTTTAATCTATTGGAACTGTGGTAAAAATAAATAATAATTAACATTATTCCCTAAAAAGGCAAAATTTTGGATTTTACGAAATTTTTGAAAATCATGATTTTTGTGGGCCCAAATCTGCGGAAGAAATGAAAATTTTTTGTAAGCGATTTTTTTGTTTAGAAACAACGCATGGCACGTAAAAAGACTATTCCTCAAAGGAATTCGTTCAATTTTGCCCAAATCACCAAAATTTTTTTGTGTTTTGGCATTTGACAAAAAATTGAAATAATGACTTTCAGGAGTCCTTGCGCGGAATCGTTTCCAGTTTTATAGAGCAGTATTTTGTGCTGCTTTCAAATATCTTTCTCATAGCCGCCAAAATTTTCCACAAAAAATTTTACATTTGAAAATTTGTAGATATTCACATACAGGGTCTTTCAAGAAACGTGAAGGAAAGTAGGAGGCTATAACTTTCGGCGGAGGCGGCGCAGAGAGCTCGTTTTTGAAATATGTATTTTTAAGCAACATTATTTTTTGCCTACGAAATAACAAGCTTTTAGAGTGCAAACTGAGGTCGCTACGACCTTCTGAAGTAGAGGCATCTCTACCCCGAAAACCAGGGGCCTGTCCCACTAAGAAAGCGTAGCGCGAATCACGAATTGGAAGCGCGAAAAATCATGCAAAAGCGAGAAAGTCGAGAGAAAAAGCGGGCTCTCTCGGAAATCCGCGCTACGGTTTTTTTGTGCTAAATACCGAAATGTGTTTACTTTTTTGGCTGTAACTCCTTTCAATGACGTCCGATTTACATGATTTTAAAAATCATGAACAGAGGAGACCAACAGCTTCCAGAAAATGTAAATTTTGGTTGCTTTAACGCAGATTAAGGCTTCCCGCCTGGACGAATTACAATTTCCGCGTCAAGAATCACGATTCCAAAATGTCGTATTTGCAAGTAAAATTTATCCTTAATCTACTCATCATAACTCCCAACGTTCATATTGTCATTTATCAGCCCAAACTGCCCCTCCCAAGCCCAAACGGCCCCTTCCAAGCCCAATTTTGACCTCCTCTTGCCATAATTTGTTTGGATCGCAAAAAAAATTAAGTTTGAAATTATTTTTAAAAGTACTCCATTCGTCATTCAGAGGGACTGGGTCGGTTTTATCAGCCCAAATTAGCCCTGCAAAGCCCAATTTTGATCTCCCCTTGCCATAATTTGTTTGATTGCACACGAGGACACTCCTGGAACGTCCCATTGAGTAATTAATCGCGCTTGTCGTTGTTATTTGAAAACGTTTGTTATCCCAAATGAATTTTTTGTTTTTGTTACGAAGATAAAACTTAAATAAAAAAAACGTAAATTTTGTTTGATTCAAAAAAGTTATGGCAAGGGGAGATCAAAATTGGGCTTGGCAGGGCTAATTTGGGCTGATAAAACCGACCCAGTCCCTCTGAATGACGAATAGAGTATTTTTTTAAAAAAAATCAAACTTAAATTTTTTTGCGATCCAAACAAATTATGGCAAGAGGAGGTCAAAATTGGGCTTGGAAGGGTCAGTTTGGGCTTGGGAGGGGCAGTTTGGGCTGATAAATGACAATATGAACGTTGGGGGTTATGATGAGTAGTTTAAGGATAAGTTTTACTTGAAAATACGACATTTTGGAAACGTGATTCTTGAGGAGGAAATTGTAATTCGTCCAGGCGGGAAGCCTTAATCTGCGTTAAAGCAACCAAAATTTACATTTTCTGGAAGCTGTTGGTCTCCTCTGTTCATGATTTTTAAAATCATGTAAATCGGACGTCATTGAAAGGAGTTACAGCCAAAAAAGTAAACACATTTCGGTATTTAGCACAAAAAACCGTAGCGCGGATTTCCGAGAGAGCCCGCTTTTTCTCTCGACTCTCTCGCTTTTGCATGATTTTTCGCGCTTCCAATTCGTGATTCGCGCTACGCTTTCTTAGTGGGACAGGCCCCAGGTTTTTTCGGTTGAAAATGATCGTGAAATTTCGGTCTTTTTCGGTTGAAAATCACCAAGAAATGTCGGATTTTTTCGGGGGTTTCGATAGAGTTGACGTTGAAAAAAGGGAAGGATGTTGCCAACACGTTGGAAATTAAGCAAATATTGGGCTACCCTTTATTCTGACACTTTGGCTAGCCAATTTTTGCTAGCCCTATGACATCCATTACACCCTTTTGACTAGTTTTTATTATAATATATAATATAAGACTTCACAGCCATTCTGGTGCCTTGGCTAGCCGATTCCAGGTTACTCAAATCCCTAAATGATGTCACGCTTCTTCGCGGAAGATACTGAAAAATAGACTCGAAATCTGCCCCAAGTTGAGGCTAGCCGAATATTTGCTGAATTTCCAACGTGTTGGCAACATCCTTCCCTTTTTTCAACGTCAACTCTATCGAAACCCCCGAAAAAACCCGACATTTCTTGGTGATTTTCAACCGAAAAAGACCGAAATTTCTCGATCATTTTCAACCGGAAAAACCTGGGGCCTGTCCCACTAAGAAAGCGTAGCGCGAATCACGAATTGGAAGCGCGAAAAATCATGCAAAAGCGAGAGAGGTGAGAGAAAAAGCGGGCTCTCTCGGAAATCCGCGCTACGGTTTTTTTGTGCAAAATACCGAAAATTTTTTACTTTTTTTGCCGTAACTCCTTTCAATGATGTCCGATTTACATGATTTTAAAAACCGTGAACAGAGGAGACCCACAGCTTCTAGAAAATGTAAATTTTGTTTGCTTTAACGCGGATTAAGGCTCCCCGCCAAGACGAATTACAATTCCCTCATAGAGAATCATGATTCGAAGTCATATAGGGCTCGGGGTCTTTACTTTTCATCGGCTCTGCGAATTTGTTTTGCAAAAAGGCGTTCAGCACGCCCTGCTGAACGCTTTTTCGCAAAATCGGTTCAGCAGTTTCTTCTGTCGAAATTTCGTGAACGGGAAATGATAAAAGCCGTTCATTTTGTGAATTTTCGTCCTGTTTTTTCTTTTTTTTGGTAGATTTCGAAACCGTCTGAATTAGTTCAGAGTCGGCTGAACTAGTGCAAAAAACCGAGGTCTTTGAACACGTTAACCTGTTAATTTTCCTTTGAAAATTTTATAACCAGTGAATTGGTTCAATGTTTTGTGAACCAATTCAAACATTGAACCCCCTTTCCAATCGGCTCTTAACGGGTTGGACACCAGTTCAAACCGTGAACGGTTTATTGCAAAAACCGTTCACGATTTGAACTGATTTTGCAAAAAGGCGTTCAGCGGAAATTCTGAACGCCTTTTTGCAAAACAAATTCGCAGAGCCGATGAAAAGTAAAGACCCCGAGCCCTATATTTTCAAAAAAAACTTATCATTAGCTATTTATCGTAACTTCCACAGCTCATATGCGAATTTATCTATCAACCCGAGCTAATATCAACCCGAGCTGCCCCACCCAAGCCCAATTTTTGGTCTTCCCTTGCCATATGAAAGCAACTTTTTTTGTTATAAAACGAATTATGACAAGGGGTGACTAAAATTGGGTGTAAGAGGGGTAGTATGGCTTGAATAGTTTGTTTCAACGTCTCTGAGGAATGAGTGGAGAATTTATCTATAATTTTTTTTCCAAAACAAACCTTTTTGTCACCGAGCAAATTATGACAAGAGGAGACCAAACATTGGGCTTGGGAGGGGCAACCGGGTTGATAAATTCGCATATGAGCTGTGGAAGTTACGATAAATAGCTAATGATAAGTTTTTTTGAAAAAATGACTTCGAATCATGATTCTCTATGAGGAAATTGTAATTCGTCTTGGCGGGAAGCCTTAATCCGCGTTAAAGCAAACAAAATTTACATTTTCTAGAAGCTGTGGGTCTCCTCTGTTCACGGTTTTTAAAATCATGTAAATCGGACATCATTGAAAGGAGTTACGGCAAAAAAAGTAAAAAATTTTCGGTATTTTGCACAAAAAAACCGTAGCGCGGATTTCCGAGAGAGCCCGCTTTTTCTCTCACCTCTCTCGCTTTTGCATGATTTTTCGCGCTTCCAATTCGTGATTCGCGCTACGCTTTCTTAGTGGGACAGGCCCCTGGTTTTCGGGGTAGAGATGCCTCTACTTCAGAAGGTCATAGCGACCTCAGTTTGCACTCTAAAAGCTTGTTATTTCGTAGGCAAAAAATAATGTTGCTTAAAAATACATATTCCAAAAACAAGCTCTCTGCGCCGCCTCCGCCGAAAGTTATAGCCTCCTACTTTCCTTCACGTTTCTTGAAAGACCCTGTATTTCATGATGTTACAGTATTCAATATTGTAAAATTTGCTAAAAATTCGACTCCCCATAGTGGAAAACATGTGTATCCACGTTTGAATGACGTCACTTCGGCTTACTGGGTTCTGGCGGTGCTCTCCGATTAAAACGAAAAAGTTCAACTTTTTGGTGTTTTGGGCAAAACTCAACGAAATCCTTTGAGGAATAGTCTTTCTATGTGCCATGCGTTGTTTCTAAACAAAAAAATCGCTTACAAAAAATTTTCATTTCTTCGGCAGATTTGGGCCCACAAAAGTCATGATTTTCAAAAATTTCGTAAAATCCAAAATTTAGCCTTTTTAGGGAACAATGTTAATTATTATTTATTTTTACCACAGTTCCAATAGACTAAAACTGTTTTGGTACAATTTCCAGCGCTTTTGAGCATTTATGCCTCCACCCGGACTCGAACCCGGGACCTTTTGAATGGTAGTCCGACCCACTACCGGTTGCGCCACGACATTTTTGTACAGCTATCTGGAGATGCGCATATAGTCTATCCGATGCAGAATTTGATGCTGATTCCAAAAATGCAAAAAAATACCGAGAAAATGATTGAAAAAAATCGAGAAAATCGAGATTTATTGATCGAGCATGGGCGTTACGGTATGTTACAGTAACCTGACAAACTTGGGGTCAGTTACAAAGTTGTTCAGCATGGCTTATAACGTATGTGTACTCAGCTCTGCGATGTTTCGGCGATAAATTAGCACAGTATATCACATTAAACGAAATTCAATAAATGTGTCATATCTCGGTCATGATGACGAATTTTTCGAAAAAAATTCACCAAGTTGTTTAGCAGCCTATATGTCATCAGTTGAGACAGAAAAAAGTGGGGGTCAAATTCTAGGGCAGACCCCCATTTGAGCCTGCTTCAGCAACTCGCGAAGTGTCTTTTAAACCAAAATTAGGCAGCTAATTTTTTTCACTCTCTCGCCTCTCCGTGCGGCGCTTCCGACATGAGTACTCCTTCGACAGCTGAGTTCTACTCCTCGATAACCACCTTTCTGCAGTGTCCACGCAAATTTGTTTTCGTCAAAAAAACGGTTTTCGAGGTTTAGAGAGTTGCGCCCGAAGTAATTGGAATTGGGCACTGATAGTTATACGAACATGGGTTTTACCGTTTATTATGCAACATTTAAAATAGGTACACATACATACATTGTTACAGAGATAAAAATAGGCCATACAACTCGGTCTGGAACAATTCGGATAGTTTTTGAAGGTTTTCTGAGCTGAATCATACTTTAGTCGGCTGGTGCAAATTAGGAGGCGAAAAGAATCTCCCTTTTAGCTACAACTAGTCAAAAGCTTTGGAATGGATCATAGATTCTATTTTCTAACACTAGTTTAAACAAGGAACTAGAAAATTAAGTTAAGATAGGAAATTATACTATTTTAGGTATCAAGTACAATATAACAGCAAAACTAAAACGACTTTAGGTGAATCACTAAATCGCAACGAAGGCTGGAAATGAGGTAATCTTGGTTTCTGAATTAATTTGGAATTTAGATTAGAATTTTTTCTTATTGCTGGACGTGTTATACTTATCCGCCTTTGCTGGTTTCTGAGCTTTGCGTATGCTGGAAGAAGAACATACCGCCCTCCCGTACGTTTATCCAGTTCCGCAAAAGCATTTTTAATGACAAAATAGTCATATCGGAGGTATCGAGCGTTAATCGGACCTATATTGTGAGTTTTTTTATGTTGTACTTGGTGTTTGGGCATACCTGATGGCAAATGTCGAAAATACGGAAAATTCTCTCTAATTTTGTACAAAGATTTTCTAAATACGCTCTATGGAGCTCCCTGATCCAGTTTTGGTATTAGATCTATAACTATTTTGGGAATAATCGTCTTGGTATCTTATCCATGGTGAGCAAATAAAATAGTTTAAAAATCGTCCAATTTTGAGTCTAAAGTGTAAATTCAGCGCCCGGTGTCGTTTTGCGAAGAAAAGCAGGTGGATGTCGACTTTTCCGCCAAAGACCTGCCATTCATCAGTACTAACGCCAATAGTCGAAGAGCTGGAATGATCTTTTTTCGGTAAGGCTGTGCTTAATGGTAGTCACAATTACATCTTTTATTTGTAGGGCTGGGCCGTCCAGAAGTTGGATCACCAATGGAAAGACGGTCTTATCAAATACCGCGGTATTTGATCGAACAGAAGCCGGAATTCCTTAAACGTGTGAGTTATTTATGTTGTAGGAGATTGATTTTTAGGCCATGCGATGCGGATACCCGACGGTAATGATGGTAATGACTTGTTCCACTTTGACGCAACCAACCCGAAAAGATTCGATTTTTATGCAAATTTTGCACTATGAAGACTGAAATCTAAATTGGTGCGTTTCATTCTTTTCTCTCTCTCGCCTCTCCGTGCGGCGGTTCCGACATGAGTTCTCCTTCGACAGCGGAGTTCTACTCCTCGATAACAACCTTTCTGCAGTGTCTCAACTTGACCACGAAATTTGAGGGTCAAGTCCCGAACGAGTTCCAGATAATAACCCATGCAGAAGAGAATGATGGAGTTTTTATTCGATACACGTACAATCCGTCCGAGAAAAATGTGACGTAAGTGGGACGCGGGTGCAAAATTTCAATTTTATGTGCCAGAATTCATCTAGTAAGTAGGTGACCCTAATTTTGTGCAGTTTTTTAGTTCGAGAGGGAGGTATTTTGCTGCGTTTTTGAGACTTGCCGGATGCAAAATGGCACGTTTTTTTGCCACCGGATTAGGTCCGCCGCTGTATCTTTGCTTCGCTGGTAGATTCGGAAGTGAAGTTCTGAGGGATTAAAATGTGACGCATTTGGGGTGCGCGCGATAAACTTGAGAAAATTTATCAACATCAAATGTTACTTTCAGTGACGAGAAACTGGACTTGGTTGGCAAACAGACAGGCCTGAAAAATTATCGCTTTCACTTGGCGCTGGAAGAAGACAAGTTTCTCACCGGAGTTTCTGGATACAAGGCTAAGGAGTGGGGCTTTATCTTTAAAATATTTTTTTTGTAGGGAATGCCTGGTTTTTGATAAGAAAACCAAAATGTATTTTTTTAATACTATGTAGATTTTTACAACAAGAAAAGAGAACAGGGGGGGGGCAATGCAGAAAGCCGGCCTCTGCACGCCTCTGAGGTGACTAGACATGGCTACCGGGCTGGGCCGGCCCGGAATAGTTCACTAATGACAATAAATGGAATGTCAAAACACAATTTTTTGAAGGTATTTTTGTTTTTAGATACCTACGGAACACAGTATTTATCCATTTACATGACGATAGAAAAAAATTTGGTCATAACGAGCTAGACTTGGGGAGACTTTTGTTTCAATGGGCCGGCCCGGGCCGGGCCGAAGCAAATTTGAAACGGGCCATGCCGGCCGACGAGCCAACTCATCTGTGAATTTGCAGGATTTGCCCCGTATTCAACAAAGCTTTCGAGGAAGATTACTGCATGAGAAAGTCATTTTTCGAAATTTTGGGACATGATTTGGTGAGGATTTCGTGTGTCGCGGAAATGAATAATTTACCGTTCAAATTGAACGGAACGAAGCTTGAATCGTTCGCACCCAAAACCGCGGGCCAGTTCAACTGCGAGAGCAAGCTAGCAGTGTTTGGAGATAAGATTGTCTTCAAAAATAATGGAGAGGACATCTGCAAAGAAATAAATTGGGCTGTGGATCACGTTTGGAAAGCGTCGGAATGCGCAAAGGACGATGAATACAAGTTGAATTCAAAGAACGTCCTACTTTTTCCATTAGTAAGTCAAAAAAACGGGTCCCGACTTTTCGGGTCAGGGAGAGATCGGGTCAACGACATTCCGGGTTAACGATACCGTTTAACTTTTTCGCTTCGGGACTGGAAAAAAGAATATTTTGAAGAATTTGAACAAAATTTTCACGTTTACATATACGTGAATCGTCCTATCTTAACAGTCAACAGCGGAATAGTTCATCTAAAAAAATCCAGAAATAACATATTTACTCTACTCTGTAAAATAAGATTGTAACATTCAGATCGATTCTCCACAAAAAATATTTTTTTTGTTTTCTTTTCCCGAAGCGAAAACGTTTCAAAATTTTGTTCAATGTTCACAAAAATTCTTTTTTCCAGTTTCGAAACGAAAAAATTAAACGATATCGTATCGTTAACGCGAAATGTCGTTGACCCGACCTGTCCCTGACCCGAAACGCCGTAGCGCCAAAAAATTGTTTTTGTTTTATTTGTAATCTAATTCTTGTTTTCAGAACTACATTCTTATTAAATTTTCGGCGGAAGGATGTAATCCACCTGGTCCTGAGGTATCCGATTATTTGAACAACACCTACGTCAAGTACCTGTACAATCCGAACGAAATATCGTGGGTCCTCGCTTTCTGTGAATTATATTTTTTTAGAAGTTCCGAGAATGTGACGATTGCGACGGTCCAAGATGAATCCCCGAATTGGGCGCTGATAGGAGGAGGCGTTGGCGGGGCGCTGGTGTTCCTCTTACTGCTGATAGTGCTGGCCATTTTTCTAATTCGACGATACAGCAAAAGGCAATATAGGTAAGCAAAGTTATGAAGAGTCGTAGTGGGACGATTGGGGAAACCGAAAAGTATTCCCCATTTTCTGTCGACCAAATATGAAAAAATCGGCACGAAAGACGGTCGGACTACGTCTAGAGGACCGTCAGCCTCCATTTTATGCAATAATCCGGTTTGACAAAATGTACGCTATGTCATAATGACACATTTTCTGTAACTCTTATTTTCTGAAACTTTAAACGGCTGGTTCTGCCCCAGGAGACACTCTATAGTGTTCATAGGTTCATTCGAACGGCAATGGAAAGCACTTCTAAATAAAAGCTTCAAACTTTGCCGCACTATGAAAAAATTTTGAGAAATCTAAGCTACTCTAACTTTTGATCCAAAGAATCAATTTTTTCTTGCCTTAGGCAAAACTTTAGAAAAACGTTGTCAACAGGTAACTAGCTCAGAATAACGATACCAATCCATCCGAACCACCCCCGACTCTCTGGCATGTCTAATCTTTGTGATACAAAATTTTCGATAAAAGTGCAGTACAAAAAAAAAATAGAAATTCCAAAATTTTTTGTTTTGTTAGTGTACTAACTGGGTTGAATTTCAGCCCTGTAGGACCAACTTGGAAAAAATGTGCCAAGGCACATCAACCACAAAAAAAAAAAGTTTTGAATCGCGAAAACTGTTTGCATAACTTTGCTAGGGTGCCCAAGAGTAGCTCAAATTAAGAATTGGAACCGAGTCGGACAGACCAAAAAAAAGTAGATTTGAAAACCTTATTTTAGACATCTTTTGCTACTAAATTGTTTCGTAACGAAGCAATTGCCTAAATTCTTTTTTCTATGAGCATAATTAGAGTAGTTTTAGAGAACAATAAGCAACCCTGTGTCATATACTAGCTTACTCACTCAAAATCCAAAAAAACTGATATTTAGGTGACTAAAATAATATTTTAAAAATCGGTAAATTTTGACTCAGTTAGGTCCACTATGATCTAAAAAGACAATAAGAGCATAATTAGTGGCATCCGCACAAGTTTAGAAGCTGTTCTAAGAACCTTGTTTTAGGTGGTATTGGCCATTTTTGAAATTGGCGCAGCGAAGTTGAAACCTTGTTCATTACCCACTGCACAGTAAGCTAAAACATTAGAGACCCTTAAAAGACCGAATGCCAAAAATCTTGGCATTCTGTTTATGGTTGATGTGCAAGGGGTTCTCTCGCGAACCTTGTTTTAAAGGGCCTGTACAGCTACTTTGAAAAGCAATTTTCTCGGCTTGGGGTGGCGTTCTGATATAACGTTTGTTTTCGTGGCGGGACGCACTGACAAACTCGGTGCGGCTTTTTTTGATCCAAAATGAGGTGTATAAGGTACATTTTCAAGCGTTATATGGCGACAATTTGTTGTTTTTGCATGGCGAAGTGGTAAGTCGTTGTTTTGAAAGATTTTTGATTGCATTTTTAGGTGGTTTTTATGTTGTAGATGGTTTTGAACCAACCCGCTCTTAATACTATTCATCTTGTACTCTGTAGTATTAGAAAGGGTATTACATTCTTATTTGCCGTACTTTTTCGACGGAGTGGCGCTATGAGCCATCTCCGACCTTGTACATGAGATAAAGATTGGTTTTGAATAAAATGTCAGTCAGGCTGTTTTTTGGGCATTAAACTTGCCAATGCTGTTAAATTATACAGTGTGCATCTACTTAATGAAAAAAAGTAGCTTGCTCTATGATCTCGAGTATTTTCTTGGCATATCATCTTCAACAAGTAGTTACCGTAACAATTTGTACCCCGAATTACCAAGAGGAATGGACGAAAATCACAAAATTTGATATGCAAATTTGAACGCAGCGTGCCTGAAAACGTAATGCTACAATCATTAGCCGTTTCAGAATAAATCGGGTCTGTTAAGTTGGTTCTACAAAAAAGTTCCGAAAAATAGGCCAAAATAGGCTTGCTTTTACCCATTTTTCCTTGAACCAACCACCTGCGGCAGATAGAACATTTAAGAAAGAAGTAAGATACGGCTATAGGTTTGTTAACATGCTGAGTTTGATTTTCGGGGCAAAAAGTTCCCATAGATAGTAATTTTCTGTACTTTAGGGCCTTTGAAGGTTACTGTAGAAGGTAAACGGTAGCTTAAATGACTTAAAAGGTCGATTAAATGACTTCAAACTAATCGGTATCGGTTTGTTTTACATCTTGCATTTGGTACAAGTAGTCTAAGTTGTTTCTTGCCGAAAATAAATCACTAATCGGATTTTTTTTTTAAAACCAATGTTTACCTGATGTACAAGGACGGAGATGGCTCGTGGGGCCACTGCGTCGATAAATTACGGTAGATCCGAATGTAATACCCTTTCTAATACTACAGAGAACACAAGGAATGGTATTAAGGGCAGGTTGGTGTAACTATTATTTTAGCCTTTTATTTTATGTTAATTCAGTTAATAGAATATAAAGAAGCTAGATTTTCAATTTCTGATGGAGTGTATGGTAGAATTTTTTATTTGTCTACCGGATTTCATGGGTTTCATGTTTTGTGTTTACAAATACAAATAAATTTTTTATTACTTTCATTTTCTTAATCTCTTCAGAATTATATTTTAAATAAAATAAAAAAGTCGAAAATTTTAGATTAATATTTTTAATTTTTTTAAAAATTAAAACAGCTTTTTTGTAAGGGTCGAGCTAGCTGTGCACATGAAACAGGATGTCGCAGCAGAGTCGTGAAACAGTAACCATAGGTTTCCCTAATCACGAATATTAAATTTCAGAAAAAAAAATTTTGATTATTGGCCTACTGTAGGTGTACTGTAGCTTTCCCGCATTCCCGGATCTCAGCTACAAGAGGTCGGGTTGTATCCGTACCTTCTCTGAATCATAGAATGGACAATTCTAAGCATCTTTCATGTTGGGCACTTTTTCCTATCTGTGCCGGAAGTATTCTAAAAATTTGCATAATTGTCAAAAAATTCACATTTTTCAAATTTTATAGAAAAATTTGCATAATGGCATGACATTTTTATTACCCTAAAAGATGCTCCGTGATGTGGCAATTCAAACGGTATATAGATCACCGCAAGGGGTTCTGCCTATGTTGCAAACGGGTCGTCTAAATATTGGATCATCAGGAATTCAATTTTTCTGAACGTCAAATTTTGTCAAAAAAATGTGGTGTTTGGTATGACCAAAGATTGTATTGGACTTCAAAGTGGTTCCAAAGTAAAAATATGTAATTTTATGACAAAATAATGTTATAAATCTTTAAAAGACGAGTCAGTGGACATAGGAAAAAATCAATTTTGAAATTTTTGCATTAAAACGACCGTCGATAGATGCTAAGCAAAAGCGAAGGACGTTTTTTGCCTAATCCTCCATTAAGATATATTTTTTACAATTTACTGTTTTTTAAGTAATCGCTTATAGTTGTCGTATTTTAGCTCTGAATACAACAATTTTAAGCTTACTGATGTTTTCGACCATTGCTAACACGACGGAGCTATTATTTTTTTTCGTTTCCTACTGTAACTTCCCGTGATACAGTATTGGCCGAAAAAAAACGGCCGTAAAATCTTTGTTTCTAAAAACCCCCAGCTGATTTTTTGATATGTTAATCAGCGTAAAATTCTGCTCTAGATGCAATCAAAAAAAGTGCAAAAAGTGGTACGACAAATTTCGTGGTGTAGTGGTTAGTGGGCGGGACTACCATTCCAGCGTCCCGGGTTCGACTCTGGCTGGGTGCAGATGTCAAAAAAAATCCGCAAATCAATTTTTTAATTACCTATTTTTACTTTGGAACCACTTTGAAGTCTAATACAATCTTTGGTCATACCAAACATCAAATTTTTTTTGACAAAATTTGACTTTAATTCCTGATGATCCAATATTTAGACGACCCGTTTGCAACATAGGCAGAACCCCTTGCGGTGATCTGTATACCGTTTGAATTGCCACATCACGGAGCATCTTTTAGAGCAATAAAAATGTCATGCCATTATGCAAATTTTTCTATAAAATTTGAAAAATGTAAATTTTTTGGCAATTATGCAAATTTTTAGAATACTTCCGGCACAGATAGGAAAAAGCGCCCAACATGAAAGATGCTTAGAATTGTCCATTCTATAATTCAGAAAAGGTCCGGATACAATCCGACCTCTTGTAGCTGAGATCCTGGAAATGCTGGAAAGCTACAGTACACCTACAGTAGGCCAATAATCAAAAAAAATTTTTCTGAAATTTAATACTCGTGATTAGGGAAACCTATGGTTACTGTTTCACGGCTCTGCTGCGACATCCTGTTTCATGTGCACAAGGCAAATCTGAAAGCTCGAGTCTTTCGCAAAACCTGTTTTAAGAACTTAAATTTAAATTAAAAATTATTTATTTTTTTTACTAACAAGGGATCGGCAAATAGTTGTAACCTGCTTTCTTAACGAAGCCTATATCATTTGAAAGAGGATTAAAAATAGTTCACAGCGCAAAAAGAACTAGCTGCCTAAATTCACTTTGGACAAAGTTATGGCCAAAATACAGATTTTAGCCTAATTTCCGCCTCGCTTTATAAACTCTCGGAATGGCAACAGAGTTGTGTCCAGTTGGTCGAGTGGTAGTGAGCCCACTTTCGGCGCAGCGAGTCCTGGTTCTGAATCCGGTCTCTCTAAATATTTTGCGTTTCGTCTCTTATACACTGCTCGACAAAATTATAAATGCACTTTAAAAATCGCTGTAACTTTTGTGGTTGTCAATGAAATTGTGCCATATTTGGCTCCAATATGTACTAGTGTACTATAAATCTTGTGCCAAAAAATTATTTTGGAAACTTTCCACAATTTGGAAAAAAGTTGAAAAAACCGAAATTTTGGTGATTTCCTTTGCGACAAAATTATAAATTCGCGCAATATTTTGCAATTTTCTAGCCGTTGGTGCTGAAGCAAAGTAAGTAATTGGGCTTAGTAGTATCCTTAGGGGTCCTTCTGTCATGCTACGAGGAAAAATGATGGCAGAATTTGAGAAGGGCGAAGTTACGGCCCTGAAACGGCAAAGACCTTGGGTTTGGCAAATTTCGGCTCAGGTAGGGCGTTCTGCCGAAGTTGTGACGAACTACTCGGTTCACTCGGAAGTCCTCAACACATCTAAACGTTCTGGCAAAAAAGGTTCACCACCGCGGCAGAATTAAGGCAGAGAAATCCGCCGAGCTTCCAACTCCACCTTCTCTGGGTATCATATACATAGAGCAAGAAACAGGTCTCAATTGTAGCAGCATGGCTATGCTAAGGGCCCTGGGACACAGCGGTGTCATCACTGGACGTCATATAAAATCATGCTTCAAGCTGGCCTAGGTTCGGTAAGCGCGCGACCGAAATTGGCCAAGGTGAGACTTTGACAAAACAGGTCCTCCAACATTACGGCACGGAAAGTAACGCGGTTCTCTTCTGATATAATGACAGTGATATGTGCTATGTGTGAAAGCGTCGAGGATATCGGCTGGCCATGCAATCTCCAAGGAATTCCTTACTGCAACGATGATAAACCTACCCTTGACTACTCAACCTGTTTTGTCAAAGGCACCTTGGCCAATTTCGGTCGCGCACTAACCGAACCTAACCATCTGGGGGAACGACGTCATATGACGTCCAGTGATGACATCGCTGCGTCTTAAGGCCCTCAGCATAGCTATCCTGCTACAATTGAGACCTATTTCTTGCTTTATATGAGACCCAGAGATGGTGGAGTTGGAAGCTCGGCGGATTTCATTGCCTTGACTCCGCCGCTATGGTAAACCTTTTTCGCCGGAACGTTTATGTGTGTTGAAGACTTCCGAGTGAACCGAGTAGTTCGTCACAACTTCGGCAGAACGCCCTACCTGAGCCGAAATTTGCCAAACCCAAGGTCTTTGCCGTTTCAGGGCCGTAACTTCGCCCTTCTCAAATTCTGCCACCATTTTTCCTCGTAGCATGACAGAAGGACCCCTAAGGATACCACTAAGCCCAATTACTTACTTTGCTTCAGCACCAACGGCTAGAGAATTGCAAAATATTGCGCGAATTTATAATTTTGTCGCAAAGGAAATCACCAAAATTTCGGTTTTTTCAACTTTTTTCCAAATTGTGGAAACTTTCCAAAATAATTTTTGGGCACAAGATTTACAGTACATTAGTACATATTGGAGCCAAATATGGCACAATTTCATTGACAACCACAAAAGTTACAGCGATTTATAAAGTGCATTTATAATTTTGTCGAGCAGTGTATGCCACAAAACCATGGTATGTTGACATTTTTTAATAATTTTTGTTCCTCCGCGGACAAAATCCATGGTTACGCAATTTTTCTGAGTTTTTGAATTTTTTTGAAACGACCACAAATTTGATGGTGATGAGAGTGGGTATGTCACTATCGTATAATTACAAGGGTGTTGTGCCAGTAACCTGACCGATTATGATTACTGGAGGATAATTCAATTTACAAGGGCCTATAAATATACATTTTATCAAAAAAATACGAAGATAAAATTGTAAAATCGGCCAAAGACACTATTGCTGACACACTGGACCAACCATTGGTAAGGCTAGGACATAAGAAATTTTCGTTTGTGAATGACCACGACGATCATATAAATGTATTTCCAAAGCTTTTTGCTCCAATTTTCCCTTTAACCTAGTTTTATTTACAATTTACTGTAACTAGCAGTAATGTCTAATAACATATAACCGAGGATTGGTAAAGCCATAAAACGACCGTGATAGACGTTTTTGGATACCAGGAAATTAATAAAGACGATTTCAAACCGCCAGGATTACTGTAATATAAGGAACCGGCGTTTTGGCCGCATATAACCCCTTTCAAAAAGCTGTCGTATCTATGCCCTAAGGTAATTTAGGCCGCTATTTTTTTGCGCTGTGCACTATTTTTAATGCTCTTTCAAATTATATAGGTTTCGTTAAGAAAGCAGGTTACAACTATTTGCCGATCCCTTGTAAGATAAGTCTTTGAAAATTTTTTTTTGTAAAAATTAATAATTTCTTTATAAAAAAATTTTAAAATATTTAAAAAAAAATATTTTAAAATTTAAAAAATCGCCATAACGTCAGAGTACTGAAGTCAAATCGGATGAAACTTTGCATAGCGTATTCTCAAAGGTTGGTTAACACTTGTGTAAAATTTCATGGCATTTGAGAAAAAACCCCCCGAGATACGATCAAAAAATGGGGTGGAACCAAAAACCTGGGACGCACTGTATGTCTATTTGCAGACATCGCGCATTATATGTCAGACATGATTTCTCCACCGCAATGGAAACCACCAAGAAGTGTACGGAGGGGTTCGATGTAGTCAAGCTGAAAAGTGGGATGAAACTCGTCGTCCCGGTGAGTTGTTTGACTCTTTGAGTTTGACTTGTATTATAATATATAATGTATAATGATTTTTTTTCAGAAAATCATTGATAATGCCGAGGTGAAGCGGATGGTCGCCCAAGGCGAATTCGGAGCATTTTACGAATACGAATACAAGGGGACATCGTACTGGTACAAGTTGGAGGCAAAGCTAGGCCCCAAATACAAGCAACCGCTCGCCTGCGAGAGCGGCGTCTACCAGCTGATGGACAAGAATTCCAAGAGCCCAGACAAACAGTAAGTTGGATGACCCCAAAACCGTTTGTTTCAGATTCATCTACATTGGCAGCATGCTCAGCAGCTGCCAATTTTCTGAAGGCGTCTACTGCATGCGGGTCGAAAATTATGGCCCGAACATTCGCGAGATGCGCCAAGGACAACTCATGGCTCCGTTCGAGGCGCAAAAACTCTTCTTCCAGTTGCTTTACTGCATGAAAGCGCTGATCAACTACGGGATTTGCCATAGGTACATCAAGGAGAGCGCATTCTACGTCAAGAAAGACCGAAATAGGTATCGGGTGAGTGCATGTTGAGTTTGTATTCTCCCTAAAACTTTTTTTCTACTCCCGATGCGAAAAGATTTCAAAATTTTGTTGAATTTTCCAAAAAATTCTTTTTTTTCCCAGTCCCGAAGCGAAAACATTTCAAATTTTTTTCAAATTTCACAAAAAATCCTTTTTTTTCAAGTCCCGGAGCGAAAACATTTCAAATTTTATTCAAATTTCACAAAAATTTTTCTTGCAGTTCGTCATTACTGACTTCGGATATGCAATTCGCATCGGCTCGGAACGCTCGGCGTTCTATCCAATCCCCGAAACGGCAACCACTCACATCCACGCGAAGAAGGCGTTGAAGTCGGAGGACACGGAGAGCCTTCTCTACATGGTATTGGGCATGATGGCTCCTCTGCCTTGGGCGGGAATGAAAAAAATTGAGGAAGTCACGAAGGTCAAGTTAGAGTGTACCGACGAGAACTCGATTCCCGAAGAATTCTTCGACATCAAGGAGGCTGTGACCTTGTGTCTGCTGAGGGGGCTCTACACGGATGATTTGGAGATGGAAAACGTGGCCACGGGCATCCTCAGATATTACTTTTTGGTATGTGGAATTTAATTTTTTTTACATGCGAATTGGTTTTTAAGCGCATTTTATATTTTAAAAAACTTTCAGGTCGGACCGTTGGACGAGCTCCATCTTCCTGTGCGTTTCCCCAATGATAATTTCAAGTTGATGGGCACGTTCAAGTCGTATGACTATTAAGACCCGAGAGCATCGAATTTTTTCGTAAGAAAATTAAAATAAATATTTTTATATGTGATTTTTTTTTGACCGGCTATCTAAAGTCAGTATTCCATGTCGTCCCCATCTTGATTACTTTTATTGAAATCAAAAAAACTTAAGAAACGACGTATTTTATCCTCGACAGAAGCAGTACCAAGCGGCATGGAGAAGGCCGGGAATGCTAAAAAATGACGTCATTATTAAATAAAATCAAGCCCAGAAAACTTACTAAAAAAAGAGCGTCAAGAGGAGATTCACACAAACGTGACATGAGCATCCATTCCCATCAACATTGTCCTTCCAGAAAACGGCGATTGGCTGAAAAGACGGGATCTTTTGGAAGTAAATAAAATACGAATTTCCCATTAGATATTTTTAAAAAATGAGTTTTTTCTTGATTTTTTGATGAATACGGCTGAATTTACAAAGAAAAGGAGGGGTGTACTTATTTTACAAAAAGATTCTGAAAAATCGGCGCTTTTATGGATGAAAAACGTCAAATTTTATGATTTTTTTTAACTTTCCTATGTATATTACAAGAATGTCGAAAAGCGCATTTTACAAACATTAGCATCATAAAACAGAACAAAAACTCACGGGAAGAAAAATGCAAAGGCAAATCATAATGACGTCATCGGTATTTCCAGTCCTGAAATTGAGTTTTTTAGATTATTTCGATGAAAAAATCGACTATCAAGGAATGAAACTGTAATTTCAGAACTTACTGGACCATTTTGAATAATGAATCTCAAAAGGTTTCTGGTGAAATCTGAAATTAAAATCAAAGAATTAGGTTAAAATCAATTAAATTTGTGTTCAAATCGCGGTATTAGCATGAAATTCTTTGAATAAAATTATACATTACAAAAATCAAAGGCATCGTATTTTACATTAAAAAAATAATTTTGATTTCACTTAAAAAATAATAAAAATATAACAAAAAAAACTCATTTCTTAAATTAATTGTGCTAAAATTCATCAAAATTTTTTTTTTGTCCAACGCACTTCGTAATTCTTCCATTTGCTTCTTTATTATTAGTGACTTTGCAAATTTGAAAAAATAGCACAGTGCGGGGCGAAAAATAGGCTAAAAAATGGACTGCACAGTGCAAAAAAAACTTTTTTTGAGAATGCAATTTATCACTGGGGAATAGAAAAAAAAATTAAGACATCAACACTTCTGAACTGTATAAATGGTATAACCAAGTATTTTGTGGTATATAATAACCATAAAAATTCCCTAAAAAATACCAAATTTTTCAAAAGATCTCAGACTGAAAACGTCCTTGTTTACATTGTTTATAAGCACATGGTTTTATTATACAAGGCCATGAGTCAACAATCATTTCAAGATAAGACCTGTTTTGGTTGGGAAATTGAATTTTGAAGGGTGCATTATCGACCTCTCGGGCTGAATCACAAGTCGTTTAGGTGAAAAAATCCAGAATAAAACTAAGAATTGTGTGAACTATGAGCAATTTGCAGCTATAAAAACTTCTTGTTTCCATCTTGTGACCCTCCTACGTATTGTGTCGAAATTTTATTTTTTTTTGTGGAAATCGCACAGTGCAGTCTGAAAATTTCGGTTTTTCTGCACAGTGCGGAGTGTAATGAGAATATCGAAATAAAAATGTGGTGTGAAAAGTCATGAGATTCAATAATATTTTCTTTTTAAATCAGGCTTTTATCGAGCAGTGCTAAAAAAACCCAAAATTTTTAATCTGCACGGTGCAGAAAAAGGAATGAGCAACTGCACGGTGCACCATAAAGCGAAAGTTGAAAAATTTTGCAAATGACGTCCTTATAAACTACTGTATCACCAGTTAAAAAATCCAACCTGAAATTGCACACCCGCACCGTGCAAAACTCTTCTTTTTTCTACTGCACAGTGCAGAAGAAAGAATGATCAATTGCACTGTGCACGATTAGAGAGAAAATTGAAAAATTTTTGCGAATGAGGCCCTAATGCCGCACAATTTGACTTGATAAAAAATTCAACCCGAAATTTCACGCCCGCACCGTGCAAACCCATCTCTTTTCTACCGCACAGTGCAAAAAAACAAACCATCATTTTCTTCACGAAAAATTTCAAAAATATCAAAAACATTGCTTCCATTACAAAAAATACAGCTAGTAATTTCTTCACATACCATCGAACTCCCCATTAAACATTGCAGAAACCAAAAAGTTTTGTAAAATCACAAAACTCACGAAAATTTTGCGCTTTTTGAGCCAACCCATCCAAACGACTTCCCGAATTCCACTTGAAATGGTGTTTCAGATCGGACAAAACAAATTTCTTCATTCGGTTGTTTACGATTAGATGTTTATATCAAAGAGAAATCAACAAAACATAAAACTTCAACAAGAAACAAGGGTAACAATGGCTGAACAATTTCCAGCAAAAAATCGGTTCCAAATTTTGGCTAACAGTAATAGGTGATAATCAAAGTCCCTTCAAAGGTACAATTCAAAAAAAATCGTATCTAAATCCAAGAAAAATCAAAAAAAATATTACTTTAGGCTATACGGGATTTTTCTTTCTTTTGGAGAATCTCTGGAACGGGATGCCCTTTCGTTTGCGGGTCTGCGCTTCAACGGCTTTGATCTCACTGTAGCGTTTCTTGTTCTTTTGCAGGGTTTTGTAATCGTCCATCAATTCCTCCACCATCGTCTGTTTCCGCTCCTTCTTGGTCATGCGGCTCGAGTAGAAGTCGGCATGGCTGTCGATGACACGGCCAGTCTGGAAACAAGGTTTATTACAATCAATTTTTGGACAATTTTTGCTATCTTTTTAACAAACCAGGACTTTTATTTTTCCCCTTTGAAAATTTTATTGTTGGGCGTATTTTACCTCTTTTTTTATTGTCAAATCGCCTCGTTTTTTACTACGGTCATCATCTAGACGCCTAAGAGGTCACAGTAAACTAAATTAATACCCAAAAAAAGCAAAAAAAAAATATAACGCTATAAAAAAAACCCAAAATTTTACCCACCAAAGAAAAAACGCGTATTTTACCCAACTTTTCCATTTCACAAAAATTTATTTTTCATCTCCCATCAAGTACCAGTCTAAAAACTCCATGACTATCACAAAAACACATCTTAAAATTCCATAAATCCCCTTCAAAAACCGTAATTCCCAAAATCCTCACCTGGAAGTACTTTGGCAAAACTTTGAGGTCATTCTTTCGATAATGTGCAGTCGGATCAATGGAACCTCGGATCTGAAGCAACTCCAGGTCACGTTTAGTCTCTTCAGTAAGCTCCGTAGCCGGCAAATTGAACCATCCCTTTCCTTTGGTCGATTCTCTTTCGGCCTTCCGTTCTCTCTTCTGTTGTCTGGCGCTCTTCTTTTGGATCTCCTGGATCGCTTTCTTATCGTAATCATCGTCGACAACAGCTCTGGCGAGCATCTGAAGGGATTTCATTGCGTTAGAGAGGATGGAAATCTAAAAACCAAGAAAAAATGAAAAATTTTACCTTTTTGACGGCTTCTTCGTCAATTTCTGGAAGTGGTTCCCAAGTTTTCGACGATTTCAAAGATTGATCACCTTCTTCATGAACTTCAGCATCTTCCGCATCCGCAATTTCTCCCGATTTCTCTGGTTGAGCATCTTCAAAGAACAAATCTTCTTCGTCAACATCACCTCCGTCTTCTTCAATGTTTTCAGGGTCAAATTTCTTTCCAATCTTCTTTTTATCTTCCTCAACCAACTTCGCAAGCTCTCCACTGACCTCTTTTACGGCTGGATACCTCCTCGAAATTTTATAACACTCCTCATGGAAGTCTAAAATTATATTATTCATGACAAAGTTTAATATCTTACCGGGCTTTTCTTCTTCGGCCAACGTCTTTTCGGCTTCATCAAGGACAATACGGACCAATTCGAGGTTCAAAACCTTGTCATCGCGAGAAACAAAGTCAGAAGGGCCATCAGTTTTGTCCTCGGTGGGTTTTTCAGCCGATTTCGTTGGTTCATCCTCTTCTACGGCGCCCTCAGGACGTTCCAAATTTCTGGCTTTGACGTCCTGGCCAAGTAGAATGTCTCGTCGATCACGAATGCTAAAAAAATTATGCTGTTTTAAAATTCTATATTATTCATGAGATCAAGTGCAATATAAGCGCAAAAACATGTTTTAAACATAGTATCTGAAGCAAAATTTGCTTCGTGATACCTAATAAAACTTAGCTGATCAGTTCCAAGCGGTAATAAAGTAATAAACCTGGTCAAAAAATAAGTTACATTATTTATGAGACCAAGTGTAACATTGGCTCAAAAACGCATTTCAAAAACTAAAATTTAGCTCCAACTATAATCTAATATACGACTTAAGACCTTCTTCCGCTATCCAAACCAAAACATCGACGACTTTACTCCTAAACATCAAACAAATATATAAATTTGTAACTTACTATTGAACAAATCGACACTCGGTGGTGAACAGCTCTTTATAAAGCACCGCAGAGTCCGGGAACTTCCTCAATCCAATCTGAACCAAAGTTCTTGCATTCGGCGCGGAGTTGTTCTTCTTGGACTCAAACTCTGCCGCTTCAGCAAACAATTCAGGTTTGGTATTGTGAATCTAAAGAATAACAGAAAAACGAAGCAAAACCGAACCTGCAACATCTTTCCATAGGCAATACTGGCATCCTTGTACAGCACAACAAATCTCGCACAGTATCTGGCCTCTTCTAGGTAATGATCTAGCCTCTGAAAAGAATTTTTAGGTAGATGTCATGTATAATATAAAAAAGCGAATTTGTGGCTTAACTCTTACCCCGGATCGTTGACTCCTTGTTCTATACAGCCAAGCAATCTTCTTCTGGATTTTCACGTAAACCACATTCTTTCCGATTGCCAAATTCGCTTCATCTAACTTTATCTTCCAGTAGGTCAGAAATCCTTTCAAATATTTGATATAATCGTTCCAATCGTTCTCCCGTTTAACCTAAAAGTAAGAAAATATAATAAGGAAAGTAGTAAACTTACTCTTTTCTGGAAGCGGTATTCAAAACGTTTGCAGCGATTGATAAACTCTTTGACATGTTCTGGAGCAATTAATTTGGAGTGTGAAACAACTTCAAAGGCCGGCAGAAGCTTTTCCAACGATTCTTCGGCAAATTCCGCCATTCTACCCGCTGTTTAGGAGGTATTTTACAATTTCCGAACAAATTTTAGCGATAAAATAAGGTTAAAACATAATGCCAAAAACTTGTTTTCGTTGTGAGAGAAAAAACGAGGGGTTGTGCGAATAAAAATACGGCTGAAATCAGAGTGGAATCCATTGAATAGTAATTTTTAGAGACCCATAAAACTTCTGACACTATTTTTGATCCAATTTGAAAGATTTATTATATTATCCATGACAACATTGATATCAAACAATAATCATTCTGTCATTGTTCGGCTTCTTTTCGCAAACATAACAATAATCGTGAATGATCGTCCCTCGTCGACTATTTGCGTACCAGAATGCGCACGTGATAAGAAATAATTCAATCATTTTGAAGACAGTAAAGAAATAGGCGCCTATAAGATCATCGGTCTCCCGCAAAAACATCCACATTGAAATGTAGCGAGCAAAAACTGTGATTAGCATTCCATAAAGCAGGACCTTCTAAAATACGATATGTAAATTTTATTTTGAACACTTTTTTATATTGACTTACATGAACTTGAAGGTAGAGTTGATAAAATCCCCGTCTTCTGAGGCGATTTCCAATCACGACCATGATCGTGGCGAACAGTAGAGACATTGTGGTCGCATATTCGATATACCAAAAATATTCGGCTTCAAACTTCCGCCAAAGCCGGCATAAGACATAAGAATAGGTGATTATATCGGATATGGCCATATAAAACGCAGCGCTCTGGAATGTACGGTAAGAAATGAACTGCAAAATCAAGGTAGAAATTGATCTTGAAGGGTTGTGATTATATAAATGGCTCGTTTTTGGATCTCTTTGACTTTGTTTGGGAGATAAAAAAATTTTCTACTGCACTGTGCAGTCTTTTTCATTCTTTTCTTCCGCACAGTGCAAAAAATTCGAAAAATTTTCAAAGCAAAACCCATCGGAATTTGATAAAATTTGACTCAAATTTAGAGTACAGGGTGGGCCACTCGAAACGGGTAAGTTTTTTCTTTGGATTTCTCCGCGGAGACTCCGCCGATTTTCCCGAAATTTAGATTTTTCTGCAGCTGAGACCCGCCATTTTTAACCGGTTGAATTTTAAAAAAATATATTTTGAATTGACCTTTCTATGCCTTCCCAAAGTTTCGAAGAATTATTTTCGGGCCGAAACCGCTAAAACTTGGAAAATTTTTGGAATGATTTCGAAAACTTGGTCATTTTTTCGAGTTTTTGGGTGAAATTTTCTAAGTTTTACCTCAGATAACCATAAAATATTTGTCGTAAAAACAATTTTATTTAACGACCTGATTATTAATATTTCTATCTGAGTCCGAAATGCCCATTTCCTCTCGCAGCACAAACTTGTAGGAGCTTTGAGAGTCATGAGAGTCGTGAACAGCTCGAATTGCAGATCGTGAACATCGTCTATCTTTAATCGGGCTGGGCTCCAAGCTTCAATGATGACTTGGAGCTGGGGCTCGTTGCCAATTGTGTGGACTTTTGCAATCTTTTTGAAACCTTTTTTTTTTTGAATGTTCGTGCCCTAATGGTAATACAAACAACCCTCTTGTGGCTTTCAACTTGCTTTAAACAAGTTTAAGGCGAGCACTAGCAACTTTTTACTCCGCGATTTCCCCCAAAAAAAGCCAAAAATTTTCCAAGTCCGGGAAAGTCAATTGAAAATCATTCCAAAAGTTTTCAAAGTTTTAGCGGTTTCGGCTCGAAAATAATTCTTCAAAACTTTGGGAAGGCATAGAAAGGTCAATTCAAAATATATTTTTTTCAAATTCAACCGGTTAAAAATGGCGGGTCTCAGCTACACAAAAATCTAAATTTCGGGAAAATCGGCGGAGTCTCCGCGGAGAAATCCAAAGAAAAAACTTACCCGTTTCGAGTGGCCCACCCTGTAGAAGTTTCTAAATCATATTTGAATTTTTTTGCTTACGTTTACAGAAATCTTCGGGATTTTAGGCCAAAAAATCCAAAAAAAAAAAAAAATTTTTTTTGGACTTTTTTCTAAAAAAGTTTACTAGTCTCATTCTAATTGCGGAGTATAGTGCTGACACAAAAATTCAAATGTTTCCATGCAAACCTCGCCAAGATACAGCCCAAAAATTAGCCCTATTTCATTATTTTCAATATCCGCAAATATTGTGAAATATCTCTGCACTTGTTGGAGAGTTTGAGCTAAAATTTTTAAGGATCAAAATATGACCAATGGAAATGCTACTTGCAAGATTTAAAAAAAATCCGAGCATCCGGTTTTGAGAATTCGGCCTTTAACGGTAGTGTAAAGGTTAGTACAGAAAACAAAAAAAAAAAACAAATTGCACTGTGCAGTCGCAAAATTTAAAACTTAGAATCTATGAAGTAAAATTTTTGCAAAGAAAAATTTTGCAATGGCCTGGTCGTATTTTAGGAATAAAAAATTAAAAAATCAATAAAAAAATCAAATTTCTTTTGAAGATTTGTAAAATACGCCATAAAATGGTATTCCATAAAGTTAGTATGAAGTAAGAATAAACCCAAAACTTACATGAACATGAAGATTTAGACTGAAACATAGACAATATGGCAGTAGATTGTAACGACGATAAACCTTTGCACTCCGGTCATCCCGAATGCTGAACCCGCAAAATCCGGCTGGAACCAGACACATTTTGGGCTGTTAAAAGTCTTTACCATCGAAGAAATTGTAGTTACAAAGAAGTTTTCAGGAGTAAATGTGTAAAATTTGGGGAAAATGGCTCTTTTTTGATAAGAAATCGGAAAAAAGTAATAGATAATTTGAAGCCATGACTAAAAAAGAGCCCGGGAAGTTGAGGGTGTGGCTTTTGACTTGTCTTTGATTAACTTGTTAAATAATGTTCAAAAATTTTTATCTTGCGAAAAAGAAATAAAGTTTTGAAAATTTCGGTGTCAAATCAGCTTCTGCAATGGTGGCCAAAAGACTCCTTTTACATCGAAATTGATATGTTAAGAATGTTTTTTCGATTACTCTAAGCAGAAAACAAAAAATGGTGTTTTTTATCCACTGCACTGTGCAAAAAAATAGATTCTAATTTTCCGCACCGTGCAATGAATTTCCGTTTAGATTCCTCGATTTTGCACAGCAGTATAATGCATTGCATCACGTTTATGTGCAAATCAATGCTTTTCTAAAGCGCATGGTATGAAATTAAGACTGAAATTTTCCGCACCGTGCAGATATTGGCTTTCATTTTTCTGCACTGTGCGGTTAGCTTCAGAGTTAGTAAATATTCTTCAACTAAGATTTTCGCTTGTTTATACAGTTTATTGAATAAAAATCTTCAAGTAACTTGTCCCAAGTCATCTTTTCTACACCTTTCGCTTTGCACTGTGCGAAAAATCAAAGATTTTTTTTTGCACTGTGCAAAAAAATAAAAAATAAAAATTTATCCCTGATTTTCAAATTGTCGGTGCTCTTTGAGAAGCCTAATTTCTTGTCGTTTCTGGTACATCTCTGTGGAATCAAGGATCTTTTGAACAATGCTGGTCGTGGAAATGCAAGGAGTTCGAGCCGTGGCCAAAAATCGGTCAGATTTCTTAAATGGCAAATAACAATCGTCGATGTTATCGTTAATAGCGTATGGAATGTCATCATGAGCCACTAGATCACACTGAAAATATTTAATTTACATTGATTTATAAATTAAAACAAAAATTTTTTGATCTCATGGACAATATAAATTGATGCCAATTTTGGACAAGTTGATGTCAAAAACAATGTAAACTAACCTTTATTTCGTCCACAAACTCCAATGTGGGGTAGAATGGAGGGTCAATGTAGACCTCGTCCACGTATCGGCAATGGCTCACCATTTCAGCCCGTTCCGCCTCGGAAATTACAGTATTCCCTCCTTTGTAATGAAGTGTATCAGCGTCAGATACAACTGAAATTTTTTTTTTTGACTATATTTTTTTATCGATGGCAAATTTTACTTTTGCACAGTGCGATGTCTTTTTTTATGGCTGCACGGTGCAGAAAACAGAAATTTTGTTTTTTGCACAGTGCAAAGAAAAGGTTTGACTGCACTGTGCGGAAGGACAGAGTTGCGACGCGTTTTCCTTTCAGAAAAATTTTCTTTTCGGTGCAGCGGCAAACAAATTTTGGGCGCACTGTGCGAGATTTTAGAAATCTCCATTGCACAGTGCAGAGAGGTTGGGAATCATTTTGCACAGTGCGAAATACAATTTTCGTTTATTTATATTGCCTAAAAATTAACATTTTTTTTACTCTGCAAATTTTTTTTGTTGTCCATTGCACAGTGCAGAGCTTGAAAAAAATTTGCACGGTGCAAAATATTAAAAAAAAATCTTTTGAAAAACTGCACAGTGCAAATAAAAAAGACTAAAAAAATCTAAAAAAACTATTATTATGACTTCAAAATTTCGAAACCCACCTCCAACCACAAGATAACAGTCCGGCAACAGCTCTTTGATCTGTTGGAACTGTTTGGCGTGTCCAACATGAAATAGATCAAAAACTCCGTCAGCATAAACTCGAATCCTTCTTGGAGAGCCTGCAAAAATATTCAAAAGAAACTCGAGCGTATTTTAGATCATAAACTTATTGCACAACCACTGACCTTGTTTTACGATTGAGTTGAGAGTGATTGGAGTCCAATTCTCCAGCCTTTTTATATTATCCACGGCTTCAGATGAGGTTGAAAAAATTGCTGGAGAATGGTATAAGCTCATCACGGAAAGTATATTATGCTTTAGAAGGCCGTAGATGTTGATGAAAACTCTGAATAACAGTTTTCTGAAAAATCAACGGAACAATGAAAAGTACGAGTTACAATGTCCTAAAACCCCAAATAAATCCTCATCCCTCTCCCAAACGGCGTGTAAATAAAAGTGTTTTGAAATTGTTTGTTGTTTGGCAAAGGTTATATATATTATTTGATACAGTTTTTTCTCCTCTACAAAACTGTGTTTTTAGTTTTTTTTGAAAATTAAATTTTTTATAATTTTTGGGGCTTAAAAAGTTTTTGAGGTCCTCTTCGCCATCGAATTTTTCACCTCGGATTTGGTTTGACAGAAAGCGGAAAAGGTGGTAATCGGTTGGCGCAAGGTCCGAGAGTATGGTGGATGCTAAATAACCTCCCATTCGAACTCATGGAGTGCGGTTTTGACGACTTGTGCAACATGAGAGCAAGATGACTCGTGGAGCAAGATGACTTGGCCTTGATTTCAGTCGAATAGCCCCATTTTCGAGGTGTAGTTGGGCATCATAGAGCTCCTTGTTGACAGTGGCGTTCTTTTGAGGCATGTCCCAATGCACCATGCCTTCCCAGTCCCCCCAAATGCAGATCATGGCCTTTTTGGGTGGGGATCTTGCTTGACTGTCCCCTGGGGTCACCCACTCCAGGAAACAGTCAACATTTTGCATTATATTGACGTACAGACACCATTTTCATCCCCAATGATGATTCGACACAAAGACCGCCGTTTGCGTCCACGTGCTGCTCGGCGAAAAAAGCAGGTGTCGAAAACGCAAATTTTTGCCTCCTAGATGGTTCACTTTTAAGCCCAAAAAATAATTAAAAATTAAATCTTCAAAAAAAATTAAAAACACAGTTTTGTAGAGGAGACAGAACTCTTTCGAATGCATATATAAACTTTTCCAAACAAAAAACAATCGTTGCAGGACGAAGCAATAAAGAAATCGTTGCGGACTTATTCCCCAACCTAATATTTTGACGTGTGACGGTTCTCCTAATCTGTACAACAAATAACTACACTGCTAGGTGCAATTTTATTTGTACCGTTGGTTGTAACAGCTTCTGTCATGACCAAAATCCCGCAGATATGGTATCAAAAACATAATGCCTTAAAAATCATTGACAAGTCTTCGATACTGTCCTGATTTTGTAAAGATTTTGACGTGAGAAGATTTTTTTCCGGATGATGAATGGGATATTAATTCTTCCATTATTTCTGCTAATGGTCACTGACGTTCTTCAAATTTATTGCACATAAAGTACGTGCCGTTGACTTTGTATCAGCCTACGGAATCATGGTTGGCGGCCGGTCTGGCGGCGCTGGTGGCGGAAACAGAAAGAAGCCCCAAAATTTTGGATTTTTGTGTTTTTGAGGACCTCAACGCCAGTTATAGCTCATGTTGCTCCAAAATTCCGTGATTATAGAGCGTATACTTAGCCAATCGTTATAGTGTAAAAGCTCAAGGCACGGTCATTCGGAACTTGAAACGTTTTGGCAGTTTGTAAAAAATTGACAGTGAACGATATTTATGATCTGAAAACCCCGTTTTACATCTTTGTAGTCATTCTCTATCCTAGGGCGCAGGCTGCCAAAAAAAAAATTCTGAAAACTTCAAGGTTTGCTTGCAAATCGGCTGGCGTTTTGTTACATTTTTTGTAAACTTTTAAATAGCCCTGTCAGCTCCTGGAAAACCCGCAGAAACCCCGGATATCTCTCGACCAATCTCCCCCAAAGTACAATATATACAAAAGGGCCCGTTTTTACGTCAACTTTTGCGAGCTGTAAAAAGCCTAATTGTCATAATGAGGCAAAATCAATTTCAGTGTATAAAAACCGACCAGAGCTCTATCAGAAAAAGTAAATTTCAGCCCATAGCATAAAACGATAAAGATAGCGCAACCATTTTTTTGACCAATTTGGGGTCCGCGTTTCAGGCGCCTTAGTTGTAAGCACTTATAATGGCAAAACATGTGTCGTAGACAATTATTTTGTCTGAAACTTTAAAAATGGCTTCTAGGACGTATTACACGTGCCCACAATCGCCCACTTTGTTCCCGTACTCTTACAGCCCGCAGGGCAAGCAAACGAAACAATATAGATAAAAAAATGGTTGTAATAAACGTACTTAAAACAATCTTAAATTCGCTATTGATGAATTACAGAGAAAATTTATACAGAATACATCGAATAAACATACCGCATAAGGCTCAAATATATTATCAATTTTGCAATTTTTCTGCTCTTACTTACGTAACTTCAATCAAACATACTTCTTTGAGAAAATCAAATAATTTCTGCTTTAAGACAGAGACAAATTACAGAAAATCTCTACATCAAGTAAAAAAATAAATAAATTTCGAGGCGAGACATTTTGATGCGACCATCCGTCATTATTTTTCCGACAGACTGATAAGCAAAACAATGTTATGTCGACGAAAATATGTGGAAGTTGGAGGTGTTGGATACGGCCGGTCAAGACGGATTTGCAGCCATGAGAGAGCACAACGTCCGAAGTGGCGATGGATTTCTACTAGTATTCTCGTTCCAATGATTGTGGCTGAAAATAAGTGCGATTTGAAGGAAAAAGGTCAAACAGCCTTTGCATGTTCTGAATATTTATTGGTAAAAATTGCATTGGAAACCTTAAAAAATGATGACAAAAAGTTGCAAATTTTGCTTAAAAAATACTGAGAAATTGGTTAAAAAATCAAATATTAAGAAGATTTAACACGGCTATTTGTATCGCCGAATGAGAAAAATGGCCAGCCCTATCAGCAGTAAGAGGAACACCAGCGCCCCGCCAATGCCTCCTCCTATCAGCGCCCAATTCGGGGATTCATCTTGCGCAATCGTCACATCCTCAGAATCTCTAAAAAAATATAATTCACAGAAAGCGAGGACCCACGATCTTTCGTTCGGATTGTACAGGTACTTGACGTAGGTGTTGTTCAAATAATCGGCTACCTCAGGACCAGGTGGATTACATCCTTCCACCGAAAATTTAATAAGGATGTAGTCCTGAAAACAAGAATTAGATTACAAATATAAAACAAAAACAATTTTTTGGCGCTACGGCGTCTCGGGTCAGGGACAGGTCGGGTCAACGACATTTCGCGTTGACGATACGATATCGCACAGCATTCCGAGGTTTTTTGCCGCCACCGATCGGTGCCGATTTTCGCTCAAAATGACAACAGGGCTGCGCGCCTCGGCTGATAACTAGCTAGCCCAAAAATGAAAAAGAGTAAAAATTGATTTCCAGATAGAGTGAAAAAAGACCTATCCAATGATATAAATAGGTCCTATTGACTTTCTCCCCACAACGATCTTTTTCGCCTACAAAATTACAAATTTTTTTTGTTTATTCATGGATAAATGCACTTTATGAGGGCATAATTTAAAAAAAATGGTACCACTCGATAGCAAATAGCCTCTTCTATGACATATCCAAAAATAAGGGAAATTCTGGCCCTTAGGGCACTAAAAAATCCAAAAAATAGCGTATTTTACGTGTTTTTGCATATTTTTCGGGATTTTTTGCACCGAATGCACAAAAATGAAAAATCGGCTGTTATAGCGTTGTAGTGCACACTCGATTACATATACCTGCCAAATTTCACATTTTCATCTTTACTCCACTTTGTGTTCTGAGCCGGTTTAGGTGTTAAGGCAACATCGCTGCATAGGGTAATGCCGGATGCCGATTTTAAAATTTGTTTTTCATTTTTGAGACATATTACGCTCATATCAATATTAGATACTGATTTTTGCTCCAGATGACACAATGCCCTTTCATAAATTCACGTAATGACACCAACGTGTTTGATTTCAACATGACGAAAATAAGGGAATTTTTGTTTCGGGACTAGTATTTAGGTGACAACGGACCTGCCAGAATATGCTCCGACGTTTATTTGGCTAGAAACAGGTATGGAACCCGGATGCAGCGACGTCCCGTAACACGTTGCACATATGCGATTTTACTTAAATTTACGTTATATACATGACGTTCAAAGTCAATACGACTGAAAAGACAGAAAATTTTTTTAAAATCGGCATCCGGCATTGCCCTACGCAGCGATGTTGCCTTAACACCTAAACCGGCTCAGAACACAAAGTGGAGTAAAGATGAAAATGTGAAATTTGGCAGGTATATGTAATCGAGTGTGCACTACAACGCTATAACAGCCGATTTTTCATTTTTGTGCATTCGGTGCAAAAAATCCCGAAAAATATGCAAAAACACGTAAAATACGCTATTTTTTGGATTTTTTAGTGCCCTAAGGGCCAGAATTTCCCTTATTTTTGGATATGTCATAGAAGAGGCTATTTGCTATCGAGTGGTACCATTTTTTTTAAATTATGCCCTCATAAAGTGCATTTATCCATGAATAAACAAAAAAAATTTGTAATTTTGTAGGCGAAAAAGATCGTTGTGGGGAGAAAGTCAATAGGACCTATTTATATCATTGGATAGGTCTTTTTTCACTCTATCTGGGAATCAATTTTTACTCTTTTTCATTTTTGGGCTAGCTAGTTATCAGCCGAGGCGCGCAGCCCTGTTGTCATTTTGAGCGAAAATCGGCACCGATCGGTGGCGGCAAAAAACCTCGGAATGCTGTGTATCGTTTAATTTTTTCGTTTCGGGACTGGAAAAAAGAATTTTTGTGAAAATTGAACAAAATTTTAAAACGTGTTCGCTTCGGGAGAAGAAAACAAAAACAAGATTATTTGTGGAGGATCGATCTGAATCTTCTTCAAAAAATTCTGTTTTCCTAGTCCCGAAGCGGAAACACTAAACGGTATCGTTAACCCGGAATGTCGTTGACCCGATCTCTCCCTGACCCGAAAAGACGGGACGCGATCTTTTTGACTTACTAATGGAAAAAGTAGGACGTTCTTTGAATTCAACTTGTATTTATCGTCCTTTGCGCATTCCGACGCTTTCCAAACGTGATCCACAGCCCAATTTATTTCTTTGCAGACGTTCTCTCCCTTGTTTTTGAAGACAATCTTATCTCCAAACACGCTCACCTTGCTCTTGCAGTTGAACTGGCGCGTGTTGTTGGGTGTGTACGGGTGAAGCTTCGTTCCGTTCAAATTGAACGGGATATGCGGTATATACGGGGCACACGCAATCCTCACGAAATCATGCCCCAAAAAATCGAAAAAACATTCTGTGAAGCAGTACCTTGTCTCGGAAGCTTTGTTGAATACGGGGCAATTCCTGCAAATTCACAGATGAGTTGGCTCGTCAGCCGGCAGGCGGGCGCACACTTGCGGGCAACCACTTTGCGGGCAAATTTTTTGCGGGCAGCCACTTAGCGGGCAGCCGACATTTGCGGCCAGCACCGGCATTTGCGGGCAGCCTGGAAGATTTGCGGGCAGCCGACATTTGCGGGCAACCGACACCTGATTGTGAGGGTAACAGGGTGGACGTGGAAAAATTGATATGTTGGAAATTTGCCGACATTTGCGGGCAGCCGACATTTGCGGGCAACAGTTCCAAAAGTTCCTATACAGTCTGTGTGATTGTTTTTTCCTGTTGCCCGCAAATGTCGGCTGCCCGCAAATGTCGGAAAATTTCCAAAATATCGCAGTAATATTTCCACCTCCACCCTGTAACCCTCAAGTGTCGGTTGCCCGCAAGTGTCCCAGGCTGCCCGCAAATGCCGGTGCTGCCCGCAAATGTGACCCCCCAAATTTGGCCCGCAAAGTGGTTGCCCGCAAAAAGTTTGCCCGCACACTGGTTGCCCGCAAAGTGGTTGCCCGCAAGTGTCGCGACGCCAGCCGGCACGGCTCGTTTCAAATTTGCTTCGGCCTAGCCCGGGCCGGCCCATTGAAACAAAAGTCGGGTCTAAGGTAGTACAGCCCCCCCCCCCCCAGTCCAGTTTAGCCCCCCCCCCCCCATGACCCAGGTTAAAATCATCAAACTTGCATGTTTTTCAAGATTAAAAAAAGTGAAAAGTGTTTTTTCACGTTATGGGTATTTAAAAACAGTAAATATCATATGTAAAATGGTTTTACTGGCAAGCGCCAAACTTCATAATGATTCTTAGGCCAACCTAGTAGCAATATGTACCATTTAGCGTTTTGAAATAAGATTTATTTTGCCCCACAGCAGATATGGTAGCTACTTAAGGGACAAATCAACCGTTTATAATTTTTTGCCCTGAGGCATTCTGCAAAAAATGAAAATGGTAGCTTTCATCATTTTTCAAGGGCTTTCCAATGGTGTATAACACTTGCCATTTGGTGAGGGTTCGTTTGTACACTTCCCTAGTTAGATCAAATCCCCAACGTAGTAAATCAAACCCCCACTTACATTTTTTGTATTATTCTAATTTGTTCATTATGTGGGGTGTGAAACGGGCAAAACAGTGGGGGGTTTGAACTACCTTTCGTGGGGGCTCAACTACCGAAGCCCCCAAAAGTCTCCCCAAGTCTAGCTCGTTATGACCAAATTTTTTTCTATCGTCATGTAAATGGATAAGTACTGTGTTCCGTAGGTATCTAAAAACAAAAATACCTTTAAAAAACCAATTATGTTTTGACATTGCGTTTATTTTCATTAGCAAACCCAATTTTCGCTTCGAGATTATGGATTTTAACTATTCCGGGCCGGCCCAGCCGGTAGCCATGTCTAGTCACCTCAAAGGCGTGCAGAGGTCGGCTCTCTGTATTGGCCCCCCTGTTCTCTTTTCTTGTGTAAAAATCTACATAGTACACTGAAAGAAAAAACATCATAAATTTTTGATGTTTTTCATCAGTCTATTAGATTTTGATAAAAACATCAAAAAAAATTTTTTTTGATGTTTCGTTTCATCAAAAAGGAAAAAATGCGATATTTTTTTTGATGTGGCGCACATCAAAAATTTTTGATGTTTGGAAAATCAAATATTTCTGATAATTTATCAAAAAATGATACAAATAATATTAGTTAAACCATTTATTCAAATAAGCCGTTAGCTACAACATAATTTCGGCTAAATGGCTGTAATATTCAAAGACGTTGACCATGTAGCCTTTAAACTCAATGAAACGGGTGTTTCTGGCTCTGATCCCAGACAACGATTGGAAGACAGGGTCGTTGCGTCGAGTGGAACATGTCATTCACCACGCCATTACCACCGGGTGTCCGCATCGCATGGCCTAAAGATCAAACTACTACAATATAAATAACTCACATGTTTGATGAATCCCGACTTCTGAAATATCGAAAGTATACTGTTTTCCATTGATCATCAAGCTTCTGGACGGCCCAGGCCTACAAATACACGATGTTAATTTTACCGTCATTACCGTCATCAAAGGCCGTCTTACCGAAAACACCATTCCAACTCTTCCATGTTAATGCGGACGATGGAGATTATCGCGGGTTGATGGTGCAGGTCTTTGACGGAAAAGTCGACATCCACCTATAGATTTACACAATCAAAATTTGAAAATTCTTAAAATATTTTATGAGCTCACCACGGATAAGATGCCACGACGGGTATTCCCTAAACAGTTATAGATGTAATTCTTCTTCGAGTTCGGCGGAGCGCAAGTCAAGGTAATCCTTCCCGTCCGGGCAGACCTTGTGGTAAAGCGGATAGGTCTTGAAGGTGCCAACTTCCATTACCCAATTGATGATGTTGCTGTGTGATGGGACATATTCATTTTGCGGAAAAACAACACACCCAGAAAGGGATTCGCTCTGAAGTCTAAAATATATCTATTCGTAGGGTTTGTCCTTGGTTTTTTGTTTTGCTCCGATTGACTTGATTTTTGGCATGGGGGTTCTTTTAGATGCTGTCTTTGAGTATTTGAAAAAAATTTTCAAAATTTTCAATTTTGAGTGGCCTATGACGTCATGAAAAGTCGAAACTTTGAGTCTCTGTATCTCGCTCCGTTTTACAGCTATCGACTTGATTTTTGGTTTCGTCGCGTATGGTACATAATGGGACAATCACTTTCGAGATTTTTTCGAAATTTCAAAATTTACGAAAAAAATCTCAAAAAAAGACCTTTTTTCGTATCTTTTAATTAGACCGGGGAATATTGAAATGCAAGCTTCTACAGGTCCATATCGGGAAAGCAAATTCATAACTAAGAGATAACTCGATGTATGTGTAGATACGACCATGTACAAAGTTACACTTCCAGAAAACCCCGTCATGATGACGGATTTTCTGGATTTTTTTGATTCCTTTGAATTCTACGTACCCGACTTCCTATTAGGTCGTGTCTCTTTTTTTTGTGGTGCACTTCGTATTTTAGCTATGGCTTACTGTAAAAAATACGATTTGCACAGTGCAAATTTCAAAAAAATCGTTCTTGGCTCCCAGGTCGAAATTCGAAAAAACGGCTCGCTGATCTTAGTTTTTTTGCTCTAAGATTGTCCCTAAATTTTTTCAGAACATTCTACATGGCCATCGTTTCAGAAAATCTACATAATAGATTGTAGACCTCGAAGAGCTCTACAAATTACCCGCTTACATCTTCCTCGTATCTTTAAAATTACGGCCGTCAGAGCCGCCGGAAATTTCGGTCAATTTTTGGTGCACCGTGCGAAAAAAATCGCCCTTAGGGCAATTAGCGGACTTGAACAAATTGATCATATGGGTGCTATAGGACACAAAATGAACTACCATCGTGCCAAGTTTCAGCTTTCTACCTGCAATATTCCGTGCGCACCGTGCGGCCGAAAAAAAATTTCGAAATTTCGGCCAAAATTCGGCCCTGAGGGCTTGAAACGGAATTTTTTCGGATTTTATATACCTCCATCGTATTCAGCACGTTGAACTGCTATAGAAACAGGTATCGATTCCTAAAATACGGACAAGGTCAAAAGGCAGTATTCGAATTTCAGAATTTTTGGATTTTACTTTATTGTACGAAAGTGCAATTATTTCGGGAACAAGGTCGAAATTCAAAAATCCGGCTCTAACATCCCCTCGGGAATTTTGCTGGGTTGACGATGCCGGTTGAATTACACCTGTCGATGTAATCCCCATGGCAGAATCTTTCGGCGAGTTTTGACACCAAAAAATTTAAAATTTTTAAAACCGTCAAAACTTGAAAATTTCTAACTACAATCGGTCTAAAGGTTGCATATTCGGAATCTCCATGTCATTTTGGATGTAGTCGTATCTTTTTTCCCGGTACTTTTAGTGCAACAAGTGCCAGTTTTGAAAAAACGCCCACTTCCATGGGCGAAAACACAAAAAAAGAGCGCGGCGAAGAGAGAGAGCGGGCAGAGAACCGCTTCACAGCAACCCGAAATAGAAGAAAAATGTTTCCCGCCCACTTTTGAGTTTCGTCCAAACGAAGTGTCAAAATTGACAAAAGGATTAAAATAATTCCGAGAAAAATATTTTTCGGTCGGAAAATCCCACGAAAAATTCTTTTATGACATTTCGTTTGATTTCAACCGATACAAAATGGGCGAAGTGTCGAAAGGAGCCAGGAAACATTTCGGGTTGCCGTGCGCTTCCTTCTTCGTTTGGCGGGAGAAAAGAGAGAGTGGGAAAGGGGTGGAGGGTGGTTAGACAAAGGTTTTCTCTTTCGATTCCGGTCAGAGATAAGACGGAGAGAGTGCTGAGTGTGAGGAGGGTGGTACGGAAACTGTCATCGTGACGCGTAATGACGGGAATTTCTGGATTTTTTTTGAGAATTTTTGTAAAATTATTTTTTTGGTCCTGGATTCTCGGGATTTGGCCGTTTTAGGGCCAAATTTGACGGGGATTTTGGGAAAAATATTGGTTTTAGATAATTTTGAGTGCTGAGTCTAATTTTTCGAGTTTTTTAGTCGATTTTTCTTTGCTGAAAGTATTTCTGATCAACTTCTGGTGGAAGAAAATTATTTTAGGTAACAAAACATAGTCTCGCGGCGGCCGTAGGCCGTCGCCTCATGCCGGCGGGCGCTTTAACCGGGCTGAGCGATCTGGGACTGACCTGAGCTTAGCGATTAGGGTAAATTCTCGATCTAAAACAAAGTCGGCTTAGCGTTCCGAACGACACAAGTTTCTACTAGGCTCAGTCTAACGCGTAGCGTTTTTCTGCCGCGGCCGGAGGCCGTCGGCAAAGCTTTGGCGAGCGTTTTTTCCACATAGGCGACTTTACGTTGGTTTTCGACGTTGAACAGGTCCAAATCGCGCGCAAAGTTGCCTTTATCCGCATAGCTGCCCGAGAGACGTGAGCAGCCGCAGGCTGCGAAGTCTCGAGCCCTAGTCAAGTGCAATACTATTGCACTTGACTTCAGAACGAATGAAATTGAAGGAAATTCGATAAAATTTAAATCCAAAAACCTTGCAAACGAAGTTACATAACCTTCCATTTACTGATAAACATAAAAGAAAACAACAACAAAATTCGCTTACCTCACCTGACAGTCACGATCGTTTACAAAAAATAGCAAAATTTATGAAGAGAAATCCGACCGATTTCTCGTATCTTTCTTTTTGGAGTTCAATTTGCGAATTGCAATTTGATAAACCCAAACATCAAAAAAAATTTTTTTGATGAAAACATCAAAATCTCCTGCTTTTGATGTCGTCGACATCATAAATGCGTGATGTTTTATTTTGATGAATTTGAATTTGATGTTTTTTTTCAGCGTACTAAAAAATCAACATTTTTGGTTTTCTTATCAAAAACCAGCCCAACGTCTAATCTATTAAATTTTCTTAGAGGGGCGGCTTCCTTTGCCCTGTGGCCTGCGAAACGTTCAATTTAGTGAGACGATGTGTTCTATTTGCGTAAAAAGTCCTTCGGTCGTTTCCGAAAAAACCAAAAGAGAGGAAAAGCGCCCTCGAAACGCGATGGTTTTTTGTGTCAAAAACGGTGGTTCATGACAGTAAAGATAGACGTTTCGCAGGCCACAGGGCAAAAGAAGCCGCCCCTCTAAAAAATTTTTATAGATTAGACGTTGGGCTATCGACTGGTACCAATTTTATCCCATTATATTAAAGACTGAGTGAAAAACAAAGGTTTTTGCCGAAAAAAACGTAAAAACAGCGTAAATACTGTGATCTACTAGGTGTCTACTGAGTTCATTTTTTGAAGTAAGCCGCCGTCTAAAAAAGTTTTGTAGAGTAAACGTTTGGCTATCGACTGGTACCAATTTTATCCCATTATGTTAAAAATTGACTGAAAAAATAACGTTTTTCAGAAAAAAAAACGTCAAAAAAGTTGAATACCACGATCTACTAGGTGTCTACTGAGTTCATTTTTTAAAGTATAAATATGAAATTTGGATATCACGTAGCTCTAGGAAATACTTTATTTGGTTTTTGGAAATGTGACTCTAAGACCACCGAGAGCCGAGTTATCCACTGATTACTGTAGAGAACCCCCCGTTTTGGACGTAAAAAGTCACTCCGATCGCTCTGATAAATGCGCCGCTCTATAGATGGGTCTCTACTAATCCGTCGCGACTCTCTCGCTTCGAAACGTGTTTTGGGTATTCTCTCGCTTTCTCTTTCGTTTATTTTATTTATTTTTCGTTGATGAAACAGACCCCAGGCATTCCCTATAAAAAAATCGGAGTTGGACGATTGGGGAAAAAGGCGATTGGGGAAAAGGACGATTGGGGAAAAGTACGATTGGGGAAACCGAAAAGTATTATTTTTCTTCTATGCAAATGTCGAAATTAGGATAATCGAGGGTGTTGATTTCGAAAATCATGTTCACTTTTTCCGCACTTTACTAGTTTTCCTTAAGTAGTACTGTAAAGTAGTAATTTTAAAATTTTTTCATAAATATTCGATTTAGGGGTGTTCGAGGATGCTGATTTCAAAAGTCATGTTTATTTTTTCTGGTTGTTACTTTTTTCTTAAATAGTACTGTTAAGTAGTAATTTTTTGAAAATTCCCCAAAAATACTGGGTTTAGGGGTTTTCGAAGGTGCTGGTCACGAAAATTATGTTAAATTTTCCTCTAGTACTAAATAATGCTCCGAAAAAGTGAAAGCTGCCTGATACTATGTATTTACGAGGTGAAAATAGGAGTACGTCCAGAACAACACCACTAACGCCGAAAGGCCAAATTTACACCTCGTACTACATAGTATCAGGTAGTACTATTTAGTACTGGAGATCAGCACCTTCGAAAACCCCTAAATCCAGTATTTTTGGAAAACCTTTCAAAAAATTACTACTTAACAGAACTACTTAAGAAAAAAGTAAGAACCAGAAAAAATAAACATGACTTTTGAAATCAGCATCCTCGAACACCCCTAAATCGAATATTTATGAAAAAATTTCAAAAATTACTACTTTACAGTACTACTTAAGGAAAAAAGTGAGAATCAAAAAAAAATGAATGTCATTTTCGAAATCAGCACCCTCGAAAAACCCAAAATCGAGTATTTATGAAAAAATTTTAAAATTACTACTTTACAGTACTACTTAAGGAAAACTAGTAAAGTGCGGAAAAAGTGAACATGATTTTCGAAATCAACACCCTCGATTATCCTAACTTCGACATTTGCATAGAAGAAAAATAATACTTTTCGGTTTCCCCAATTGTATTATACTTTTCCCCAATCGTCCCAATTCCCAAAAAAATATTTTAAAGATAAAGCCCCACCTTGAATCATTGGATCCAGAAACTCCGGTGAGAAACTTGTCTTCTTCCAGCGCCAAGTGAAAGCGGTAACTTTCCAAGCCTGTCTGTTTGTCAACCAAGTCCAGTTTCTCGTCACTGAAAGTAACATTTGATGTTGATAAATCTTTCTCAAGTTTACCGCGCGCACCCTGAATGCGTCACATTTTAATCCCTCAGAACTTCAGCTCCGAATCTACCAACGAAGCAAAGATACAGTGGCGAACCTAATCCGGTGGCACAAGACGTACCATTTTGCATCCGGCAAGTCTGAAAAACGCAGCAAAATACCTCCCTCTCGAACTAAAAAACTGCACAAAAGTAGGGTCGCCTACTTACTAGATGAATTCTAGCACATAAAATTGAAATTTTGCACCCGCGTCCCACTTACGTCACATTTTTCTCGGACGGATTGTACGTGTATCGAATAAAAACTCCATCATTCTCTTCTGCATGGGTTATTATCTGGAACTCGTTCGGGACTTGACCCTCAAATTTCGTGGTCAAGTTGAGACACTGCAGAAAGGTGGTTATCGAGGAGTAGAACTCCGCTGTCGAAGGAGTACTCATGTCGGAACCGCCGCACGGAGAGGCGAGAGAGAGAAAAGAATGAAGGGACCAATTTAGATTTCAATCTTCAAAGTGCAAAGTTTGCATAAAAATCGAAACGTTTGAGGAATTCCGGCTTCTGATCGATCAAATACCGTCTTTCCATTGGTGATCCAGCTTCTGGACGGCCCAGCCCTATAAATAAAAGATATAATTGTGACTAGCATCAAGCACAGCTCACCTGACCGAAAAAAGATCATTCCAGCTTTATTGGGGTTAGCACTGATGATGGAGATCGTCATGGGTTGATGAGGCAGGTCTTTGGCGGAAAAGTCGACAGCCACCTGCTTTTCTTCGCAAAACGACACCGGGCGCACGGCATTCTGTACTTTTGGGACACAACCGGTCTCCGCGACTTTTTCAATTTTTTTGTGAATGCGCTTGCTTTTTCTCTCCATATCTCGCTAGCCGTTTGAGCTAGAAGGCTGAAATTTGGTATGGCAGTAGAGTAAAAAGCTGGCTTTCAGAAAATATAAATATTGTAAGGAACCCCGCGGAACAAACTTCCCAATGACAATTGAAAAAATCTCATTTTTAAATCTTCTGCAACCCAGAAGTGCATGTTGCATGATCGTATTGACAAATTTCTTCATGTCTATGTGTGTCAAATTCGATTCTCTACAAGATGGCCAAATTTCATCTTATTCGTTACGTTACGAGCTGAGTTATGATTAAGCTCACAGTGCGTTTTTTGGTATTTTAAGGATATTTCCGCCCTTAGGGCATCTACAAACAAATCCGCCAGCCGAATTATTCAATATCCTCATAAGTATGACCCTACCAAGTTTTGTTCTTCTACACTGCTCCACGAAATGATAGACGCACCCTGTTTTTAGCGATTATCTTCCTTGTACTAAATGATATCGAATAATGTTCAACAGATGAAATGTGACAAATTATACGAGAAATCATATCCCGTAGCAATTTTGGAATAACATTTTGTCTTGACTGAGATATGACAATTTTCGACTTTTTTGGGGTCCACAAAATGATAGACGCAATTAAGTAATTTTTTGTTTATTTAAAAGAATTTTGAGTTAACCTGCTCTTATTACACTTCCTCGTGTTCTCTGTAGTATTAGAAAGGTAATTACATTTATATCCGCCGTACTTCATCGACGCAGCGGCCTTATGAGCCATTTCCGACCTTGTACATGAGGTAAATATTCGGTTTGAAAAAAACTGTAGGTTATGCTGTTTTCTTGGGCGAAAAACTATCTAATATTACCACATTATACGTGTAGATCTCACTGATAAAAAACGGCTTGCTCAAGGATCCCGAGCATTTTCTTGGCATATCATCTTCAACATGGCTACCTTAATACTTTTAGGCTCCCGAAATACCTATAAAAACTTCAAGTTTTTATAAGTAAATAAAAGTTCTTATAAGTGATTTTCAAATCACTTATAGGTAATTTTTATTTTCAGCGCCCGGGAAGTTCACTTATAGGTAATTATAAATTCTTATAGGTAACAGAAAATTATGCACAGTGCAGGATAGATAAAAATTTATTCAAACAAAGTAAAAAACAACTTGACTCTGATATATTACCGGTTACACATGTGGTTAGCGCATCTTCTGTGTCCTGACGGGGCGAGGATTGCTTCTGTGCGGATTTTCTATGGGTACTCCTGCGGCTCGATGCACTGAAAATAGTCAAAGATAAAGAAAAAGTAAATAAAATTTTCGGAGATAGTTTATTATGAGATCTCACTGAACTCATTTTTTGTGCTTTTCCATCCCAAAAATTAGTTTGAGGTTCAGAAATTTAGCAGTGAGATTTCGAGACATCAAGTTTTTCATGTTGTACTAGGTCCAGGTGAATATTATCAACATACCTGAGGCATCCGAGAGTCATTTTTTTCCAGACATTGTGTGCACGTTGCCCATTTACTTCCTCCACGAACATTTTGTGATTATCTGAAATAGTGGGTTCACCTGGACCTAGTACAACATAAGAAAACTATGTCTTGAAAAGTTTCTGGCCTTCTGATACGTGGAAGCAGTTTAAAAAACCTACCAAAATCGAGGAAAGAGTTCTTCATCCAAATTCTTGATTGATCATGCTTGTTTCTAGATCTTCCCAGGCTGTCTGCTCTTCCATTTTGACATGTTTCCTAATCGGGAAGTTTCTTATGTTCCGGATTTTTCATCTACCCACTTTTTACAGTCCTGTAAAAGAAAAAAACTCACTAGAAACCCCTTACCTTGTTCCATCCAACGTTTAAATACCCTCTTTGACCAGTACTGCTACGAAAAACTCTTTGGCACTCAACTGTTTTCTTTTCGGAGTCCTTATTGGTAATTATAAGTAAATAAAAGTTCTTATAAGTAAATAAAATTTCTTATAAGTAAATGAAAATAGGCTCCGCCTTTTTTTAACTTATAAGTGAATTTTTGGGAAATATTTTTACCTATAAGTAAATAAAAGTTTTTATAAGTAAAAACGAATCCCCTGTGAAGTGTTAACCAACCTTTGAGAATACGCTATGCAAAGTTTCATCCGATTTGACTTCAGTACTCTGACGTTATGGCGATTTTTTAAATTTTAAAATATTTTTTTTACAAGGAAAGTACTTCTATGGGGTGTGGAATTACCGGTCGAGATATATATCAAAAAATTCGCAAAAATTTTCTGATTCAGAATATATAAAAATTAGCTGCCTAATTTTGGTCTATCAACGAGTTTTATCAATAAATGTATTTCTCGAGGAAAAAAATCTGCGGCAACAAAAGCGCGCTCGGTCTCTTCCTTCGAAAGAGAGCGGTGTGGCCGAGTGGTTAGAGCGCTAGATTGGAAATCCGAGGGGAACGGGTTCGATTCTTTTTGCCACACTAGAACCCATTTTTTACATTGGAACTACTTTTAAGGTGTAATTGTAATCCAATTTGATATTTTAAGGCTTGTCAAGGCCTCAAAATTTATTTTAGCACAAAACAAATTTTTTTATTGGTAAAAACACGGTCAAAAAGATACTTGCATGGTGTCGCGAGAAAACTTCTGAGGACAAAAACATGTCATCAGAAAAAAATTAGGCAGCTAATTTCTATATATTCTGAATCAGGAAATTTTTGCGAATTTTTTGATATATATCTCGACCGGTAATTCCACACCCCATAGAAGTACTTTCCTTGTTAGATCAGTTATTTGGGCGATAATGACTTCAGATAAAAGCAGATGTTCTAAATCGCAACGAAGGCCGGAAATGAGGTAATCTTGGTTTCTGAATTCATTTGGAATTTAGATTAGAATTTTTTCATATTGCTGGACGTGTTATACTTATCCGCCTTTGCTGGTTTGTATCTGAGCTTTGCGTATGCTGGAAGAAGAACATACCTCCTTCCCGCACGTTTATCCAGTTCCGCAAAAGCATTTTTGACGACACAATAGTCATATCGGAAGTATCGAGCGTTAATCGGACCTATATTGTGAGTTTTTTTATGTTGTACTTGGTGTTTGGGCATACCTGATGGAAAATGTCGAAAAATACGGAAAATTTTCTCTAACTTTGTACAAAGATTTTTTAAATACGGTCTATGGAGCTACCTGATCCAGTTTCGGTATTAAATCTATAGCTATTTTGGGAATAATCGTCTTGGTATCTTATCCATGGTGAGCGAATAAAATATTTAAAAAATCGTCCAATTTTGAGTCTAAAGTGTAAATTCAGCGCCCGGTGTCGTTTTGCGAAGAAAAGCAGGTGGCTGTCGACTTTTCCGCCAAAGACCTGCCTCATCAACCCGTGACGATCTCCATCATGAGTGCTAACGCCAATAGAGCTGGAATGATCTTTTTTCGGTAAGGTGAGCTGTGCTTGATGATAGTCACAATTATTCCTTTTATTTGTAGGGCTGGACCGTCCAGAAGCTGGATCACCAATGGAAAGACGGTATTTGATCGATCAGAAGCCGGAATTCCTCAAACGTGTGAGTTATTTATGTTGTAGAAAGTTGATTTTTAGGCCATGCGATGCGGATACCCGACGGTAATGATGGTAATGACTTGTACCACTTTGACGCAACCAACCCGACCCTTTCTTCCAATCGTCGTTTTGGATTATGCAAAATTTTCGATTCTTTTCGATTTTTATGCAAATTTTGCACTATGAAGATTGAAATCTAAATTGGTCCCTTCATTCTTTTCTCTCTCTCGCCTCTCCGTGCGGCGGTTCCGACATGAGTACTCCTTCGACAGCGGAGTTCTACTCCTCGATAACCACCTTTCTGCAGTGTCTCAACTTGACCACGAAATTTGAGGGTCAAGTCCCGAACGAGTTCCAGATAATAACCCATGCAGAAGAGAATGATGGAGTTTTTATTCGATACACGTACAATCCGTCCGAGAAAAATGTGACGTAAGTGGGACGCGGGTGCAAAATTTCAATTTTATGTGCTAGAATTCATCTAGTAAGTAGGCGACCCTACTTTTGTGCAGTTTTTTAGTTCGAGAGGGAGGTATTTTGCTGCGTTTTTCAGACTTGCCGGATGCAAAATGGTACGTCTTGTGCCACCGGATTAGGTTCGCCACTGTATCTTTGCTTCGTTGGTAGATTCGGAGCTGAAGTTCTGAGGGATTAAAATGTGACGCATTCAGGGTGCGCGCGGTAAACTTGAGAAAGATTTATCAACATCAAATGTTACTTTCAGTGACGAGAAACTGGACTTGGTTGACAAACAGACAGGCTTGGAAAGTTACCGCTTTCACTTGGCGCTGGAAGAAGACAAGTTTCTCACCGGAGTTTCTGGATCCAATGATTCAAGGTGGGGCTTTATCTTTAAAATATTTTTTTTTTGTAGGGAATGCCTGGTTTTTGATAAGAAAACCAAAAATGTTGATTTTTTAGTACTATGTAGATTTTTACACAAGAAAAGAGAACAGGGGGGCCAATACAGAGAGCCGACCTCTGCACGCCTTTGAGGTGACTAGACATGGCTACCGGCTGGGTCGGCCCGGAATAGTTAAAATCCATAATCTCGAAGCGAAAATTGGGTTTGCTAATGAAAATAAACGCAATCTCAAAACACAATTGGGTTTTTTAAAGGTATTTTTGTTTTTAAATACCTACGGAACACAGTATTTATCCATTTACATGACAATAAAAAAAATTGGTCGTAACGAGCTAGACTTGGGAAGACTTTTGTTTCAATGGACCGGGCCGAAGCAAATTTGAAACGGATCGGGCCGGCCGACGAGCCAACTCATTTGTGAATTTGCAGGATTTGCCCCGTTTTCAACAAAGCTTTCGAGGAAACGTACTGCTTGAGAGATTCATTTTTCGAAATTTTGGGGCATGATTTGGTGAGGATTGCGTGTGCCTCGGATGTACCGAATCTCTCGTTCAATTTGAACGGAACGATGCTTGAACCGTACACACCCGAAGCCGCAAAACAGTTCAACTGCGAGAGCAAGCTAGCAGCGTTCGGAGATAAGATTGTCTTCAAAAATAATGGAGAGGACGTCTGCAAAGAAATAAATTGGGCTGCGGATCACGTTTGGAAAGCGTCGGAATGCGCAAAGGACGATGAATACAAGTTGAATTCAAAGAACGTCCTACTTTTTCCATTAGTAAGTCAAAAAAACGGGTCCCGACTTTTCGGGTCAGGGAGAGATCGGGTCAACGACATTCCGGGTTAACGATACCGTTTAACTTTTTCGCTTCGGGACTGGAAAAAAGAATATTTTGAAGAATTTGAACAAAATTTTCACGTTTACATATACGTGAATCGTCCTATCTTAACAGTCAACAGCGGAATAGTTCATCTAAAAAAATCCAGAAATAACATTTTTACTCTACTCTTTAAAGGAAAATTGTGACGTACAGATCGGTTATCCACAAAAAAATCTTTGTTTTCTTTTCCCGAAGCGAAAACGTTTCAAAATTTTGTTAAATTTTCACAAAAATTCTTTTTTCCAGTCCCGAAACGAAAAAATTAAACGATATCGTTAACGCGAAATGTCGTTGACCCGAAACGCCGTAGCGCCAAAAAATTGTTTTTGTTTATTTGTAATCTAAATAATTCTTGTTTTCAGAACTACATTCTTATTAAATTTTCGGCGGAAGGATGTAATCCACCTGGTCCTGAGGTATCCGATTATTTGAACAACACCTACGTCAAGTACCTGTACTATCCGAACGAAAGATCGTGGGTCCTTCGTTTTCTGTGAATTATATTTTTTAGAAGTTCCGAGAATGTGACGATTGCGACGGTCCAAGATGAATCCCCGAATTGGGCGCTGATAGGAGGAGGCATTGGCGGGGCGCTGGTGTTCCTCTTACTGCTGATAGTGCTGGCCATTTTTCTAATTCGACGATACAGCAAAAGGCAATATAGGTAAGCAAAGTTATGAAGAGTCGTAGTGGGACGATTGGGGAAACCGAAAAGTATTCCCCATTTTCTGTCGACCAAATATGAAAAAATCGGCACGAAAGACGGTCGGACTACGTCTAGAGGACCGTCAGCCTCCATTTTATGCAATAATATTAGGTTGTATAATATGTTATGACCATTTTCTTGCAAACGTTTGAAGTCGATTATTTCCTAGCTCAGATCCCTCCTTAGTTCAGCATACTTATAGACTAATAGAGGGCTTATCGAAGTTTCATCTAGTGCGTATTGCAAAGTCTTACGGCATAGCCGCGATTTTCTATTGCTAAAACCTCGGAAGTGCCCCGATTTTGGCTGGGTACGAAACAACTCAAGTCACGTCTCTCTGCCAGCCGCTGCTGGTCTCAGATTGGTGTTATTATAATCTTCAAGGGTCGGAAAAGACGCTGACACAGCATCGTTGCAAGGTAGCAGTGACAACTCATTTTATGAGCTGTTTTTCCGGAAGGTTACCGAAGCCGTCGCCTGAAAAAGCGTCTAAAAAGTTTAGCGCCCGGGGCTTCTATTGTCTATTGTTATAACTCGTAGTAATACGAGATCACATGCCTGTTGTCACACCAGACAAATTTTGGAGCATGCAATAATTGGAATCTCCAGAAAAATCTAAGAATTAGCAGAATTTTGGATCATCCAATTAAATTTCAATTTTTTAGAACTTAACAGCCGCAAACTCAAAGAACATATACTGTCGTTTTCGCCGAGGTATATAGCGTATATAACCGCCAAAAACAGTTCCTCACAAGATGGCGCTAGCGCGTACTTAATAAAAGTTTTGAACTCTAGTCCAGCGGCCCTCAAAATGTAACGATTTTAATGAAATTCCTTATTGTCACCTGATACAAGCAGTTTCTGATTTGAGTAGGTTATCAAAAAGCAACTCATAAGTGACTCTTTACAGCTGAACCACGTTATTTAAGGTGAGATTAATTCGAAACGAATCAGGGTTCATAACAATGAAGGTATACCTCAATTTATATTTTGAATAGTAAAGCTCAGGTAGGGGAGATAGAGTTGATCCAGTGCAGCGTATGTAAAAGGGACGCCTAGAATGTCCTACAGAAGCATTGTCATTACTAGCCTCTCAGAATTCTCAGATTTAAGGCGTATTTTTGTTTTAGCACCTTGGGATGCCCTCATTTCTTAATTTCTTTTCTCCGGTGTTTTAGCCGGAGGCCGATGTGCTACTGGTTCCTGTAATCTACTGTCTCCACCCTACCCAGCGGTATGCTATTCAACTCTGAAAAAAGCATCATTAAAGTTTTAGGAATTTTAGAAAATTATGGTCATAACTTATTATACAACCTAATACATCCGGTTTGACAAAATGTACGCTATGTCATAATGACACATTTTCTGTAACTCTTATTTTCTGAAACTTTAAACGGCTGGTTCTGCCCCAGGAGACACTCTATAGTGTTCATAGGTTCATTCGAACGGCAATGGAAAGCACTTCTAAATAAAAGCTTCAAACTTTGCCGCACTATGAAAAAATTTTGAGAAATCTAAGCTACTCTAACTTTTGATCCAAAGAATCAATTTTTTCTTGCCTTAGGCAAAACTTTAGAAAAACGTTGTCAACAGGTAACTAGCTCAGAATAACGATACCAATCCATCCGAACCACCCCCGACTCTCTGGCATGTCTAATCTTTGTGATACAAAATTTTCGATAAAAGTGCAGTACAAAAAAAAATAGAAATTCCAAATTTTTTTGTTTTGTTAGTGTACTAACTGGGTTGAATTTCAGCCCTGTAGGACCAACTTGGAAAAAATGTGCCAAGGCACATCAACCACAAAAAAAAAGTTTTGAATCGCGAAAACTGTTTGCATAACTTTGCTAGGGTGCCCAAGAGTAGCTCAAATTAAGAATTGGAACCGAGTCGGACAGACCAAAAAAAAGTAGATTTGAAAACCTTATTTTAGACATCTTTTGCTACTAAATTGTTTCGTAACGAAGCAATTGCCTAAATTCTTTTTTCTATGAGCATAATTAGAGTAGTTTTAGAGAAAAATAAGCAACCCTGTGTCATATACTAGCTTACTCACTCAAAATCCAAAAAAACTGATATTTAGGTGACTAAAATAATATTTTAAAAATCGGTAAATTTTGACTCAGCTAGGTCCACTATGATCTAAAAAGACAATAAGAGCATAATTAGTGGCATCCGCACAAGTTTAGAAGCTGTTCTAAGAACCTTGTTTTAGGTGGTATTGGCCATTTTTGAAATTGGCGCAGCGAAGTTGAAACCTTGTTCATTACCCACTGCACAGTAAGCTAAAACATTAGAGACCCTTAAAAGACCGAATGCCAAAAATCTTGGCATTCTGTTTATGGTTGATGTGCAAGGGGTTCTCTCGCGAACCTTGTTTTAAAGGGCCTGTACAGCTACTTTGAAAAGCAATTTTCTCGGCTTGGGGTGGCGTTCTGATATAACGTTTGTTTTCGTGGCGGGACGCACTGACAAACTCGGTGCGGCTTTTTTTGATCCAAAATGAGGTGTATAAGGTACATTTTCAAGCGTTATATGGCGACAATTTGTTGTTTTTGCATGGCGAAGTGGTAAGTCGTTGTTTTGAAAGATTTTTGATTGCATTTTTAGGTGGTTTTTATGTTGTAGATGGTTTTGAACCAACCCGCTCTTAATACTATTCATCTTGTACTCTGTAGTATTAGAAAGGGTATTACATTCTTATTTGCCGTACTTTTTCGACGGAGTGGCGCTATGAGCCATCTCCGACCTTGTACATGAGATAAAGATTGGTTTTGAATAAAATGTCAGTCAGGCTGTTTTTTGGGCATTAAACTTGCCAATGCTGTTAAATTATACAGTGTGCATCTACTTAATGAAAAAAGTAGCTTGCTCTATGATCTCGAGTATTTTCTTGGCATATCATCTTCAACAAGTAGTTACCGTAACAATTTGTACCCCGAATTACCAAGAGGAATGGACGAAAATCACAAAATTTGATATGCAAATTTGAACGCAGCGTGCCTGAAAACGTAATGCTACAATCATTAGCCGTTTCAGAATAAATCGGGTCTGTTAAGTTGGTTCTACAAAAAAGTTCCGAAAAATAGGCCAAAATAGGCTTGCTTTTACCCATTTTTCCTTGAACCAACCACCTGCGGCAGATAGAACATTTAAGCAAGAAGTAAGATACGGCTATAGGTTTGTTAACATGCTGAGTTTGATTTTCGGGGCAAAAAGTTCCCATAGATAGTAATTTTCTGTACTTTAGGGCCTTTGAAGGTTACTGTAGAAGGTAAACGGTATCTTAGATGACTTAAAAGGTCGATTAAATGACTTCAAACTAATCGGTATCGGTTTGTTTTACATCTTGCATTTGGTACAAGTAGTCTAAGTTGTTTCTTGCCGAAAATAAATCACTAATCGGAATTTTTTTTAAAACCAATGTTTACCTGATGTACAAGGACGGAGATGGCTCGTGGGGCCACTGCGTCGATAAAGTACGGTAGATCCGAATGTAATACCCTTTCTAATACTACAGAGAACACAAGGAATGGTATTAAGGGCAGGTTGGTTTAACTATTTTTTTAGCCTTTTATTTTATGTTAATTCAGTTAATAGAATATAAAGAAGCTAGATTTTCAATTTCTGATGGAGTGTATGGTAGAATTTTTTATTTGTCTACCGGATTTCATGGGTTTCATGTTTTGTGTTTACAAATACAAATAAATTTTTTATTACTTTCATTTTCTTAATCTCTTCAGAATTATATTTTAAATAAAATAAAAAAGTCGAAAATTTTAGATTAATATTTTTAATTTTTTTAACAATTAAAACAGCTTTTTTGTAAGGGTCGAGCTAGCTGTGCACATGAAACAGGATGTCGCAGCAGAGTCGTGAAACAGTAACCATAGGTTTCCCTAATCACGAATATTAAATTTCAGAAAAAAAAATTTTGATTATTGGCCTACTGTAGGTGTACTGTAGCTTTCCCGCATTCCCGGATCTCAGCTACAAGAGGTCGGGTTGTATCCGGACCTTCTCTGAATCATAGAATGGACAATTCTAAGCATCTTTCATGTTGGGCACTTTTTCCTATCTGTGCCGGAAGTATTCTAAAAATTTGCATAATTGTCAAAAAATTCACATTTTTCAAATTTTATAGAAAAATTTGCATAATGGCATGACATTTTTATTACCCTAAAAGATGCTCCGTGATGTGGCAATTCAAACGGTATATAGATCACCGCAAGGGGTTCTGCCTATGTTGCAAACGGGTCGTCTAAATATTGGATCATCAGGAATTCAATTTTTCTGAACGTCAAATTTTGTCAAAAAAATGTGGTGTTTGGTATGACCAAAGATTGTATTGGACTTCAAAGTGGTTCCAAAGTAAAAATATGTAATTTTATGACAAAATAATGTTATAAATCTTTAAAAGACGAGTCAGTGGACATAGGAAAAAATCAATTTTGAAATTTTTGCATTAAAACGACCGTCGATAGATGCTAAGCAAAAGCGAAGGACGTTTTTTGCCTAATCCTCCATTAAGATATATTTTTTACAATTTACTGTTTTTTAAGTAATCGCTTATAGTTGTCGTATTTTAGCTCTGAATACAACAATTTTAAGCTTACTGATGTTTTCGACCATTGCTAACACGACGGAGCTATTATTTTTTTTCGTTTCCTACTGTAACTTCCCGTGATACAGTATTGGCCGAAAAAAAACGGCCGTAAAATCTTTGTTTCTAAAAACCCCCAGCTGATGTTAATCAGCGTAAAATTCTGCTCTAGATGCAATCAAAAAAAGTGCAAAAAGTGGTACGACAAATTTCGTGGTGTAGTGGTTAGTGGGCGGGACTACCATTCCAGCGTCCCGGGTTCGATTCTGGCTGGGTGCAGATGTCAAAAAAATTCCGCAAATCAATTTTTTAATTACCTATTTTTACTTTGGAACCACTTTGAAGTCTAATACAATCTTTGGTCATACCAAACATCAAATTTTTTTGACAAAATTTGACTTTAATTCCTGATGATCCAATATTTAGACGACCCGTTTGCAACATAGGCAGAACCCCTTGCGGTGATCTATATACCGTTTGAATTGCCACATCACGGAGCATCTTTTAGAGCAATAAAAATGTCATGCCATTATGCAAATTTTTCTATAAAATTTGAAAAATGTAAATTTTTTGGCAATTATGCAAATTTTTAGAATACTTCCGGCACAGATAGGAAAAAGCGCCCAACATGAAAGATGCTTAGAATTGTCCATTCTATAATTCAGAAAAGGTCCGGATACAATCCGACCTCTTGTAGCTGAGATCCTGGAAATGCTGGAAAGCTACAGTACACCTACAGTAGGCCAATAATCAAAAAAAATTTTTCTGAAATTTAATACTCGTGATTAGGGAAACCTATGGTTACTGTTTCACGGCTCTGCTGCGACATCCTGTTTCATGTGCACAAGGCAAATCTGAAAGCTCGAGTCTTTCGCAAAACCTGTTTTAAGCACTTAAATTTAAATTAAAAATTATTTATTTTTTTTACTAACAAGGGATCGGCAAATAGTTGTAACCTGCTTTCTTAACGAAGCCTATATCATTTGAAAGAGGATTAAAAATAGTTCACAGCGCAAAAAGAACTAGCTGCCTAAATTCACTTTGGACAAAGTTATGGCCAAAATACAGATTTTAGCCTAATTTCCGCCTCGCTTTATAAACTCTCGGAATGGCAACAGAGTTGTGTCCAGTTGGTCGAGTGGTAGTGAGCCCACTTTCGGCGCAGCGAGTCCTGGTTCTGAATCCGGTCTCTCTAAATATTTTGCGTTTCTTCTCTTATACACTGCTCGACAAAATTATAAATGCACTTTAAAAATCGCTTTAACTTTTGTGGTTGTCAATGAAATTGTGCCATATTTGGCTCCAATATGTACTAGTGTACTATAAATCTTGTGCCAAAAAATTATTTTGGAAACTTTCCACAATTTGGAAAAAAGTTGAAAAAACCGAAATTTTGGTGATTTCCTTTGCGACAAAATTATAAATTCGCGCAATATTTTGCAATTTTCTAGCCGTTGGTGCTGAAGCAAAGTAAGTAATTGGGCTTAGTAGTATCCTTAGGGGTCCTTCTGTCATGCTACGAGGAAAAATGATGGCAGAATTTGAGAAGGGCGAAGTTACGGCCCTGAAACGGCAAAGACCTTGGGTTTGGCAAATTTCGGCTCAGGTAGGGCGTTCTGCCGAAGTTGTGACGAACTACTCGGTTCACTCGGAAGTCCTCAACACATCTAAACGTTCTGGCAAAAAAGGTTCACCACCGCGGCAGAATTAAGGCAGAGAAATCCGCCGAGCTTCCAACTCCACCTTCTCTGGGTATCATATACATAGAGCAAGAAACAGGTCTCAATTGTAGCAGCATGGCTATGCTAAAGGCCCTGGGACACAGCGGTGTCATCACTGGACGTCATGTAAAATCATGCTTCAAGCTGGCCTAGGTTCGGTAAGCGCGCGACCGAAATTGGCCAAGGTGAGACTTTGACAAAACAGGTCCTCCAACATTACGGCACGGAAAGTAACGCGGTTCTCTTCTGATATAATGACAGTGATATGTGCTATGTGTGAAAGCGTCGAGGATATCGGCTGGCCATGCAATCTCCAAGGAATTCCTTACTGCAACGATGATAAACCTACCCTTGACTACTCAACCTGTTTTGTCAAAGGCACCTTGGCCAATTTCGGTCGCGCACTAACCGAACCTAACCATCTGGGGGAACGACGTCATATGACGTCCAGTGATGACATCGCTGCGTCTTAGGGCCCTCAGCATAGCTATCCTGCTACAATTGAGACCTATTTCTTGCTTTATATGAGACCCAGAGATGGTGGAGTTGGAAGCTCGGCGGATTTCATTGCCTTGACTCCGTCGCTATGGTAAACCTTTTTCGCCGGAACGTTTATGTGTGTTGAAGACTTCCGAGTGAACCGAGTAGTTCGTCACAACTTCGGCAGAACGCCCTACCTGAGCCGAAATTTGCCAAACCCAAGGTCTTTGCCGTTTCAGGGCCGTAACTTCGCCCTTCTCAAATTCTGCCACCATTTTTCCTCGTAGCATGACAGAAGGACCCCTAAGGATACCACTAAGCCCAATTACTTACTTTGCTTCAGCACCAACGGCTAGAGAATTGCAAAATATTGCGCGAATTTATAATTTTGTCGCAAAGGAAATCACCAAAATTTCGGTTTTTTCAACTTTTTTCCAAATTGTGGAAACTTTCCAAAATAATTTTTGGGCACAAGATTTACAGTACATTAGTACATATTGGAGCCAAATATGGCACAATTTCATTGACAACCACAAAAGTTACAGCGATTTATAAAGTGCATTTATAATTTTGTCGAGCAGTGTATGCCACAAAACCATGGTATGTTGACATTTTTTAATAATTTTTGTTCCTCCGCGGACAAAATCCATGGTTACGCAATTTTTCTGAGTTTTTGAATTTTTTTGAAACGACCACAAATTTGATGGTGATGAGAGTGGGTATGTCACTATCGTATAATTACAAGGGTGTTGTGCCAGTAACCTGACCGATTATGATTACTGGAGGATAATTCAATTTACAAGGGCCTATAAATATACATTTTATCAAAAAAATACGAAGATAAAATTGTAAAATCGGCCAAAGACACTATTGCTGACACACTGGACCAACCATTGGTAAGGCTAGGACATAAGAAATTTTCGTTTGTGAATGACCACGACGATCATATAAATGTATTTCCAAAGCTTTTTGCTCCAATTTTCCCTTTAACCTAGTTTTATTTACAATTTACTGTAACTAGCAGTAATGTCTAATAACATATAACCGAGGATTGGTAAAGCCATAAAACGACCGTGATAGACGTTTTTGGATACCAGGAAATTAATAAAGACGATTTCAAACCGCCAGGATTACTGTAATATAAGGAACCGGCGTTTTGGCCGCATATAACCCCTTTCAAAAAGCTGTCGTATCTATGCCCTAAGGTAATTTAGGCCGCTATTTTTTTGCGCTGTGCACTATTTTTAATGCTCTTTCAAATTATATAGGTTTCGTTAAGAAAGCAGGTTACAACTATTTGCCGATCCCTTGTAAGATAAGTCTGTGAAAATTTTTTTTTGTAAAAATTAATAATTTCTTTATAAAAAAATTTTAAAATATTTAAAAAAAAAATATTTTAAAATTTAAAAAATCGCCATAACGTCAGAGTACTGAAGTCAAATCGGATGAAACTTTGCATAGCGTATTCTCAAAGGTTGGTTAACACTTGTGTAAAATTTCATGGCATTTGAGAAAAAACCCCCCGAGATACGATCAAAAAATGGGGTGGAACCAAAAACCTGGGACGCACTGTATGTCTATTTGCAGACATCGCGCATTATATGTCAGATTTGATTTCTCCACCGCAATGGAAACCACCAAGAAGTGTACGGAGGGGTTCGATGTAGTCAAGCTGAAAAGTGGGATGAAACTCGTCGTCCCGGTGAGTTGTTTGACTCTTTGAGTTTGACTTGTATTATAATATATAATGTATAATGATTTTTTTTCAGAAAATCATTGATAATGCCGAGGTGAAGCGGATGGTCGCCCAAGGCGAATTCGGAGCATTTTACGAATACGAATACAAGGGGACATCGTACTGGTACAAGTTGGAGGCAAAGCTAGGCCCCAAATACAAGCAACCGCTCGCCTGCGAGAGCGGCGTCTACCAGCTGATGGACAAGAATTCCAAGAGCCCAGACAAACAGTAAGTTGGATGACCCCAAAACCGTTTGTTTCAGATTCATCTACATTGGCAGCATGCTCAGCAGCTGCCAATTTTCTGAAGGCGTCTACTGCATGCGGGTCGAAAATTATGGCCCGAACATTCGCGAGATGCGCCAAGGACAACTCATGGCTCCGTTCGAGGCGCAAAAACTCTTCTTCCAGTTGCTTTACTGCATGAAAGCGCTGATCAACTACGGGATTTGCCATAGGTACATCAAGGAGAGCGCATTCTACGTCAAGAAAGACCGAAATAGGTATCGGGTGAGTGCATGTTGAGTTTGTATTCTCCCTAAAACTTTTTTCTACTCCCGATGCGAAAAGATTTCAAAATTTTGTTGAATTTTCCAAAAAATTCTTTTTTTTCCCAGTCCCGAAGCGAAAACACTTCAAATTTTTTTCAAATTTCACAAAAAATCCTTTTTTTTCAAGTCCCGGAGCGAAAACATTTCAAATTTTATTCAAATTTCACAAAAATTTTTCTTGCAGTTCGTCATTACTGACTTCGGATATGCAATTCGCATCGGCTCGGAACGCTCGGCGTTCTATCCAATCCCCGAAACGGCAACCACTCACATCCACGCGAAGAAGGCGTTGAAGTCGGAGGACACGGAGAGCCTTCTCTACATGGTATTGGGCATGATGGCTCCTCTGCCTTGGGCGGGAATGAAAAAAATTGAGGAAGTCACGAAGGTCAAGTTAGAGTGTACCGACGAGAACTCGATTCCCGAAGAATTCTTCGACATCAAGGAGGCTGTGACCTTGTGTCTGCTGAGGGGGCTCTACACGGATGATTTGGAGATGGAAAACGTGGCCACGGGCATCCTCAGATATTACTTTTTGGTATGTGGAATTTAATTTTTTTTACATGCGAATTGGTTTTTAAGCGCATTTTATATTTTGAAAAACTTTCAGGTCGGACCGTTGGACGAGCTCCATCTTCCTGTGCGTTTCCCCAATGATAATTTCAAGTTGATGGGCACGTTCAAGTCGTATGACTATTAAGACCCGAGAGCATCGAATTTTTTCGTAAGAAAATTAAAATAAATATTTTTATATGTGATTTTTTTTTGACCGGCTATCTAAAGTCAGTATTCCATGTCGTCCCCATCTTGATTACTTTTATTGAAATCAAAAAAACTTAAGAAACGACGTATTTTATCCTCGACAGAAGCAGTACCAAGCGGCATGGAGAAGGCCGGGAATGCTAAAAAATGACGTCATTATTAAATAAAGTCAAGCCCAGAAAACTTACTAAAAAAAGAGCGTCAAGAGGAGATTCACACAAACGTGACATGAGCATCCATTCCCATCAACATTGTCCTTCCAGAAAACGGCGATTGGCTGAAAAGACGGGATCTTTTGGAAGTAAAATACGAATTTCCCATTAGATATTTTTAAAAAATGAGTTTTTTCTTGATTTTTTGATGAATACGGCTGAATTTACAAAGAAAAGGAGGGGTGTACTTATTTTACAAAAAGATTCTGAAAAATCGGCGCTTTTATGGATGAAAAACGTCAAATTTTATGATTTTTTTTAACTTTCCTATGTATATTACAAGAATGTCGAAAAGCGCATTTTACAAACATTAGCATCATAAAACAGAACAAAAACTCACGGGAAGAAAAATGCAAAGGCAAATCATAATGACGTCATCGGTATTTCCAGTCCTGAAATTGAGTTTTTTAGATTATTTCGATGAAAAAATCGACTATCAAGGAATGAAACTGTAATTTCAGAACTTACTGGACCATTTTGAATAATGAATCTCAAAAGGTTTCTGGTGAAATCTGAAATTAAAATCAAAGAATTAGGTTAAAATCAATTAAATTTGTGTTCAAATCGCGGTATTAGCATGAAATTCTTTGAATAAAATTATACATTACAAAAATCAAAGGCATCGTATTTTACATTAAAAAAATAATTTTGATTTCACTTAAAAAATAATAAAAATATAACAAAAAAAACTCATTTCTTAAATTAATTGTGCTAAAATTCATCAAAATTTTTTTTTTGTCCAACGCACTTCGTAATTCTTCCATTTGCTTCTTTATTATTAGTGACTTTGCAAATTTGAAAAAATAGCACAGTGCGGGGCGAAAAATAGGCTAAAAAATGGACTGCACAGTGCAAAAAAAAACTTTTTTTTGAGAATGCAATTTATCGCTGGGGAATAGAAAAAAAAGTTAAAACATCAACACTTCTGAACTGTATAAATGGTATAACCAAGTATTTTGTGGTATAACAACCATAAAAATTCCCAAAAATACCGAAATTTTCAAAAGATTTCAGACTGAAAACGTCCTTGTTTACATTGTTTATAAGCAAATGGTTTTATTATACAAGGCCATGAGTCAACAATCATTCCAAGATAAGACCTGTTTTGGTTGGGAAATTGAATTTTGAAGGGTGCATTATCGACCTTTCGGGCTGAATCACAAGTCGTTTAGGTGAAAAAATCCAGAATAAAACTAAGAATTGTGTGAACTATGAGCAATTTGCAGCTATAAAAACTTCTTGTTTCCATCTTGTGACCCTCCTACGTATTGTGTCGAAATTTTATTTTTTTTGTGGAAATCGCACAGTGCAGTCTGAAAATTTCGGTTTTTCTGCACAGTGCGGAGTGTAATGAGAATATTGAAATAAAAAATGTGGTGTGAAAAGTCATGAGATTCAATTATATTTTCTTTTTAAACCAGGCTTTTATCGCACAGTGCTAAAAAAATCCAAAATTTTTAATCTGCACAGTGCAGAAAAAGGAATGAGCAACTGCACGGTGCACCATAAAGCGAAAGTTGAAAAATTTTGCAAATGACGGCCTTATAAACTACTGTATCACCAGTTAAAAAATCCAACCTGAAATTGCACACCCCCACCGTGCAAAACTTTTCTTTTTTCTACTGCACAGTGCAGAAGAAAGAATGATCGATTGCACTGTGCGCGATTAGAGAGAAAATTGAAAAATTTTGCGAACGAGGGCCTAATGCCGTACTATTTGACTTGATAAGAAATTCAACCCAAAATTGCGCATCCGCACCGTGCAAACCCATCTCTTTTCTACCGCACAGTGCAAAAAAACAAACCATCATTTTCTTCACGAAAAATTTCAAAAATATCAAAAACATTGCTTCCATTACAAAAAATACAGCTAGTAATTTCTTCACATACCATCGAACTCCCCATTAAACATTGCAGAAACCAAAAAGTTTTGTAAAATCACAAAACTCACGAAAATTTTGCGCTTTTTGAGCCAACCCATCCAAACGACTTCCCGAATTCCACTTGAAATGGTGTTTCAGATCGGACAAAACAAATTTCTTCATTCGGTTGTTTACGATTAGATGTTTATATCAAAGAGAAATCAACAAAACATAAAACTTCAACAAGAAACAAGGGTAACAATGGCTGAACAATTTCCAGCAAAAAATCGGTTCCAAATTTTGGCTAACAGTAATAGGTGATAATCAAAGTCCCTTCAAAGGTACAATTCAAAAAAATCGTATCTAAATCCAAGAAAAATCAAAAAAAATATTACTTTAGGCTATACGGGATTTTTCTTTCTTTTGGAGAATCTCTGGAACGGGATGCCCTTTCGTTTGCGGGTCTGCGCTTCAACGGCTTTGATCTCACTGTAGCGTTTCTTGTTCTTTTGCAGGGTTTTGTAATCGTCCATCAATTCCTCCACCATCGTCTGTTTCCGCTCCTTCTTGGTCATGCGGCTCGAGTAGAAGTCGGCATGGCTGTCGATGACACGGCCAGTCTGAAATAGAGTCCATTACAATCAATTTTTGGACAATTTTCCGCTACTTTTTAACAAACCAGGACTTTTATTTTTTCCCTTTGAATATTGTTGGGCGTATTTTACCCCTCTTTTTTATTGTCAAATCGCCTCGTTTTTTACTATGGTCATCATCTAGACACCTAAGAGGTCACAGTAAACTAAATTAATACCCAAAAAAGCAAACCAAAATCCAAAACTATAAAAAAACCCAAAATTTTACCCACCAAAGAAAAAAACGCGTATTTTACCCAACTTTTCCATTTCACAAAAAATTATTTTTCATCTCCCAACAAGTACCAGTCTAAAAACTCGATGACTATCACAAAAACACATCTTAAAATTCCATAAATCCCCTTCAAAAACCGTAATTCCCAAAATCCTCACCTGGAAGTACTTGGGCAAAACTTTGAGGTCATTCTTTCGATAATGTGCAGTCGGATCAATGGAACCTCGGATCTGAAGCAACTCCAGGTCACGTTTAGTCTCTTCAGTAAGCTCCGTAGCCGGCAAATTGAACCATCCCTTTCCTTTGGTCGATTCTCTTTCGGCCTTCCGTTCTCTTTTCTGTTGTCTGGCGCTCTTCTTCTGGATCTCCTGGATCGCTTTCTTATCGTAATCATCGTCGACAACAGCTCTGGCCAGCATCTGAAGGGATTTCATTGCGTTAGAGAGGATGAAAATCTAAAAACCAAAAAAAAAAATGAAAAATTTTACCTTTTTGACGGCTTCTTCGTCAATTTCTGGAAGTGGTTCCCAAGTTTTCGACGATTTCAAAGGTTGATCACCTTCTTCATGAACTTCAGCATCTTCCGCATCCTCAATTTCTCCCGATTTCTCTGGTTGAGCATCTTCAAAGAACAAATCTTCATCATCAACATCACCTCCTTCTTCTTCAATGTTTTCAGGGTCAAATTTCTTTCCAATCTTCTTTTTCTCTTCCTCAACCAACTTCGCAAGCTCTCCACTGACCTCTTTTACAGCTGGATACCTCCTCGAAATTTTATAACACTCCTCATGGAAGTCTAAAATTATATTATTCATGACAAAGTTTAATATCTTACCGGGCTTTTCTTCCTCGGCCAACGACTTTTCAGCTTCATCAAGGACAATACGGACCAACTCGAGGTTCAAAACCTTGTCATCGCGAGAAACAAAGTCAGAAGGGCCATCAGTTTTGCACTCGGTGGTTTTTTCAGCGGATTTTGTTGGTTCATCCTCTTCCACGGCGCCCTCAGGACGTTCCAAATCTCTGGCTTTAACGTCTTGGCCAAGTAGAATGTCTCGTCGATCACGAATGCTAAAAATGAAGGGTTTTTTATATTACTCATAAGGTCAACTGCAATATAAGCTCAGAAACAATTTTTTAAAACAGGATTTAAAGCAAAATTCGTTTTATAATACCTAACAGAACTTAGCGGATCAGTTTCAAGCGGTAATAAAGTGATAAATCAGGTCAAAAAATAAGTTACATTATTCATGAGACCAAGTGTAATATTGGCTCAAAAACGCATTTCAAAAACTAAAATTTAGCTTGAACTATAATCTAATATACGACTTAAGACCTCCTTCTGCTATCCAAACCAAAATATCGACCACTTTACTCCTAAACATCAAACAAATATATAAATTTGGAACTTACTATTGAACAAATCGACACTCGGTGGTGAACAGCTCTTTATAAAGCACCGCAGAGTCCGGGAACTTCCTCAATCCAATCTGAACCAAAGTTCTTGCATTCGGCGCGGAGTTGTTCTTCTTGGACTCAAACTCTGCCGCTTCAGCAAACAATTCAGGTTTGGTATTGTGAATCTAAAGAATAATAGAAAAACGAAGCAAAACCGAACCTGCAACATCTTTCCATAGGCAATACTGGCATCCTTGTACAGCACAACAAATCTCGCACAGTATCTGGCCTCTTCTAGGTAATGATCTAGCCTCTGAAAAGAATTTTTGGGTTAGATGTCAAGTATAATATAAAAAAGAAAAAATTTGGCTTAATCGTTACCCCGGATCGTTGACTCCTTGTTCTATACAGCCAAGCAATCTTCTTCTGAATTTTCACGTAAACCACATTCTTTCCGATTGCCAAATTCGCTTCATCTAACTTTATCTTCCAGTAGGTCAGGAATCCTTTCAAATATTTGATATAATCGTTCCAATCGTTCTCTCGTTTAACCTAAAAGTAAGAAAATATAATAAAGAAAGTCTTAAACCTACTCTTTTCTGGAAGCGGTATTCAAAACGTTTGCAGCGATTGATAAACTCTTTGACATGTTCTGGAGCAATTAATTTGGAGTGTGAAACAACTTCAAAGGCCGGCAGAAGCTTTTCCAACGATTCTTCGGCAAATTCCGCCATTCTACCCGCTGTTTAGGAGGTATTTTACAATTTCCGATCAAATTGCAGCGATAAAATAAGAGTGAAACATAATGCCAAAAACTTGTTTTCGTTGTGAGAGAAAAAACGAGGGGTTGTGCGAATAAAAATACGGCTGAAATCAGAGTGGAATCCATTGAATAGTAATTTTTAGAGACCCATAAAACTTCTGACACTATTTTTGATCCAATTTGAAAGATTTATTATATTATCCATGACAACATTGATATCAAACAATAATCATTCTGTCATTGTTCGGCTTCTTTTCGCAAACATAACAATAATCGTGAATGATCGTCCCTCGTCGACTATTTGCGTACCAGAATGCGCACGTGATAAGAAATAATTCAATCATTTTGAAGACAGTAAAGAAATAGGCGCCTATAAGATCATCGGTCTCCCGCAAAAACATCCACATTGAAATATAGCGGGCAAAAACTGTGATTAGCATTCCATAGAGCAGGACTTTCTAAAATACGATGTTTAAATCTGATTTTGAACACTTTTATATTGACTTACATGAACTTGAAGGTAGAGTTGATAAAATCCCCGTCTTCTGAGGCGATTGCCAATCACGACCATGATCGTGGCGAACAGTAGAGACATTGTGGTCGTATATTCGATATACCAAAAATATTCGGCTTCAAACTTCCGCCAAAGCCGGCATAAGACATAAGAATAGGTGATTATATCGGATATCGCCATATAAAACGCAGCGCTCTGGAAAGCACAGTAAGATATTCATTGCAAAATTAAGTTAGAGATTGATCTTGAAGGGTTTTGATTATATAAATGGCTCCTTTTTGGATCTCTTTGGCTTTGTTTGGGAAATAAAAAAAAATTTCTACTGCACTGTGCAGTTTTTTTCATTCTTTTCTCCCGCACAGTGCAAAAAATTCAAAAAATTTTGAAAGCAAAACCCATCGGAATTTGATAAAAATTGACTCAAATTTAGAGTAGAAGTTTCTAAATCATATTTGAATTTTTTTGCTTACGTTTACAGAAATCTTCGGGATTTTATGCCAAAAAATCCAAAAAAAAAAATAAAAAAATTTTTTTGGACTTTTTTTGGAAAAAAGTTTACTAGTCTCTTCTAATTGTGGAGTACAGTGCTGCCACAAAATTTCAAATATTTCTACGCGAAGCTTGCAAAGATATAGCCCAAAAATTAGCCCTATTTCATTATTTTCAATATCCGCAAAGATTGCGAAATATCTCAGCGCTTGTTGGAGAGCTTGAGCTGAAATTTTTAAGGATCAAAATATGGCCAATGAAAATGCTACTTGCAAGATTAAAAAAAAATCCGAGCATCCGGTTTTGAGAATTCGAAGTTTAACAGTACTGTAAAGGTTAGTCCAAAAAACAAAAAAAAAAAGAAATTGCACTGTGCAGTCGCAAAATTTAAAACTTAGAATCTATGAAGAAAAATTTTGCAATGGCCTGGTCGTATTTTAGGAATAAAAAATGAAAAAATCAATAAAAAAATCAAATTTCTTTTGAAAATTTGTAAAATACGCCGTAGAAAGGTATGCCATAAAGTTAGTATGAAGTAAGAATAAACCCAAAACTTACATGAACATGAAGATTTAGGCTGAAACATAGACAATATGGCAGTAGATTGTAACGGCGATAAACCTTTGCACTCCGGTCATCCCGAATGCTGAACCCGCAAAATCCGGCTGGAACCAGACACATTTTGGGCTGTTAAAAGTCTTTACCATCGAAGAAATTGTAGTTACAAAGCAGTTTGCAGCAGTAAATGTGTAAAATTTGGGGAAAATGGCTCTTTTTTGATAAGAAATCGGAAAAAAGTAATAAATAATTTGAAGCCATGACTAAAAAAGAGCCCGGGAAGTTGAGGGTGTGGCTTTTGACTTGCCTTTGATTAACATGCTAAATAATGTTCGAAAATTTATCTTGCGAAAAAGAAATAAAATTTTCAAAATTTCGCAGTCAAATCAGCTTCTGCAATGGTGGCCAAAAGACTCCTTTTACATCGAAATTGATATGTTAAGAATGTTTTTTTTGATTACTCTAAGCAGAAAGCAAAAAATGGTGTTTTTTTATCCACTGCACTGTGCAAAAAATGGATTCTAATTTTCCGCACCGTGCAATGAATTTCCAATCTGATTCCTCGATTTTGCACAGTGGTATAATGCATTGCATCACGTCGATGTGCAAATCAATACGTTTCTAAAGCGCATGGTATGAAATGAAGACTGAAATTTTCCCGCACCGTGCAGATATTGGCTTTCATTTTTCTGCACTGTGCGGTTAGCTTTCTGAGTTAGTAAATATTCTTCAGCTAAGATTTTCGCTTGTTTATACAGTTTATTAAATAAAAATCGCGAAGTAACTTGTCCCAAGTCATCATTTCTACACCTTTCTCTTTGCACTGTGCAAAAAACCAAAAAATTTTTTTTGCACTGTTCAAAAAAAAAATAAAATCAAAAATATTATCCCTGATTTTCAAACTGTCGGTGCTCTTTGAGAAGCCTAATTTCTTGTCGTTTCTGGTACATCTCTGTGGAATCAAGTATCTTTTGAACAATGCTGGTCGTGGAAATGCAAGGAGTTCGAGCCGTGGCCAAAAATCGGTCAGATTTCTTGAATGGCAAATAACAATCATCGATATTGTCGTTGATAGCGTAGGGAATGTCATCATGAGCCACTAGATCACACTAAAAATATTTAATTTATATTGATTTATAAATTAAAACAAAAATTTTTTGATCTCATGGACAATATAAATTGATGCCAATTTTGGACAAACTGATGCCTAATACAATGTAAACTAACCTTTATTTCGTCCACAAACTCCAATGTGGGGTAGAACGGAGGGTCAATGTAGACTTCGTCCACGTATCGGCAATGGCTCACCATTTCAGCCCGTTCCGCCTCGGAATTTACAGTATTCCCTCCTTTGTAATGAAGTGTATCAGCGTCAGATACAACTGAAATTTTTTTTTTGACTCTATTTTTTTATCGATGGCAAATTTTACTTTTGCACAGTGCGATGTCTTTTTTTATGGCTGCACGGTGCAGAAAACAGAAATTTTGTTTTTTGCACAGTGCAAAGAAAAGTTTTGACTGCACTGTGCGGAAGGACAGAGCTGCGACTCGTTTTCCTTTCAGAAAAATTTTCTTTTCGGTGCAGCGGCAAACAAATTTTGAGCGCACTGTGCGAGATTTTAGAACTGCCCGTTGCACAGTGCAAGGCTCGAAATAATAATTTTGCACGGTGCAAAATTCAAAATATTTTTTTTAAATTGCATAGAAACATAATTAAGAATTGTTTTTCACTCTGCAAAATTTTTAGGTTGTCCATTGCACAGTGCAGAGCTCAAAATAATAATTTTTCACGGTGCAAAACCTAACTCAATTTTTTTTTGAAAATCGCACAGTGCAAATAAAAAAAACAAAAAAATGGAAAAATAGCAATTAAAGATTTCAGAACCCACCTCCAACCACAAGATAACAGTCCGGCAACAGTTCTTTGATCTGCTGGAACTGTTTGGCGTGTCCAACATGAAAAAGATCGAAAACTCCGTCAGCATAAACTCGAATGTTCCTTGGAGAGCCTGCAATAAATATTTTTAATAGAGCCTCGAGTGTATTTTACATCATAAACTTATTGCACAACCACTGACCTTGTTTTACGATTGAGTTGAGAGTGATTGGAGTCCAATTCTCAAGCTTTTTTATATTATCCATGGCTTCAGATGAGGTTGAAAAAATTGCTGGGGAATCCTTTGAGCTCATCACGGAAAATATATTATGCTTTAGAAGGCCGTAGATGGTGATGAAAATTCTGAATAACAGTTTTTGAAAAATCAACGGAAGAATGAAAAGTACGAGTTACAATGTCCTAAAACCCCAAATAAATCCTCATCCCTCTCCCAAACGGCGTGTAAATAAAAGTGTTTTGAAAAAACACGTGCACTACAACTTTCGCTTTTTCGGAAGCGGCCGAAAAAGCGGCCCGCAGCGAAAATATTCATAACTCTCTCAATTATTCGTGCTCCATTGGACACAGGTAGAGTAGAAAGGACTTTCTTGAGGTTGAAAATGTATAATTTTAATTAAAATTTCGAAACGTTAGCTTTTTTTATTTGTAGCACGGTGCGGAAAACGTTTCTTTTTCTCGCACAGTGCAAAAAAATCGAAAATTTAAATTCTGCACAGTACAAAAGAAAAAAAAGTTTTTTGCACAGTGCAACGGTTTTTTTGCATCCTCTGTTCAAAATGAAAGAAGTTTTGAGCAAAAAAAATATTAGCTTTTTCATAAAGTGCATGGACATTTTTTTAATCCTATTTTTGCGGCCCGCACCGTGCCCAAAAAATTGTGATTTTTTTCGCACCGTGCATTCACCTTTTTTTCCTTGGCTTTGCACTGTGCATTTGAAATATCGCTGCGACGTAAGCTGTTTTCAACTACGCCGCCGCGACTTTGCTGAAGAATTTGCACAGTGCAAACGGGCCTTTTTGAGGTTTGCACTGTGCGCAAAAGGGAAAATGGTCTGTGCGTTGGCGACAAGCGTGGGAAAAGGTTAAATGTGCACTGTGTGAAAAGCAAAAAAATGTCCATGCACTTTATGAAAAAAACTAATACTTTGGCCATAATTTTTGGCCATGGTTTGCAGTCATGGCTTGTGTTTTTGTTCTGCACTGTGCAGAGGAAAGCAAACAAAAATTTTGCACAGTGCGAAAAAATTCTCATATTTTTTTGATTTTTTTAAATTTTTTATGACAAAAACGACTGCTCAAAAAAAAAAAAAATCGAACCAGAAATAACATTTATTTACTCATGCTTATACTTGAGATGACTTGGCGGAAGATTACAACTGTACATTACAGCTCGAACCACAATCGGGACAAAAAAGAGCAAAAATGTAAAAATAACGCCAAAAATTACGGCAAAAACGTCGAAAGAGTGGACGACAAATGGGTTTAGATACACTGAGGGCAGTTGTAAATACTCGGAGGTGTCGGGGAAAGCGGCGGCGAACTCGACCGACTCCACAAAGGTCTGCTGCGGTCGGTTTGGAGAGGCTTTCAGGGCTTGGGAAAGCTTGATGGCGCGTTGACGGTAACTGAAAAAGAATATTTTTACCATTTCTTTGAAATTTTTTGTAAAAATTTTTTTTTTTAATTTTTAAAATTGTAATTACAGTTAAACCTTTGTGTAACAAGTCGCATCAATCAAAGAAATTTGCTTTTTATACCAAGGTTTCAAAAATTTTTAGAAAAACTGTATTTTAAACTTTAAAAAAACAAGGATTCATTTTAAGCTGTTTCGTATTTTACAAAAAATTTTTGCTTACCGGTTATCCGACAATAAAATTTCCAATTTTTCTTTGATCTTCTTTGCCGAGATTTCCTCTTTCTTCAAATGCAACGCAATGCCAAGCCCAACTGCCGAAGCCGCGTTAACATGTTGGTCGACGGATAAAGGAACGGTTAAGGCGGGGACTCCATGACGAGTGAACTCAACGAACGAGTTCATTCCAGCGTGTGTGATGAAGACTTTTAGACGGGGATCGGCTGAAAAAAATAAAAAAATAAACGGAAAATAAAATAAAAAATAAAAAAAATAAAATAAAATAAAAAAATAAAAAAAAAATAAAAAAAATAGAAAAAAAAAAGAAAAAAATAATAAGAAAAAAGATAAAAAAAAATAAAAAATAAAATAAAAAAAAAAATAAATAAATAAATAAAAAAAAAATAAATAAATAAAAAATCTAAAAATTCTCACCCAACAACTGTTTCTGCGGGAGCCACTCTTCAGCTACAATGTTTTTGACCCCCTTCAACTTGTCCTGATCGTCTTCGGCATTGTCATGTTTCCAAATGAAAAGGTAATCGGGGAACTGTTTGAAGGCCTCAATGAATTCTTCTCGAACTTTCTTCGGAACAACTTTTGAGCTGGCCGTAGTTCCGAAAGAAAATAAAATTGCGCCTTTCGGGGCTTTGGCCAGAAGATCGTCGTATTTCTGAAAAAAAACAAAACATTTTTTACAAGGAAAGTAAGCAAATTGCGACGCTCAGATTTTGCTGAAATCACTGACCTTGCTCAATTTCGCAATACTATGATCATCCTTCAGCTGAATTCCACCAATGAATTTGACTTTTGCGGAGATTGGCCGGCCCGTGTCCAGCAATTCGTTATGATTTACAAAGTAGTAGGAGACGTTCCGGAACAGCTCCACGGGCGTTGGGACTTTTGGATAAAATTTTTGAATCAATTTGTGCTCCTCAAGGAATAATCGCTGTGCCAAAAAGTAGGTCTTGTAGTAGTTGAGGGCGTTCAGAAAACGCTCCTTGAAACTGTAGGTCTTGGAGATCGAGATAGGATGGATTCCATCTGAAAAATTGGAGGAAAATGGGTATTTTGAAAATAAAAAAAAAAAAAAAAAAAAAATTTTATTTTTTTGAGGTATTTTTTCTGTAGTTGCGAATCTTGCAGATTTGAGATATCTGTCGGGAAAATAATAAGAACAATGTCACTGCATCGATCGCTGAAGCGAAAAGTATTTTGATTTTTTTTTGAGGCACCATTCATTTTTGGCGATGCGATTTTCAGTGCGACAGAGTGCTCATTACTTTCCCGACAGGCTGATAGCCTGAGTTTCAGTGGTTCGATGGATCAACTAAGGTAATGTCAGGTCGAAAGAGACTATATAACTGAAGTTTTTGTGAGAATGGGCCTAGTGTTGATGGTTAAAAAAGCAAAAAAATGATTTTTGTATCCCCAGGCGTCGTGAGCCTATCTAAAGCTCGATGAATATAAAATTTGCAAATTATAGACGCTAAAAAATAAAGAAATTTCGACAATTTTCGATGGGAATATCGCCAAGAAATGAGCATAAAATACTGCCAAATACAAACTTTTTTTTGCATTTTCGACCTCTTTTTTTGCATTGATTTTCCCTTTGCCTATTGCATATATGTATTACTAGTCGCGACATAAAGTCCGTAGAATTTTTCGCGGCCCCCAAATTGCGTCGCGCTCCGAAATGTTGATTTGTCGCTGCGAAAAATGGGAATCGCGCGCGACAATAAGGCAAAATCAACAAAATTGCACAGTGCAAAATGTGTTTTCGGGTGAATGCACAGTGCAAAATGCTTTTTCGGGTTTATGCACAGTGCAGAAAATTCTACGGACTTTATGTCGCGACTAGTATATGTAATATGCGATCGAATATTTTCCCCACCCAAAACTTACCAGTCACAAAGCTCGGCGGTGCCGGAATTCCCAGAGATTCCATGACAAAGAAAGTGGGCGGAGTTGCCGTAAAGATGGCTGTGGCTTGGATTCCCAGCATGTGGAACAAGGACATGCCGCAGGAATCGTAAGGTGGCGACAGGCCAATGTCATATTTGGCGGAGCGGAGGTCGGCCATCAGCTTGGAGTTCGATAAAATACGTTCGCAGAAAAGGAGACGCGACTGGTCGAAGAGCTCGTAGAAATTGTTGTTCGGAGGATCGAAGGGACGGAGATAACCGGCCTGAAACGAGTTTTAAAATACGACCTGAATCGGTGTTATATAAATTCCAAAAATTTCTTACGATCGTTAGTTGCTTTCATAATTTAATGAAATTTAAAATTGATCCGAATGAACTTGAATCGACGAAAAATAGTAAATTTTAATGAGCGATCAATTTGATAAGAGCTTGTAGTCATCAAAAAAATTTTTTTTTGTGCAATTTTTAAAGGAATTTTGAAATGAATTTTGAATTGTAAATTCATTTTGTGCACTTTTGGCTGCAACAAACATGATCATGCGCTAAAATCATCAGTCTATTTTGTCTTATCAATGTACTAATTCTTCCTACAGACAGGACATCAAGGAGTGTTTTTTGAACATAAAGCGTCTAAATGGAACTCTCAGTTTTTGGTCAAACTTCATAAATTTACCGACAGGTAAGAGACACCTCATATGCAACTTTTTATTTGATCTTACACTTTCCTAAAATTTTACGAGGCTGCTCTGCATCTCGACATATTAATTCATAAAGATTTTGGCCTACGCTTTTCAGGGACAGACAAGATATTCGGTGATATTTGTCGACGAGAGTGTACATCAAATGTAGAGAGAAGTTAAAGAAGAGAACGTTTTTTGACCAAACGAACAGACATACAGCCCTTTCTGGTTAAAATATTTCATGTAAAAGCTCGCAGTATACTATAAAGAACCCCATGGAACATACAGCGAAACCTGTCATTTCAAAGGTCTTTGCAAGTCAATTTATGGGCCAAGACAACCCCTTGTAAAAGAAGAAATGTTTAGTAACAAATTTATCTCCTGGTTCAATGCGATTCTTGCTAAGAGAGCCCACTGTTTGACTTTAAAATGGACGACTTACATGAACAAGTGGAGGATCTTCCACCTCAACTCGAAACACTCTTCCTGCCTTGTCAGTTCCATTATTGGCCGCCACCGGGTTCCAAATGGCCAACAACAGTTCTGCCTCATGTCCTCGGTCGACTAAACTGTCCACCATTGCCCCAGTAAACATAAAATGACTCTTTCCAATCCCAATGTTGTAGATTAACGCTTTTAGCCCGAGGCATTGCGGCAAAAAGATGAGAAGAAACAACAGAGTTAGACGCATTTTTGGGGGCAATATCAAAAATAAGAGACTTTCGAGGGGTTAATAAATGGATTCGGAAGGAGTGATAAGGCGACCCTGATTATGTTTTTCGTTATCAACATTGTCACAGGCAATTAATTGATTCGAGAGGGTCACTTGGAACATATCGGGGATGGTCCGTTGTGGGGGATCCGCTCAAAGAACATTGATTGATACGATTAATACAGTAAGAGCTCTTTATATCAGACTGTCGGGAAAATATTGAGCCCAATGTCGCATCGAAAATCACATCGTCGCCGAGAAAATGAATTATTTCACAAAAGATTTTAAAAAAATTTTTGCTTCAGCGACGTGATCGGTTCAGCGACAAAGTGCTTATTATTTTCCCGGCAGACATGTAAGACAAGGTGTGCTTGGTCGTCGGGAGGGGTCAGTGATATGGCTGGCGATTTGGTACGCGATTGCGACGAGGCGAGAGATTTTGCTGCGAAAAATCCAATATCCTTCTGAAAAAGACGGTCATTGCTTATGTCGCGCCATGGAACTACATAGCCTGTTTTCATGGCTACTATTTGCAAAATATGTATGAATACTTTCTTGCCTTTTTGTTATTATTTATCGAGATATTAACAAAATTCTAGCAAGTTTTTCACCGTTGAAACAACGACTGTTTTACAAGTTCCTCTTTGATTACTGTAGCACAGAAAACATCCAAAGCATAATTTGTTCTCAACATAAATTACCTTATCACAAGGTACAAACACACCATTTTTTCACCACAAGATGAAGATCAACAAGAGCATTGCTTCTTCTGCAGGAATCGGTGATAAAAGGGGTTTGTTTGTGTTTGCCTCAGTTCAGAGAGCATATAGTGCTCGGTAAAATGATGGATCCGATGGAAAGTGTTGCAGATGATGATTGGTCGATTTTGCGGTTTGTGGTAAAGTTTCAGTATTTCCAAAAAGTTTTGTTGAAAATTTGGATTTTTTTATGATCTATCGATCAAAAAAATGTCGGCGAATTCTGGAGAGCATCTCTTCTATATGTTTGAGAGCTGACATATAGAAGAGTGTTCACCTTACATCCCGCATTTTCTTCACTGGTACTAGTCCTTCCGGAAAGTCGCCGGACTGATTTTTGGGGTTTGCACTGTGCGAAAAAAGTCAGGGTGCGAGCGACATCCCAAAAAAGCCTATTGCACGGTGCAAAAGGCAAGAAATTGCACAGTGCAAAGTGAACTTTCGATTTCGCAGAGTGCATGTCGCCGATTTCCGTCCGGCGACTTTCCGGACGGACTAGTACGAATCCGAGATTTCCAGCCCGCGCTTTGCAGAAACAAACGCAATTTTCAGTCCGAAAGTCTTTGAGAATAGTTTCATAGTTTGCTTAGGAGGTATGAGAAATTTTTTACAATTGAGAGTCATCTTTGCACATGTAAAAAAAACATGTTCATTTTCTCGCGCCAAATCAGCGAAAGACCGCAAAGACCGCTGAATGTCTCGCTTTGGTCCAGCAAAGTGCAAGCTAAAATTTTCAGTGATTGATGTGCGAACTATGCCCTTTGTGTGTCCAAAAAATTAGAGAAAATCCAAACGTCCTACCTTCAAGACTTTTCCCTTTAAAATTCAAACATTTCCCCGAAGTCCCCCCTCCTTTTCTGGCTCTAATTAGGGCGTTTAATATACATTGAATTCCCACTCTCCCTCCACCCCAAAAATACCATATTTTTCCGACTAACTCGTCATCTCATTAAATGGCCAATTTCCCGTTTATCGTGGAAAATTGAGTGATGTCCTTCCTTCCTTCGAAATTTTCTTTGGCCTGTGAGAAAGATGATTGTGTAATTGGGAAGCGTGGCTGAAAGATGATTCTTAATTTACAGAGTGTTGTTTTTGGAGGTAGTTTTATAAATCTGCAGTTATTTTTGAGATTTTTTTATATATTTTTTATTGGAAAAATCTGGAAAAATTTTAAAATCATGTTTTTTGGCACGTCTTTTTATGGACTACAACATTTTTTATGGGAAATGAGGAGGGACGGTCATGATGAGGACAATCTTTGACAATAATTTAGTGGTTTTTAAATTGAAAATTCATAGTAAAAATAAAAAAAATATATATTCTTCCAAAATTTTTGATTCACCATCAAAAAACCAAAAAAAAAATCTCTCAGTTTTTTTCAAATTCATGCGAAAACTTCTCCTAAAATCACATTGAAGTTCCATAGACAAAAGTCTGAATAATTTGTCATGCCGTAGGTGCACCTCTCTAAGAAAGGGAAGGAAAATGGGGGGAGAAAGAAAGTCCAATGCTTGGAGGAGGGAGTCTACTTTTTCCGGGGATTAAGTTGTCAAATGACGGCACAAAACAACCCTTATTTGGTTCTGGGAAGAAGGCGCTGCGCTCTTTGTTTTCATAATTGCGAATAATATTTGGCGAAGATGCATGCAAGCAGATGCTAAATTCGACGTTTTTTAAATGGGCTGCTTAGTGACTTATGCGCTAAAAGGAGCCTAAAAATTTCGTTTCCTATCAGTCTGTTTGGAAAATAGCGTTGGATCGTCGCTTTGCGACCATTTTGAACTGTGCACGTCAAAGCAACCATATACCGAATCGTTTAGACGTTTCGTCCACGTACTATCGGTAGACCACAGGATTTTGGATATTTAAATTTTTTGAAGGATTTTTGGAGGACGAAATTGGTCACAAAAAATCAAAAAATAATAATAATAATAATAATTTACAGGGGAAGTACTCCAAGTGCGACGCTCAGATTTTGTTTAAATTTTGCACACACGTCGGGTATGGACTAAATATCAATTCCTGAAAGTTTTAGTTCGCGCTTTGCGGGCGCCGCCGTGATATTGAACGATTTTTGCACAGCACGCTAAACGTGGAGAGCGGTCAGAGAGAAAAGCGCTTTTTGGCCATAACTTTGGCAGTTTCGTGCGGAGAAACTTGATTTTTTGTAGAAACATTATCCTTTACGGTAGAAATAGGCATGAAACTTTTCGTGCCGAAATTCGGCAAAAAGTCCTAAATTTTCGCCGACTTTCGAGCTAAAAATCTCGGTTGTTTCTGCAAAGCGCGAGCTAGGAGTATGTCACACGAGCAGCGAAGAAAAAACAACTAAAGGTTTTCTCCAAAATTCTATTTGTGACGAAACGCTACATTGATTAGATCTTGGTCAGGCAATATCACGCTGGATTGACCCTTTTCTGAAATGATTTTGCGCGACGACAGAAAAGGCACTGTGCAAAACTACTTGAAAAGGTTTTGCAGGGTGCAAAAGGGTCGAACCTACGCCGCGACAAAAAGTTATGGCCTTTTGAAAAATTGGGTAGAAACGCCAATTCTAATCATTTTTTGTGATCGCTCGTTGGCAGAGATGTCAATAAATATCCCTAACTATCGTGAGATTGTGAGGCAAAACTTGAAAAAGTCTAAAACCTCGAACCACCGGTCATTGGCCTTCCTTTCTCCCGACCAAAAACAAACTGAAAACACGATAATCCTCTCTCTATTTTTGGCAACTTTCTTGTTTAAAATGTTGTTTAGGGCCTAAAACGTTTTACCATTTTCTTCGGGCAAAAAAATCTTTTTTGAGTTTGGGGATATAACAAAATCAAATTGCGACAGTTTTTCCCGCTAAACCGTGCGTTCTTTCATCTCTAAAAAATTGAATTTCTCCCTGTTTGGCTCCGTGAAATTTGAAATTTCTATTTGACTTCGGTAAGCCCAATATTTGTCACATTCCCGAAAATCTAAATTAAATTTTGATTTTCCTGCCCTCTCAACTGTTGGTGCCCTCTTTAATTTGCATAATTGAGTTGGGAAAAGTTCACGGTCCAAGAGGGTTTGACGAATTTATGGAAATTCCGACAAATTTTGCTCGGAGTGGCGGAAAACGCAACTTGAGAAAAGAATTGTGGAAAAGGGCCAGGAGGGCACTTTGAGAGTGGGTTCGAGATTTTTGGTGCCAAAATTTTTGTTTTTTCGCACAGTGCAAAAAATTTTTTTATTATGATGATGACATTTGTGGTAAAATTAAAACTTTGTTTTTTTGAGGGTGCTACCTGAATCTTACTTCGTTTCTTTATAGATTTTCTGAGGTCTTTTTTGTTGAAAAACCTCGAAAATTTTGTTTTTCTTTGATATTTTCTGGAAAATTTTCGCTCAATTATAACTTTCAAAAATATTGTAAGGGCAGAAAATAAAAAAAATAAGCCTATCATGGTCATTTCAACCGACAAAATTTTAGATAAATGTCATTTTTAACTTGGCAGACTGCGCCCTATAATTTGCCGCAAAGCTCCAAAACAAATGACGACATTTTCAAAACTAAGAGAAGGAATATTATTAGAGTGCATACAGTAATTTTCAAGCGATATGAACGTTTTTTTACTCCCTTGAAACGGCATTTCAGGTCAGAAATTAAAAAATTTCCTCATGCGCTTCATAAATAATTCGGTAATCATCCAATTACATAAGATCCGTCATGGGTACATACATAATTTTTATGTTATGAAGGAGATCTATGCTGAGTATCCTTGCGTCCTTTCATTTTTTATAAATTTTCAAAAAAATTTCAACAAAAAATCTCGAATTTAAAATTCTTTTATCCTAGTTTAATACTACTACACTAATACTACTACATATACTTCCAATAACGTTGCATTCCATTGTCCGCAGAATCCTAGATATGATTTAAATAATGTTTTTCCTCATTTTGCGAATTTTCAGCAGAATGTCCATGAATTATATGCATCCAGCGGCCGACGTACGGCCACAACGTCGGCTGGGGACGGTAAAAGAAGTGATTGACAGCTCTGGAGATTACAAATGTTGCTGCGACATGTTTGATGTGCATGTGAGTCGTTTTCAGCATTATTTTTCACTGGACGGACTATGCTTTTGACTGCACCGTGCAAAATTTTTAATTTTTGATTTTTGCACAGTGCGCTGATAAGAAATGCAAATTCCAGGCAATTTTGTGCAGCGGGAAAAAGATCTATAGCCGTTCTGCATAGTTAAGGACCTTATAAAAAAACTGGAGCTTTTTACGAATAACATTTTGATCTGCACAGTGCAATATTTTGATTTACAGTTATTGCACAGTGCAGCCGGAAAATTTTGCTTTTTACCCATACCATGCAGAAAATTGACAAAATTTGTTTTTTTGCTATCAAAATTACAGTCCAAACTGGCCAGTGACTATATTTAAAAGTCGCTTTTTCCATTGCACAGTGCAGTTTTCGTTTATTTCTTTTCTGCACGGTGCAGTCAAAAAAATTGATTTTTGAGGCATTGTGCAATCAAATTAGCGAAAAAATTTTATTACAGCAGTGAACACAGCCTGTAATCAACAATGACAAGACCCACGAGTCATGTTATCCACTGCATATTAAAAAATTGTCTTTTTTTCACACAGTGTAACAAAAACAATTCTCCTTTTTTTCAGTTTGGTACATTTGTGATTGGCCATCTTGGGATGGCCAGCAGCATTATTGAAGCCTTTATTGTCAGCACAGTCCACGAACATGACTACGCGCCAAGTCTGTGCATTGTTTTCATAATAACAACCGTCTCATATCTGGCACTAATGATATCCAACCGACTAAAAAAGAGGAAAATTTATGTTATCCACATGATTGCCAATGTAAGTTTGATCTCGAAAAAAACTTTTTTCAATCTATTTTTTACTGAATTAATATTATACGCTTTTTCACAGTTTTCTTATTTTTGCACTGTGCAAAGGTAGAAAATGTGGTTTTTGGCAATAATGCGTCGAAAAATTGAGATTTTTTTGATCCATCTTATAACATGGTGGGAAATGTAATCTTACAGGTACGGAAAGGAAAAAATTTCGCCGCGCTGTGCATAAAAAAATTATATTTTTTGTTTTGCACTGTGCGGAATTTTTTTAAAAAACTTGCGTTTAAGCAAAGCATGAGAAGAAAAACAAGCATATTTTGAAAAGGAGAAAATATTTGACATCTATGGATGTATTTTACACAAAAAATTTTTGCTTTTGCTCTGCACAGTGCGGTGAAATCACAATTTTTTTTGACTGCACAGTGCAAAAAAAGATAAAAAACGAAAGCTTTGCACAGTGCGAAGAAGAACAAAATAAAAATTTGGAAATTTCCATCGAAGGTAAAATACGAGCTCCCGAAATTGCTTTGACTAATATTTCCGTATTTTACAGCACATTTTCAGTGTTTCCTCATAATGATGACGTATATGTTGGGGTTTGCGTTCATCAAAAAATCAGTCTACGATCTCCGCCGCTCTCACGAAATCGACTTTTCATTCCAGTCGCTGGCAGTGGGCGTCTCGGCAGTCATCGCGTCAACGGTATACACGTATTTTTGGATCATTGTTTATTGGGACTACAACTACCTCGGGCAGTGGAGAAGGTTGGAGAGGCGGCAGGAATTTGTGAAACATGTTTTTGTCTTGTTTTAGGGACTATTTGCATGAATATTCAGATTTTTTGGAGTTTGTAAATACAGAAAATTGACAAGCCACAATTCTACATCGTATTTTAAAACTTGAAAAGGGTGCGACGACTTGTATTTCACTTCTTTGTATATTTATTGGCGATTAAAAAATTTTTTTCTAATTTTTTTTGCACTCTGCCACAGGCAAAAAAATTTTGTTTTTACTGATTTTGCACAGTGCAGTTCAATTTTAAAAATTAAAAATTTTTACTGATGCACGATGCAATTTTAATAAATGAAATTTAAATTGTATTACTGTTCAATGCCCTCAGGGCAATAACATCAACAAAAATCTTTTTCTGCACTGTGCAACTTCAAAAAATCTCTTGTTTAAATCTCAACCTGCACCGTGCAGAGACAAAAACAAAAATTGTTATAATGCTCATTGGAGTTTGCTGGTTGAATAAATAAAATTTTCGCTATGTTTTTACGCGTTAACGATGTGAAAAATCAACTTTTTAAAGTTTCATTTGCACAGTGCGGCGGCAAAAATATTTGTTTCCTCTGCCCACATTGCACTGTGCAGACTGCCATAAAAATTTTTTGACTTCATTTCTGCATCATTTAGTCACCAAAATTCGATTTTAATTTTTTTTTCTGTGTTCTGTGCTACTCCGATTTATCAACTCTAAAACTTTTTCTGCGCACGGTGCGTTTTGCAATTTTTGTCCTTGAAACGAAGACTGCGCCCAAATAACGAAACCTCTCCCTCTTATCGTCCACACCTCGTCTATTATTCAGAAACGTTAAAAACCGCGGAAAAACTAACCATCGCCGCGATAAAGGGATTAAAATTCATTCCCAGTTAGTTTTTGTGATGGAAATGTGACTCCGAGCGAATTGGAACAAAATAATATAAAAAAAGTTGCATTGGTTCAAGGAATGACTGGTCTCATGGTCAATCTGATAAGATACGACGTCCGGTGATCAACGGATTAGAATTATGGAGATAATTTGGAGTAATTTTTTTACATTTTAGTAATTTTGATATGGTTTTGGGAATGCACAGTGCAAAAACATAAAATTTGAATTTTTTGCACGGTGCGGTGCAAAAACTACAGTAGATTTTTGACTTTGGCACCGTGAAAATAACATTTTTTTTTATTATGTGCCATAGGGCGGACAGAAAAATTTTAAATTGTGAATTTTTTGCACTGTGCAGTGGGAATAAATAAATTCAGTTTTTGGTCTTTGCACAGTGCAAAAAAAACAAAACAAAAATTTTATTCCCTGCTGCACAGTGCAAAGAGAGCTGCGACATTTCATTTTTTTTCATTCATTGCACTGTGCAGTGAAAAAAAGAAAGGCAAATTTTGGTCGTTGCACAGTGCAAACACAAAATTCGTTTTTTTTGCACGGTGCAGTGAAAAAAGAAGTTGACATTTGGTCTTTCCACAGTCCGAAAAAAAGCAAGGATATATAATATTTATTTTCTGCAGCACAGTGCAATGAAAGCTGCGAAATTTTATTTTTTTCATCCATTGCACTGTGCAGTGAGAAAAAACAAACTCAATTTTTTATGTCTGCACGGTGCAAAAAAACAAATCCCAGTATCTTTGTTGGGATTTGCACAGTGCAATGAAAATTTAGATTCTTAATTTTTTTAACTCTTGCACTGTGCAATCAGAAAAAAGAAATTCGAATTTTGGCTTCTGCACAGTGCAAAAAAACGAATCGTCATATTTTTATTCTATGCTGCACAGTGCAATGAAAGTTTTGATTCTTAAATTTTTTTATCTATTGCACAGTGCAAAAATTTTTTTTTATTTTTTTGCACTGTGCAGTCAGAAAATTTCACAAAAATTTCCTTGTCCTTTCGAAAGTCCCTTTCTCCCCCAAAACCTGTGATGATGTCTTTTTTTGGCGTGGTTTGTCGTCATTCACGTAAGCGAAGAGTTGTTGAACACTCCTGATAAGGAAGTGAAGGGGTTTTGATTCATGAAGTGTTTGTTCAACGGCTCAGTTGGCTGTAATCTCTCTTTGTTCCAGGTTTCTTTCGTTCACTTTGTCATTGTCACCCGTTCTTGGCTTATAATTTGAAGGGTTTTTACGAGAAACAGGATTTTTTGGAGAAATAGACAGGAAAATCAAAGAAAAAATCTCAAAATTTGTAATTTTTTACATGCAATAAACATTTAAAAATGCCATTGTAAGGCTCTGTGTAGACTGAAAAATTTGTTGAAGTCAATTTTACATCAAAAAAATTCGATGTAATATTAAAAAAATCATATAAAAATCAAAAAAAAAATCTAAAAAATTTCTAATTTTATTGTGTTTTAGTAGCTGAAAATTAAACCTAGGCCATTTTTAAGGCTTGGCCGGACCATTGAAATACTTTTCAGAACAAATTTTCATCAAAAAATCAAAGATAATATCAAAAAATTATATTCTCCACGACATTTGTTAAACTTTTTTTGATCTGCACTTCTTTTACAGCGTCTTATCAGATCTCTCTCCCACTCGATTTGTAGTTTCATTAGGTTTTGACGACAAATTCCGCTTAACTCCGCAAATGACGCTCTTCTTCACGAACTTTGACTCACTTGTACTTTGTTCTGTGCCTTGAAGGCAAAATCCTTTGTATTATGACACAAGATTATGTTCACAAACTGTAAAACAAATTTGGGAGTGTTATTCATAATATTTCAGTCACATTGGATTCGAAATTTAGGCCTCAAAGCGAAGACTTCAAATCGCTTGGCATTCCGCAACAAGCCCTCAAATTGCAAATTTGAGGGACTCCTCATAAAATTTAATGATGGGTGTGGCTGAGGCTTAGTCTTTGACACGAAAATATAGTAAAAGAATGAAACAATTTTATTTTTGGGTAATAAATTTATATAGTATTCAGGGCAATCAAAACCAATTTTTATCAGAAAAAACGCCTCTGCATTATTTACTGTAACTATTAATAAATGTAGTTTTGGTCAAATTTCAAAATAAAAAAAAATTTTACATCGTTTCGAAATTGTATAGATTTTGCACAGTGCGGAAAAGTTTTGGTATTTTGCACAGTGCGGTGAATTTTTGGACAATTCATAGAGAAATGAGCGCACTGTGCGAACTTTTCTGGTCTTTTCAATCTGCAAAAAATTTTTTTTGGCAGCTCAAAACAATTTTTGCACTGTGCGAATGTCGCATGTCGCACTGCACTGCGACATTTGTGGCTTGCCACTTCGTACAGTGCATTTGTCGCAAAAAGGTTTGCACAGTGCACTTTTATTTTTTCATTCCTTTTTGCACTGTGCAATGGAAACGAATTTTTCGACTTTTTTACGCACAGTGCAGGCGTTCGAGAAGCTTCTTTTTTCAATTTCTTCTCTCTCTCTCTCTCTCTCTCTCTCTCTCTCTCTCTCTCTCTCTCTCTCTCTCTCTCTCTCTCTCTCTCTCTCTCTCTCTCTCTCTCTCTCTCTCTCTCTGCACTGTAGAGTCATTTTATTTGTCGTTGTGCACTGTGCATTCGTTTCTTTTGTTTTTCGCACAGTGCGGTCCTCATAAATCCATTGCACAGTGCACTTTTCTTTCTCATTAATTTTTGCACTGTGCAATGGCAACAACTTTTCGACTTTTTTTGCACAGTGCAGCCATTCGAGAAGTTTCCTCTCTCGCTCTGCACTGTGCAGTCATTTTCTTTTTCCCTTTTGCACTGTGCAATCATTTCTTCTCTTTTTCGCACCGTGCGATCCTCAGAAAATCCATTGCACAGTGCAATTTTCACTTTTCTCCGCACAGTGCAGTCATTTTCATTTTTTTTTGCACCGTGCAAAATCCCTTGGAACAAAGGAAAAGGCGTTCCGCGGGCGAAAAATAAAACCAAATGCTGACCTCATAAGCTGCTTGCATCAGAAATAAATATTATCAAAGCAGCTGAACCCCTCAATTTGGGTTTAATCTCACATTTACATCCGTCCTCTTCCAGCGATTACTATAATTCTGCAATAAAAAATTTTTTAAATAAATTTGGAATTATTGTTTCAGGATCAAACAATAAAATTATAGAGGATAAGGGAACGGACTTTCCGGGCATTAAAAATTAGGAGGAAATTATCGTTTCCGCCTCTTCAAAAAAACACAAAAATAATCCGCATTTGCGTCCAACAACTCTTTTTTAAACTTTTTCGAGAGAAATCTTTGTCGCACATTGCGGAATTCAAAAAAAAATTTTCATCCGCACAGTGCAACTTGATCAAAAACTACTGCACGGTGCCGAAACATTTATTTTTTACAATATTTTTTTGATTTGCAGTAAATTCCACGCCCATAAAGCGCAACAGTATCCCACGCAGAGGTGTTTTTTGCCATTAAAATTTGCTTTATTTTTATAGATAATAAAATTTTATTACCTAAAATTATATTGTTTCGTTTTCATTAATTTTACAGGGGAAGTACCCCAAGTGCGACGCTCAGATTTCGATGAAACTTGGCACAAATTTAGAATAATTTTTTCTAAGATATATGCGAGAATCTTAGCTCGCGCTTTGCAGAAACAACCGAGATTTTTAGATCCAAAGTTGGCGAAAATTTGAGACTTTTTACCGAATTTCGACACGAAAACTTTCATGCGTATTTCTATTGTAATGGGCAATGCTTCCACAAAAAATGAATTTTTCCCGTACGAAACTAGCGAAGTTATGGCCAAAAAGTGTTTTTCTCCCTGACCGATCTCCGCGCTTAGCATGCTCTCTCGGCGGCAAAGATCGTTCAATATCTCGGCGGCGCTTGCAAAGCGCGAGCTAAAACTTTCAGGAATTGATACCTAGTCCATACCCGACGTGTGTGCAAAATTTAAAGAAAATCTGAGCGTCGCACTTGGGGTACTTCCCTTGTTAGTTTTATTTTAGCTTCAAAAGCTTGAATTTGACCGCTGCCTTCACAAATTTTAATTGTAAACCCATAAAATCTACAATTTGACGGCTTGTTGCAGAATGCCAAAAAATCAGGGTTTCGTTTTGAAACTGAGATTTTATGATAAAATGCTTAAAATATCATGCTATATGGTTCTTAAACCCAAATCGTATGACTGTGATCATAATCCTGCATCTTAATTCAGATCATTTTGCTTTGAAATCACAAGAAAATTCTCACTCAAAAAAAAGAAAAATTTCGAAAAAACCCTCGCACAATGCGTTGCGAAAAAGGTCCTTTCGCACTGTGCGGACAAACCAGCGACAAATTTCTCTCGCACTGTGCGTAAAATTCATTTTCTCTCGTTGCACAGTGCAGTCAAATTTTTCTTTTAGAAACTGCACGGTGCAATATAAAAAAAGTAAAAAAATGGTTTGCACAGTGCGGAAGAAGCCTTGAGGCGCATAAAAAGTTATAAAAAAGTTATAAAAAATAGAACAGAAGGCTTTTTGCCAACCGCCGTTTTTTACGACGCCAACTTTTTTATCGCACAGTGCGATCAAAACCCTCAAAATATGATTTGTCGGGTGCGACAAAATTTTTATCTAATAAACAAAATTTTCAAAATACGCTCCTCCAAAAAATCCTTCGTTCTTTTGCACCCAAAAAATCCCATATTTGCTCTCCGAAGCAACTTTTCCCTCATTTTCCCCATAAAGTTCTCTGCACCGTGCAAGGCGGATGTTTGTTGAACAAAAACACATAAACACTTGCCTGAAACAAGAAAGCCATAAAAACCTGTTGCCATAATAATACTATTAACACCTATGGCGGTTACAATCGGCGGCTGTCTTATCAGTAGTCGCGGGCTGACTAATTGCACGCGGGGCGGGGCCCTTCGTACGTGCCCAGCACAAAGACAATGGTGTAGGATGGAGAGGGTAAGAGGGGGGTTTTGGAGCTATTTAAGCACGGATTATTCCCAAATTCCCTCATTTCGACCTGATCTGCCGATTTTTCGGAGCAAAAGGGAGGGTTTTTGTGCGTGGGAGAGGCTTTGATTTTTTGGGGTTACTGTAATTTTGTGAGCAAATTTTTTTTGTCATTCAATAATGTAGTTACTCAAAGGCTTCTGTAAAAGTATTTCAGCTGCAAATAAGGTAAGTCTTTACTGATTTTTATACGTTTTCAGGTATTTTTAGGAAAAATTGAAGAAAAAACATCATTTGAGGCCAACAGTCGGCAACTTTTCGCTTTAGTCTTTTGAAAAATTCCTTCTAGACATTCTATATGAAAGTCTGTAGGCCCTAGATTAGTTGGACATTCGAAAAGATACGCCTAAAATACAACGGTTGAGATCTTTTCACCCACTCTAACAATAAGCTATTTTTGTTATTATCGCCAATTTTTCGTAAAATTCGATGTCTAAAACTAATATTATTGCAAAACACAGGCTATTTATTAGACACTCAAGAGAGGGTGCATGCCGAACAGGCCGTATTTTACCCGAGTTGCAAGATTTTTCTCAAAAACCTCCCGTCTTTTATCAAACTTCCCTGCTTTCCCCATTTTTATTGCTTTTCCGCAAAAACATAGAAAAACAGTAGTCAAATGCACTTCCTATTATGTCTAGCGGTAGTAGCATATGATCTCTTATCAAACGGGTTGTGCACCAAGTCGTTCAGACATCAAAATATTGCACTAGATCATATCGCATGAAACTCGTGGAATCATCAAAGAGCACCGGCCTTTTTTGGGCCACCCAACAGTTTTTGAAGGCTGCTGCAACTGAATGGGACTGTAAACGGTTGTAAACGGCTTCTTGTTCCTTATCAAGTAGCGGTTTACAAGACCTAAGGCGTCAGGAGCGGATAAACTTTGATTTTTTATCAAAACATTATAGTTTTTTGTAATTTTTTTTTAAAATGATGACTCTTTTGGAGGAAAGATGTTATAGTATCCCTTGAAAATTATTTTTGCAGCCTATTTTAGTGGAAAATGATTGATTTTTCACTAAAAAATTTTTTTTAGCAAAAAAAATTTTTTCAAATTTTCCAAAGTTATTTCAAAAAAATGTTACAGTAGGCCGTAGTATATAATTTTGCGTTATTATCCACTAAAAATCCCTTGGCTTTTAACTCGAATTTTTCATTTTCCGCGATTTTTTCCGGTTTTTTCCCTCAAAAAATCAACTTCACTTTCAGGAAAAAATTAACACTACTCCGATGAGCCATGTTACAACCCCGGCGAGATGACAGGGCAAGAAAGAAGCCGTGTCTCATGCTCTCAATTTTATTTGTCATCTTTCTTTTTATTGCTGCCGTTATTGCAATTATCATCCTTTTTCTTTATGGTAGGTTGACATATTTTTTATGCAGAGTGTATTTCCTAGGCAAAAATGTTTAAAAGAGCGGATAAAATACCATCTTGCAAAGGAAAACATTCTTGCAAGGTGCAAGCACCAGTTGCGTCTATTGCACTGTGCAATGAAAAGTTTGGGTTGTTGAAGCCATTGAGGGCTTCGAATTAGAACATTTTATGGTTCGTGGGATAGAATGTAATCTATTTAGGATACCTATGGTCAAATTAAATCATATAGATATTTGACACATTCAAAATGATCAATTTACAAATCCGCACGGTGCAATGAATAATTTTCGTTGCCTGCACTGTGCGGGGCTTTTAGTTCGTAAAAATTTTTGTTCCTAGGACGTAGTAAGGCATATGTGGAATACCTATAGTCAACTATACCCATTTCGGTTATTTGCACAGTGAGAAATCCAACTTTTTTTAATTTGCACAGTGCAAAAAAGATTTTTTGTTTCCTGCACTGTGCAAAGCATTGAATTTGTTTACTTGCTGGCTTTTAAGGATGTGTAAGGCTGGTATAAAATATCTACAGTTCAGTTGGCCCATTTGCCTCCCCGCACAGTGCGAAATTTAAGTTGCGGAATTTCCAACTCGCAAATTCCAAAAGCCAATTTTTTTATTGTGCTATTGTGTCCTTTATTTGAAAAGTTATCTCCAAGCGCCACGCCTTTATTATTCAAAATGAAACTACAAAATTTTATTGCCCTCAAATATAAGAAAATAGATAAGAAAATTGCGAATAGCGGCCATCAATGACGATAATTCATCGATATGCCTACGCTGAACAAAAAAAAAACCCAAAAAAGAGGCTCAAAAATAGATGATTTAAGAAGCAAAAAAAAATTTGAGAAAAAATTAAAGTTCTGTAACAAATTTTTATATTTCGCACAGTGCGAAAAACTAAGAATTTTTTGCACGGTGCAATTTTTCACCGCTTTTTTTGCCGCATTGTGCGAAAAATTTCGCACAGTGCAAAATTTGAAAAAGCACAAAATCCAATTTTTTGTATGTTCAGCTATCATGCTACCTTTTTTAGACACAGATCTTAATTAAAACACGAAAACAAACATACGTAAGCCTATAGTTTGAAACGCAGATTATTTTAGACAAAAAAAAAAAATGAAAAAAGCTTTTAGAACTTGCCGATAAGACTACTTTATTGCCTAATACATGTATCAGTGGCAACTCGATTAGTTGGAGTTGTTGTATAGTTTTTTTTTGTTTCATTTTGAGGCCGGTCTTGCAACTAGAACACAAAAAAAGGACCAAAGAGGGCGAGGCAGGACTTAACGGGTTTAAGATTAGAATAACCCATGATTATTAGGGAGTATTCATGCTAGATCAAGGTCTATGACGAAGATACGTTTCTAATAAAAAAATGCTTTTATTAGTTTGTCATGATGACATCACTTTTTTTTAAATTCAAAATTTTCGGGAAGATTCTTTTTTTCGTATAAGATGTCGCCAAAAAATAAAAAAAATTACCGCGAATAAAACCAGCATCACTCACAGGAACTTAGCAAGCGCAAAAAATTTAGGATTTGCACAGTGCAACTACGATATTAAAATAAAGTCATCCGCTGCACTGTGCAAAGAAATGTTTGGCGTGCACTGCGCCAAAAATATGATTTTTTGCGAAAATAAAGTTGCGAAAAGAGCTATCAGAGGCTTTTGAAATATAATGCAAAAAATGAAACTGTTTGATGACGTCATGATTGCACTGTGCACAAATATGCAAAACTGCACAGTGCAGCCAACTTTTTTCTTAATTTTAGCACTGTGCTGAGAAAAATTTTTTTTTCGCAACGCGGTCGATAAATGAGAATAAAAAATAATTTTGAGCAAAAAAAAATTATTTACAACAGTAATCAACTCCGTATTTTAAAATTTTTCGTAAAATTCCCATTTTTTTCAGAGCCAAAAGAAAAATCGACCACAACTTCAACAACATCCACAACCACAACTAGCACGACCACAACAACTTCCACAACCACCACAACCACTGTTCCGCCAGTGCCTCGGGCCGCTTTGACCAAGATCTTGTTCTTTGCCCATGCGCCGAGCCGATTAAAACGCGATGCAGAGAAAGTTCAGGACAATAAGCAGCTTTTGCAAGAACTCTTTGTAAAATGGGAAAACAAGCTGGAAAATGGCAAGTTGCAGGTGGATTTGATACCATATTTGGATGCTCCGAAATCCGAAGACATTCTGAAGGGAAGAGTGAATGTGGAGGAAATTGTGGAGCATATTGAAAGAGTTTATGAAAAATATACGGGCTTTGATGGAGAGCCGTCTCAAGAAAGGTAATCATTTACTTCGGAGGCTTACTGTAGCAAGTGCAAGCGAGATTTTTGGAGATTTGAGGGAGTTTTTCGGAAAAATGTTGAAAAAATACAAAAAATGGATTTTAACGTCGGGTAAAGACTGTTTTTGATCTCAGAAGACTCTATTTTATTCAAGCAACAACTAAAAATCAAAAACCAAATAGTTTTTGTTTAGCAGTAGGATTTTTATTCACTGCACAGTGCTAATTCTGAGAGGGAATTTCCGCACTGTGCACGTCTGTGCTGCATAGAAATAAGATTTTACTCTGATAGATTGGCTATGATTAGGCCATATACAACTCATCTAAAGCAATTCCAATAGCATTAGACAGCTCACACGGTGCAATCATCATGAACTTTTGACTGCACAGTGCAGTATAAAAAAAGGTTGATTGCACAGTGCAATGCCAAATGCACGTATCTTAGATTCGAAACGTTGCCTGAGGCAAATAATTATTTTTCAGACATAACATTTCTTTTTCAGCGGCTGCACAGTGCGATTTTTTGACATTTTCTTTTTTTGCACTGTGCAAAAATTAAAATTTTTTTTGACCGGGTAGTGCAACAAAACAAAATAAAAAATTATGAAACTGACATCATGCTACTATTTACTATCGAATCAGTCACAATCATGACAAACTCCTTCCAAATCTCCAATCTCCCACTTGCACTAGTGCAATATAACTAATCTAATTTTCAGGTCCAAATAATTTGATTTCAGGTGCTTTATTGCTTATAAAATTCAAATTTAGTCGCTTCTTGTCCTGTCCCACAAATTCTGGCATTTTACGCTTATTTCAAACGCATTTTCTGCCGCATTTCGAATTCTAAAATACTGTTTTCAGGACTGTGAAGTTTATCAATCAACTGGATTTCGACAAAAATGTCGGTAGTCATTTTGTGCATCTGTTTGCACCTGAAAAATCGGCTTATAAGTAAGTTATTTTGACAGAAATAAATTTGCACATATTTGCACAGTGCGGCCAAAATTTTTAGTTGACTGCACAGTGCGGTCAAAAAATTGATTTTTTGCACAGTGCAAGATTTTTTATTTTGCACAGTGCAGAAAATATTTTTTCATTTTGCACGGTGCGACCAAAGAATGAATTTTTTGCACAGTGCAAGTTTTTTTAGAAATGCGGACCCTACTGAAGACATTGCGGCGGTCTCCAAGATACTTGAAGACCTGAACGAATCGATCCGCAAATTTGTCGCTGTTGGTTTGACTTATGATAATGAAACCATGAATGGTTACATTACAAAGAAGAACAAGGATAAGAACATTCAGCTGGTGAATGGCAACAAGGCATTAGATGAGGTTGAGAAGTCCATTGGTAAGCTTGTTTTTACATTTTAAAAAATTTCGAAAAGAAAAAAAAATAAAAAAAATCGCATTCTCTCTTACAAAAACAATTTTTAGACGACGATGAGCCGACTACTCCATTTACCGAGGGTACCACCGAGTTCACAACCGAAGCGACTACCGAACAACCAACTGAGGGTACCACCAGTCAGCAAACAACTGAACAGCCCACTGAAGGAACTACGGAGACTCCAGAAGCCACCACAGAGTCCGAAGGAACTTCTGAAGGCTCTACTGAGCAGCCAACGGAGACTACGGAACAGACATCAGAAGGAACCACAGAGCGACCTACAGAGGGAACTACTGAGCCTGAAACCGAACAGACAACTGAGCAGACTTCAGAGGCCACTACAGAGTTCACAACTGAAAAGACAGAGACTTCCGAAGCCACTACGGAGCTTCCAACTGAAGGAACGACAGAGCCAGTAACTGAGCAGACTTCTGAAGCCACCACCGAGCTCCCGACAGAAGGAACAACTTCTGAAGCCTCCACGGAGCCAGAAACCGAAGCCACAACTGAACAGACCTCCGAATCTACCAGTGAATTGCCTACAGAAGGAACCACTGAGCCAGTAACTGAACAGCCAACTGAACAGACAACTGAGCAGACTTCCGAAGCCACAACTGAACTTCCAACTGAAGGAACTACTGAGCCAGTGACTGAACAGACAACTGAGCAGACTTCCGAGGGTACCACTGAACTCCCAACTGAAGGAACAACTTCTGAAGCCACGACTGAGCAGACCTCCGAAGGCACTACTGAATTGCCTACGGAAGGAACCACAGAATCTGAGGCAACTTCCGAAGCTACCACCGAGCAGCCAACTGAAGTTACCACCGAACAGACTTCAGAAGCCACCACAGAGTTGCCGACTGAAGGAACAACGGAGCCAGTGACCGAACAGACTACTGAGCAGACCTCGGAATCCACCACAGAGCTCCCCACGGAAGGAACAACTGAAACCTCAGAAGCCACCACAGAACCAGAAACCGAAGCCACAACTGAGCTTCCGACTGAGGCCACAACAGAGCCAGCTTCAGAGGCGACCACAGAGCAGACTCCAGAAGCCACTACTGAATTGCCTACCGAAGGTACTACCGAGCCAGTAACTGAGGGAACTACTGAGCTCCCAACTGAGTCCACGACCTCTGAATCGCCTACTGAAGCCACTACAGAAGAAGAAACTGAAACGACTGAGACTTCTGAAGCCACCACTGGACTTCCAACTGAGCGTACTACGGAGCCGGTCACTGAGCAGCCAACTGAGGCTACAACAGAGCAGACCTCAGAGTCTACAAGTGAATTGCCAACTGAGGGAACCACTGAGACATCTGAAGGCACCACAGAGCCAGAAACTGAGAGAACAGAGACTTCCGAGGCCACTACCGAACTTCCCACTGAAAGAACTACAGAACAGACTTCTGAAGCCACAACAGAGCTCCCAACTGAAAGGACAGAGACTTCCGAAGCCACAACTGAACTTCCAACAGAAGGAACTACTGAGCCTGTTACTGAGCAGACTTCTGAAGCCACCACAGAACTCCCGACTGAAGGAACAACCTCTGAAGCCACTACGGAGCAGACCTCCGAAGGCACTACTGAGCTCCCAACTGAGAGAACAACAGAGCCAGTGACCGAACAGACCACTGAGCAGACCTCGGAATCAACAACCGAGCTTCCAACCGAAGCCACTACAGAATCCGAAGAAACCTCTGAAGCTTCTACTGAGCAGCCAACTGAGGCTACCACCGAACCGACTTCAGAAGCCACTACAGAGTTGCCCACGGAAGGAACTACGGAGCCAGTGACTGAACAGACTACTGAGCAGACATCGGAGGCAACCACTGAGCTTCCGACAGAGGGAACAACGGAATCGGAGGCCACAACAGGGTTTACCACTGAACAGCCAACCGAACAGACCTCCGAAGCCACAACTGAGCTGCCAACGGAAGGTACTACAGAGTCTGAAGGAACTTCCGAAGCTTCTACTGAGCAGCCAACTGAGGCTACCACCGAGCAGACTTCAGAAAGCACCACCGAGCTGCCTACTGAAGGAACCACTGAGCAGACGTCCGAAGCGACTACTGAGTTCCCTACCGAAGGTACTACGGAGCCAGTAACTGAGAGAACAGAGACTTCTGAGGCTACCACTGAACTGCCAACAGAAGGAACCACTGAACCTGTTACTGAACAGACTTCTGAATCCACAACAGAGCAGACCTCCGAGGGCACTACTGAGCTCCCAACTGAGGGAACTACAGAGCCAGTGACCGAACAGCCCACTGAGCAGACCTCGGAATCCACCACAGAGCTCCCCACGGAAGGAACGACAGAAACTTCAGAAGCCACCACTGAGCTTCCAACCGAAGCCACTACAGAATCCGAAGGAACTTCTGAGGCTTCTACCGAGCAGCCAACTGAGGCCACCACCGAACAGACTTCAGAATCCACCACTGAGCTGCCTACGGAAGGAACAACGGAGCCAGTGACTGAACAGACAACTGAGCAAACATCAGAACCAACTACCGAGGTTCCAACGGAAATTCCAACTGAAGGAACTACTGAAGTGCCAACTGAGGGTACCACAGAAGTTCCCACAGAAAGAACCACTCCAGAAGAGACCACTGAATTCACAGAGGGAACCACAGAAACGGGAACAACGGAGCCAGCGCCAAGCAGCTCTAGGCTGGTCACCATGGCCTTCTACAATGGTCCAACGCAGTTCAGCTGCCGCGCCAGACGTTGCCGAAGATCTTTGGAGGAGGTAGGTGGAGTTTTAGTTATAATTAAGAGTGTCTGATGATTGCACAGTAACCAATAAATTTTTTACCACTGCAGGGTGCAAATTTCGATAGGATTAGAAAATTCGTTGTGCACGGAACTTAATGTAAATTTCTTGCATCTAGCAGAGCAGTGGGGGTCTAAGATTATGACAACTAATTTCTCAGGCACTTTATTTTGACCGGCACACAGAATTTTTCAAATCTACGTTTTGCACAGTGCGAGATTTCCAATTATATTTTTCGCACTGTGCAGTCTAGAAAATTGGATTTTTATGCACGGTGCTGCGCCCTAAAGACAAAAAACGTTTGGATTGTAAAATACGAGAGCTGCACTCTACCGTGCCTACGATTACTGAGCCATATTTTTTACATGTAGTGCTAAATTTTTGACTTGTAATTTTTTCACAGTGCATCAAGAAAAAACGATTTTTTGCAGTAAAGTAAATCGCCTTAGGCAGTTAAAAACGTTTTCGGGTTGTAAAATACGATGCCTCAATTTCTTTTGTCTTAAAAAAAATTTATCCCTCTCAGGGAAACGCAAAATTCACAATTTTTATTTTCGCACGGTGCAAAATAAAAAAATAAATTTTGAACTCAAAATTCAGGACCAACGTCAAATCTTGTTCGAGACCATGGACCGTTGGGACGCGGACGGGCACTTTGGCCACGATCTCTCCATCCGTTTCATTCCGTACGCCATAATTCCGGCCAAAATGTCGCCAGTCTTCAAAACGGCCGCTCAAGCCAAACGATTCATTGAATCCGCCTTGAACAAGCAGCCCAATACGCTGAATTTGAATCCATCGCAAGAAAAGTAAGTGATTCGGCAAAGTAGTAAGTTGAATGGCGCTTGAATCCCCTCTGTTCTGTTCGTTTTGCTAAATGTTTGCGCGAAGCTGATGGATACGACGAGATAAATGGTCGGTTTGATTGTAGTGTGGTCAAGGAGATGAGGGAGAGAAATGTGACCGAAATATACTTGTCTGTACCTCCAATAACAGCCTATATGTAAGTTTTTCGATGGAATTTTGATTTTGAAAAAATATGCAAATTTTGAAAATTTTGAATTTTTTTGTTATTTTATGCAAATTTTTGAATGTAAATAGCTTAAAAAGACCTTATATACATTTATTTTGTAAAGAGTAAATTACATGCAAATCTATGCAAATTTTAAAAATTTTATGTTAATTTATGCAGATTTTTTATGTAAATTGCATAAATCGAGCCAAAAACACGATGAATTTGCATTCCACAGAGGATCAAAAATTAATTTATGACTTCTGCTATCGTATTTTACCATAGTAAATTTAAAAAAATTCAAAAAACCTCAAAATCTAAAAATTTGAATATTCAAATTTCAGCACGGACCAACGTTTCTACCTCGACTCCCAACGTGCCAAAACGCTGGCTGGTCGCTTGAACATGACCCTCACGGAGATACCTCAACAATAATGCCGTCTTTCGATCTCAAATTGCCATTCAAAACGGGAACCGCAACGCAAAATACGCCGATTTTCGCCATAACCATTGTAATTTTTACGGGAAATGCCAACAGTAGTATTTATTCATAGTTACAGAAGATATACATCATAATAATAATAAATTCAGAAATTAAAAATTAGAATATTTCGAAATTTTTTGAAGTCTTTCAGAAGTAGTAATTTTTTGTTGTAATAGTTTTCTAAACGAGACTTGAGGGTTACAACCGTGATTAAAATAATTGTCACGGAATTTCTGAGCTCTGGTTTTCTGAGAAAATGAACTTTTTGGTCGGAAAGAGACATGTTTTTTACAAAATTTCAATTCTTTTGGAAATATTTTGTCGTATGACTTGTCGCCTTGGCCAAGATTATTAATCGTTGGACAAAATTTCTATATTTTTGCAATTTGACCAAAAAAAAACAGTTTTTAGTCTTGCACTGTGCAAAAAATATTCACTTCCTTTGCACAGTGCAGTCCAAAACTTCATTCCTTCCGCACGGTGCAACGTCGTCACTTCAATGCCTGAAATTTGCCTCAAAATGACAAATAAGCTTTCCGAAATTGTCTCTAATTTATTTTGGCTATCAAAGTTTACTTCTTCTATCTGCACGGTGCAATCATTTTTTCGCCTGCACTGTGCAAGATCCAGAAATAAAAAAATGCACAGTGCAGAAAAAATGGAAAATTTTTGGAAGCCGAAAAAAATTGAGATGTCATTCGAGCAATACAGGGTGTCCCAAAAAAAATGCATGTTATTTTTATGGCTACATTTTATATACCAAACAAAATTGGGCAAAACTAACGATGGATATCAGTAACATAGAGGATTATTGATAACATATCAAGCCAGTTTCACAGTGGCTGCCTTTGGTGGCGATATATAGCTCCAAACGTAACTTAAAATTTTGGGCTCGGGGCCGCAGCTAGTTTCGGGGAAATCGGTCCCGTTCTTGGCGCAACGACTACTCTGCGACTCCAAACTTTTGTGGCGTGTAGTGCACGCGTTGGTCTCCAATTTAAAAAAATTTTTGGTCTGTCGGATTCAATCCGGCGAGCAGACGGCCATTTGCGGACGGGGTGAAATCGGGAAAATCGGTCCCATTTCGGGTCCTGAGTCGATTTTGCCTTGTGAGCCGGCGCTGAGTCTAGCAGGAACGCCAGATTTGCATTGCCGAGGTTCTGCTGAGTCAACAGAAGTATGGGAAAATCAACATTAACGCGGCGCTAGAATTTTGCCCCCTTGATCCGAGAAAACCATGGAATTCTTGCCGCTGGGAGAAGTTCCGCCTTAGGGGATGACGGCCCGGATTTCGACGGGTTTCGACGTCAGCCGACGTGCCGAAGGCCTCATCTAGAAAGTTCCTATCGTTCTGGTGGCTGTGCATCCGCCAAATGTTGAACCATGAAGGAATGCGCTCACGTCTGTAAGCTGCGGCCCAGCCCTTGACTTTCCGACATTTTTCGCGCTGCACGCACTTGTCGTCTACTTTAAAGATCTGAGCTTTTTACAGCTTATACAGCGTAAGGCACAGCTCATCATAGACTATTCGGGTGACCGATCGGTCGCTGATGCCGATCTCACAGCCAATTTTTTCTTGAAAATAGCGTTTTGCTGTTGGTGATCTCCCGGTTGACAGAACCGCTGGCGGTGCGTTTTCTTTTACGTCCTGGACGCTTACTATCGTTGTCAAGCTCCCTACATCGCGTGATTACTTTTGACACAACGTCCTTTCTATACTGGGCAGATTTACAACTTGAACGGCTCAAAAATAGTGACAGAATTGCAGTTCCTTTGTTTGACATTTTAAAAAACCACGTTAGTTAATCAATATGAACACGAAACTGAAATGTCTAGGACAGAAAAAAACGGAGATTTTAGTGGTACAAAAATCTTTTGGCCTGACCTAAACATTTTCGCGTCAGGACCAATGGAAAAAAACATGCATTTTTTTTGGGACACCCTGTAAAATACTGCTACCAGTCAAAAATAGTCCAAAAATTGTAAGAAAATATCACTTTATTGTCAAAAAAATAATATTGCAGTAACAATTAGTACGATATGGACCAAATATTGAATAAATAACTAATAACAACGCAAAAACATTTCTAAGAAAAATTCAAATCAACTTCAGATGTTTCCACAAGATGCTATGGTAAGTCCTACCGTAGTCTTTCACCTTTGTCGGGTTAAATTTCCGATTATTTGGGTTATATCCAAATAAATTGCGGATCCCTTTGAGTCGCTGCTCCTCTTTTGGAATATACAGAAGCGATCGGAATTGATGAATAGCGTCGATGTTGTTCATGAGCATCAAAAATAGCGTAAATGTTCGAAAAAATTTCAAAAAATCCATTTTTTGAAAAATCGAATTTCACAAAATTCGACGAGAAAATCGGTGGAATCGTCACAAAAATCGATAAATAACAGCTGTAGTAGTTAGTAAAATACGTTAATCAGTCTTTAAGTAGCAAAGAAATAGAAGTAATTTAGTAATTTACAATTACTAATTAAGCCCAAAAATTAGTAAAAAGTAAAATTTTAGGAAGTAATGAACTCAAGTTTCAAGTGGAATACCGGCAAAGTGAGACCAACTCAATTTTTAGGTCAACAAAATTTGAACTGGTCACGCAACCCGAACTTCCTACCCACATCACGGAAATGTTTGGAAATTACTATTTTCGGTCCGTCAACAGGAACGTCACGGCAGTGGGAATACCTGTCGGAAATGCGGTTTTTTGCAGTAAAAAGACATGGTAAATAATCAGCAATTTTTAGACGGCCTGGGAAATGGGGGAGGGAAGGGAATGCACGGTGGAGTGGAGGAAAAGATGATTATGCAATAACATGGTAAAAATATAATAATTTCAGCGTGGTTGCAGTAGATGACAGGGCCTTCTTATCTGAGTAAACCCTCAATTTTTGCTGATAAATGGACAACAGTCGCTGACCTGATCCAGTGGCAAGAGTGAAGCCAAGGCCCGGCAACGACATTTGACCCGCCGCTGCGTCCCGCCACGAAACCCGAAAGGACATTCGCACTCCGTCGAAATCGACCGAAACGTGGATTTGAAAGGAAGGAAGAGCAATTGGTGAAGAAGCAGCGGAGTGAGCGGTTCGGCTACTCGCGCTAGAAGGTTTGGAACCTACTGTGTGTATTATGGCCATCTTGTATCGTGTTATTTGGGTGGATAAACGAGGTTAACGCTTGTTGTTAGAGTTTGAGGAAGCTTGTCTAGGACAGCTTATCAGGAGACCCGGTGTCTGATCGTGTAGACGAGGAACTGAGCTTCTCTTTCAAGAAACGTACCATTTTGCATCCGGGAAGTCTCAAAAAATGTAGCAAAATGCCTCCATCGCCAACTAATAGAATGCGTCCGTTTTGAAGAGCCCTTACAAAAAGAGCGGGCGCGCTTTTGGAACCGGAATTCTTTCACTTGGAAAGGGAGGTATTTGGCCACATTTTTTGATACTTCCCGGATGCAAAATGGTACGTTTTTTTGCCCCTGGATCAGGTCCGCCACTGTATCAGTCTGTCGGGAAAATAATCAGCACAATGTCGCATATATCTTTGCCAGGTCCGTGTGGAGAAAATTTGATTTTTTGTGGAAACATTACCGTCTACGGTGGAAATAGGCAATGAAACTTTGCAGTTCTTCCTCTGTAAAGTCGGGAGGGTTAGGTAAAATACGTTGCTGCCAGCACAAGACAAGGAGTAAAAAGTTAAAGGAGACTACTGTGATCCTTAACTTTTCCGCAGAAAACAGCGTCTATAAATAAACAAACAAAATATGACGAAGAATTATTTTCGAATAAAATACGCTCCGCAAATATATAATATTTATTTATTACACACACATACGCAGTAATTACATCTTCTAATCACTCTGATCACCGAACAATTAAAGTAATATCACCAGGAGTTTTCAACTAATCTTTCGACATTCAAAAATGACGTCATATTTTGAAAAAATCTCATCATTTTTTGAAGTAAAAAACTTTAAAATTTTTTTTTTCAAAATTTCAAAAAATGCTGACATTTTTAAAACTCTTAAAAATGACGTCATCGCGACCGAAAGGGCGACAAGTTGGCCATGAGCCGATGCATGGGGACGGTGTGGAAGCTGACGCGGAAACTCTGAACGAAATTTCAGACTCTGAAGCCGGCCCGTACCTTATTCCGCTCATCCAACTCCGAGTCCGTCTTCCGGTTCTCGGTGGGCGACATCAGAATCACCGGCGAAATCATCGCTCGCCGCGGCTTCTCGCCGTGATACAGGTAGTTCTCGTAGTCGTGCACGAAGCCTGAAGGAGGAGAGGGAATTAGAAAGGGAATTTTGAGGGAGAAATGGGATTTTTTGAGGGAAATTTGATGAAATTTTTGATTTTTTTGGAAAAAAAACTTTTTTTTTGGAAAAAAAATAATTATTTTTTTTGCCTAGGACGAATTCGCGTATTTTACAAAAATCCTTTAAATTTTATATCTCTCACCTGCCACCTCCTCAATTGTCACCGCTCTCGACTTGACGGCATACTGTAACATGGCCAAATGGACGTATAAATACTGGTCTTCAGTCTGAATACATTGCCCGCGTTGCGTTCGGAGGTCACGAAGCAACTTTAGCGTGCTGACATTCTCCATTGTTGGGGATAAAATGGCGCTAAAATTGGGAAAATGAAAAAAAAATATTTTTTCAAAAATTTTTTGCTTTTTTAAAAAACATCATGCAATAATTTTTGAGTGATATTTTTACTTTGACGAAATAAAAAAGTCTATTTTTAATTGGTTTTTTAAAATTTTTTAAAAAATTAGTTTTTATGCAAATTTATGCAAATTTTTTTTTAAACTTTGGTATTATAAAAAAATGGTCTCAACATTACTAATACTTAAAAAAGCTTGTCGGTTTATAGCGCGTATTTTACAAAAGTTTATTTTTTGGCTTTGCACAGTGCAGACAAAAAAATTTTTGCACCGTGCAGAAAATTTTTTTTTTCTAAAAATTAAATTTCTACCCATATTTTACCCAAAAATAACCAACCCTTACCCTCTAAGCATCGCCAGCAGCACCAGCGTTCCAGTCCGGCCAACGCCCGCCGAACAGTGCACAATTGTTGGCCAATCCGCGCGTTTCCTGGCCATCGCCAGCAATCGGAACGCCATTGTACAGCCCTTCGGAGCTTTGCGGTCCTTCCACGCCGACCATTGGCAATGTTGCACACTGTGTTCATCGTTATTGTAGCGGATAATCAGATGGGTTCGTTTGAGACCCGGCTCGGTCTGGTCGACCATCTCATTCCGGACCAAAAATGGGCCATATTGCCGGGATTCACCGGGATATTTGGGCCAATACTGAAAATACAGGTATTGTAGGGTGAAACAAATGCACTGAGGCAGGCGTATTTTACCTAATAATCCTGATTTGAACACATTTTTATTCAAAAGTTTGAGTTTTTTTGTTAAAAAGTACCCTAACTTTGACTGGTCATAACTCCGAAATTTTAATCGCTGAGAATTTGATATTCACAGCATAGTAGCTACAGTCTTTAGTCTTCCAAATAATATAAGTTCCTTCTAGATGTCACTTCAATTTGGTATTGAAAAATCGATTTTACTTTTGACCAAAAAATCAAGTTTTTTCAAAATTATTGTTTATTTGAGGAATTTACTGGCTGATAAACTATTAATAATGTAATTTCAGCTGATCTCAAGTGTGTCACAAAAAAATGTCGACATCGAAATACCGTATTTTACAAAAAAAATTTTTTTTGACCAAAATTCCCATAATTTTTCCCACAAAAAAAACAAAAAATCCTTACCTGTGCGCATTTATTCCTCTTCTCCTCCACCGTCTGGCACAACATGATGATCAATTTGGTCCTCTCTTGCCACACCATCTCCCAGAAATCGGCGGCCGTCGAATCCAACGGGCCTTGGCAGCAAATAAATTCATTGGGCAGTGTGGAATGCTTCACCAAGTTTGCATGAATAAAATCATTGTTCAAGTTGTTCAACCGCACTCGAGTGTGGTCCCAACAGACCACATCTCTGTAGCGGCAGCGATTCAGGTTGCTGGGGACGGCATTGGAACAGTCGGGAGCCGTGTCCAGATGCTGGATTTGGGCGAATTCCTTGCAAAGTTGGGTGATCCCGGCCTCGATTACGTTGCGGGAGAAGCGGCGGAGAGTTTGACGCTGTTCCGGAGATAATTGGGGCTCGTGGGAACTGAAAGTGATAAAAGATTAAAAAAATAAAAAAATTGAAAAAAATTTGAGAAAAAGTTTCTTCGCACTGTGCAAAATTTCCAAAAAAATTTGTTTTGCACAGTGCAACAAAAATTTTTCGAAAAATAAGAATTTTATTTGATGTTGAGAGTGGAGAAAATATTTCCACAAAAATCGATCTTTTCGGACTAAAATTTTTATAAAAAACTCAAGAGTTTCCGCGCACAGTGCGAAAGGTCAGCAAAATTTCGCACAGTGCAAAATTTTTTTGCCCGCACTGTGCAATTTGACCCTATATTTGCACTGTGCACGAAATTTTTTTTGCGTCGCAACCGTGTTGTTATTGCACTGTGAAACTTCCAAAAAATTGCACGGTGCCAAAAAATGTTTTTCTTTATTTTTTGAAACTTTTGCACCTTGTAAAATTTTATGTAGTAAAAATTTTTTTTTGTGTAAATCGCACAGTGCAAAAGTACCAAAAAAATTTGATTTGCACAGTGCAAAAAATTTTTTTTTTGAAACTCGATTGCACGGTGCAATGAAAAATGTTTAGCGCACAGTGCAAATTTAGGCTCAAATTGCACGGTGCGGTCTAAAAAAGATTGCACTGTGCAAATTTTTTTGTAAATTTTATAATGCGATAGGAAAAATTTTACAACGTGCAAAAGTTTAAAAAAATAAAGAAAAACATTTTTTGGCACCGTGCAATTTTTTGGAAGTTTCACAGTGCAATAACAACACGGTTGCGGCGCAAAAAAAATTTCGTGCACAGTGCAAATTTAGTCTCAAATTGCACAGTGGGGGCAAAAAAATTTTGCACTGTGCGAAATTTTGCTGACGTTTCGCACTGTGCGCGGAAACTCTTGAGTTTTTTATTAAAATTTTAGTCCGAAAAGATTGATTTTTGTGGAAATATTTTCTCCACTCTCAACGTGAAATAAAATTCTTATTTTTCGACGTAAAAGTCGAAGTTTTTTTTGGTTTTCTGAACTTTTTGACCTAAAAATTTCCGAAATTTCTAAAAAAATGGGTTTAAAAAGCCTTTGAAAAACTGAGATCTAAATTTTGGCCAGCTTTTGTCCATATTGAAAGGTGTTTTTTTTTTGAAAAAAAGAGATTTTTAAAAAAAAAATCAAAAATTTTGACTTCTAGACTTTGACTTACCTCCATCTCGATGTGCTCGGCCGATGTGAAGGCATCCGACTGTCCAACGACAATCTGTTTGTCCTTTTTAGCGACATCTGCAACCAAACTTCATCAATTTTGTAAAAATATTTTGTTAAAAAAATTGTAAAAACGCAAAAAATTGAAAAGAGATCCATATCAGCAACCTTAAATTCGACGAAAAACAACTTTATAAAGGGACTGAAGGTGGAATTTATTTTTGGCGATATTACTTTACACTAAAAGCAGCTGAAAAAAGAGTGGCGTCTAAATATTTCATACGAAAAATGATGTGGTTTCAGTTACTAACAAGGTAAATGGTGGTAAGTAATGCGATATGTTTGTTTATGAAGGGAAAAAATAAGTTTTACAAGCTAAATTGGATGTAGCAAAGATTGCACGGTGCAAAAAAATGTTTGGAAAACCGCACGGTGCGGTAGATTTTGGGAAATTTTGCACAGTGCAGAAAATAAAAAATTTTTATTTTTTTTTGCACGGTGCAAAATTTTTTTTTTTTTTTGAACTGCACTGTGCAGTAAATTTTTTGAAAAATTGCACAGTGCGATCGAATTTGGGAAAGTTTTGCACGGTGCAAAAATAGAAAAGTTTTGATTGCACAGTGCAAAAAAGTGACGAGAAATTTCTGCACGGTGCAAAAATAGAAAAAATTGATTGCACAGTGCAATTTTTTGACTGCACTGTGCGGAAAATGTGCGATAAATTTTTGAAAAATTGCACAGTGCGATCGATTTGGAGAAGGTTCTGCACAGTGCAGAAAATTAAAAAACAAGTTTTCTGCACGGTGCAAAAAAATTTTTTTTTTGAACTGCACTGTGCGATAAATTTTTTGAAGAATTGCACAGTGCGATCGAATTTGGGAAAGTTTTGCACGGTGCAAACGAATGAAAAATTGATTGCACTGTGCAAAAAGTGGCGAGAAATTTCTGCACGGTGCAAAAATAGAAAAGTTTTGATTGCACAGTGCAATTTATGACTGCACAGTGCGGAAAATGTGCGATAATTTTTTGAAAAATTGCACAGTGCGGTCAATTTTGGGAGAGTCTTGCACGGTGCAGAAATTTAAAAAAAAATGAATTGCACAGTGCAGAAAGTGTCGAGAAATTTCCGAGCAGTGCAAAAATAAAAAAAAATTATTTGCACAGTGCAAGTTTTTTTTGACTGCACAGTGCAAAAAATTTTCAAAAACTATGCACCGTGCAGAACTAATTTTCGGACTGCACTGTGCGACCAACTCCAAAATTCTCGCACAGTGCGGCATAAAAGCTTTCCGAACTAAAAATTTTTTTCCCGAAACATTTTTTTTTATTATATTACCCACCAGAAAACATGGGATATTTGTCAAGTTTTGATGGATTCAATCTTGAGAATTCGAAGAAATAAAAGAGAAAACACAATCGTTTTCATATCAAAAGTTATGGGATTTGGCCCTCAGGGAATAAAGGACAAAGGGATACGAAAAAAAAGAAAATTCTTGGATTTACGATGAATAAAACATTGTACTAGACATTAAAACAGAGAAAAGTTCATCAATTTCGGAATTTCGAGGAAATTTCTAGAAAATCCGTCATGATGACATGGTCGATTACAGGGATATTGGAGTAATTTCACTCATAAATTTCTTCGGGGAGCTCTGTAACAATTTGTAAAAAATATTTGGCGGTTTCAGCGTCAAATTCTATAAAATCCGTCATGATGACATTTTTAATTTGTCAAAATTAGATGAAAAAATTATTCCAAAATTTTTCAGAGGCCGGCTAATAGCTTATGAAAATAATTGTGCCATTCCAAATTGTCTTTTACAGCTAATTTAAATACGTCATCATGACATATTTTTTGAAATCTCCAAAAAAAACAAAGTTCTAGACAGTTTTCCAGAAATTACGGCGAAAACAACTAGTAGACTCCTACATTCCATCCAATAAGCCCCCTTTTATACCTCAAAAATGCCATTCACAATATTATTTTAGCATTTTCCGCGAATTTCCCCCCTCAAAAAAGTAAAAAATTCGTATAGAGAGCGCGAAAAAAGTAGTCTCTCTTTGAAAGTCGTCCCGTTGACACTACTATTAGTAAGCCCACAATTTGCCAATTACCAGAATACTCGGAACGCCGGCTTTATGAAGTTGAACCCGAAAAACTTTTTTTCGTATAAAATGTCACCCAACATTCCTGGGGCGAAGACATCGTATTACTTGCGGCCCTAAACGAAACCAATAACTTTTTTGGGAAGAAAAGCGCCGTAGGGCGTGAAATGATGAGAAAAACGCCTTGGGGCATTAGGCAAAAAAATCCTATTCGCTTCTCAGAATAAGTTTTTTTTTGGCCATTTGGAGTTAAGCCCATTAATCTTGAGGAAATTTGGGAGATTTATTTTGGTGATAAAGTACTGTAAAGGAGGGGGAAAAAGTAATGTTAGGTTTACAAATAACAGTAAAAAATTGTAACCGGTAGTGTAAAATACGATTCATTGATCGGCGTGAAATGATGAGAAAAACGCCTTGGGGCATTAGGCGAAAAAAATCCTATTCGCTTCTGAGAATAAGTTTTTTTTCGGCCATTTGGAGTTAAGCCCATTAATCTTGAGGAAATTTGGGAGATTTATTTTGGTGATAAAGTACTGTAAAGGAGGGGAAAAAGTAATGTTAGGTTTACAAATAGCAGTAAAAATTTTAAATGGTAGTGTAAAATACGATTCATTGATTTATCTAAATGCTCAGAGCAAGCTAATAAAATGCCAAAAAATGAAAAAAAATCGAAAAAATTTTTAAAAATTGGCTTCAAAACCAGAGAAGTTGGAAAAATTTGATCAAAAAATTACCCAGAAGAGCCTAAAAAATTTATTTACAACAACAAAAACAAATTTTAGTCCTACTGCACTGTGCAAACGATTTTTAAAATTTCGCACGGTGCAGTCTAAAGAATAGTGAAAAAAGTGGGATGCACAGTGCAGAAAACAAATTTTTACATAGGAATTTCAAAATACGTATTTTACAAACGGCAATTTAAATTCCAAAGTCCGCGCTGTGCAGACTACCTTTAAGTTATCTTTGCACAGTGCAGTTTACAAAAAGGTGCAATAGTGGTCGCACTGTGCGGAAAAATAAAGTTTTTTGAGACATAGTAAAATACGTTGCCTGTTAAAATCAAAAAATCATTCTTTCACCTTCAAAGCCTGCAAAATGCTATGCAAATCGTATTTTAAACTTCTGCACTGTGCATTTTTTCGATTATTAAAAACTCGGACGCACTGTGCGGAAAAATAATTTTTTTTTATGTCTTTGTAAACTACGTGCTTTGTTACATTTACCAAAGATTTCGTCCATCTCAAAGCCGGCAAAATGCTATGCAAATCGTATTTTAAACTTCTGCACAGTGCAATTCCTTCGATTATTAAAAACTCGCCCGCACTGTGCAAAAACACAAAAGAAAGTTGTTCGACAATCGTCCAAAAACTAAAATGGCAAGGTAGAACCCAACAACAAAGGCCTTTTAACCCAGCCTCTACACGAAATGGTGTGTTAAAATTGGCTGCACGGTGCGATCTTTTCCCGACCGACTTATTCCCCGAACAGCTCCCATGTGTAACCCATAAATGGTCGGAACGGACGGCTTTTGTATTACACCCGACGTCGAGGGCCACCAAATTGGTTTGTTTTCCACGTAAGGGGCGAGGAACAAGGATTGGGAAGATTTATGGACTGGGCGAATTTGGGGCTACAAAGTGCTGGTAATGGATGTGTTGATGTTCGATATATGGTTAAAAGGGCGGGGAGGAGCATTTTTCATGTGTTTTTGAGGGTGAGAGGGTTATGGGCTAAATTCGGAACGTTTTTTTTTGAAGAAAAGCAAATTTGAAATTTTTCGTATAACATGTCCCCTTGACAGAAAAGCCGATAACTGATGTACTGATGCGTGGTATATGGCCTAACGAGCAAATTTAGCGAGCTTTAGAAGGAGTGAAATTACTCAGGTTAGTCAGGAAGACATTTTATACGATAAAAGTGTAAGCTCGAATCTTTCGTATAAAATGTCGCCTTTAATAAAAGCAGATTATAAGCTGAGTTCAAACAGAGCTGAGAGCTACATAAAACAAGTTGCCAATAGTTAAGCATAAAGGGACCATTTTATACGAAAAATTTAAAATTTTGGAGTCTTCGTATAAAATGTCGCCCGTCCCCTAACTACGCCCAATCATATTCCTTTTGCCCTATTGGTCGTCACAAATCTCGCAAAATCCGATTGGACTCTTCGATTAATCCGAATGGCATAAAATTTATAATTAAAATTGCAAATTCGCACCATAACTCCAATCAAGCCCATCCAAAATGTAAGTCACCCCGCGGATAAGCCGCAAAAACTCCTCATTGCCCCCACGAAGATTCGGGGAAGCCGCGACGGTAATGCCGTTTTACCGTGAATCCCATCGGCCGCTAATCCGGCCGCTACAATGGCTGCAAAAACAAACGGCGTTCCGGGAAAAGTCGGCGTCCAAATCCGCGTGTAAACAGATTCATTGAAACCGCGGCTTATGTCCTATTCTCGAAACCCTAAGGCGTTTACACGGATGGGAGAAAAGAGGGATAGAGCAAAGGTCCGCACTGTGCGAAGGAGTCTGTTGAAATCTCCGGCTTTTGTACTGTGCAATCAGTTTTTTTTTGGATGGCACAGTGCAAAGAGTTGTCGCGAAATACAAAAAAAGCACGGTGCAAGAAATTGTCGCAGAGTTGGGAACAAAATGCACTGTGCCAAAAAAAGAACATCGACGGATTGCACTGTGCAATTGAAAAGGAAACTGCTGCACCGTGCAGAGAGAAGTTGTCGCGAAATACCAAAAAATGCACGGTGCAAAAAAAATTGTCGCAGATTAAAAAAGAAAACGCACCGTGCAAAAAAACAAAAACGACGGATTAAGAACATAACCAATTGCACTGTGCAATTGAATAAGAAATTGGCGCACGGTGCAAAGGCTTGTCGCAGAACAAAAAAAAGCGTTCGCACCGTGCAAAAAGACCAAAAAATAAAATTTTCCTGAATGCACTGTGCAATCCAAAATTTT